TGTGTTTGGGAGAACAAGGTTCGAGATAATCGCGGAATCGCAGAGGGTTTCGACCATGCATACGAGGAGATGACGGACAAGCAAAACCCTCAATTCAGGTACACCTATTAAGAAGATAGGAAACAATGGGAGAGCAAACTGTAATCAATAGCATGAGGTGCAAGCCCAAAAAGATCTTTCAGGGTCCCTTAGCCACTGGCTCTGTAGTAAGCCTGACAACATTACCTTTCGCGTCGCCTCTACATCCAGGTTCTGTTCCATATATCGTGCTACCATAGTTTGGCTCGACAAGGCGTGCCACCTGCACTTTTGCTTTCTCTCACCCCAAGGCTCGGTGCTCCGGCAATATCCAACTAACAGCCCCCCTACGCTGCTCCCAGAATCCTGAGTTTCTACCAGAATCCACCATTGTAGAACGCATGTCTCACCTCTATGAATGACCGAGACGAAGCGGGATTGAAACCCGGCTGAAATCCAGAGCGGCACGGAAGCCGTCACTTCAGCTCTTAAAGTTATCCCCTTCACCATTCCAAAGGCCCTCGAATCAGCCGGGCCGGGCCCACATGTGATGATTGCCTTGTTGGAAACTATTAACACGGCATTGGTATCCTCTACAAGGTCGAATACCATACCGTCAAAACAGATGCGGCACAAGCGAGGACCGCCAGCACATCAACCCCGTACGGGGATTGACCCCGCAAAGATTTAAACTCAGGGTCAACTCAAATGTATACGGGGTGCGAGGAACTGCTGGCACCGAGTGAATCCTGGGCGGCATGGTGATGAAGCTGTTCTCAGACGCGTTGTCAGAATTTTTACTTATAATCACCTTCCACCCAAAAGGGTGACCGCTCAGGCTCGGTGAATCTCTCGTGATACGCCCCGATATCAAATTCATCATGTGGTTTCTAGTCTTTCTCGTCATTTGTATCTGCTCCTACCTTCTATATCATGGCTGGCTGTCGCCACTAGCATCAATCCCAGGCCCATTCCTAGCACGATTTTCGAGAATATGGCTCGTGTTCCATGGTTACAAAGGTGATCTGCATACGGCCTTGTCAGAAGTTCATGCTAGGTATGGTGCGACTGTTCGTATTGGCCCAGATGAAGTGGTCACTACAAACCTGGAGGCAATAAAGACTATTTACGGTACGGGAAATGCCTCCCGAGCTCTAGAAAATCATTTCTGATAGAGTGAACTTTAGGTGCTGGCGCAAAATTCCGCAAAAGCGATTGGTACGCCCCACAGCAGGGAGCACGGAAGTTCGATCTATTTGCGGAAAGAGACGAAGTCGTCCATCGCAACCAGCGACGTCTCGTGAATCATTTATATGCAACTTCGTCTTTGCTCCAGTTGGAGCCTCAGATAGACCAAGTGATCCGCGACTTCATCAACGTTCTTCATTGGAAACAAGGAGAATCGCTTGATCTCGGGCTTTGGCTCCAACTTTTTGCTTTTGGTAGGCAATATCGATTTTCATTCATGACGAAACAACTGCAGCTAACATTGCCAGACGTGATTGGACAGGTGACATTCTCACAGAAATTTGGGCTCATGGATGCTGGCAAGGAGTCCGAAGCATTGTTGCAGATCAAGCAGTCTGCCGCGATGGCTTCATGGTCCAATCAGATTCCTTGGCTATCAAAGATTGTTAGCACGATCAACCAATATTTTCGGACCCAGATCATGGCAAACGCACGAAATGGCTCGATTCGTCAGTTTACGGTCCAGCAGGTCGAATCTCGTATGTTGCGTGGAAGCCATCACCGCGACATGTTAGCAGGTTTCCTTGATGTCCATAAAGCCCACCCAGATGCTTTTGATTCTGCAGCAATCATCTCAATGGCTTCGAGCAACGTCAACGCAGGAAGCGATACAACGGCGATCTCACTACGGGCCATGTTCTATTATCTGATTCAGAACCCGCGATGTATGCAAACTCTTCTAGACGAGATTCAGCGGGTGACAGAAGACTCAGCTCCAGGTGATGTCGTTACTTATGAACAAGCTCTCGGAATGCCATACTTACAGGCTGTAATGAACGAAGCTTTGAGAATGCACTCACTTGTAGGTCAATCTCTACCACGAGTGGTTCCAAAGGAAGGGCTTATGGTTGGACATTATTCCCTCCCAGGAGGAGTAAGTGTTTTTGTTTCCCTATCATCCGCTCTCAAGCCAGTAGCAGCTCACAGACCTAGACAATCGTGGGAACGAGCCCATATGTCATGGGCCGCTGCGAAGATCTTTATGGTAGCGACGCAAAACTTTTCCGTCCAGAACGGTGGCTTGACAAGAACGAGAAGGGCAACTTGAGTAAGTCCAGGCCCCTCTACCGAATTTATTCGTTGCGTCTGCTTACTTGGTCGAGCACGTTTTAATCTCGCATTTGGCGGAGCATCGAGACTATGCATCGGCAAGAGTAAGACCTTTTAATTGGTTTCAATGCTTCGACTGACATTCGAGTGATCAAGACTTGAGCTGGATAGAAATGTCTAAGGTATGAACGAGTAAATATTGCGAGGGACGGCATTGACCCTACACAGCTGCTGCCCACTATTCTCAAAGCCTTCAAGGTGGAATCTTTCGGAAGTGAGGTAGTCTTAGCGGAGGAGTGTTTGTAAGTGAGCCAACATGTTGCAGATATTTGGGGTGCTAACGTGCCTAGCTTCTTTGTCTTCCAGCGCGGATTGAAAGTCAAACTTACGGCTCGTTCTTGAACTGATGCTTCTGTGTTGTGGTTTGGCAGCCATTTCTCGATCGGTGTTACATAGAGGCCAGATACAGTCCTTCTTATTACTTGACGTTGCGGTTGAAAAGTAATCTTGTTCCATTTTGCTGTCAGACTCTTCAATGAAGTAAATTCCGAATTCAATTTCAGGTGGTAGACCTATACTGACGTATTTCATTTCGATTGTGTCAAGGTGCCACCTGTAGCTGGTACCTTGGCTTCGAGCTGGATCCTGGGAAGGCACAACTTGTAATGCTACAGTAAGTGACTGCAGAGGGGAACACGTCGGCGTTTCAATGAAGCTTTTAAGGGCGAATCGTGCTCAAAGTCAAGGCTCTCAGGCGCGTGAGCGTAGGTCTGTCAGCAAAACGGACAGTGGATACGCACCATGGATGAGTTCCACTCCCGGACAAAAGCAAGAATTGCCGTAGACTGATCCATGATGTCGTCTCACAATTTACTTCGTCAAAGGTAGATAGCTTGTGTTCGGTGCGTCAGCCAATTTAAGCGCATTCATCTGAATCGCAGCTAAGGGGAGGAGAAACGCCGCCAACTGCAGTATATATTTCAGTCTCCGATCAAAGGGGTTGGTGACATTGGTGGGTGTGGCCGTGATAGTGCCTCGAGCTACCGTTGGGGAAACTTAAGGATTAGAGCATCCCAATATCTACCACGCTAATTACATTGGTCTCCTTCGCTTCCCGAAGAACGGCGATCAGCCGCTTCTTACTCTCCGCTAGTGGACAAGAGTCGTCGAAGCCGCACGGGGTGCGGCTGTCAATGAATTCATTAATGCCTCTCAGGAATTTCCGGCAGCTCACCGTATTTAGCTTGCTCAAAGGCCAGAAGCCCTGTGATTGAAGCCAGTCTTTGAAGAGCGAAAGTCGTATCTCCTTTGTACAAATGTAGTCATGGAAGTTGCTGGACCCGCAGTGACCGCACTTTTTCGTCGCCCAGGGCTTGTTGCGAAAACACTGCCCGCAAATCTTTTCATTTCTACCGGCATGCCTTTCATTATTCGCACACAGTTGATCGATATTACATTCTATGAGAAGTTGAATTGAACGTTTGACTTGTTCACAAACACTTCTCATGTCGTCTGCATCGACATTTATTACTGTTTGGGGAAAGGTTTCTTTTGGGAGGCGTACCTTTCACGTGGGCAGGCATAGGATGCACTTCCCAATCATCCCATTCCTTAGGTTCCATGGCTAGTGCTAATTGGAAGCTGATATCCGAGAACAAGTTGTGCAGACCAAAGACGAACGCCACCCACATCAGCGTTTGGAGTTGGGGCGCATCAAGAAACGTCAGTGTCCATTTATCCATCCAGGCCCTCACATGAAAAGACAGAGCCTTGGCGCAGCCGTAGAAATCACATAAGTCCGCCAAGTGTCGATAGTCGTCTATTGAGTCTGGTGGATCAACAGGTAGATAGTGGAGAACGCGACAGATCAGAGAGAAGGTGTCCGGATGATCTTCACGTATTTCTTTGACAGGTGGATGGTTGACGTTTGGCTGGTCGACGCCTTCTACGAAAGCGTTTGACTGGAGCATTGTTTGGAAGAAAGGACAGGATAATGTGAGGACTTTCGAGGATACCACAAGATGACGTCGTCGCCCGACAGCGAGTATAAGGTCCCCTTTCAGATCAAGCATTTCGATTTCGTCCACTGGTTTATTCCCAAGCGAGCTGGGTTCATCTCCCTCCATGTTCACTGTCGACGTGACTGAAACTGGTGACTAAGAGAGATATGGTCGGTTTTGGAAGTGCGATAGTAATGACTGTTCTGAGTGAAATGGAAACGAGGTGAATCCGTGGAGATGTTATCTCAAATCAAGCGAGTTTCGGTAGACCTTCCTCAAACAAGGGGCTCAGGGGCGTGTGGGTCAGCCTTCCGCCGCTCTAAGACACAAGGCAGCGCAGTTTCAGCGAGGTCACCAACACCAATCTCTGTCGGCATGTAATTCACTACCTATGTTTTAGAGATAATGGGCACCTCCCACATTATTGTGTAGCATTGGGATGCAGTTACGGGGTTGTGGAATCAAATGGCAAGTTAGCGACGGCTCCCGGGGTAGTCATAGGTGCTTTGATGCTAATGACAGGGCGGCGCTATGAACATCCTGATTAGGACTGGCGCCAGAGCTTTCTAACCCTGGAAAAAGATCTTGAACTTCATCACCGAGTTCCTCGATGTGTTCAGTTCATCCCTCAAACCCACACATTGATTCTCTCTCGCACTCAGAGCCCGTTGGAGGCTAACGAAAATGGTGCAGCCCTCCCCAAGGCTGTTGGCGCGCTTGCGTTTCTCCACGAAACAAGTTGCCAGAGGTTTCTACCGTGGTACTGGCAGTGGATCAATGGGTGCTCATACCGAGAAGGGCAAATACATCATCGACTTTCGCAAGACCCGACACTATAATGTTCCGTCCCTCGAAGACTTCAGGGTAGGAACCTTTCTTCAGATCTTGTGTGGGCGATGACTGATCCTGAATTCCGATAGCTCACTCCATTCGTTTCCCTTGACATCGATAAGCTTGCCGAGAAGCGCCGCTACTTCATTGACGGAACTCCTATTACAAAAGACGGGAGCGATGGCTTGAAGTATTTACGAGAATGGAGGGCCGAAAACAAACAAGAATACGAGCACAGACAATACCAAGAATACCAACAATCGCAAGAGTATCTCAATTCGCAGGAACCGGCGAGCCAGCAATCCCTAGAGGGAGTTGAAATCGATCAGAGTCCAAGCAACGGACAGAATGCCCAAGCCTCGAAGCCCTGATCAACCATGCTATAAGGCCAAAGTACAGCGATCATGGTCCCGCCGCAGTCTGGTCCCACCGATGCACACCAGTTTTGCCAGCTCCTAGGACACTGCATTCCTGGCCACGTACCACGTTTCTCTCATTGTCAATCTCAAACTCGAGAAGCCAGTTCAGATACCAACGTTCGGTGCCAACAAAGCCAGGAGACCCAAATGAGGCCACACATGATACGATCACAGATATGACTACGGCAGAGACAGAAAATTCTGTAATGGAACAGATCCATCCACAGATTATTTGTGCACAGCTTGCGGGTGTACTTTTTTCGCCAAAGTACCCCCGTCGAGGTCTAGACCCGAATCAGCGCAAGAAATTGCGTCTTTGAGTGCTCCTGGTGGAAGGAAAGATGCAAAGCCTCGAGATGGAAAGCCTCTCATTGTCACAACCCCTCTGGACCATGATGCCAATATACCACCACGCGGAGAATTATGTATGCACTACTTTTGAACAGCCCAAGAGGCCAATGTATAAAACATTTGTACAAAGGAAATACCCATCTCCTACATTGCCCCGATGATTTGGTTTTGCTTGGGAACTCCTCACAATCTTTCTAATTCCCTAGCCAGCCCGTGAAAGCCATTGGCAGGTCACCTCATCCGACAGCGATGACGTGGCAGCCGAGCACGCCTAAGAGGCTACAGCCTATGAAGGATGTTGACCGCAGCAGAAATCCAGCATATAGCAACCGCGTCCAGCGATCGGCCACGACATATACAGCAAATAGGGTGTTTCAAGTCAGTACCATCACGTACAGAGCTGCAAGGATCCTAGTCAACGGAAATCGGCTCGACTACTGTTCGCATTCGCCTACCTTTGTTCAGCCTTACTCGTGCATTAGCGGCACGTTCTCGCACGACAGCGTGTCGCGATTGGATTGGCTCGGCAAGATGCTTGGGATGAATTGGGTGTTGGCCCCAGATGTCCAAGATAAAGTGAGAGGCACTCATATACAACGCATAGCATCCGCTCCGTAGGCTCAGTGCCATGATCTTTAATCGACTCTTGATGTGTGCTCAGCATGAATCACTTCCCCTTGCCCCAAGGCAAAGGCCATATTCGAATTCCCAATCTCACGCGTAGTGACTATATCTCGGGTGAAGGACGCTTTCATGGCTTTCCAACTCGACAAGGCTGGTCAATTCAACAGCTCGAGGACATTCATTCGCTCGCAGGACGGCCAGGATCAGATGTCTCAATCCCGGAATTTTTTCAGAACTGGCTTTTCTTCGGCTGTGCAATTGAAGTCTTTTCCATTTCCGGTGTCGTTGTATCTCAATCTGATTTACTGGATAACGACAGGCAGTATGTTAATACTCGGCGACTTCCATCTCTAATACGCCAATGGCGACAGCGAGCCCAGCAAACGGGTAACAAGAACAGCGCCACCATCATCCAATGGGCAACTAAGACAGCTCTCATCCTGAAGAAGGTCTCCGACTATGTCGATCTCTATTGCATCCCCTACTCCGATAGCAAGCGTGGGCGACAGATTCTGCAGCACCGACATCCCAACGTACCTCTTCCCGAGAAGGTGTGGGTCTCTATCATTGCATTGGGCCACACACTCACAGAAGCAATGCTGTCCATCTATGGAATTGTGCGCACAAGAAACAAGTGGGGCTCCTCGTCTCTATTGAAGCAAAAAATGCTGAATAGAGGCTGGTGTCCCATGGATGTTCAGAGAAGTCTACGAGACATGGGAGTGGACGGTCATTATTATATTGCAAAGTCTTCAAATCTCGAGGTCAACATATCTCATGATCGATGCACGCAAAGCCAATGTTTCGCTCGAAATATTGACGAGGTAACCTATCAACAGAAACATTGTTGTGAAAGTGGCAAATGCAATATGGTGCTTGTCGACGAGGACCTGTTGTGTAAAATCATTGATGCAGGTCAGGTTCCCGTATGCTCGTGGGATCAATCGAAGAAAAGGCTCTCGTTGAAATCTTCGACCATCGAGAAGCGTGGTTCGTCGAGCTTACCATTTCTTGCCATCTCTCATGTGTAAGGTAAAGTCAGCACAATAGAAATCGGACACCACTAACAGATCTCAGATGGAGCGATGGCTTGGGCAATCCTCATCATAACGGGCTGTACCAATGTCAACTTGATCAGCTTCAAGCCATGGTCAAAGCAGCGGCCACCGACCATAAACTAAAAGGGCAGCCTGTCCACTTCTGGATTGACACTCTGGCAGTACCCGTTCGAGACACTCCCGAGATGAAAGAACGGCGCATGCGTTGCATCCGACAAATGGCGAGCATATACAAGGGTGCCGTTGGTACCCTCGTATTGTCAGCCAACCTTCGACAGATTCCTTCCGATGCACCCGAGCACGAGAGAGGCCTGGCATTGTACCTCACGAACTGGGTTCGCCGATTGTGGACATTCCAGGAGGGGATGCTTTCGGAGAAGATCCTTTTACAATTTGCAGACAAAGTCATCAACATGGATCATATGATCTGTCCTGAGGTGGGCAGGTCTATCACTCGAGGTCGATGTGTTACATTCCCAAAGCAAGCTTCAGTCGCCGCGACGTCTTCCCTTTTCATCCTTCGCGATATACTTCGCGACAAGATGTTTGAGATGATGGGACCGATGTATGCCCGAGTTGGCCCTTTGGCCCCCGCCATCAGTGCACTACAATTCCGCTCCACGTCCAAGCTGAGCGACGAAACAATCTGTTTGGGGGCATTGATGAGATTAAGAATTGCTCGTCTACTCGAGGTTGACAAGGACATCATCAAAGAATATAGCGCGAAAGGGGTTCAACTTGAGAAAGTCAGCGATCATGAGCGCGCCGAGAGGCGGATGGAGACATTTCTAAGTATGGTTCGAGTGTTCCCACACGACATCATTTTCAATTCACACACTAGGCTAACCAGGGATGGATTTCGCTGGGCTCCATCCTCCTTCCTGGGGATTCCGAGTGGCGGCTTCACTGCCACAGTCGAGGGCTCTTTCACGACATTCGACAAGCAGCAAAGTGGCCTATCATACACGGGATCAGGTTTCATTGCCACCATGCCCTGCGGCAGCAAAAACGGACAGCCTCTCGATGGCGATCTATTGGTCCGACTTCCGATGCCTAACACGAAACTCCTTGAGGTAGTTGTTCGAAAGCGGAAGGCGAGAGGTGAGCTTCTAGGCAATACTTGGCCAACAGGCAGAAAATATGCCTTTATCCTTCGACGCCCTCTTCAGGCCGGAGAGTCTCAGAGTTCGAATGCCTCAAAGCTCCCCAAAACCCCAACTAATGGCCCTGAACTCGAAGTATGGTTTGAGACTCTATTCGCCGAGTTGAATAATGACCATCATGAAATCGATGTTGTCGTGGGCACCGTCGTTCATGGAGACGAGGAATACGGCAGCCCCAAGGATGTGACCACCATTCGTCACGAATTTCTTGCAAATCTGACAGTTCTCAACCCATCTGCCCTTCCTGAACAAGGACTGGATGAATTAGAGTTGCTTAAGCGCTTGGGCATAAATCACAGTAGACGATCAGGACATGAACAAGCTCAAGACAGTCCCAGTACTGACGAGGACGAGGAGGAATCCACAACCGATGATGATGATGACGACGATGATTCTCTGGACTCATTCGATTCTGCGGAATTTGACTTGAAAGAGGACTTTGAAACTTCCTCTGACTGCTCAGAAGATCCTGACAGGTATGGTGGTAAGTAGTATCAAACCTTCTTCTCCTGTTATGCAAGACGTCGCTGATCAGATCTTGTTGCACAACCAGACGTGGGTACTGGAGCTGGTGATGAAACACAACGCAAAGATTCGGTCAACTTTCTCGACGATACTCTAAGTGAGAAAGAGTGGTACGAGAATACAATCGAGGATTCTGATTCAGAGTATGAAGATGTCACTCTGTCTTTTAAGGAGATATGTGCCCCTGCCGAAACGCCCTTGATCGAGACTGAGGGAGTGTTGAAAGGGCAATGGACTGATTGGCTCATTCGTTGATTCGTGCTTGTATTTTTGAAAGCTATTCTTAATTGCAGAGAATTCTTTGGGCTGCCCTTGGACTTTATTAGCAATGGGTAGATGTGAGGAAATAAAAATCGTTTCAACAAACTTGCGTGGACATCCTGATCGTAGGCAATGCCAACTGGCCACGTGCTCGCTCAGTATCTTCTGAGGATGGAGCGCATAAGTTTCGAGATAAACCTATACACTACTTTTACGGCTCAGAGCGTCAAGCGATTGGTTGTTGTTCAGGTGAGATGAGGCTGGTGTTGAACTTTAACATCGGCGACATAGTATTGATCCTGTCACCAACCCGATCGGGCTACCTGGTTTGCATCAGTTCTTGAGCAAAGCTACATTATTCGTGACATATTGCTAGATCTAGATCTCGGTCCAGATGGCTTTTGCTGTCCTCAAACGCCTGACGGAGCTGCCTATCATAGTCTTTCTTATCTGCTAGTTTCTTATTGATGAATGCACTTGTCTGAACAGTCCAATATTCCATCATAATTGTATAAAACTCATCGTTCTCTTCGTGCTCGTCGGCGAGTATCGGCTGGATATGATCGTAAAATACTCGAACAAGCCCTGTTGGACTGCGAACAGCCAGAGTATACCAAAAAGTACCCATTTCCCATGCTTGTTTCATGACAGCGGAAAGTCTGTCTCGAGGTTGAATGGAAAGCTCCTGCTCGGTTTTCTCCAAAACATCTAGGAACTCACGACGAACAGGGTCGTACATCTTCTCGTCCATCTGGTCGATTGCCTGATTCGCTAGCCATCGCGGAGGGTGGGTCATCTCGACAGGACAGGAGGAAGCCCATTCAAGATCAATAAGAGTCCGCGGACGTGTAGGTTAGATGACGAGGAATATCCACCGGGATCTGCTCATTCTCAAGCTGATGGATTACCAGCGACAGTGGTCTATTAGCCAAATGTAAGAATCCGTTATCGTCAACGGTGAAGGAACCAATGCGAGGAAGTGGGACTTGAGCGATGGTCAACAGGATCCGGGACAGGTTTTGGAAGAGATTCCTGCGCAGTGCCTTCTCATGATACCTCTCGTTCCATGTGCATGACAGCATTTGACCCTCATGTTTTTCTACATAATCGATCAGAAGATAGCCGGAGCGTAAGGAGTCAAAGCTTGCTCCTCCACCATGACGAGTGTATCTCGATGGGACGGGGAATTTCAGCCAATTAAGGAGTCGGCGATAGAAATGGTGTGCCAGCCGGAGAAAGAGAGGTAGGTGCTCGATGGCGGTAAACTAACGTGAGCTTAGCAAATTTATGAAAACCCTAGTCATGATCGTGTTCTTCTTACCCTCTGACCTGTCGAGAGTCCAAACCCATACAGGCGAGGGATCGGGACGGATGGACAGTTTTGCTGGAGCCAGATGTAGGTGCCAGCTTCGCAACGAAGCTTTTCATCCGCATTTTCTGAGCCGCAAACCTTATAGGGTAGTGGAAATCGAATAATAACTCTTTTCGTTGGTTGTCCCTCGCAGCTAGAGATGGAAACCGGAATACATACATTGAAGCTGCCGTGAATCCACTCTTCTGGTTCTGCTACCTTGCATAGTTGGACATTCAATCCAAGATGATGCGCAGTGATTGCATGGATCACTGTCTGATTTCGATATAGGTGATTGAAGAATTTGCAACGTTGATCCAATGTCGCAAGTCTATGCAAAACATTCGATTCGTCCTCCTTCACATCCGAATAAGAGATTTGCTTGTCAGAGAGTTGAAGTTTCACCGGCATAACACCCCTTGTTGGTGGTGTGTTGACAGGTGGACAGAAGAGCAATTACAACAAAATTGGCATGGATCATAACCGTTGCGCGAAAACTCTCGGACTGGATGTTTGATGCATCAATCGTCTATTGGGTGTAAGGCGGTTGTCGACGTAGTTGTCCTCGTTCTGTTTGTAGAAGGTCGCTGGGAAACCATTGGGCAACTTGATACATGGCTTGGCGTCACAGCAGAATCCACCGTTTAATACTTGTAGTCGTCAATAGTGTCAAAATTGAAGCTAGAAGCGCGCTAAATATTTTAGCACCACACTACACCTAAAGGCGGCATTATCTTTGACATGGCACCAAGTCTTGGCGAGTATCTGCCTGTCATGATCAACTCGACGCCCAAATCTTCAAGATTACTTGCTCAACATAATACTCTACACAACTTCGACTTGAAGTGCCTGAACCGATAAGACTTCACACTGCCAGATGTGAGGTTCGTTATGCACTTGTAAAAACATTGAGATTGTGGATTTCGCGCCGCCTGGGTCAAGGCAGGCCCTTGATTCTATGACATAAAAGGGCACCACGAGATGCAAATTCACCTTCTTCTCACTGGTCTCGCTCGATCCGCCATCGCGGCGAGTTCAAAACATTCTTCCTGTTCCTTCACTTGGAGGTAACAATGGGGCCTCCTAGGGGTGATGCCTCATACAAAAAACAGCAAGGGATCTTGGCCATCTCCAAGGACAGGAAGTCTGTCTCATGGAGTCCGGCTCAACCGCCAGACGCATCGCCGACCCTGGTTCTGTCGGCCAACAACATCACCAACCTCCAACAGACACCAGAGTCAAGTGCAAAGGTGATGTTGAAGATTTTTGTCCAAGATCCTGGCCAATCCGAACCCGTCGCGCACACCTTCACCTTCACGTCCAAAACTGATGCGAGGAACGAAGCCAACGGAATCAAGGATGCTCTTACCAACGTCATCCAAGCACAAAAGGCAGCTCAAAATGCCGCGACTCCCTCTTCTGGAGGCCAATCGGCCGCAATGGCGATGGCAAGCGCCATTTCCGGAGGAGGCAAAGCAGGCAATCTCTGGGAAGACGATGAACGGTTGAAAGCCGATGTCCGGCTTCAACAGTCTCTAATGCAGGAAAATGCCGAGCTCCAAAGGACGTTTATGGAATCTCTCAGCCTCAAACCCGAGACCATTTCCAATACTCAATTCACCGCACAATTCTGGTCATCACGAGTTCATTTGTTACGAGCTCATGCTATCGCTCAAAGTCAGGGCAAAGGCAAGTATAATGTCTTTTCGGAGCTACGACGAGAGGACGGAGGCACCAAAATGAGTCTGACTCAAGACCATGTACGCGCCATCTTTGAACAGTACCCTGTCATGCGCATCGTCTATGATGAGGTTGTTCCCCAAAAGTGCAAATCCGAGGTCGAATTCTGGTCACGGTTTTTTCAAAGTCAACTGTTCATGAAACTGCGTGGCCTAAAGTTCGATCCAGCCCGGGAGTCAAGAGATCGATATCTAGATACTGAAGAATTTCTCAACCATCCCGATCTCACTGGTCTGCGCGCTACATCAAGTGACCTCCACATTGCCAAGTTCATTGACTTGGAAGGTAATGAAGAACATCACAGCCAACGACGAGGTAACCGTCCCGACAGCGAACTCCGGGCTTCAGCGTTGGACAAAGCTCCTATTATACGCAGACTCAACGCACTATCAGAGAAACTCATGGCTACAGTTCGACCGTCGGATGTTGATGCATCTGCACCCATTGGCATGGGCGAGGCCGAGTATGAAAGTCTACGCCTTCGAGATCTGGAAGGAGATGCTGAGCAAGAGCGCATTATATTAAACATCCAAGACCAGAGCCGATTCTTCGCAGACAATCGTTCGTCAGACGGAACTGGCACAGGCCTAGACACCAACCCCTTCCGAAACCTCGAGCCAGCCAAGGCAGTACGAGATGTCAACCGCGACTTTTCATCCCACTTCTCACAACCCGGCGTTGATGCTATTCCCATAGAAGCTTATGAATCCGAGGATGTTGAAATGGAGGATGGAGATGATACAACAAATAAACCAGAATCAGGCTCCGTCATCGCCATGACGCATATTCTCTCACTAATCCAAGCCCATCGAGACCAAACGTCCGAGATCGCCGAATCATCGGGCCTAAGTTCCATGGTCTATGAACGGCTAACCCTCACACAAGCTACGACCATTGAATTTCTGCGCCAGTTCTGGAATGCCTTTCTCTCCGGCGACCCTGCACGAGCAGCCGAAGTGGCGTCATTGGTTGAGAGTCTGAATCGAGCTCTCGATCGTATCAATGTTATTGCACAGGATGCGGAAAGAGAAAAACAAGACCATGTGCGAGCTCAAGAAAGAGCAGTGGAAGAAAGGTTCAGGAAAACAGGCCGGAGACCAAAGATCGATCATGGCGCAATGAAAGGTGGTGGCAAGGTGGTCAGGCAGTTGCTGGGTCCTGTCATCAAGAGTGTGGCCAATGCCGTGCAGAGATATAGGCAGGCATTTGAGGAACAAACGGCCAACACTGCGTCGTGACGAAGCAGGCCATGTATCGCCAATTCATTTGCGAAGGAACCAGCCACCAAGGTCACTAGATCCGGTTTGTCACCGCGCAGAGATATTCCAACACAATTGGCATAAGAAGTATGAGCAGACACGCTCAGAGATATTGATATCTATCTAGAGGATAGCAAGGCCAGCACCCTAGAGCATAGGTTTAGAATGTCAATAGACATGAATTCTTTTCCGAGACTGTCATTCGTGACATTTATCTAGATCTCCCATGAGTCTACGTCTACCATAGACCATCCCGTCACCATGACCCCTCGCAAGCATGCACGCCCGCGAATGACGAGACCAACTTCAGGACCATATGCCATTGCCCATGTCCCCGTCATCAAATTCAACTCATCCCTTCTTAGTCTCATGACCCCGTAAAGTAACTGGCAATCTGCCTCCCAAACCCCCGTCTAGCCGTATCTTGTCTCTCTGCGACTCGATCACTCACATTTCTCATTCCGTCGGCCGAACTGCCTTCCTCCTCAAGTCTGCGTCTCAACCCTTCGTATTGTCCTCGCTCCTTACTCTTAGGTGATTCACCCACCACCCAGGCAGGGACTCTCCATCGACTCAGTCCGCCGGGTAGTAATTCGCCTATCCAGGCACTTCCCAACGTCCAGCCAACAAGAGCTGGTATCAGTTGGTAGGGGAATTGGCACAGTGCCAACTGCGCCGCTAGCAAATAGGTTGTAGACTTGTCACTGAGTGTGATGCCAGGGGGGTCTGTCTGAGATTGTTGCTGTGCAGCCGTTCTTGTGTTTCCTCCTCCTCCTCCTCCTCCTGCTGCTGTCGTTGAGTCATTCTGCTCTGTCGCCGTAGCCAACGGTATCTTCCCCGTAAGGATCTTATATCTGTAAAGGCGGGGCACCTCGTCCGACCAGAGACTAAGGGCGGCGAAGACGACGGCGGTGAGTCCCGCGGGGAGATAATTCCAGAGACCAAAGGTGAGACCTTTGAGGAAGACGGTCAGGAAAGGGAGTAACAGGACATTGACGGCGAAGATGACGGCGACAAAGCTCGCGTACTTGCGACTGCCCCATAACCGTTCTAGCACGCGGAACTGGTATAGGAGGGCGGTGGAGAAAAATAGGTCGGTCGATGAGGTGTAGGCTAGTTGGAAAGTAAGGATTCGCGACAGTTGTAAGTACGGCCAGAGGTGTGGTGTCGGTCGGATGGGTAGCTGGTGTTTGATGTCGAGGATCGATGTGATGATGGAGCTGCCGATCGTGGTTATGATCAGGAACCGCGACACCGGTGCGTGCGAGAATCCTGATGTTGTCACCATGATATCGGACCTTGGGACTTCTCAGAGGAAGTGAGATATCAGAGGTGCTATTAGGGTCGATGGCGGACCACCATCGTTTCGAGACGTGGTCAGATGCATGTCAAGAAACAAAACCATCTCCAAATATTATATTCGTCAACTGATGCGGGGCATCGGCATCCTCCAAACAGTCACTGTTCACGCAAAACTAATATACTACGATCTCTCATTCGAACAACGGCGATGATAAGAGTGAAATTAGGTATTCTATTGTTGATCCATATCGTACATCCATTTCCTGCCTACTCCCCGTCAGAATTTAGGAAAGAACATGGGCGTCTCTTTCTTCCATTTCTGATAATCCTTTCGATCCCCATACTTCTCATCATATTTCTTCTCACTTAAAGGAATGCCCGAGACTTTGAACAACAGGAAAGTTACGAATGCAGGGCTGATTCCCGCACTCAGCAGTGCCAGCCCTTTGCCGGCCAATCCTCCTGCTAGGCCCATACCAGCAACCCCAGCATTGGATGCCAAAACTCCCGCGGCCACCGTTGCAATGCCAGTCCAGAGAGTGCTTTCTCCAAAGTAGTTGGGATGTCGGCTTTTACTCCATAGGCCGCGAGTCAAAAAGTCCTCATCATGCTTCTTCTCCTTTTTCTCCTGTGACCATTTGCTCTTTTGTCGATCGGCAGTTATTTCGAATCCTAGACCACCCACATACAGAAGCACTCCTAGCAGATCGGTGATGGAAACAAAGCCACCCAGGGCGGCAAACGTGGCGGGAGGGAGAGAGTTGATTGAAAGCACGGGCAGCAGACATAGTGAGACCCAGACGGCTTGAGCGAAGAAAGCCACCGCAAATTTGGGAGGCGACTTCCGGATCTCTTCAAAGCGTGAATCCTTGCCATCTCCAAGTATTCGCATAAACAAGTACGAGCCAACTTGATATGATTAGTTCAGGTGTTTGCGTCACGAGAGTCAGACTTACGTCTTGCTGCCCAAAGACTAACAGCAGCGCTCAGGAACACCTGTCTCCAGTTGAAGCCATAGGGTCCGGCTGTACCATTGAATGCGCTTGCGAGGCTAGGCCATCCAGGTTTTGGGGCACCAATTAGAGCAGCCGCAGAGCGAGCTCGAAGTACTGGAAGATATAGACTCAAGGCAGTGCAAGACAAATATGTCAACGACCCCGAAAGATCATAGAACCGCTCAGTCTGGCCCAGAATAGACGGAACTGCCACTGCAGCCTGAATGCCGAAGGCAAGCCCAACGGAAGGAATCAAGGTCCTGAGAAAAGGGTTCCGGAAATTTGTCGCCGTTAGTAGAGAGTGAATGATCGACATGTTGCAACTACAGACGCCTGGCGGGACTGGTTTTGGAACGCGAGTTGATGAGGATTGGAGCAAAGGACACCCACCAAGGATTTATAGTCATGATAGACAGTGTCTCCCACTGCCTTTGAATTCGTCCGTGTCCTGAATATACTTCAGGCAAGACATGTGAAGGAAGCTTTACAATCCCCGCTAGGGGTGATCAGCATGCTGGAGAGCAGATGCAGAGACAAAATGAATGACGACAGAATCCGAGAAGAAGATCAAAGAGGCCGAGAAAACGCACGTGACCGGCTGCCCTCCTTCCCGACCTCCGACTTTCTTTGTCTCGCCAATCTTTCCTTTTACAGCAAGCAACGCACTTCCACGTGATGCGCCAAGACCGAAATCTGCTCCCACAGTGGCACACAAAGTCAACTTGGTCAACCGGACCCCTCGACTTCATTGTCAGCGACATCGAACATTACCAGTGACCAGAAGATCCTGTCAAGAGTAAGTTAGAATATCTCATTGTCCATGGCTAATTTATCATACTGACTTCTTCTCCAGTGCAGATGTAAGTCCCTGTCCACTCGCACGATGCCTCATTGCATGACCCGACCTCGATCCAACCATGCGCCACCCATAAAATCTCTCTAGACGAGCAACGACTAACTCAAGAATTCACAGCTTCGTCAAGACCCTCACGGGCAAGACCATCACCCTTGAGGTGGAGTCGTCCGACACCATCGACAATGTCAAGTCCAAGATCCAAGACAAGGAAGGAATTCCTCCGGACCAGCAGCGATTGATCTTTGCCGGAAAGCAGCTCGAAGATGGCCGCACCCTCAGCGATTACAACATCCAAAAGGTACGCTCGATTCCCCGATCACCGGCGTGCTTACGGCACCACGATCTACATTTTTTCGTCATCCCGGGCGCAAGAAGTAATATGAATTGGACGACACGCTCTAACACTGAAAACAGGAATCTACCCTCCATTTGGTCCTCCGTCTCCGAGGTGGTATCATCGAACCCTCTCTCAAGGCCCTTGCCTCCAAGTACAACTGCGAGAAGATGATCTGCCGAAAGTGCTACGCTCGTCTGCCACCCCGAGCCACCAACTGCCGCAAGAAGAAGTGTGGTCACACCAACCAGCTCCGACCCAAGAAGAAGATAAAGTAGTGGTTGGGCGCTGTCGAACTTGTCATTTGGTGCGGAGAGAGAGAGTGCATGGAAAGGAAGGGGACGGATGGAAGGCACGAGGACGAATTCCTCGCCCGACTCAAAATTCAGAACTATTCCCAAATGCCACCAATCGCGGAGTTTTCAATAACAATGGTAAAGAGGTAATTCGTGTATAAAGAATTACTTTGAAACAGCCATTTGAGATTGCTGTGCAGCTATGGCTCCTGTGGTTTCCTGCAAATCATGCAATGCTAAATCTTTAAAAACCACATTCCACATATGCGGGATTTTGTGCAAGGATGCGACCATTCCGAAATCGCTTGTGAATCATCAAGGATGACTCGAAATTTCGTTGTTTCCCCTGCATGTGCTTGGTGGCACTGTAGCTAACCCCAAGAATATTCGTTCTTCGTGCATTTGAATCCCTGCCTAACCCCAATACTGCAGTACTTCCATGTAATATCTCATGTCGTGACCACACCCACACGTAGTAATACAGGAGAAGATGATAATATAGTGACCGCATCAACCAAGCCTTCACTTGCCACCGGTGCTCCAATCCATCAATCAGTCACCCTCCTTAGCAGGGCTTCCATGGCTGAAGAACAGAATCTTGATAGCAATAGCCAAGCCAGCATGTAGTAGAACAACAACCAGCAAAAGAATCTGACTGGTTTTCTTCTCAATGGCACTGATGACGGGGTAGAGGTTCTTGACGAGGAAAAACACACTGACGGCATAACCCAGGCCGACAAGGGCGTAATTGAGTGCGCTGAGCGGTGACCAGGAGACGAGGGAGACGGCGATCCAGAACAGGTTACTATATCCGTAAAGGGCCCAGCACTCGACCAGGTCGAGAGACTGGGCACCGAACCAGCGCAACGCAGCCCACAGACCCAGCGGCACAAACATTGTGTATCCATAGATGAGGCCTGCGGCGCCTGACAGTAGACGGAAATCGTATTCAAAGTGTTTGTGTCCCTCGGATGCCAGCTTGTGGCTGATGGTACCTGTCAAGAACAATATCACCACCACCGTCGTAGCGATCCAAAACGGGCCGTAAAGGTCAGGGTTGCCGTCCATCGTGTCGAGGAAGGGGGGCGTGTTCGGAATGAAGGGCAAGATTGCGGTTCGGCATCGGTGTAGCACCGTCGATGTGTCCACGTCGAAGAATTGCGCGTAAAAGGAGAGTGACCATAGCATGTGTTTCGGCGGTACGGCTGATGGATCGTTGGGCATGTTCGCCGGGTTCGTCGAGCTGTTGGATAGGAATCCCGTTGACTCTGGTTGAACTTTGCGATTGGACGGCCGCGACTCGAAATCTGTGGGATTGTCACTCTTGTCAGTGATCGTTCGAACATTGGATGTATTCCTTTCAATCCATGCGGAGGCTTTCTTCACATACTGGACGAGTGGAATTCAAGGTCATCATCTTGTAGATCCGTGTGTCCTAGGTCCCCCTATGTCTTTCATCAGTACTTCAATTGCACACTTTGTTCAAGTAGGGTGAAGGTCCTACCTCGGTGTCAACGTCGACGACTACATCGTAGCCACGGTTCGCCATGCTTGAGAAGTGACGGGGCGCGTGCTGAAATGGTGGTAAAAGTGTCAACGTTGATCAAGTTGAATCCGTTGCGGTTCTGCAAACACGTATGCCTGATAGCGAGGCTGGTGAGCGGAAGAAAATCAATGTCAGACACAGTCTATCAAGCTGTGTTGAGCCATAATTAGTTGGTCATTACAAGAGTTTATTCAGGAGGCAATTGCATTCCCCATGGGTTGTCTGTTCCCGTCCCTCCACGAGTTCTATGCCAGCTGGACTGGACCAAATTTAAAATGCTATCGAGTACAAAATCATCAGTTCATCACAGACTGGTGCAAGTCCACCGCGTCTATCCTGTACGGTGGCCCAGAAATATCATCCTCTCCCAGATACCAACCGAATTGTTGACATAATGAAGGACCAAACTGGTAGGTCGTAGCCGCTCTTCCGCATATAGATGGAGAGGGCACCCATTAGAATTGCAGCTGCAAAGCCAAGGGGCCTGCGATGCTGTTGCAGTTGTTTCTTGGCTTTCTGTAGGGATTCATCCCGTCTCAGCTGTTGAATCTGTTTTCTCCCCAGTGCTTCAGCCTCCTCTAGCGTCTGGGGGCGACTCAAATCTCGTGATGTCTTCAGAACGCTGCAAGAAGACAGGCGCCACCAGAAGAACCCAGGTAATTTTTCCGGAGGGTGATCCTTAAACAGCTGTATCGTTGAAGCTGAAAGTCCATCAATGTCAAGATTTTGTGGTAGCTTGGCGACCATGTAGGTCAGCATATCGGATTGATCAGACTCCAGTTCCAGCAATTCAGACCGACGTGATATTGTGATGGTGGCAAAAAGGTAAATGCTCATAATTGGTTCATGAGCCAACAGGAAGTCGTACAGTCGAGCAATGTCACCATAGTCCTGGACATCGTGGGCGAACAAGGAATGCGTCGCTGAGAGGGCTGAGCTGTTCTCGGCTTCAGAAAGATGATGGGCCAATTCAGGATCGGCGGTACGGACCACAGCTGACACAAGCTCAAAGTGTTTCCTCGCAGGAGCTATGGTTGGCAACATGTAGTCACGGAGGCGGAGAAGAGATATCCGTGGTACCGCTCGAGAGGCACTGTCTTTACCAAGAACCAGAAGTAGAACCTGTACCACATCGTGGTAGCTCTGGAAATAGGATAGGATTCTGTGTTGTCTGAGGGTCGAAACGATCAAGTCATACAGGTCGGTCCTCTTGCGCTCAAGAGACTCCTCGGATTCATCTAGCGGCGTTTAGATAGTGCCATATTAGGGCAGGGTCCATGACAAACCTCTGGGGTAGTAGACAAATGCACGGTCAACATCAAGCCGGACCTGGTCTTCGTCGGAATGTCGGGGTAAAGCTTTCCACGCGGTACTTGCAGTTGGAGCTTTGCCACCTTGTTTCTCGTGCTCGTAGCCCAATAAAATCGGCCCTTCCAAGTTCAGAGTCAGTCTTGTAATACAGGGGTACTGGCCAAGGTGTATAGAGACGTACAAGCTCTCCGACGCAAGTCGTCGGTCAGGAGACCTCCAGTTGAGGTTGCTAGCTTGGCCAGAGCTGCCAAGTCAGCCCGTTGACATGCCTCCTCAATCAAAGAACGTTTCTCATGTCGTGCAGCGTGGTTTGGCAGTATGACAGATGGAAGGGAAGCTGACGAATAGGGCATCTCGTCAGTCTTGGACCCCATGTTGGCGGAGTGGTCCTGTTACGGTCGGCTGATATAGACCATGGCAGCTACCGGTCATGTAGGAGGTGCCTAGTGTTCCACGTGGAAGGAAAAGGTGCGGGTGCTCGCCGCTTTTTAAGTCGAGATGGCAATAAACTTATAGAGAGGAGCTAACGGTCATACAGCAGATGTCAAAAACGGACCTGGGGATGGATTTTGGCACAGAGCAGGGGTGGTGACAGGTTGCACAGACGACGTGGGTGCGGTCACCAACATGGACAGTCGAGTCGTGCGGCTGATAGCTGTGTGGGAACGCCAGGAACAAGATTCATCGATGATTCCGTCGAAGCTTCTGATATGACTGTAGTCGACGAGGTTGTCGTTGTCGTTGTCGTTGTCGTTGAACATACATATTGATGCGGCGATGATGTGGTCCAGACAATTGATTTTGGAGTCTAGATCCTTCGCCGTAGTGTCGGCCGGACCATTTCCCCACCACACGCAGACGCATGTTGGCCAAGCGCAGAGATACAACAAGGCCAACAACGACTCTCACCAAGACTGTTCTCGTACAGCTCGTCCTCTTCTCCTATTGACCGGACCGTCAGATCCCAGACCAGGAGTCAAGGGTAAGTGCCAGACTTACAACACATCACCACGGTCTTGCATGCGAGTACATGCTACCCTGGTCCCAGCGAGCGACATGGGACCTTTTCGTCGAGATGCATCTGGACTCTGTGGTGAATATTGCCCACTTTCCTTGCGCATTGATCTCTTATCTTCTTCTATGGGGCATGAGTGGTAGTATATCCTCATCCTGGATTGAGCTTGTACGGTCCGCAGCCAAATTTCAACGGTTCACAGCGCGTCCCCTCAGATCGAAACATCTAACCCATAACCCCACCACTGTCTCCCCTCAGACCTTGGGTCGTCTTTTTCCGTTTGTCCTATTGCTAGGTGCAGGCTCATCATGAGTAAATTCACATCCAGCAAGGCGTCATCGCTGCTTGATGATACAAATCCACCATATCCAGACGCTCAGCGCATGGGAATTCTATCGAGGACATTCAGCTCAAGTCAAGTCATTAGATGGATCATCCCAGCCAGAATCAGGTCTCCCTTCAAGAGTGATGTCGTCTTTGTCGGCGAGACATTTGTTCAACTTCGTGAATTTCTGGAGAATGGCCAGCTGGCAGATGCTACTGCCAAACTGGACTTTGGAACCCAGATCCTTGCCGCAAAGGTGATCTCGGCCAGGGTCGAAGTCGTCCCCGTCGTTGATGCCCTCTTATCTTACGGCCGCGACCAGGAACGCTACATGATCGATGGCCGACCAGTCAAAGGAACCGAGCCGCCACAAATTCTTGTTCTCTGTACGTTTGATAATGAAATGATTTACCTCTATGCAAAGGATGGTCCAGGCGGCGACACAAAGTTCTTTTTTGCAAAGCGCTCTCTCTACCCAGGATTGGTGCTACCAGATAGGCAATGCCAACATATGGCTGTTGACCAAGAGTAAGCAAAATACAGGGGAGCTTGATGACGCAAGCTGACTTTGGCCCAGCTCCCGCGCGCTGGCTGTAGCCTCCTCTTCTGGCTACGTCGCGACCTTTTCCCTTCAAACAATTCATAATGTCAGATCTCAAGTGGATGAGTGGGAACCTCACAAGCCTCGCTCATTTCAACCATGGCACGAGGCAAGTCTCGGACCTCTACAGTGGAGATCGATTACTAACAGATTTAGCAACGTTTTATTCAAGTCGATGGCAGCATTCTGAAAATGGAGTTTCTGCGTAGCTCCGATACTGAGCTCTCCAAGGTCTTACTACTTCTACTGGTTGATTCTGGTGAAGAAACTCACCAGATTCTTTACAAGTGGGACACGAGACATCCATTGCAAAAGATGAGGTCAATGAGCTGCAGTGGCAGGGCGTTGAAGGAGGACCGATTTCCTTTGATGCTGATTCCATCCACGCGACCATATTGCTTCGTTGTGGTGATGGACACCGGCATCAGCTTTTACGAAAATATCCACACGCACGACTTCAAGCGTATTAATTGCCGTTTCATGAAGCCCACAGCTGGTCCTCTGGTGTGGGTGCAGTGGGCAAAACCTCGGCGGCATACCGGCCACCTTGAGAAACGCGACGATCTTTTCATTGTTAGAGAGGACGGAATGCTGCAGCAATTTCTCATTGAGAAAGCGTCAAATCTCAAATTCAACATGAATTTCATCGTGGGATATCTCGATATTAATGTGGATACGGCATTCTGCATGCTAGCAGGGCCGCCGGGAATGGGAGGAGACGTTCTTATTGCTGCCGGCGATATGACTGATGGGGGAGTCTATCATCTCCCAGCTCGAGGTGTTCCAACAAGAATTCAGGTTATTCCAAACCTTGCTCCTCTCCACGACATGGTGATTGGGGCCCAACTTCCTGATCCAGTGCCACAGCATAGCGAGACAGGGCGAGAACAGCCGGAACGACTGTATCTATGCGGAGGCAAAGATGAAGCACATGGCGAGGTTTCAGAACTCCGCTATGGCTTGGAGGCCCAAATGATTTGGACCATGGACTGTCCAGACGCTAACACAATCGATCACATGTCAACGATTGAGGTGCCACTGCAGCAAAAGCTCCTGTTCGTTGCTTCTCACAACACCCACACCACAGTGATAATATTCGACCTAGATACGCAGGAGTCAGAGTTTGCCGATGCCACCAGTCTTCCCAGATTCGACTTTAATAGCGCAACGCTCGCTGTTCGCTTGTTCGCCAACCATTACCTCATTCAAATCACCCACAGCGGTGTTGTGGTCGTCGACATGAGCTCAAAAGATGATGCCCGGGATCATGACATGCAAGATCCAAGGAGCTTCAGCCACGCAGCAATAGCTGACGATGGAACAGTTGCTTTGGTCGTCAGAAATCCTGGAGGATACGAAGTCGAAGTAGCAGCTATCCAACCATGCGAATCAGAAGCCCCAGTCGTAAGGTATGGTCCATCTAACACAATTCTGTCAAGCCTAGGCGAAGTGACTTGCCTTTGCCATGTAATGCATGGCAGTGCATCATTGATCATTATTGGGACAAGCACGGCAAGAGTCATTGGCTACAATGTCAAGCAAGACATGACTTTGGAGCCCGCTTTTGAATCCGACTTGACTTCAGGTGCGTCTGACATTGAAGTCGCGCCGATCGCGTCGCTTGCTGTCCTCAGCCCAGAAGGCTCTAAGTTGAGTCTTCTCCTTGTTGGGCTCCGCAATGGCATCTTGCTCTGTTTGCAATTGAAAATTGGCGGATCCTCAATACCGAGTGCGTGACATGGAAATATCTGTCTTGCTTCGAAAGGCTAATTTTGAGACATTAGATCCAACGCTCTTGAGTCATCGCCGATTGGGTCCAACAACTGTGGACATAATGCCCGAGAAGAATTCCTTAGGCCCTCATCCTCCATCATCAGCACTCGTTCTCTGCCAGAGCCAACTGTATCGGATCACCCTTCATCATGCTACAACCTCGTTGGACTTTACCATGTCGTCGGTCTGGTTGACCAACAGAATAGATGTATGTTTATTTTCTCAACCTCATATTCTGTATTCTCACAGCATTTAGCCTACAGCAGGTCAACCTGACATCAATGCCTCACACCGCATCCCTCAGCTCACCGGTCACTACACAGATCCCGGGGGGTTGCTTGTATGTGCAGGAGATGATGAGCTCTACTTTGCGTCTCTTGTCTCTGAGGAGCATAGTCTTGCAACCAGGCGAAGAGTCGATGGGGTGCCACGGCGAATTCTCTTCTCAAACTCTCTGAACCATTTTGCCATTGCGGTCGAGAAGAGTGTTCGTGTCGACAAATTTTCCATGGATACTTATACAAATCCCAATCCAGGACAACAGATCGGTCTCAAGTCTCCAAACGGCAGCAATTTACAGAGAGCTTCCGGGTTCGAGGATGTGGTTCAAATCAGCCTACAGTTCGCGCGACAAGACTTGGGTTCAACAGACGAAATCGAGCCAATAATTGTGGATGACAAGAATGCTCGGCTCAATGCGATGATTGAATGGCAGTTTCGTGATGGTAAGGATGTGCATTCGTGGATTGTCATGGCTTTGGAACAGATTGAACCGAATGATCATCGCCAGACCGCAGGGCGGGTGATTGCAGTCAACACCAAAAACATCCTACTGGGAGGTAGATCTGTGACACCAAAGGTATTGTATCGAAGCAATGCGGCTCCAGTTACGGCACTATGCGCCTATGGCGTGTCATCGCTCCTCTTCTCGGCAGGTAACGAGCTCATGTTGTTGAAGCTATCCTATTCCAAAAAGCAGAGCGACATTGTGTACAAATATCAATTGCCGTCCCCAGCGAGGTCGATTTCATGCCAGGGGTCTATGATCTTCGTTGCCACTAGCCATCACTCACTGGTGGTGTTGATTGAGAAGGACGAAAAGCTCGAACTGCACAAAACAGACATAAAAGCGAGAAACGCAACTGACGTGGTGGCTTTTGGGGACAATTCGGCGATGCTGTTGAGCTTCGATGATCGAGGCACCCACCTTGTGGCCTTTGCGGGCTTTAACCAAGCTTCAACAAGACAGCCGGTCCCCATCTTTCAAGCAGACCTCCCTCTCCTGATTGATCGAATTCAGTTGCGTCACGATCGAATATCAAGAGGGGGAGCGCACCATCGGTTCTTCGGGTCGACCACGGATGGTACGATCTATCACTTAACCACGATTCAGCATCACGAATGGAAATTACTACACTTCTTGGAGGAACAAAGCCAACTCTACAAACCACCACATAAACCAGCACAGGTGCGAAGGAAGAAGCTCGATGGATCGGGGTACATGTGGCAACCTGCGATGAGACTGACTGATCTCCATGTTCGTGGAGACCGTTTGCTGATGATGGTCGAGCCTGGGCCATACAATCTGCGCCGAGTCCTCAAGAATCAGGACCAGCTGGAACGTTTCCAACAACTGGCTCGGCCTGTCCTGCGTGCAGACGTGGACGATCCTGTGGAAGCTATCACGTGTTGGCTGAGAGGGATCCTGAGGTTTCCTCCGAATTTTCCCTCTTGAGACAAGGGTCAGCCTGGGGGCGGTTGGTGCAGACGGATTTGATGATTAGCCGAACAGATGTCAGGTGAGAGCCCAGGGATTTGGAGACTGGCATTTGAGTAGGCTGAATTCATGATCGTGACATTGTAGAGCACGATGAGTCACCAGAGCGGTGTCAAGCAGCAGCCTGCTGGCAGGGAGACTACGAGAAACATGACTCACTTGTTGAAGGTTGGTTGACTTCGTGCTATAGGCGTTGTTTGGGGCGGCAAGCTGTAAATATAGCAGGCAACAATTGTTAGACTCGTCATGGTTCACTTTAGGCGCACACGGAAGCTGAGTTAGGTTTGCTATGCCCCCAGTGCACCTGTAATATCCTCTGAATGGGGAGCCTTCGGGGCCGAAGGGCGCCTCGGGCTCTGACTCAGGCATGCCTAGGTCCCTGTAGGTTGTGACTGAAATCGCCAAGCCAAATCTTGTCATCTTCTGCACCAACTCGTTTCCCCCACTTGAACATCACCACATCACAGGCCAGAATTTCAATGCCCCACCAAATTCAGTTGGCAATTCCATCTCGCACGACCTCATCCTTAAATCCGACTACCTTTCAAAGGTCCTTCGTCAAAGCCTGCAGATTAACATTGTGGCGAACTTGAACAACTCTTGTTCAAACTAACTAGGCTACTCTGACCTAGGGCCAATCACACAATAGAGACAGACCTACCCTCGCCTCTGCAACTACGACATCCTTACACATCTTCAGTCTTTTCGTTGTCCACCTACGACTTTATGTCGCCGCTTCTCAACCGTGAGCGCCCGATCCTTTTGACATCTTCACCACGCAACTCCTCCATCCTCCAACATGGCTCCTAAAAAGAAGGGCGGTAAGAAGCAGGCAGATGACTGGGAAGCCGAGCTGGGTGAGACAATCGATCCCATAGCGGAAGCAACAGAAGCCGCAAAGAAGGCAGAGCAGGCCGAAGATGCGGCTGATGACGCTGGTGCTGCACCAGGTGGTCTGCTGGCTGCCCTGAGGAAAAACAAAGACAAGAGAGCCAAGAAGGGCAAGACTGCACCCAACGATTTTGTTGATGGCGAGGATCCAGATGCCGCCATCTCAACCCCTCCCGCCACGGACCTTGACGCCAAAGCACCCACAGAGGCAACCTTCGATGATGAAGATGACATTTTCTCCGGACCTATTAAGAAGGGTAAAGGTGGCAAGAAGGCCGAACAGCCCGCCCCACCCGCAGACAAGGATGAAGAAGAAGGTGGCCTAAAATCCAAGAAGGAGAAAGAGCGGGAGAAGAAGGAGCGTGAAAAGGCGCGAAAGAAGGAACAGGTAAGGGTCTATATGGGACGAATTTGTGTACGAGTTTGCGTACTGACACCTTCTTAGGCAGCGAAGAAAAAGACGACGGGCCCTGCCTCTACACCTGCTCCTGCTGCGAAGCAAGAGCCCGTCAAAGTTGTTGAAGAAGAGAAACCCGCCGCTGCCGCGAAGGACGACAAGGCCGGTAAGAAGAAGAAGGTCCCTGCAGCTCTCGCAGCTCTCCAGAAGCAGCAAGAAGCGTTGGCTCGACAAAGAGACGAGCAGGCAAGGCTAGAAGCCGAGGAGAAGGCCGCTGAGGCAGAGCGAATCCGCTTAGAGGAAGAAGAGGAGAAGAAAAAGGCCGAGATCAGACAACGAAAGAAGGAAAAAGAAAAGGAGAAGAAGGAGCAGCTTAAGAGAGAAGGCAAATTCATGTCCGAGGCCGATCGGAAACGCAAACAGCAGACTGAGCTTCGACTGAAGCAGATGCTCGAATCAGGCGCCAAGGTGGCCGGACTGGCAGAAGATGGAGAGGAGAAGAAGAAGAGTGCGCCCAAAGACAACAAGAAGCGAAAGGGTCCCAAGAAAGAGGAGGTCGACCTTGAAGCTGCGGCGGAGAAAGCCCGTCAAGAGGCTGAAGCTGCCGAAGCAGAGCGGCAACGACTCGCCAAAGAAGCCCAGGAAGCAGCTGCTAAAGCAGCAGAATTGGCGGCCGCGGGGGATCGAGGCGACTCATCTGGGATTGAAGATTGGGAGCAGGCTGCAGACGAGACTGTCAAGGACAGCTGGGATGCTGACTCTGACGAAGAGGCAGCAGCAGCTGTGGTACCAGTCACCAACGGCGATGCGGCCAAGCCTGCCACCAACGGTACCGCTGCACCTGCATCTGATTCGAAGCAACTGCCGATACGCGACCGACCTATCGAGTCAGATAGCGAAACTGAAGACTCGGGCGAGACATCGTCATCCGATGAAGAAGGTGGAACTTCGACTCAACGTGCACTGGCCAAGAGAAAAGCGGATGCAGCAGCTCGGAGACAGAAAGCACACGAAGAAGCGCTAGCCGCGAGATCAAAGGATAACCTCCGATCACCGATTTGCTGTATTCTTGGACACGTCGATACCGGTAAGACGAAATTGCTTGACAAGATCCGACAAACCAATGTGCAAGAAGGAGAAGCGGGTGGAATTACGCAGCAGATTGGTGCTACATACTTCCCCGTGGATGCTCTGGAGAGCAAGACGGCTGTTGTCAACAAAGATGGGTCGTTTGAGTTCAAGGTCCCTGGTCTGCTCGTGATCGATACTCCTGGCCACGAGTCTTTCTCCAATTTGCGGTCGAGAGGCTCGTCCCTTTGCAACATTGCTATTTTGGTGGTGGACATTATGCACGGTCTAGAGCAGCAGACGATTGAGTCGATGAACTTGTTGCGAGACCGCAAGACACCTTTCATTGTGGCGTTGAACAAGATCGATCGTCTGTACGGATGGAAGAAGATTGACAACAACGGGTTCCAAGACAGTTTGGCTATGCAGAACAAGGGTGTCCAAAACGAATTCCGCGATCGTCTGGAGCAGACCAAGCTTGCGTTTGCCGAAAAGGGCTTCAACGCCGAGCTTTTCTACGAGAACAAAGACCAACGAAGATATGTGTCACTGGTGCCTACCTCGGCGCACACAGGTGAAGGTATTCCAGATATGCTCAAGCTCCTGGTGACATTGACACAAGAGAGAATGACGTCGAGTCTCATGTATCTGTCCGAGGTTGAGTGTACTGTACTTGAAGTCAAGGTGATAGAAGGCTTGGGCACGACAATCGATGTCATTATTTCCAACGGTATTCTTCGAGAGGGCGATCGAATTGTGTTGTGTGGTTTGAATGGGCCGATTGCGACCAACATTCGAGCACTGTTGACCCCGGCACCACTCAAGGAACTCAGACTCAAATCGCAGTATGTTCACAACAAGGAGGCCAAGGCGGCGCTTGGTGTAAAGATTGCAGCCAACGATCTAGAAGGAGCCATTGCTGGATCGCGTCTTCTCGTGGTGGGACCTGAAGATGACGAGGAAGACCTGGAAGACGAAGTCATGGCAGATCTCCAGAACCTCCTCAGCAAGGTGTCCAAGGACAATCGCGGTGTGAGTGTGCAAGCATCAACCCTGGGTTCATTGGAGGCACTGTTGGAGTTCCTTCGCGAGATGAAGATTCCCGTGGCCAACATCTCAATTGGACCTGTGTTCAAGCGAGATGTGATGATGGCGGGTACGATGCTGGAAAAGGCGAAACAGTTTGCCGTCATGCTTTGCTTCGATGTGAAGGTAGACAAGGAAGCACAACAGTACGCGGATGAGAACGGCATCAAGATCTTCACCGCGGACATTATCTACCACTTGTTTGACAATTTCACAGCTCACATGGCCAAGATCCAAGAGCAGAAGAAGGAAGAGAGCAAGCTGAATGCGGTGTTCCCGGTTGTGTTATCACCACTGCAGGTGTTCAACAAGAAAGATCCAATTGTGGTTGGTGTGGATGTGATTGACGGCAGTCTGCGGGTGCACACGCCCATTGCAGCGGTGCGAACAAACCCAGTGACCAACGTCAAAGAGATTGTCAGCTTGGGACGAGTGTAAGTGAACTAATTTTGTGTGATTTATGATACATGCTGACCCAGGAATTACAGGACATCGATTGAAAGAGAACACAAGGCCATCCCTATATGCAAAAAGGGACAGCCGTCGGTGGCAGTTAAGATCGAGGGACCCAACCAACCGATGTATGGTCGACAGCTGGAAGACAAGGACACACTGTACTCGCTTATTTCCCGAACCTCAATCGACACATTGAAAGAATTTTATCGGGACGAGGTGACGAAGGATGAATGGGTATTGATCAAGAAGCTCAAGCCTCTATTCGACATCCCGTAAGGGTTGATGCTGCAAAAGGGGAGTGCTTGACGAGCTGATGAACTCATGGCTACTGCGACATCTCTGGGTAGTCCTCTCGGCAATGAGCCACATGTGTCAATGGGAATAGATAAATTATGTGTGAAAAAGTACCAAGTGACTCATTTTAAGTAATGTTTGATGATTATAGACTGGAGAGATGAGTATATGTGTATGTGTCATGGGATGAAGATTGTAATGCCACGTGATTGATATCGAGATTGACACGTGTGGGCCAATGCGGCTCTGTAGATATCGTCACTAAAAAAATGCCACTGCCGCGACTGTTTGCCCATAGAATTTTATCTGCGGATAACTCCGGCGCAAGGTCAAAGTGTCGCCATCCGGCACACGCTGAACCGACGGCAGCTGCAGCTTCTTGCCTCGGCGGTCAGCCAATCAGAAGGACTGTTTAATTTCCTTGATGGCGGAGACCAATTGTATCGTCAAATCAAGAGCCTCGTTACACTTGTTACTTCTCGACTTAGCAAGCACTTTCGATCTCATTTGGCGTCTCTGCTTTGGTGATGGGATGGATAGGACAAGATGGATGGCCTGCCTCTCTCCTTGTTGTAATTCCCAGTGGCCTGTTGTGTCTGTTCATGGTACCTAGTTTTGAGGGATACGATGAACCCACAGCCTAGACCCTCTGACCAGACCACACGCTGCACCTTCCTGATCTTTGCTTCTCTAGATAGACCAGCCTCCAAAATGATGACTCTTCTGATGACTGTCACGTACTTAGATACCTACATAGAATTCAAAACTCTCTTCATTATTAATTATACCTAACCTTCTACACTTCTCCTCTCTGAGATAGCAAAGACTTTCTTTCAACAGCCAAGAGCACCACTTTTGACCCAATATTGGGTTTCTCTTGTTATCAAGACTAAGTAACCCGTTTCCCACGGAGCGTTTAGCCCTCGGCACCCCTGGCTGTCTTCCCCGGGCCCTCCAGCCAAGCAGTTTAAGCGGTGTGGTCGCAATCTTGCAGTGGTTCCCAACACCCCCAACCCAAAAACTTTGGCTAATCTATCATAATAATTCTCCATCTCTTCACCACCTCGATAAACCACCCTTTTCCCTTCCCTTGGTCCTCCAACAGACGACTGCCTCTCCCAACAGTCGTCCCGGGTCGACTTGCACTCGTTTGGAACACCATATACCCGGTGCTTGCGTGTTTGGGTGCTGTACTACTGCACCCTCACTCACACCCTCACCACCGCTATCGCGTCGAATCCTTCGCAGCTTGATCGCCGCCCACCGAATAAACTCCCCTCTGGCCCTGTCAGGCACCGCAATCCGATTTGACAACCACCATCACTTGCCCAGACAAGCGCGAGACGCCTGAGAGCCCGTGACACGCCTCGCCATCAAATCATTCGCTTTCCTCAGCATGAATTCCATTGAGAATGCGAGCTTCGTCTCGCCCCTCGCCAACGCAGATCTGAACCTGCAGCATCAGCAATCCTTCGGTTTCCTGGAGAGAATTTGGAGTCAACTTAATGCCTGGACCATCTTCTTCACCATCCTCGCCTTGTGTGCTGCATACGATCAGTGTAGTTACCAATACCAGAAATATGGAATCATCGGCCCAGCCTGGAAGATGCCCTTTATCGGGCCCTTCCTCGAGTCAATGCGACCTGATTTTACCAAGTACAAGCAAAAGTGGGAAAGTGGCTCCCTGAGCTGTGTTTCCGTCTTTCACAAGTATGTTGCCGATAGTCTTCTGCCATGATTCCACTAACTTGTGTCTAGGTTTGTCGTCATTGCTTCAGACCGTGAACTTGCCCGAAAGGTGTTCAACTCTCCAGCCTTTCTCAAACCGACCGTCGTCGACATTGCCCCCAAGATCCTCCGTCCTACCAACTGGGTCTTTCTCGATGGAAAAGCCCATGTTGACTTTCGAAAGGGTCTTAACGGCCTCTTCACCCGTCAGGCGTTGGAGATGTATCTCCCTGGACAAGAGGAGGTCTACAGCAAGTACTTCAAGGAGTTCTTGCAAATGTCCAAAGACAACGACAACAAACCCACTCCGTGGATGCCCACCTTCCGAGAGCTCATGTGCGCCGTGGCCTGCCGAACATTTGTTGGCCACTACATGAGTGAGGCCACCGTCAAGAGAATCGCACATGAGTTCTACTTGGTCACTGCCTCCCTAGAGCTGGTCAACTTCCCCATCATTCTCCCTTTCACCAAAGCCTGGTATGGAAAGAAGGCTGCCGATTTCATCTTGGAAGAGTTCGCCAAATGTGCCGCCAAATCAAAGGTCCGCATGGCCGCGGGCGGTGAGATCACATGCATTACGGATGCGTGGGTCAAACAAATTCAGGATTCTGCCAAGTACCGTGAGAGGATTGCTCGAGGCGAACAGGTGGATGCATCTGAGAAACCTCCTCAGGTGCTCCGCGAGTTCACAGACTTTGAAATCTCTCAGACCGTCTTGACGTTTCTCTTTGCATCCCAAGATGCCACTTCCAGCGCTTGTACTTGGCTATTCCAGATTATGGCCGATCGACCAGAGTACTTGGACAAGGTTCGCGAGGAAAATTTGAGACTGCGAGGTGGTGATCGTAACAAGCCTTTCGATATGGATATGCTCGAGTCCATGGTCTGGACTAGGGCTGTTGTCAAGGAATGCCTCCGATACCGACCACCAGTCATTTTCGTTCCCTATGTCGCCAAGAAGGATTTCCCAATCACTCCCGACTACACCTTGAAGAAGGGATCCATGGTTATTCCTGCCGTTTGGCCCGCAACCCACGACCCTGAAGCATACCCCAACCCTGATAGCTACGAACCTGAGAGATGGATCACAGGCGATGCGGACAAACAGGTCAAGAATTGGCTGGTGTTTGGAACTGGACCTCACTACTGTCTGGGACAGACATATGCTCAACTCAACCTCATGGCAATGATTGGCAAGGCCAGTATCTTGATGGATTGGGTGCATGAACCCACCCCCATCAGTGAAGAGATTGAAGTTTTTGCAACCATTTTCCCTCAGGTATGTTTGAACGTTCCCTACTCACCGCATCATGATTGACTAACTTTCTTGTCAGGATCACTCCAAGTTGAACTTTACGGAGCGAGCATAGATTTGGGCGTTCATTGATTTATTGATACCCCAGACTTAGACCATGCTTCTGGAGAGGATGAGACTATTGGATTTGGTGCCCACGTAGTGATTAGCGTCATTGCCTTGCTGGCTATGACTCAGTCGCCAAGCAGCCTCTGAAATCCTAGAGTGGGTGTTGGCCGAGTCAGGAACGGCCAGGAATTCTTCCTCGAGGTGACTTGTTGGGATTTGTGCTTTGTGTAATACCCTTGGGTATCCAACACGGCCAGACCTGACACACGAAGCCGCCAGGTAAATATTAATTTGTACATAGAATGGCGTTCTGTACCTTGCAACGGGTGGGGAGCTTGGATAGCTCATTAATGAAAGTCAACACATCGCACAAAGACTGGAGACTGCAGCATGGGCGTGGATGCCTCCGTAATCAACCCCCCAGCGTACTTTCCCTCTGAATCTCTTATCTTCATATCACATACAAGAACAGGAAAGAGCAAACCAGGAAACGACCGATCCTTCCTCAAAAGGAAACAAGCCTCAGCCTTGAGAGTCAAATCCGACGTCATGTCAGCCTCGTCAACATTTGGAGGTAAGAACCATGCACATCCACACATCATCTCCGCGTATTCTCCGCGTTCCTCGACTCTTGGACCCAACTCGATTTCGTATCCTCCCACTCCTCCAACATCTGGATTCATCCCTCGGCGATTCGTGAAATCGAAAGGCGTAGGTGGGACTTGTGTTGTTCAATCTCTCGTTGTTGAAACACAGCCCTAGTCATTATTTGCAAGATATAAAAAGTCACTGCTGAGACCAACAAACTGGGAGAGTCTTGGGATGACCAGTACCACTTCCCTACTCAAGTATTCATTCCCTCCACTATGCCCAATCCTATGTCTCCACCTTTAAGCAGAACGCTCGTCAAGGCTTGTACACAAACAACTGTCCCAAAGAGATTCTTCTCTGTGAGCAGATCCAACAAGTCTGATTTCACCCATGCTGTAAGTCTTCGAATATATGTCCTCCTCTGGAAATTAATCTCTCTTGGACTACGCCGCTCTCCCGCTCTTCCTCCCTCTTCTAAAGTCATGCCATGAGCTTTGTCTCACCATCGTGCACATAACCAGGTCATCGGCGGCGGGGCCGTAGGACTGGCGATCGCTCGCCAACTCGCAAAGCGGAGCGGTACAAGCACCGTTCTAATCGAACAACATGGCACCGCGGGAACAGAAACCAGTTCTCGCAACAGCGAAGTGATCCACGCGGGGCTATACTATGGACCTGACAGTCTCAAGACTCAGCTATGTATCCGCGGGAAACATCTACTATACGAATTGGCAGAGAAACACCAAATCCCGTTCCGGGCTACCAAGAAATGGGTCCTCGCACAAGACGCCCAGCAGATGGAACAATTGGACTTGCTACACAAGTTCTCAAAGACCATCGATGTGCCGACGCAATTCTTGACCCGAGAGCAAATCGCCACACAAGAGGATGATGTTCGCGCCGAGGGCGGAGTTCTCGAATCCCCAACCACAGGCATCATCGACTCGCACGCCTACATGACCTATCTCGAAGGAGACCTCCAAGAGCTTGAGGGTGAAGTCATCTACAACACACGGGTGACGGGTCTGGAAGCCATAGGACCTGGAGGTGGTGACAGCGGTGACGGGAAACATGGATACCGGATTTCAACACGGACTCGCGACCAGAGCAATCAGAGCGACGGCGACGATGTCAGCATCACAGTCGACACGGTGATCAACAGCGGTGGACTTGGTGCCATCTCCATATCCAACATGCTCCTCCCCCCCGAACGGCATCGTACCCCTTTCTACGCCAAGGGCACATATTTTTCCTACGCTGCATCACATCCCAAACCCCAAACTCTTCTCTATCCCGCACCTGTACCTGGCCTAGGCGGCCTCGGCACGCACTTGACGCTCGACATGGCGGGACGAGTACGATTTGGCCCAGATGTGGAATGGGTCGACGATCCGACGGACCTCAGTCCTAGTCCGGCCCGTCTCGACGCCGCCGTCGAAATGATACGCTCGTATCTCCCTGGCATTCAGCGAGATGCCATCGATCTAGATTATTGCGGCATCCGTCCAAAGTTGTCAAAAGGCTCCAGCGGCACTTTTGGGAAAGATGGTACTGGTTTTGAAGATTTTTACATCGTTCACGAAGACGGCTTTCAGGGATTCGTCAATCTTCTTGGTATCGAAAGTCCTGGTCTTACGGCTTCGTTGGCGATTGCTGAAAAGGTGGATGCAATGCTGTATGGGTGATGATCGAGGAGAATACGACGATTTAATTGAGGAGAACATGTAAAGTGTTAAGCAAGCCCTGATACGGTGGTTTTGGATAGGAGAATCCGAGCGATATCAGCATTAGTCCCACTTTGTAAATTGCGGACAGTGTCCATCTTCTTATGATCTATATGTGAATAATGGTACATGGAATTTATACAAGAGGCGAGTTTTATCTCATGTCGTCAACCATCTCTTACTTCCCCGATGCCTCCAACATATCTTGAACATGAGTGAATTTCTCTCTTGGCTTCCCCTTGATATGTCCAGTTTTCTTCTCAACATCATCAATTTGTCGCCAATTATCCCAATAGACAGGTCGAGGGGTCAAGTTCAAGGTTTTGGCATCTTGAAGGACGCCTTCCCAGCCGAGTCGCTTAGGACTAGTTGTCGCTGATGGGGTCGGCGACGCTGCCGCCGATTTCCAGTCTTCGACTATCGCCTCGGCTGTTTGGAATGCATCGCTCATTGTTGATGCAATCACACCTGTTGGACCTCGCTTTACCCAGCCAGAACAGTAGAGTCGTGGCGAGGGGGGGCTCGTTTCACTAGAGGAAGATGATGAATTAGAAGTGATAGGTCCGATCCGACCCGTTCCATCATGGCTAATTGTGCCTTTACTCTCATCAAAACTGGCACCTAGCTCTTCCATGCCTGGAATTGCCTCTGCTTTATATCCAATCGATCGAAACAACGTCGTCGTCGGAATCGTATGTGTTTCATCCATCGTCGCCACCGGAGACCTCGGTGAATCCGGATCGGCCAATTTCGTCCGTGAGAACGTCACGCCCGATAATGTCGATTTCTCACCCCCTTCCAATATTGACCACTCCAGTTGTTTCGGAGCCAGCAAAAAATCCAACGACCATGATTTCGTCGCATCCTTCTTCACAGGACTACCCTTGATGAGAAGTTCCATGATTCGTCGTTTCGGACGAGGAAGGGCCGTAAGATCCGGTGGGAAGAGATCGCGAGGGATAGGTGTGAAATTGATGTCTTCGAGATGGAGAAGTTCTCGAACTTCTTTAATCGTGAATGCCGCTTGTAACGGTCCTCGTCGCCCAACGACATGCACGTGTTTGATTTTAGATTGTGATAATGCTTGTAATGCGTGGTCGGTGATGTCGGTTTTTGAGAGGAGTTCTGTTTTGCTCAGCAGCGTGCGGGCCACGTCTAAAGCGACGTTTCCTTGTCCGACGACAATGGCGGTTTCGCCGGCTTGGAGATCCGGGTTTAGGTCGCGATATTCAGGAAGACCGTTGTACCAGCCGACAAAGGCCCGGGCGGAGTAGATGTGTGGATTGTCTTCTCCTTCGAGTCCGATCTTGCGGTCTTTGGATGCACCATAGGCGAATACAATGGCGTCGTAATGGTTGGAGAGGAGGCGGAGGGGGAAATCAGTACCGAGGTGGACGTTGCCGATGAAGGTGTAGTCGGGAGAGGAGGCGACATCTTGGAAGGTGTCTTGACAGTTCTGAATGGATGACTAGTAAGCGTTTGCTGGCAAGTAAAGTGGTTGTAAGAGAGGCAGTCTTCTTCTTGTTCTTCTTCTCCATACCTTGACTTCAGGATGGTCTGGAGCAACTCCAAAGCGAACAAGACCAAATGGCACAGGCAACTGCTCATACATATCCACCTTTGTGCCTTGAACCTCACGCATCAACTTCTGAGCCGTGTAGAAGCCGGCAGGGCCGGAGCCTATAATGGCGACCCGTGGACTTGGGCCATGGTATTCGACTTTCGCCGAAGTATACCATCGGAGGTTGAATCTATTGACTGGACTTCGCTGAATCTGAATTGCTGTTCGTGTCGCGAAGGTTGTTAAAGGCGTAGGAGTCCGCGTGAGGAATCGCATGGCCGCCTGGATGGTCGTGTGCCATTACCTGTTCATCCTTGAAAGACAATGAGGGTCAATGGCATAGCCTGGTATTTGGTGTAGGTGTGGAGAAATAGCGGCGTTGACTCATAGTCTGCGTTGGGAAAACATTCCTGGTTGTCGATGCATTTCTCGGATGCAATGAGACGTCATCCGAAAGGCGGGGTGATCGTTGTAGTTCTCCGTAGTGAGTAGAGGAAAGTATAGTATTGTCAAGTGCATTATCTTTCGCCGCCATTCAGTGAGACACCAAGTACCTAGTAATCATTAATAGCGTAACATTGATAAAGGTGGATCCTCAAGAAGGCAAAATTACTGTAAGATATTTAAATAGTAGTCTTGCTAACTAGTATGCGCTTCTGCCGACGAATAGGCTATGGTCCGTCATGCATATCTGACAACCTAGGAGTCTGTTCTTTGGTGACATATCTTAGAATTCCCTTCCGCCCAACATTACGGCTGCCACTCATGAGCTGGGAATATGTAATAATTACAGACTGATCATCTATGGGCCCCGACTAGTACATGTATTTGTGCATGGTGGAGGCAACAACACACACCATCCAGGCAGCCAGGGGTGATCACTCTAGGCAATCTCCCAGTAAGACAGGGGCCCGATGCTTACCCTGCCGAATACGCGATGTTGTCAAGAGAACTCAAGTTTGTTTTAGTGAAATCCCAGATCAGATGAAGAGGAGTCAATCTTTGCGAGTCCTAGATGTTGAAAACAATATCAATGCTTTCATTAGCATTTGCCATACCGAGTGCTTACGACCTATCCCACTGTCGATTTCTCGATGAAATTCTTCGATCAACCTTGAATCCACGTTGGGCATCTGACTAGAATGGAGTGCCTTCCATGTCCCGTACTACCCAACACCGGAGAACCATTTTGAGAGTTGGCATTATGCAGCTGAGGGCGAACTCTTTCCTCCAGTGATATGTTGTTCAATGACTGATTGGTCTCCCTCGGAATCCAGTCTCTGTCGCTGTTGAGGAGGAACGAAAGTGCTATTTCGGTGCTCTTTAATGGTAGAGCATGGGTAAAATTTATGGTGCAAAGAATCAAATCTTGGACTGGACATAGTTGACTGGACTGGTTCAGCTGCTCGGTAGGTTGTTCTCGAACTCTGCGTCACAATTTGATGGGCTCGTTGTGCAGATCGTGATAGGTCGTTTGGTTTGGATAAATAGTTCAAACTGAACTGTTATACTGGAATCTCAAGCTCCTAGTTCAGCCTCCATCTCTTTCATCTTGAGTTCTCTTGACTTCCGAGCCTGCTCGTAGTAATAGTCGAACTTTCTCTTATTTGCTTCTGCCTTCAGTGCCTTTTGTCGTTGTCTTCTCCTCCTGGTTCGATTGTCTGACCATGCCGAAAAGTCGTGGAATGGATACAAGATCTGGAGCTGGAAAGAGCCAAGAAGACTCTTGAGCGTGGTGAACATTGTTGACCAAGAATCTAGACCAGTCGATACAAGCGAGGAAATCTGGGAAGTCGGGTATTTATCATCTCATGCAATGCAGCCCTGCTCAGGCGAACGGGGCGCCTCGGGCGTGCCATTGGTATAGCCAGAAGATTCTGACCTCAGCCCAGGATTGTGGGCGGGGAACCAATCTTTGCTCACGCCTCCGTAGATTCTCATATTCCTACCTGTTTTCATCTGGAGCATTGTCAAAGTAAGCCAATTGAGGGCCAAAAGAGTGTCAGATCTCGTAAACACGTGGTCCTCTAGGAGTCATGAGGCATTTCTCGGAAATTATGGGCCTCCGACATCCGCAAAAACTCAGATTTATGCAGGATCCGAACGAGCCGCACGAAAACCCGAACGCCGATCTTGGGCAGATTTTACCAGCCTCACCACCAATGGTACTTCTGTCGGAGATGATACTACGAATGATCTGTAGCAACGTCGTCATATGAATATGGAGGCGTTCTGAAAATATGGTCATTCGTAAACTTTCTGTCCAACAAGGTGGAGGAATATGAAAGATTTTAAAAATCTAAGCATCCCGTTAGATGCTTATTAAAGCGGATGGTTCCGCCTTTTCCAGTGGAGGCGAAATTCGGGGGATACTTTAGTCCGAAAGAGAATGTATGCTACCGTGAACAAAGACTAGCAAAGACTAGCAGGATGCGATATGCAGCCTTGTCGCTGGTGGTCGCGTTAACCACACGCGTCTGTCCGAACTCTATGAATATAGGGTACCTGCGTATCCAGACGCGGAATGAAAGGCAGATACTTTGGCAGTGCTTGAACGGATGAATAGTTCTACTGTTGTGCACATATCTCTGTTAGAGTATCCTGTTTATTAACTTCTTGTACTGATATAGCACAGTTTTGGTTTTGCAGATCATAGCAATCAACCTCAGCATAAGTTTGAGGCTTTCTTGGATTCGATGCGCAAATCACGTTTCCCCAGTCTCCTCGATTTAAAAAGCAATGCCTGTCAACATTGTCAGTTAGGAATATCGTGCAGAGCCATTGAACCACTCACCTCCGTCCACCAGAAGACTCTGGCCTGTGATATTTCTCGACCCTGGTCCAGCGAGGAAACTAACCAGTGCCGCAACATCTTCAGGTGTCTGGACGAATTGTCAGTCAGATCCTTCTTCAGGGGGTCTCAAACGTACCGATGCTCGCTTGAAAGCCGATCGAGTCTCAACGGATTTATCAAAAGCCTCACCTTTGGCAAGGCCCTGCTTTTTCCCGATAGCCTCGTCCAGGACTTCCCACATCTAAACGACATCAGTCAGCTCGATACCCTTTGCTTGTTTCATAGCTATTCTTACCGGAGTATCAACCGGACCCGGGCAGTATGCTGTCATACACATCAGCTCCTTGCATTCCCTCGACTGTTTACAGGAATGAACTTGCCATTGACCTGGACATGTCAGCATCGCAATGATCCATTGGAACATGCAAACAACAAACTCACATTTATATCATGAGGGGCCAGTTCCATTGCGGTGGATTGAGTCAACCCACGTACAGCCCACTTGCTGGTTGGGTAGGAAATGGCGCCGGGCGACTGTGCAAGTCACTATTAGTGCTCTTGCGGTGGTCCGACTGCTTCATACTCACCGGTCGATATCCTGCAAGAGAAGAAGCTCCGATGATCTTGCCTCCTTTACCCTGCTTGATCATTTGCTTGGCTTGAGGCGGTCAGTCTCGATAGTTACACCGATTCATTCTACCTTATACGTACCTGCTTCACGATAACAAATAAACACACCCACAACATTTACCTATTTGCTGTTTAGCTGTTGTATAGAATACCTTTATTGCAGACCAGATGAATGCAAGTTCAACACGTACATTGAGAACTTGAGTGAACTGCGCCGTTGTTGTCTCGACGAGACTATTCGGGATCACAATGCCAGCATTCGCCACGAAGACCTGACCATTGCCGTTACTTACCAGCTGATGAAACCTCATATTATCCAACCGAAAAGCCCGGACAGTATACTCACATTGAGCTCTCCTAATTGATCAACAGCCTTTGCGATCATGGCCGATACTTCCTCGTCATTTGTAACGTCTGCACAGCTAACTATAGATCGGCGGCCTGTTGCAATCACAAATGGGTTTATTAGTAATGGTTTTTGTGGAAAGACAATTGCCTGCTCGAAGTCCATTTCTCCTTATTGAGTGCTCCATTCTTTCCACCCACCTTTGGCTTCAACCTCAGACTTGACTTTCTCCAAGAGGTCTTTCTGGCGGTCCAGATCATTGAGCTTTGATGCGATAGAAATTGACGTCAGTATATTGTGTGTCTCTTCGTCGCCGTCTGTGTTCAATCACGAGGGAGATGAGGACAAGACCATACCGCGACATCCATCCCATCATCTGCTAATCTCAAAGCGATGGCGCGACCCAACCCGCGCGATGCGCCTGTGACGATTGCAACCGGTGCCATAGTATTTATTCCAACAACAGCTGCTCTTCGTGGCTGATGGCAGCTTGAGAAGATTAGGATGATTCACTTCACGGGTTCGCTTTCTGGATGGTCGGCTTGAGGTGGAAGTACAGCAACTCTGGTCGTGATGTTGACGGGCGCTATCTATCTAACTGCACAAGTAATAAACGCCATCCAAGTTATCCAAGCATTACAGTATGCCCTCGGGCCATGGAAATCCTTTCATCGAATGAATCTTCTAACCGGTCTCCAGAGCTAATATCGGTACAGGCGGGTCATGGACCGACTGCCGATCAAGTTGCTATGCCGTTGTCCCGCACTTTTGTGAGTCGACACTATTTTTGCGGGGTTTCGGTATGTCTCTCCAAACCAGCAGACGTTCGGTACAAGAAGTTCGGCGTGATTCAGAATCTAGTGCAACGTTCCCAGTCACAATGTACGGTTACTGGCAAGGTCAACGAGCATCTTAATATATAGATTCAAAAGAATATCAAATATCTATCTAAAAAGGATTCCATTTTCTACATCAATAGCAAGGATGTTCAGCCTCGTTGAGCGGATCAGGATTGTCCAGGTACCATGTTGGATTATCCCCTGTCTCTCTGACCGAGAATCCATTGCCCAAATATCGAAAGCGATTCGCCGAATCATATGTATATTCGTAGTCTTCACCTCTGAAGTTCTCCATCATGTGGAACCAATGGATCCGACTACCAGCATGTAGTGCAATGATAGGTCCATCTATTGTTCCATTCTTGTACCAGGAGCGACAAGCACCTGCCCATACCGTTCGGGGCAGGAATGCATGGGCAAAGCCGGCGAATTCGTTGACAGCAGCTTCTTTCGGTGCCACCGAGACGATGCATTCCGTTTGCCATTTCTTGAGCACCACGACAATATATCGAGCAACTTGCTCCGCAATTGTCATGATACTGCCATGGCCTGCAGGGGAGTTGGGCCCCATAAAGACTGGGAAACTGTCAGTGTTTTGACCTTGCGCCTCATGCTTTCCAAGACTTACGAAAATAGTTAGGCATGTGTGCTACTGCACAAGACATGTAAGCTGCAGGCAGTTGCTTTGCCCATATGTCCTGAAGATTACCATTTCGACCGATAATGGGAAACCGTGGTCGGAAAGAGACATCGAACCCTGTGGCGCACACGATGGCATTAACCTCGATTAATTCCCCAGTTGAAGTTATAATTCCTTCTGGAACCACTCGAACGATCTTATCAGTAATCACTGAGACGTTAGAGGCAGTCAAAGATTCAAGGTATCCCGGACCAGGTGTCAGGCGTCGACATCCAGCTGTAAAGGTTGGGATGATTGCCTTGATCAACTTTGGGTCGTGTTTTAACGTTGCACTCATGTTCTCGGTCAGGGTCACGGTAAGATCTTTTGCGAGACCTTCATTGTCAACGAGAACCCTGAATAGGCCATTAACTTGTTCTTCTGTCGCCTTGATAAATGACTTGTAGTAGATTGGGTCGTCTCTGAAACGCTGGATTTGCTGTTGTGTAAATTTGCTACCATCCATGACAGCTCCTCTCAAAATCTCGACAGAACTCTTTGTAAGGAGTCTATCTGTCTGCGGCGGGAGGATCCATGTAGGTGAGCGGACGAAGTGGAATAAGTTTGTTACGTCTAAACTAATGGTCAGTTCTGAATTCATGAAATCCAAGCCTGGGACATCAAACTCACCTGGTTGAAGTGCTGGCACAATTTGAACTCCTGACGAACCATTGCCAATGACTGCGACTCTTTTGTTGTGGTAATCAAAATCTTTCGACCAGGCAGCGCTATGAACCAAATCGCCTTTAAAGTCTTTGAGACCGGGTATGTCGGGCCATTTCCAATTACTAGACATCGTTAGTGAGTTACTCGAAGGAACGACCTGACGGCCATACTTCAGGACGCCTGTGGCATTCAACAGAAAATGACAAGAGTCCAATACCATCTCACCAGTCTTGAGATTCAGTATTTCCAACTCCCATTTTCCTGAAGCCTCGATCCATTGCGCATGCGATACCTGGTGGGAGAGCTTGATTTCCGGTCGCATGTTTTCGGCATCGCACAGATCATAAAGATACGCCTCGATTTCTGATGAAGGAGCTGAGAATTGAGACCATGCCGGGTTGGTCCTCCAGGAGAATTGGTAGTTGTGCGACGGATGATCGCACTGACAGCCAGGATAGGTGTTTTCAAACCAAGTCCCACCGACTTCAGGGTTCTTCTCATAGACAGTATGTTCATAGTTTATCAAGCTTTTGCGTAGCCTTCTGATCATGTTGAGGCCACTGACACCAGCCCCGATGGTGATGATCTTGATGTGGCGTGCAGTGCCCATTGGTTCCTCCATGATAGGAAACCCTCCATCCAATGGTTGTTCTGGTGTATACGACCCCATCCTGACCAAGTCTGGGCTTCAAGTTGTGAAGTGAAAGAATGTCCTGCGGTCTCCTCGCTAGAGCCATGGTGGTGTACTCCTTCATCTGCCATATATGAGACCCTTTCGCCTTGTCCAAAGGACTGTGGTAAGACCATTGAAAGTGGATGCGTTGAGAGCGGTACTCGTACAATTGTTCAGGGGAGAGGAACAGGTGCGGTAGTCGGCAGCCCACCCCAGTACCGAGAACCGCTGAGCCGATGCGGAGGCGAGTTTTTGCTGTGTCCAACCCCGCAACTCCTCACTCGATCATCAGTGGCCCGAGGCCGCCCTCGTGCTGGCGGCTGATGGTTCGGAAAGCTTACATGTGAGCTGGCGATATGCTGGCTAGCTAATGAAGGACGATTGGTCAGTTGGAGCTGATATAATTTCTTCCGCAATTGAAGTGTCGAATCGCATGTCGCCGAAGTCAAAATCGAAGGTGTCGTCAAAAGCCCAATTCTCAATAGGGGTGAATATGGGGCCGTTGACGCCAACTCCGGCATTCTGAGAGAAAGGTTCTATCGTCTGCCCACTGGATGGCCCGAAAGGCGACTTAGGAGTCGAGGTATCGACCGTGACGGTGTCATCTTTATTTAGTTGCGGATACGTGGTGTGCTTCGAGCCAATGCCGAAAGGGTCTGGAAGATCTCTTGAGACACGCTCGCAGCGTTCGAGGTTCTTGAGGATGAGGTTTGAGCTTGGAACACAAGCTGTCATCTGCTTGAGTACATTCTTGATTGCTTGTAGTTCTTCTGTCCTTGATGCTTTTTTGTCAGGAAAAGTTGCTCGAGCACGGATCTGGATTACCCCGGCGAGCAGGCAATACCAGTTGTTGATAGGCGCAAGGTATGTAACCTCGTTGCGTAGCTCGACTTCTTCGAACAGTCGTGCAATCTGTGACGCGGCGTCCACACATCCTTCCAAGGTTTCCTTGGAAGGTCCAGAGCTCGAATCTAGCTTTGCTAAAGCTTGAAGATAGATGATCAAGCAGGCAAAATAGAGGATATGTAGTTCAGATATGACTCTTCGAAATGGGTTTCGGTCGGCGCCATCATATAGTTGTAACGCAGCAGGAAGCCCTTGAATCCAATCCTTGAGTGCATCACCAATGCTATTTAGTTCAGCCTCGGACGAACTCGCGGCATATCGAGCATCTGCGAGTCTGCCGAGAACAATTGATAGTTCGGTTTTGGCGATGAATATATCGTTATCGGGATGGTAGCTTGGGAAATCAGCTTGAGAAGGCTTATGAACGTCAGTCTCGCGGATGTTTATGGCTGCTGGTCTGCCATAACAAAATGAAGACATTTTGTCATGATTCTGGGCGAGTTAGATAGGTTGCGCACACATGGATAGATTGGGTACACTTACGAATAATTGCCACCATATCCTTCTACAACAGCCTGCAGCCTCTCTCGATGCATAAGTTGTCTCTTTATGGAGGCCCATGTGAATGGCATAGCGTACGGCAGCTCCTTGCCAATGCCAGTTACTCTGGAGGCTAATATGTGTAGGCAAACGAACACTCCGACAGGTCAACAAGCACAATGCCTTGAGGGTGACCAGATTATCTTTCTCATGTTCGGTGTCCAATAGAGTTTTTGCTTTCAGATAAAACGAGTTTGCCGCCTTCAGTTGGCTTACAGACGCCCTAGGGTGGCCGTAGGAACTCCCGATGACACAAATGGCGTGAAGCAGCAAAGGAGAGCTTTGGTACTTCACTAGATCTGCGCGGTCAACAATGGGTTGGTGAGGATAGACATGTTCAAAATATAAGTCTGCCAATGCCGCCACCAGCATATTGGATGGGGGGATGGTTGCTCCTGTCAGATGCAGGATCTTCTCAGCCCAGCTAGTCGTTTCTGCAGCAGAATCATCAACGAAAGGGGGGACGCTGGGATTCCGAAGAAAACTCTCTTCGCCCATATATCCAACCGATTCTGGTGAGGACTGTGGTATTCCATGATCGTCGGTATTCCTGTTGTTTGGACTCAGAAAGTTGTTCGCAGCACGTTGCCGAGCCGAAACTCGTGCTCTTTGGGGCGCGGTCAGTGGGAGGTAGCATAGCTTTCGAGCGCAGTCACTTGCCTGCATGTCTGATTTGCCCTTCGACAATTGCGACAAGGACCTTCTTGACATTCTTGCAAATCGCATTTGATCTAGAATGGTCTGAGCCGATTGGTCATACTTTGAAATTGTTCCACCTACCTTCCTAACATGACACTGAACGCACACTTTGCTGTTGCGCGTGCGATATTGATCCATTACGGCCTTCGTCATGTCTATATCAGTGAAATGCGCATTATGTGACAGCGAGGAATGAGGGTTAGGTGGATCTCTGCGATGAATAGGATCGATTGAAGACACAAACTTGGCGCTTGTGGCTTGTCATCAATTGCAAATGGGGGAGTATATCCGATAGCCCGGGCGTGACTGAGGTTGCGGGGTATTGATCATCTTTCGTCGTCTCGCTGAGGCTGGGGATACATTGCCTAGACATCAATCTCTACGCAACCTCGATCCGAGGGTGACGGTAAATACGCATCCGCTCGCTTAAAGCTACACTAGAAGCATGTGACATAAAAGCAGTCTCCTCTTGAAAGCTTCATATTCTACAGGGTCCTCCAGAGGGGTTGTAGTATTCCACTCGATAACCTCAAAATTGTTACGTGGGACCCAAGCAAGTAAAGTAGTCACCGAACTCGGTGTTAGCCGAAGTAAAAGTAAAATCGATTGGGCTCGATGACTACTGTTGACTCCGTAGTGCGATCAGTAGTCCTTAGCCTTACAAATTGGCTGCTTAAATCAAGGGCCGAGACCAGCGGCAGTCGGCAGGTCTCAACCACGGCGCTGGACACGTCGTTCGATATTGGGACCCTTGGCCCAACGACGCGGTCTCTAAACCGAGTCGCTCTGCTTGAGGTTATGGCACAATGTAACAAGTGTACTTTATCAGTTCATATGGCAAAGCTTGAATGTCATCGACACCTTTAGTTGATCAGTCGTCTTCAGCTCTGAATCAACCAGTTTCCCTGACCTCAAAATTACACCAGCGAGTCAAGATGCCCTCGGCATGGCAAATTGTCCCTGCCGAGTCTAAGGACTGGCGGACTACGGAAGGAATCAGCAATCTTCACTTAGCGACAGACGTTGAGAAGCCACGGCCTGGCCCCGGCTCTGCACTTGTTCGCATTCGTGCAGCAGCTTTGAATGCTCGTGATATGATGGTAGTTGCGCGAGATCCAATATACCAGAGCTTTGCGTCACCGTGGCTGAGCCCTTGCGGGGATGGAGCAGGTGAGGTAGAAGAAGCAGGCGAGGGAAGTCTCTGGCGTGTTGGCCAGAGGGTTGTGCTCTGCCCTTGCACCTGGACTCATGGCGATCCTGGCACACTGCTCGAATCTCGAGGTCTTGGGGCGGCGGACTATAATGGGACATTGCGCGAGTATGCAGTGGTGGTGAGTTCACAACTTTTGTCTCATCTTCTTTCTTATAGGTGCTATATTAAGGAGTTTAGCTTCCGCTAATCAAGAGAACACACAAAACAGAATGACGATATGCTAGTGGAAGCCCCTGCTCATCTCACCTTTGAGGAACTGGCTGCCTTGCCAGCTGCAGCGGGCACAGCAGCGAATGCGCTATTCTTTGGGCCAATGCCTTTTAAAAAAGGCATGACTGTTCTGACGCAAGGTACCGGAGGTGTAAGCTCGGCAGCAATCCAAGTAAGTAGAGCTTAATTTCCATAAAGCCTGTCGATTTTGCTTCACACAGCTTCTGACAAACACAGCTTGCCTCTGCATGCGGCGCTACGGTCATTGCTACATCTTCGAGTAGTTCGAAACTCGACGTGGCTCGGCAGATGGGTGCAACCCACTTGATCAATTACAAGACAACGCCGGACTGGGCCGAGGAAGTACTGAAGCTAACAGACGGCAAAGGAGTCGATCATGTTTTGGACGTTGCTGGTGCCGGCACGATTGAACAGTCTCTCAAGGCTACTCGGCAGGCTGGCTTGGTGTCATTGATTGGATTCCTGTCAGAGCCTCAGAAGTATGACATTGTTCCGGCCATGTTGTTTGGTGCAAAGACCTTGCGAGGTGTCTTCCAGATCCGAACGGATATGGTTGCTAAGGTCCTTGAGGTATACGGAGAACATCATCTGCGGCCGCAGATATCTGAAACATTTGAGTGGAAAGATGCCAAAGATGCTTTTGCTGCCCTGGTTCATCAGACAGGGGTCGGAAAGATTGTGATCAAGGTTGGTGATTGAGTCAGATATTTCTTATAGATAGCGCCTTTACATCACAAAATTAGGCACAAGCGCGACAAAGCTCACTGGTCTTGAAAAGCGGCATTTTGATAATATTGAGACTCTTGACAATTATGGAATAGAGGTGCCACACCAAAGATGCAGTTCATTGCTTGATATGATCTCTAGCGATACCCTGACGGGCAGAACTCTGGCTGAGCTGAGAGCTACAGTACATCTCACCGGACTAGTATTTAAAACTTGTAGCAGAGCCCGTTCGGCGCACTTGATGCTCCACCAAACCTAGCTCACGCCGAAGCAGTCTCAGATTGAATCACTTCTTCCTTTTCACGGGGATTCCTCCTCCCCCCCTTTCCCCGTTCCTCATCATCGGCTTCTGTCGAAGCAGGATCCACCACGTGCTGGACCTCGTCGCCGAACAGCGCAGAAATCTCCTCCAAAGGTATTCCCTTCGTGTTTGGGAACCAGTACAACATGATCAATGCCATGACTGTCCCGGGAACAATGAAACAAAGGTAGAATTTCCAGCCAATATTCTGGAATGCAGTCGGTGCTACCTGTAACCAGACAATGTTGATGATATTGAGTCCTGCCATGCCTAGACTAATTCCTTTCGCTCGGAGGTGAGTAGGGAAGATCTCACTCAAGTACACAAACTGCCCGCCGTCGAGAGTCGATTGGAAGACGACAATATAAAGCTAAGGGAATTTCAGTCAGCGTTTCCTGATCATGGCACTGGCTTCAGAAGAATACTTACATAGATCATTGCCACTGCTGCTTGCAAGGCACTCTCATTGGGGGAAGCTAAAGCTTCAGCACTGGTAGCATAAGTCGCCACGAGCGCTGTCAGTACAGAGAGGCAGCCGAGACACCCCAATATGCCCCCAGCTAGGAGAATTGGACGAGGCATGAGGTCCACAATCACTAGGGAAATCAAACCACCGCCAAATGAGAGAGTCAACCAACCTCCCTGATACAGAAATTGCTTGTTGACGTCGAATCCTAGACCGCCATAGATAATTGGTCCGTAATTGTTCACCACAAGTGGAGCTGTGAATTGTATCGAAATCGTTGTAAAAAGGCCCAGAGCAACTCGTTTCCTGTAGCTGGGCTTCGTAAAAAGTGCATAGTAGGAATCCTCGAGATTCTTGTCGAGCTCGTTTTGGGCTCGGATCTGTAGAAGCTCGATAGCAGCTTCCTCAGGAGTATGGAGCTTGTTGAGGATGGCCTCCGCTTCAGTTTCTCTGCCGTGTAGAATCAACCACCGAGGACTCTCCGGCAGCCAATATATACAGCAGAGGAGGAGTATCGAGGGGAGGCATGTGAAGGCGATGGGACCTCTCCACTGCGAAAGACTATCTGCTTCCATGTGGAAGAAGCCATATCCGATCCAACATGCTAGACAGAATCCAAGTAGAATAGAAGCGCCGTGAATATTGACCAAGGGACCTCGAATATTGGCGGGGACTACCTCACTCATCCAGACTGGAACAGCTGAAACAATCATATATGCCGCTGCTCCAGCAAATGGTCTCACAGCGATGAACATTCCGATGTTGACACTGCCGGCGAGTAACGCTCCAGTGATGACCGTCAACGCTGCTGGAACCGCTATGCCAACACGACGGCCCCAGCGATCGGCGAAAAAGGTGACGAAAAATGTACCGATAAAACCTCCAGCTTGGTATAGAGACCCCGTTAGACCGATTAGCTCTGTGGCATTGCTTCGTTTGTCGAGTCCCATATAGACCAGAAAAGAAGGCTGAGCTAGGGTTGTTGAGATGATACTGGCTGAGTAACCATAGGACATGGAACCCAGACCCATGATGACCACGATCGCAACATTGTAAGGGGTGAATCGCCTCTTAGGAAGGCTCGCCATGCTAGCCTGGTGTGTCATTGTGGTTCGTGTTCTGGGTTTTCAAGACTTTGTCGGGCTCCTAAACTGGATGAACAGGACCGCCACATGGCAACGAGGACACTTATGTATTCCATTGATCTTGCTCCTTTCATGCTCAGTGAGTTTTGCACGACTTCATCAGGGGCCAGGTGCGAGAATCCGGGGTACGTCTAACGTGTGGAGTATGCTTCAAGGGTCCCCGGACGACCAGTCGGCTGACCCACAATTTACAAGGACCGAGAGCCGCTCACGAGTTGAAAATGAGTGTTTGACGATTTAAAGTGTAGAAGAACCAGCCTGGGCTCAGTGATGCGGCATCAAGTGTGGCACTCGGTAAGAGAGCGAAGGCGCCGCCGAGTACCGTGTCACCTCGGGCTTGGAGGACAAAGTCAGGAACAGAATTTGGGGATTTCTTACAGCAACGTCAAGATGAAACCTGGGGCCCCGGAAGACGATTTTAGGAGTTTTTATCTATGTGAATGATAAGACTAAGTACTCGACTCAGAGAATACCTAATTGCCAATCTTTCTTCAGATCCCTCATTACTCAATACAAAGTCGCGAAACTCTGTACGGTCAATTTAAGTTCACGGCTGGCTTAAATATGGGTTCGATACAAGATAATCATGAATTTCTTGCTCAGCCCACGGATGCCCCTGACTTGGGGATTCCTGGCGCGACGACTGCTGTTGAGGTCCAGATAATAGACAGGTATGGCTCGGTAGACGACCATGCGATTGAAACATCTGTAGCTAATGATCATGTACATCAGTACGTCGAGGTTGGGGGGTCACATGAAAATGTTAGTACAGCCAACAATAGAGGGCCATGAAATATTGGACTGTCCGTCCTTTTCATTTTTGGTCAAGCACCCCTCTGGTCGTAAGATCTTGTTCGACCTTGGAACCCGGAAGGACTGGGAAAACTTTCCACCAACGATTCTCAAGATATTCAAGGAGCATCAACTTACGGCCAAGGTTGAAAAAAACGTGTCGGAGATCTTGGAAGAACATGGATTTGCAGTAAGCGAAGGTGCTATCGAGGCAGTCATCTTTAGCCATTGGCACTATGACCACATAGGCGACATGAGTACATTTCCTTCTTCAACAGCACTTGTCGTTGGCCCAGGGTTCAAGGAAGCCTTTGTACCAGGCTATCCAGCGCGCCCAGACGGACTACTACGCCAATCTGACTACGAGGGCCGCGAACTCCGAGAGGTGTCGTTCGATACGAAGACGCATCCAAGGATTGGAGGTTGTCTCGCAGTCGATTTTTTCGGAGACGGCAGTTTCTATCTCTTGGATGCTCCAGGACATGCGATCGGACATCTCTGCGCTCTTGCAAGGACGAGTATAGGAGGGGATGGAGAGCAGGATACTTTCATCTTCATGGGAGGAGATGCATGTCATCACGCAGGCGAATTCCGACCTACAGAATACTTGCCACTTCCAACACAGATTCAACTTCACTCAAGTGCTCACTGGCCCAAAGGGATTTGCCCTGGAGCAATAATGCAGCAGTTGCATCACAAGAAAAGTGCCTGCGAGCCCTTTTATGATATGGCTGAAGGATTTGCTCTCAACCGCGGGGAGGCGGAGCAGACCATTCGAAACCTGGAAGCATTTGATGCGGCAGAGAATGTATTTGTCGTGATCGCACATGATCAAACACTACTAGATATTGGGATGTCAACGTTTCCAAAGGGCGTGAGTGATTGGAAGAAAAAGGGATATGCTGAGGATGGTCGATGGGCCTTTCTGGAGGATTTTTCAGTTGCAGCGAGCAAGATCACGCCTGTATAGTTTTATAGGTAGAATATATCGATAATGCACAAAACCATTGCTTTGCAAGCGACATTCGCTTCCCTCCTTTCATCATCAACGGCTCTTCTGTCGAGTCTGAGGCTTTGAATTCGCCTTTCGCCCTTGCGCTCACTTGTGATGAGTCAGCATGTTTGCCCAGCAAAATCATTGCTAGCGGCCCGTCTGTGGTGTTTCCGTAGGGAGCAGATGACCGAGGGACGTGCCTAGAGATCATGACATCGGTACCTGAAAGCCCCCTCGGCCCCTGTGCGACCATTGCACACGCCTATTCACAAAGCCTAGACTTGGCTGAACCCTTTTCCTGCACCCCGCAACCACAGATGCTGCTAACTGCATCCGGCTTACAAACACAAGTAGCTGGGAGCTAACCAAGTCGTCATCATCACTCATAGCCATTATTCTTGAACTTGCGGTTGTCATCATCTCATCAGGCATCAGCGTTGTTGCATTCTTCGTGCCTGTGACTTTTCATCGGTCGCCATGGGCCACGATCATTTGCCTTTGGCTTCGTCTGAGAAGCTCGAGCTCCTTTCATCCAAGTACGATGACGATGATGTCGAAATCCAAGCCCCTCGCCTGGCGCCTGGCGCTCAGAAGCCTTCGTCAACCTCGTTGTTGCGAAGACGATCACCAATATTTCTTTCTTTGGGAACAGTACTGATCTACATCCTCTTCAAACTCTGGGCCATTCATTCTGCTCCTGGTAGGGTGACCTCCTGGCAACTGCTAGTAATCTTTCTCCATGACTAACTCAGACAGTCGAACAAGACTCGGATATCTGCCTGACCCCAGAATGTGTTCATGCAGCTTCGGAGATTCTATATAACCTGTCTCCCAATTATAAAAACATCGACCCTTGCACAAACTTTGAGGAACTGGTTTGTGGAGGTTGGAGAGAGCGCCATGATCTTCGTCCAGATCAGGGCGATGCCTTTACTGGTACGATCATGTCAGAGACTTCTCAGACCTTGCTTCGACATATCCTTGAATCATCATACCCTGGATCTTCCAAGGTGAGACCTCAGACTTACTCGCGTCATCCTCTTCTCACGTTGCTGATCTCTCTGGCTTTGTCCAGCATTCGACCTTCTCACCAGCAAACTTGGCAAAGTGCACGGCATCAGTTGATGAGCAGAACTTTATCAAGCTTCAAGCTGCTTACAACGCTTGTCTAAATGAGGATATCATCAAAGATGTTGGTGTGGCCCCCTTGGCATCTATCCTGAACAACATCCTGGCCTCCTACCCTTTGGCCGAATCCGAGGATGACCATCAGCAACTCTCCAATACCATCCTTTACTTGGCAGAACTTGGAGTCACGTCGTTGGTCGCAACTGGTACCGGGGCTGATGACACGGATCCTGATACTGTCATTGTCTCAGTCTCGGCTCCCTACCGCATTGGTCTTCCCGCGAAAGAGTTGTACAAAGACGACAAGCTCGTGGAGAAGTACAAGTCCGTCGTGGGACAGGTTCTATCAGCATTGCTTCCAGATCACTTCTCCATGACCGAAATATCCTCTACTTTAGTCGACTTCGAGAAAAAGCTTGCAGCTGCCTCTCCGGATGCGGAGGACAGGGATGATGTAACCGTGAGTGCCTTCCACCCATTTCATTCACGCCATGCTAAGTCTCCACTGCCAGAAATACTACAATCCCATGTCACCTGATGAAGCCGACTCACTTGTTCCGGCAGTCAGTCTATCCAAAATCATCAACACCCTTTCCCCTGATGGTGTCACAGCCGACCGCTTCATTGTCATGGCGCCGGAATACCTCAAGAAACTCAATGAGCTGATCGACGAGACTTCGCGAGATGTGATTCAAGCTTACTTCCTATGGAAGGCGATCCAATCATATGCTTCTTTCATTGAGGCTGATGCTATCACGCCGTACAAGCGCTTCTCGAACGAGTTGCAAGGCAAGGTAAGGTACGTCGCTATTGAAACAGAGCTTTTGTTGACATCCACAGGACCCAGACTCAACTCCAGAACGTTGGCGAACTTGCGTCAATCACGTCGATGATGGTCTTGGTTGGATCTTGTCCCGCTTCTTTGTTGAAAAGGCCTTCTCCGAACAAGCAAAGGTGTTTGGCGACCAGATTGTCTCAGACATCAAAGACCAGTTCATTGAGAAACTCAAGAAGACGACATGGATGGAGAAGCAAGTCGTCGATCTTGCCATTGATAAAGTCCACAACATTGTGCAGAAGATCGGTTATCCCACAAAGGTTTGTACTTACAAAATTCTCTGAATTGTCCGTCCATGAAACTTATCTTTACAAACAGAGTCCAGATATCCTGAACCCTCGGAAACTCAGACACTACTACAAATCTGTCGACGTCAGTGCAACAACATTCTTTGAGAACGCTGTCTCCATGAGCAAGTCCGATGTCAAGAAGGAATGGTCTGCCCTTGGAAAACCGGTTGACCGAGACCAGTGGTAAGTATCAATGCATATCTGTCATGATAGTACTAACCTCCCGACTGCAGGGACATGACCGTTCCTACTGTGAATGCATGTGAGTATACTCTCGTCGTTCCTATCTCCTTGGCAAAGTAGCTAACCTAGATACAGATTACAACCCACCAGGGAACGAGATCGTTTTCCCTGCTGGCATCATGCAGGTTCGTATTCATCTCACTCTGGACGTCCATCAATACTAAACCACAAATCGCAGTTCCCCGTCTTTGATGTTGCTGTTCCTCAATATGTCTCCTACGGCGCCTTTGGCTCCGTCTCGGGCCATGAACTTTCACATGCCTTCGATTCCACCGGACGACACTACGACCAGAATGGCAATTACACTGATTGGTGGACGGACAAGACAGTCCGTGCATTCTCGGACAAAGCCCAATGCTTTATCGAGCAATACGCCAACTTCACCGTTGAAGGGGCCGACGGAAAGCCCCTCCACGTCAATGGGCGTTTGACTCTTGGAGAGAACATCGCCGATGCCGGCGGTCTTTCCGCATCTTTCCAGGCGTGGCAGCAAAGACGAGCTGAAACCCCGAATAAGCATCTCCCAGGCTTAGACTTCTTCACGCAAGAGCAGCTCTTCTTTGTCAGCTATTCGAACTGGTGGTGTGGCATGAGTCGCAAGGAAACGGCGATCAACCGTGTGTACACCGACCCTCATGCACCTAAGTGGGCACGAATTCTCGGAACCATGGCCAACTCGCGCGAGTTCTTGGACAGTTTCCAATGCAATACCAGAGAGCCCGTGTGTGAATTATGGTGAGTAAAACTCACATCGGATGGGGAACTCGATTGATTCGAGGGAATGCGCATGTGTTCGAGATGAGTGTACTATCTTCCCCAGTGGTCATCATAAGTTCCAACCCTAAAATATGAAACTTCCAATTTTTAATATAATACTGCTTCCAATATCCTTTGATATCCCAAATCGAAATTCCGCTTGAAGGAGGCCGGGGACTCACTGTGCCATTGTGAAATCCATGCTGCTTCCATTGGTTCAGACCCTTCCCCACAGACCTTTTGGCGTGGCCGCCTTGCACAGGAAAGCAAGAATACCACCGAGCAAACACATGGAGGCGCTGAAGTAAGACAAATTCTTATAGCCACCAGCATCAAGAAGCGCGCCATTGATCGGTGGCCCAATCAGAACTGAGATGGAGCTCAGACCCATACCCATCCCTACGAAGGTACCGACGCTCTGGGTATCGAAGGTACAGTCGCTGAGTGCCACGGTCATACCTGAAATAATGCTGCCAGTAGTGAAACCAGCCATCACCGAATACACCACCAAGCCTGCGGAGGTGGTGGCTTGCGTCCAGCAGAAGAGCACGACTGCCGTAGACAAGGAGCCCCCAGAAAATATGTTCAATCGACCAAACTTGTCAGCTAGCACGCCGGGGATGACTCGGCCGAATGTCGATGCTCCGTTGATTATGGCAAGCAGATATCCAGCCATGGTGGGACTCATGCCCTGTGAGACAGCGTATGCTGGCAGGTAAAAGAGTGGTGCCCACATGCCGATGAAGACAAAGAATGCTGATATGATCAGGATTACGAATCTTCGTTCCTTGAATGCGCTGAAGAGAAAGAAATTGGTCTTTCTAGGTGGCAGTCGAGATTTGATGGCGATACACGAGAAGACCAGGAATGGCAATGAGACGAAGCCGAGGATACGGAACGTCCATCCAAAGCCGAGGGTGGTTCGATTCAGCATTCTCGATAGGATAATTGGGAAAACCACACCACCAATGGACGATCCAGAGACTGACAAGCCGAGAGCTATCCCCTTTTTCTTGTCAAAGTATTGCAGAACGGCAGCCATGGCGGGAAAGGTGAGTATGCCCAAGAAGATACCAAGAATGATGCCCTGCACGAGCATGAACTGCCAATACTCGGTGCAAAGGCTTATCATCATCAGGATAAAGACGAATCCGACAGCTGCGGGTCGAATAATCTGCGTGGTCATTAGCCATATTTCATGCAACAACGGCTAGATCAGCATACCCAAGCACCATATCGATCAAACAATGGCCCTCCAATGGCACCAGCGAAAAGTTGAAGGAACGCGGCTGTAGATCCGATCCAGGAGATATCATCCGGCGACCGATCGCTGAGTTGGTGTGTCATGTAATATTCGAGTATGACGCCAAACGTGTTTGCATAGCCCAGGCCTACGAATAGGATGAAGGAGGCTCCGCATACAACAAGCCAGGCTCGCAAGCCACCGTCTGGTGCTGGTGACTGCAGTATTGCATCTTTATCGGTAGCCGGTTCGGTGTCGACAGTTGGATCTTTGGTGGTCACATTTTTTGCATCGGGCGCTTCTTTTGCCTCCTGGTGGTTGTCTGGATTATCAATTTTTATACTTGAGTCGTGCATGCTCGCTAGCATAAAGTGGGCGTCTGCGTGGGTATGTTCTAGTGTGAAGTGATTGGTAATGGACCGCCCCCGCAATAAGCATACAGCAAGCTTTTGGCCTTCGCACCAAGGAGATCATAGCTGAAAGGCTCTTTAAATATGGCATTGTCGAGAGAATCGGCCTCGGGGTCCTGAATCTGAACTATTTTGCTATGTCTGATACAGGAGGCGAGGGAAATATCAGATCTCGGATTTCGGTGAAGCGCAAGATGGTCGAAGTGTATTCTTATCTTATCTGGGTGTGCGATCACCCAATTGATGGTCGGTGAACAGCGAGACGCACAGACTTCAGCCGCATTTTCCGCCTTCAAAGCCCGAGACTTCAGGTCACCACTGTCTCTCGACTTTGACTCATGCTAAGTCGAACAAGCTCAATCTCGCTCAGCATTCTGGATAGGCTGATCCATTTTGATGAATACAAGCCGTTCAATTAGGACCTGATTCGAACCGGTCTGAACATTTTGCGCCCGCGCAAGGCATGAAAAGCCTATAGACCGAATGGCCGAACCCGAACGTCGCCGCGCAAGGCCACCAGTGTAGGCAAGTCACAGTCCTGATGATGATAGAAAACTGATTCGTGAAACATAGGTCTTGCTCTCTATGTCGAAAGCGCAAGATAAAATGCGATCGAGAAGTACCGTGTGGCAATTGCGTACGATCCAAGAGCAAGAGTTGCTCCTACGAAGCACTCCAGGCCTACGCGGCATATACAAATAGTCGCAAACAGGCATCGCAAAGTCGCCCTAATCATGCGATACCACATCTCAATTCTATTTCTGCAATTAACCAATCTTCCGACAAGTCTCATGGCTTGCTCAACGATGCAAGCTCAAGCGACGTCTCGGATGTGGCGACTCAAGGGACTAGCCAGTCGAATGACACGACAAACACTCCTTTGTCGAGTGCCACTTCACCTACTTCTCATGAAATAGAAACAATGAGGACGAAAATCCGATATCTTGAGGACCAATTATCCAAGGATCGTTCGGAGGGCATCGATCGGAACGCCTTCCCAACACCAATGTACAGTGTTGAAACCATCACCACAGAATTGGCAGGCGCCTTCACCGCTGAGTTCCCAGGTTTATCATCAAGTCAGTCCAAGGCAGCAAGTAACAGCGTTTTCCACAAGGGTCGATTGTTTGGACAGAGCCATTGGATCAATGGAGTTGCTGTGGTATGTATGCGCCACAACGCACCTTCGAGGACAAGATCGTGGTTAACATGGACCAGTTTGGCGACATCTTTGATTTGATAGAGCCAGTCTTACGAGATCCGACTTCCAAAATGAAGGTTGGCATGCAACGATGCAAATATCTTGGGAGGCTCATCAAAATGCAACGAGAGCCTTCATGGCCTGTACAGCCGACACTGGATCTTCCACCAAGACATGTGGCCGACAAGTTGGTCGAGTGCTACTTGAGGACTATTGAAACACTATATCGAATCGTCCACATCCCTAGCTTCAAACAAGAATACGAATCGCTGTGGGAATCGAACTCGAATGTCGACCTTGCCATTGTGGTTCAGGTAAAGCTGGCGCTTGCCATTGGAGCAGCGACATATGATGATCAATTCAGCATGAGAAGCTCTGCGATTCGATGGGTATACGAAGCACAAACGTGGTGCTCATCTCCAGAATTCAAATCTCGTCTGAACCTTCGATCACTCCAGAACCAATGCCTACTATTGATAGCCAGAGAAATGGTCAATGTCGGAGCTGGACTGGTGTGGATTGCAGCTGGCGAGTTGCTTCGCTCTGCGATCTATATGGGTCTACACCGAGATCCCACATGGTTTCCTCGAGCCACCCCACTCAAAATCGAAATGAGTCGCCGACTGTGGAATACCATCTTGGAAATTTGTGTCCAGTCCAGCATCCAATCAGGTGCTCCACCGCTACTGTCGATGGAGCAATTCGACTGCCAACCGCCGAGAAACTTCGATGACGACCAGCTCATGACGGATGACCCGGTCCCTAAACCCGAGAGCGTACTCACTCAATCTTCAGTTGCGATTGCGCTACGCAGTACTTTGCCTAGCCGCCTCCGGGTGGTACATTTCCTCAACGATCTAGGTTCGACCAAATCGTACCAGGACGCATTGCGTCTGGACAATCAACTGCGAACGGCTTACAGAGTCATGTGTCGCACGCTACGAAGTTTGACTCCAGACTCTGGTGGAGCCACTTTGAAGTTTGCCATCAATGCCGTCGAGGTTCTCATCCGGCATTATTTGTCGACACTACATGTTCCATTCCTCGGGACGTCGAATGACGATACAGCATATGCATATTCGCGAAAAGTGGTGATTGACAACTCGCTCAAGATCTGGTGCACGGTATATCCGTCAACGACACTGGTGCAGGACGGTCTCGGTAGTCCTCAACGGATGGAGAGGGACGCAGACGATTTCGCACGGTTGTCGATCTGCGGGTTAGGATTCTTCCGCAGCGTGGCCTTTCAATCGACTATGCTCATCGCTTTAGAGTTACGAGCTCAATCACACGATGAGTACGGCTTGGGCCCATCGCCTCTTCGACCCGACCTCCTGTCCGCATTGGATGAGTCCATAGCGTGGGCTATGCGTTGCATTGAAGCTGGCGAGGTCAATGTCAAGGGATATTTCTTCACCTCTGTGGTTAGTTGTCTCATCCGCATGCGCGATGCCAGTCAGGAGGAGCTGCTCAAAACTGTCGTGAAAACCGCGGAAGATCTCATCGACGAATGTCTACCCATCCTCGAGAGACAGGCCGGCATTGACGAATCTATGGAGCAAGGCGCAGGGCAGGACAAAGACACTGGCCAAGGTCCCAAATCGCTTTCTGTAGATATGTTCGACGATTGGGATCTCATGATGACGGACGCTCAATTCACTTTTGAAAGCACGGGTCCCATGAGTTGGATGGTGGAGAATGAAGGATCTGGAGAAATGATGCCATGGTGAAGATCAGGTTCATTGAATGGCATAACGATATTGTCGCATCAACAACAAGTACGAGGGGACCTCTCTCCCATTTTCTCTCCTCTAAATATCACATCTCTGAGATTACCTCCTCCGCTCCACACTGCCTGATAGCTCAGTCGTCACCCCATCAACCCTACCACCTTCAACATCCTCCACATCCTCAACCCTCCTCCTCGCTGAAGCAGTCTCCTTCCCCCTCCCATCCTTATGCATCAGAAAAGCCGGATGATCCATTTCATCCATGAGCAAGACACGTCTATACAGATTTGCCTCCTTCGAACCACGATTCGTGACTAAGATGAATCCTCGACAATAGTCCATATCTTGAAACGCCTGATCTACACAAGCTAGCAGCCACTTAGCTAGCCCGCGGCCTCGATATTCAGGCAAGATGTACACATCGGTCAGGTACACGACGGTCACGTGGTCGGTGATCCAACGGGCGAAGCCGATGAGGGTTCTGTGTGAAGGGGAAGAGGAGGTGGTGGGATCTATGTAACGAGCCTTGCCACCATCTGGTCTATCGTCTCTATCACTGGTCAGATCATGGTCATTGTGATTCTGTCCAGGACCAATCTCATAGATGCCGAAACAAACTGATTCCTGGATCAGAATGGAGATTTGTTCTTCTGGAAGTGGCTGTGCCCAGGACATGTCGTCCGAAGCGAAGAAGCTGTTGAGTGTTTCGGCAGGAATCAGGGTTGGGTCGGTGGAGATTTCGAAGGTGGTGGTGGACACGGAATTCCGTGCTGCTATTTCCAGACCAGTGACCATACTCTTCTCTTTTTCCTTGCCATCAACATGGTTGGATGTCTGGACAGAGGACGTATTTTTGAATCCAGTTGTCCGCCATTGGTAGACTGGCAACCTCCCGTTGGGTCTGGGCTGGGCCTGGGTCTGTATAGATGGAGCAGACATGATTCTATTGTCGAGAGGAGAAGAACGTGGACTTGAACTTGACTAATGACATGTACTGTACAGCAAGATGTATCAACGGGGATTATTAGACTCTTGGTATGGAACTGGTTGTTATTGTGTTTGGATATAGAGGGTGGATTGTTTCTGGGCGAATGGAATATAATTTTGAATTCTCGATTTCGAAAGCCTGGAGCAAATGGTGCGATTATTCGATTACAAAGGTCATACAACAACAACAACAGCCATATACCCCTCGATGGATAATTGGTTCGCTCATTCTTTCTTTAAACAATGGTATATGTTTATATACATTGGAATTTCCAAAAACCCTGGCCTTGTTGTGTTCTACTGCATGACTCATGTGGTGGACGATGAAACGTCGGAGTTGTCGGAGGAGTTCCACGAGTGCATTCTCCACAGGTGTGCTAAACGGCTACCTAGACGCCGTTCATGTCCGAAGAATATACTCTAAAAGGTAATGTTGGATGGTATAGTCATGTTCTAGGATTATAGTCTAGGAATAGATACTATTGCTTCGATACACAGGACGTTTGTTCCCAGAAAAATGCATGATTTAAAACGATTTTACACCGACTATCAACTATCCATCGGTCCAGCCACCAATCTGTCTGGCGTTTCAACCCCTTGTTTGTTCCGTTCGACGGACTGACTTGACAAGTCGAGGTCGTCGGAATGGTGCCCCGACCAGCCCATCTGTCTGTCGATCTGTTGGTCCATACAAACAAGTAACATCGGTGTGGTGGAACCAGAATCTGATAGCCCAGCTAACAGACTCGTTCCAATGATCCACACGCCATGACGCACTCCACCTTTGGCTATCACCCTACATCGCTCCCGTCTGGCAGCCGGGCACCAGTTTTCGATTTATCAAAAATTCAACAGCTCCACTCAACAACGCCATGCGTGGATGAGAGGTATCCCAAGCGTGTATGGTATGACGAGCGAATAACGACCGACGCCAGGCGCCAATCCCGCCTGTCCACCCGCTTGACCATCATTGCCAATTCCAAACTTCGGTATAAAGAGTGTAAACAAAAACAGACAAAACACAAACCAAGGAAAATTTGCTCATCAAATCATTTCAATCCCTGGTTTGACCCCCTGATAGCATGAACCTGTCTGTACCCAACACAATCAACATCAATCCCATGCTTATGGTCCGTGCGAACTCTGTACATGCCATGGCCGTGAAACGGGGCGGCGAGCTGGTGGACGGATGCCTCGGCAACTATTCACCTGCGAGGAGCCAGAGTGCTCACTTCTTCAAGACAGCGTCATACAGGCTGACAATTGCACCAATGCCAGCGCTAATGAGGACGGCGAAGTAGCCACCCAGAATGCTCTCGTTGACGGTCGCAATGGTGTGGTGCTCATAGAGCCCAGCATAGGTGACGGCGTGGGGTTGAGGGTAGATGAGGTAAGCCAACAACCCCTTGGCAATGTTGAAGATGAAAGGATCAAACTGCAATTGCGAGCTTGCCTCGGTGGTGGCTCGCCGCGTTGAGTACGAGTGGGTGGGCTGAGCTTTCAACGGTAGGTTGATGAAGTAAGAGATGATGGCCGGGAGAATGGCCGAGGTCAAGAACCACAGAGAGAATGGGGCCCAGAACTTTGTTTCCAGAAGCAGAAACAAATTGGGAACATTGATCGCTGTGGGCTTGGATAGCACATAAGGCACGGCGGGAAACTCGGCAATAGGTTGGTTGGGCAGGATTTGTGTGCGCAAAGCATTGGCTTCTAGCAACAGTCCCAGAATGGTGACGGTCAGAGGTGACGACAGCAGGTCGCGAGTCATGTCGGCGTATTCATGGATCTGAGTACGTTGATAAGCATGCGAGACCGATGTGCGGAATCGACGCGTCTGTTGCTCGATTGCATCAGTGACCACCGAGGGTGACGGTGGCAGTGGAATCTGCGAGGTTAAGATGGAACCTCGACGGGCGACTTCTTTAGCGGGAGCCTTGATGAGGGCACCAGTAGGAGAGTCGGTGTCAGTTCTGAAAGGATTCTGGTCAGACTGGGACGCGTGATGAGGGGTTGTGAATGCTGTTTCTTACGTGTCTTCCACAGGTGCGCTTGTGGTCTTGCGCTTAGGTTTCTTAACGGGTGCAGCGTCATCATCAGACTTGACGAGCTCCGAGACCTTTTCAGCAATCTTTTTGGTTGGGGAGCGGGTGCTGCTGGCGAGGCGCTTGTAGTACTCGCTCAGAGAAGGATCTTTGCCATAAGTGGTGGAGTTTGCGCGCAAGTGCTCATCTAGGGCAACTTCGAGTTCGGCCTTTTTCAAACCAGCATAACTGCAGTCGCGTAGATGTCAGCGATGAAACGCAGGTATTTGCGACGGGGAAATCCAAGGAAAGACGCGACTTACTCGGCGAGCTTGGAGGATTCCGCAAACTCGGTGAGGTCTGATTTCCTCAGCTTCTGCAAATATGGTAAACCGGACGACATGGCGCAAACAGGATGCTAGACCCAATGCAGATGATAATGTAAATGCGATGATGTGGATGGTGTGGCAAAAAGGGCGACGGCGAGGTGCGGCGACAACAAGTGATGTTGTTGTTGTTATTGTGGAGGCAGATGTCACCGTCAGAAAGGGAAGGAAGGACGACAGACTGTGATCGGTCCGGTGGGTGGCTGGGGGGGATCAGGTTGGGTATAAATTGGAGTGGCTGGGGTGACAGTGGGCAGTCCGATCAGGCAGGGCTGCACCACCTGGACCTGGGGGATTGGGACCTGGGCACCCGGGGCATGACGCCGAGAGGCTCCTAGGGGATCAACAAAGGCCATCTGCTTGTTGACAGTGGGCGTGGTTAGTGGCTGCTTGGACAACAGCTTGACTAAGTTTGGTACTAGTTGTTGGAGGCTAGCGCATTGGTCAATGGGGAGTCCGTATGTTGAACTTTTGTGCCACTAGCTGTAGCTAGCACTTTGTTGCATAGTAGGATGCAGGCCCACAGTTGACGATCAAGCTTTGGGAATGACAGGTATCGTGATTGATTGTCATTATTGTTCCCACACGTGCTGGGCTGACCGATATGGAAGTGGAAGATGAGGAGATCCTGATGGATGACGATGACGATGATGTTAATGTCGCTCGAACACCTTGGGATCGATATTCGAGTTGTGCGAATGCCAAGGCTGATCTTATGCATACCCTGAGGTAGGTGCCAACCTGTAGTATACAACTGTGCTTGCCCTTGCTGCCTACTTGCTAGCAAAACCACAATAGGCAGAAACGGCCACTCTGGGCGATCGCAAGCATACTCCGTACATTCAGCCGTCCACCTACGAACATTTCGTACCTAGCTGTACCTGACTCATGGAAATGTAAATGCATGCCTGTTTGATTGTTGCTCTGCTCTACATGTTCGTGTCACGTGTGTTCTCTTGCACCAACCACCCAGCTCCCAATAGTCAACGAACTGTTCGTCACAACAGCGTCCATCGTGTCTGCTCTAATTCAATTCTGCCTAAGTTGACAATACATGGAGTGCAGAATTGCAGTCACTATGAGGAAATGGATTACATTGGTAGAGTAATTACTTGACATAGTCGAGCAAGTCCTCAGTGTCCTTGCTGTCTTTGTATAGAGAACTAAAGAAGGGAGACCCTGGCAGAATAAAAGGAGCACGCACATCTCGCGCTCTATAAACGATGCCTCTCAACCGGCGAGTCCATATAGGTAGGTACCTAGGCACATCTCTGAGCCATGTCTTGCGCCGAATCGAAAGTTTGGCATTGGGAGGAATAAATGGGAGTGAGTCCATGAGACCGATATTGATAGATCGACCGACATCGTACTCCGTAGACTGCTCCGTAGTATCCGTAGGTTAGTAAACCTTCCTTCTTCCCTACACTATAAGGCAAGCTCGTCAATGTGGTGGTTTCTAAATCTGTCTAATACAATGAGAAGCGGAGTATTACTTGGTGATCTTCGGATTGTCAAAGTGCTAGGGACAAGTTGGCGGGACAAGGGTGAATGGTAGTGATGGAATTTGGAAAGAGAGCCTCCTGGAGTTGAGGGTCTACAGTAATCGATGGCAGGCGCCAAATAGTGGAAAGGTGAACTGTTGGCAGCTGCCTGAAGCATAGGCTAGGCACGTGCTAGGCTACAGTATGTACCACTAATACGTAAGTAGGTATCTACTTACCTCAGTCAGGTACTCGTCATCCTCCATCTCGACATACGACATATACAACTCCACCACTGCATCTAAAGTGCATATTGCTTGACGACGTGTCAAATGCTAACCTGTTACTGAAACCCTTGAGTATGTACAGTATACGAGTTTGTCAAACTTACTAGGTACTGTACTCTCTTCACATCATCCTCGACAACTCTTACAATGATGCTGACTCACCTCAGCCGACTTGACAGTGATTACCCTTCAGTGCTTTCGTCCCTTCCTAATCCCCTGCTCTTATTCCTCTCCATTGACGTCATGCACCAGCAAAACACCTCAGCACTCTCTCCATGGCCATTATTACAGTAAATATATGCACAGACATATGGTGAAACTCCCTGGGACGTCACAGATGATAATACTCGATTTAATTGACCTTTCACTTGAATCTCCCTTAATGCCCTTGCTTAATTCTAACTAAGCTCCATAGCCAGGGCTTGTCATAACCCCGACTGTCCCTTTTTGAATTCGCCTCTCTGACGCAAGCTTCCCTCGCTCGTCAGCCACAGCCACGTGTTGCTATACAATATTTCTCTCTGACAAACCCCTCAAGGCCACCACTTTTGTGGTTCATCAATATCCATTCACAGCACATGCAATCTTTGAGAAACTCAACTGGTTGCCAGACATGAATCTTGCTTTCCTCTCCACGTTGTGTACCACTGACCGCTGACCACTGCAGGTGCTTGCCTCACCTCCAACTTGCACGCCAAGATCTCGTCTTTTGCCCTCCATTCTCGCTCATCATGTGAACACGCATCCTTTGCCGCATTTTCACTTTCATTGCCCTGTCACTCCTCCACACCTCGTGTCCTACAACCCTCACGATCCGGCAACTCCCAGAATTGATTACCACTACGTCTGCCTACTAATATCATCTCCGCCCTCCTCTCTCTCCTCCCACCATGGCCCCGCCTGACCTCAATTCTCTTCCTCCCTCGAGATCCATGTCATCCTCACCGATGGCTCCCCGAGCCATGCAAACCGTCACCTCTCCCCCAAACAGACAAGATACACCTTCTCCCCGTGCCTCCATCAGTCTTGCTTCCGCCGCCACCCTCAATGCCGCAAACGAGTCGAGAAGATCATCCATCAGCAATCGAGGCTCTCCTAGACTCGGCCGTATGCCGAGCGACCGTCGTCGGTCTCAAGTCGCCATGAACCTCAATCTCAACGATCCTTCCGTCCCTAGTCCGGGCGAGTTGTCCAGCAGTGATCCCCGAGCCAACATGTCTGACCGAATCTCCCACTTTTTCTCCGCCGCCAGCCCTCCTACCATCGGTGGAAGACCAGCAGTAGCGACCGGCGACCCGCACCATCAACGACAGCCTAGCCTCGGAGATGTTCACAATGCCTTGGAGCAAGAGCAAGAGATGCAGGTCAACAGGATGCTACAATTGATCAGGGAACAACAAATGCAAAACGACGCTCTCCGCAACCAACAAGAGCAATCGTCTCGACGGTCATCCCAGCAGAATTCGACCACCCCGGGAAACACGGCAGTCATTGACGACCTCACTCCGGCCTCAGAGCGCTCCATATCTTTCCCTTCCATCCACCCTGCCGTCCCCGCCGTGCCTCATTCTCGACGCATCTCTCTTTCCTACAACCGTTCTAGTGCCAGTCGATCTCCCAATCTCCGCACTGCCTATCCAGTGGGGGACCAGACGTCCTCTACTTTCGACTATCCCTCTTCACCCATAGACACCCAAGGGCGAAGAAACAGCTTCCGAGACGAAAGTGCCTTTTATCAAGCCGAAACCGCCAATTTGACTCGGGAGAATCAGATGCTCCGTATGAGGATCCGTGAATTGGAGAAACAAATCAGCGACCTGAGCACTGCTCCTGCCAATACCCCCATCCACCCCAGCAATCTTGTCACCAGCCCACCGGTTGAAGCTGACGACGAAGCCAGTGCCGCGGCTGAGATTGCACGCATCACTGGAGAAGCCGACAAGGCGTGATAGGATGTGACTAGGCATGAAATTTCTCACAGGTATTTCACATGGCAAGCGTCGTCAGATTCGGATCCCAGTGATATCTTCATCTTCATTTCCATTCCCTGTATCAGTATTAGACATTTTTTTTCGATATTCTGCATCAACTCTCGGTTCGGACGGCGTTGAGGAATTTGCAAATGTCCTTATGGACTTTACGACACAGGCTGTGTCTCGGATTTTATACACACGAACACACACATAGATCTTCATGATCACACACCTCGGCTTTACGATGACTGGCTGGCTGAACGGGCAGAACTCCATGTTTTCTCTCCAAAAGGCACGCATTATTAGGAGTTATGGGTTGATTGTGCCATTCGCTGTGTCTCTACTGCATTGATTCAAATATTCATTTTCTTCGGGGAGAATGAAAGAACAACTACTGCCACGTGGTGGGAGTTCCATTCAAACTCAAGACACTATGATATTAGGTATCTATCAGTGACCTCTGTATCAATCAAATTCATATCTTTCCATCCAAGTAATCTCCCATCACCGTCGCTCCATGCATGACCTTTCTGTCATTGGTATATGTTCATTGTCCCACTCCGACCTTCCACGCCAGTCAAAATCCCATCCCCTGGTGTCGTGATGCTGGCGTTGCGTAATGATATATGTATAAATAACTGTCTAACGTCTAGTTTAGGTCCTCGTGCGGATAGGATCGCGATGCAGATGATAGAAAGGGGAGGCTGACGCTCAAGAGGGTCAAAGACCTGCCTCACCTCAGTCAGGGGATGGACACATCATGCCAGTCTCTCATGATATCCATCATCGCCATGACTACTTCTGCCACGCCGGTCCCGACCGGACCCCATGTCGAGCTGCCTTCTTCGATACACCAGGTCTTCGTGTCTGATTGCCCATAGGCAAAAGCCTACCGACACAATCGACGCAGCCATAGCGACCGAGTATGCGCCCGCATAGCATCGCCGGCCTTGCGAACATTCCATGTGGCCCTGGTCGTTAACCACCGAATGAGCATCGTAGATGGATCCATAAAGGAGGTTGAAAACGTTGCCACTAATCACAGGCGCCAGCGTCATGGTACCCCAGTTCTGACTCAGTCCATGCACCCCGAAACTGTGCGCCACCAGAGACGGATACACCCCGAACAACATCCCGTATGCCAGACCAGTTAGCCCTGACACCAAGATGAGGAGGTGAGGGTTTGACACTTGTGTCGCCGTCACCTGAGCCGCCACAAATATGACCGCCGACACGAACAAGCACCAGAATCGCGACCGAGAGAGCCGTGCCACCAGGATGTCGGATCCTATGCCGCTCAGGAGGCGTCCGCTGAATGAACAGAAGCTGAGGATCGAAACGTGCATGGCCTGCCGGCTTTCAATGAACGATACCGGGGTAGATGGGTCGTAATGCAACCAAAGCGCTTGTGCATCATTGCCGATATTGCTAAGCAGTGAATGCGTCGTCAGTATGCATGCTCTTTTGCAAAAGTAGGTGAAAGAAGGGAGAAGGGAATTCTTACTTGATGGTCATCAATCCTATACCTGTCAAAAGGCCGAGCATGCAAAACAACTGCCAGAACTCTGCGAGAGGGAGAAGTGCGAAGCCGCGAATGTCTAAATGAGGAGGCTCATGTGCGCGGTCAGATTCGGAATGTTTCGAGTTTTCGAGGTCGCCGAAATCTTCTTCTGAGGATGACCTGGACAATAGAGACGAGTTCTCGGTGCTGGGGGGTTCGGGGTTGGTTGGGGGTCGGGATGATGTTGGTTGGGAATGGGCAGTTTGACGATGATGATTATTCAGCGCACCTGGTTCGGATGAATTGTTATAGGATGGTCGACCTATGGAAGGGCTGGTTCGGTGCAGAGCTTGGTTCTCATGCTGAGAGATGTGGTGATAGTTGTGCTGATTTGGCACGCGCATGAATGGAAGTGAGAAAAGAGGAAGGACAACTGTCCCAACGGCAAGAAGAACGAGAAAGCTGTTGACCCCGGGCGGGAGGGCGAGGGCAATTGTGGTGAAGAACAGAGCACTAAGACCAAACGCAGCAAGGGGGAACGCTGTCGCTGTGCCACGCGAATCTGGGAAGCTTAATGCGGCTATCGACGAGAGATCAGTAAATTTGTAGAGTACGGTTGAGAAGGGATTGCTCACCAGCTTTTATCGAAGCAGTAAATGCTGAACAACTGCCAGCACCGGTGAAGAAAGAGAAAACGCAAATGGATGCCACGCTGTACGCTCCTGGGCCGGCAGAGTATGCTAGGAAAACGTCAGTGTGTTCTTCTCAACGCTGGCCTCTATGGATCGTCTGGAATACGTACCTTGGGCAATTGGATAGTAGCCCAGAAAGAAGAGAACGATTCCCAACACCACACCCCATCTTGGGCTCTTTGCATCAATCATTATCCCTGCCGGTATACCTGTTGCGTACATTCCCAGATTCCCAAAAGTGCCCTGAATATTGAGTCGTCAGTTGCAATTCGCCAGAGGTAGGTAGGTATCGAGGGGAAATCGTACGATGAGATTGCTGTGAGTAGCAGATAACCTCAGACGGGCCGCGAAACTCGGACCCCATACAGAGTAGCCATACTGTTCATGTGTCAGTCCATATTCATGCAGGTTGATCAAAACCCTGAACTCACATTGGTGCCGCAGGCCAGGGCCGTAACGGTGGCTGCGATTACCGTTATCAGGCGGAGCCTCCTGGGCTCTGGTGTAGGTATCATGACGATAGGTAGAATAGAATCGACCCAGACATCTCAGGTCTGGTCACGTCGAATCGAAGTGAGAATAGGAATAGTCAAAGAGTGGTTGTAACACAAGGTGGACAAGGTAATGAGAGTTGATGTCGGGTCCAACGAACAGTGGAGGTTAAAGTGCAATCGACTGCCTCGGGGACTATTACGGACAAAGCCGCTATCTGTTGAGCATCTGGCCACTATTTGTGGGATCTTCAGACTTAACGGCGGTTGAGATTCTCAAAAAGTGCTAGTCTCGGTTGCCTAGTCGATCAGCCAATCAAGACTACTATGACCTTGTGCCGCTCTTGCCGTCGGCCGCCACTCGCCTCCAGATTCCATTCCAGCCAAACTCCAACTCCATCTCATGTCGTCTTCACATTGACTGCGCCTGTTTCAGGTTCCTCTCCAACGTCCATCATCTTCGCCTGATCATCCTTCCCTTTACCACACCCAACGACAGCAGGAACATCAGGAACATCAATATTGACAACATTCTCCAAATCAAACACATCACTCTCCTCTCCTCTCATCCCATTGCTCAACCCCTCAACTTATCCGCCAGTTGATACAACTTCACCCCAACCTCGCTTTATCTCTCTCCCGGTCTTCCCATCGCAATCATGGGTGCCGTCCTTGCCATCCCGGCTCTTATACTTCCCTCCACCGCCACATTATGGTCTATTGGGGCATCATGTTGCGGTGCCGCTTCATGCTCCATGATCTGCGGTCCATGCGGCATGTCCAAGTTTCGATCATCCATTGCTACCAGAATCGCCTATGCGGTTCTTCTCGTCTTCAATAGCATACTCGCCTGGATCAGCTTGACGCCTTGGGCAGTTCGAAAACTTGAACACTTGACCTTGGATTACATGACTTTCAAGTGCGGCTCTTCAGACTGCTATGGTTATTTTGCTGTCCAACGGATCAACTTCGCCCTCGGCTTATTCCATCTCATTCTCTCCGTACTTTTGATTGGCGTTCGCAGCACAAAGGACACCAGGGCTGGTCTACAAAATGGCTTCTGGGGACCAAAGATTCTGTTCTGGATTGTACTGGTTGTGCTCAGCTTCTTCATCCCAGAGGGCTTCTTTCTCTTTTGGGGAAATTATGTCGCCTATGTCGGAGCCGTCCTCTTTGTTCTCCTCGGCCTCATCCTTTTGGTCGACCTTGCACACACCTGGGCCGAACTTTGTCAGGACAAAATCGATCAAGGAGATGGCCCCAATTACCGTCTATGGCAATTCTTGCTTATGGGCTCAAGTCTAGGCATGTATCTTGCTGCCTTCGCCATGACGATTGTCATGTACATCTTCTTTGCCGCCAGTGGATGCAGTATGAACATCGCGGCCATCACCGTCAATCTGATCATGTTGTGTATCATCACCGTTCTGAGTGTGCAGCCTGCTATTCAGGAAGCCAACCCCAAGGCCGGTCTTGCTCAGTCCGCTATGGTGGCCGTTTACTGCACTTACCTCACATTTTCAGCAGTCTGCATGGAGCCAGATGATAAACACTGCAACCCACTGGTCCGAGCCAGAGGCGCTCGAACAACAACGATTGTCCTCGGAGCGATTGTTACCATGCTCACCATCGCATACACTACCACACGAGCAGCCACACAAGGATTTGCAATCGGCAACAACACAGGAAAGGGAAATTACGGAGTATTATCCCAGGACGAATATGAGCACGGGCTGGTGACTCAACAGCCAACCTCGAGACGAGAGATCATGAGGGCTGCCGTCGAGAGTGGTGCACTTCCAGCCTCTGCTCTTGATGAGGATTCAGACGACGAGGAAGAGGAAGTTGGCGGAAAAAATGGAAAGGATGATGAACGCCAAGGAACCCAGTACAACTACAGCTTGTTCCATGTCATATTCTTGATGGCCACCTGTTGGGTCGCAACGTTGCTCACACAGGACTTTTCAGGTGATCCGAAAGATTCGGATTTCAGTCCTGTTGGCCGAACATATTGGGCCAGCTGGATCAAGATCATCAGTGCCTGGGTGTGTTATGCGATCTACAGTTGGACACTGGTGGCGCCTATTGTTTTGGAAGGACGAGAATTCTCATGACTGGAGTGAATCAGTTTTATTTGTTAATGGGCGTGAAGAGTTGTTCACAAAGCTCTTATTGAATGTCACATACATTGTCACGGTCAGGTCGGAAGATGATTATCAACCGGCATTAGCGCGCATTCCTTACACAGTGGTTACTCTTGGAGAATCAAAATGACACGTTGATAGCCCATCGAGGGGTGTATGAAACGTGCATCTTTGGAGACTCGTAGTCATGACTCAATTTGACCTACAAAGCCCCTCGGCCCTCCTTGGTCTCATCTACCCTTTCCCATTAGCGGATGACAAGAACTCGCTTCCCATTCTCTTTCACATTAGTATGAAATCTTCTTTCATCATAAAGATTTGAATATTCTTCGAGAGCGTGAGTATCATCGAAACAATGGACTCCCTTCAAGAAGCAACCATGGCAGATATCGTAGTTTGATAGGTCACAGATGCGACAATGGTGGAAATGGTTAGTTGCTATATCATTGCATCGGTTGCAATAGATGATCTCGCCCCAGTCGAGTAAACATTCCTCGGGTCGTGAAAATCCTGTCCTTGGGGGGCAGGGTTCACTGTTGCTGTTGTTGCAGTTGTTAGTGTTGTAGTCTGCTTGTCTGATCTTTGGCGGTCCAGAGGTCTGGGAGAGGATATTTCTAGTGATGTCATACAAGTCTTCTTCCACTGCGGAGAATCTTTTCAGTAGTTCACACGCCGGTGATCGATCTGCGGGTGACTGTCGTCGACACTCATCAATGACGATTTGGAGATATTGGGTATGTTGCTCGTCGACCCACGGAAGCATTGCGGAGGTGGAATGAGGTTCGAGACAGTTGGCTGGGTCATCGGAGGTGGTGTCGAAGTCCGTCGTGCAGCCAAACATCTTGCATATGTCGGTCTGAGTGACAATGTTGTTGTTGGTAGCGATGCGCCAAAGCAGGAAGCCCAGTTGATACAGGTCTGTCTCAGGCGTGGCCATCATGGGCCTCGAAGCCGAAATCGAATGCTTGCATTCAGGCGGATGATCCCATTTGGTCGGAATGTAGTTGATAGTCGTTGAGAAACGGCCATATAGCACGGCATTGTCGTTGCTGTCGATGCCCACACCACAGTCAGCCATCTTGCCTAGATATCCTACCACAAATCCTTGGGAATGCATTTGGCTGACGGCCTGTACCAATTGTCGACACCATTTCCTCCGTCGTGTCCAGTCGACAGGCGCCTTTGACTCGATAGCATCAGCCATCACGCGGCTGAGTCTGCCGCTGGCTGGAAGATCGGATAGAAATCCGCTGATGATGCCCTGGTCGTCCAGCAAGACTCAAAGGAACGGTGTAATCCCGGGAGCACCATTCAGATGGTGCAAGCTCCGCATGGCGTATAGGTCTCGATCAATCGAAGACTGGTCTGGCCCAAACCGCGTGGCCACTACCCATCGTGCACCCAGGCATACAATAAATGAGTTGGTCGGACTATGTCCAAATCGTGCTCGCTGATCAAACTGCTGGTCAGAGTACCGCGGGCACCCCCAGTGATAGATCGTGCGCGTGATTTTCTGCAAGTATTCTTTCATCTCGAATGTCGGTTTGCTGAGCTTCATGGAGAAGATTGAATCATCCTCCTGACCCTCGACATCCTCTCCGTTCCTACCCATGAAGAGAGTGAGACAGGAGTTTTGATCTAGGCCTCGCAGACTCATCAGCATCTTTTCAAATCTCACCATTAAGCTATGTGGTAGCTCGCGGCAAGGTAAGTTGATCAGACCTATGGCAGTGGACGGTTGTAGATTCCAGTGTTTGGACTCGACGCTTATAGTGACGCGTAAGGTGAATCGAATCCATTTGCGAGGTTGTTGGCGGTAAGAGAATGCAAATTGGTAGACTCGCATGTATTCTGAGACGGAAATCTCTCCGCCGTAGGATTGAACTAGGTTGGGCACACCGGTTCGAACGGTGTACAGTTCTGGACAGACATCTGCAAAATGAAAAGCATCAAACAATGGTTTCTGTGTAGGTTCTTCTTCTTTAGAAACAATATTATCCCACCAATCGGCTGGGCGTCCAGACGTGGCCTTCTCAGAAAAGCTCTGGACATCAAACCTATCATGCCTTCCGAAAATGCTGGAAGGCAATGAGGAAGCTGCGTTGTAGGGCTTAGCTGATTGTTGCGAGATTAGAGCAACCTCCATGTTCCCCAGCCTTTTGTCAATGCTGAGAACCCTTGAGTCATGGCGTATAGACTGATTCTTGATAGTGTCCGTTGTCAGCTCAACACGGCGAGTTGATGACCTGGAATGCCAAGTTAAGATCTCATCAAGAAGAGAATAGATGTATGGGACTGACAGTAATTCCGCACAGCGTGCTTCCCAGAGGATCTTCCGCTCTTTCTCGAGCTTTTCATAGAGCTGAACCACTTGTCTTTTGTTCTTGAGCCAGTTTCTACGGCGAATTCGAGTGGTGTCATTGCCCTGTCGGATTATGCTCGTCGTGATGATATGATTCAAGTCCGTAATAAGGCTTTCACATCGTTGCAAGGGCTGTATAGAGACTTCAGTGTATGATTCAATGGCTCGAATGGCTTGGCCGATTCTGTTGACCTCATCCTTTTATAGATTTAGCGACACGACCTTTGCCAACCTTAGTGGTACGTCTGTCTCACCAGTAGGGCATTGATCTCTGTTGGTGCCCGACGAAGCTCGGCTACACGCTTCAGCGTTCCTGAAGCGACCTCGCAAAGAGCGAGCACGCTTGCAATCGCACCAACAATCTCGGCCATGGTATCAAATTGAAGTACCTGAGCCGTTGGTACAATGGAAAGGGCTTAGGTTTACCGAGCTGCTGAGTGATACTGCAGGTTGCCCATGTGGAATTCTGGGATGTTTGAAACATCCGTCACATTTTGAAGGTATTAGGCAGCATGTAGAAAGGAGCAAGGCAACGAAAACGCCTTGCACGTTGGACTCTGGAACAATCAGCGAGGCTGAGACTGACAACGCTAAATAAGGCGGTTGGACAAAGGATTCACCTGGGTCTATTGTTCCAATCAGAGACCAGGAAAATGTGATACGCCGGTTTAGGCTGGGCCTTGGGCCAACAGACAGGCATCGCTTTTACGACAATGGATGCCTTACGAGAAGCAAGGCTGTCGTTCGTCGATCATGGATCAATCATGCTTATTCTTACTCAGTTAATGGGCTGATTGACCAAGTGACCAGGTCCAATCCCCAGACACTCTGCGGGGAAAACATTTCGAAAGCCTTTTAAATTTGAGTCTCGACTCTCATTTTGGATGCCTGAAAGATTTCGACAGCCGAACTCGGAAGTTGTACAATGACTATGGTGAAAAATTCTGTGCTATGAGCCAATCGCTAGGTAATCGGACTTTCTGCGGGAGGATTCAGCCCGACAAAGGATGAAGGGGACATGAACCAAACTAGACACGTATAAGAAGGGTCAGAAAAAGGCAGTGTAGATCTCAATGTCTCCACTGGATGACGAGCTCAAACGTAGTGCACCTCCTGTCTGTAGACGTACAAGATGAACGTCTAATTTTTTGGATGATAGCAACATTGGAATAAAGACCATTTATCAATGAACTCGACGGAGCACATTATCGAGTGTATGTGTATGGATTCTACGTCGCGGGGACAACATGTTGCTCCCATGCTACTTTAGATTCACTTCGCGCCTACATGGGTGTAAGATGAGGGAAGGATACGTCGCGGATATAAAGGACGGCCTTTAAATGATAGGATAAGATCACTACATACGGCCTGGTATTCAGAGCTCCCATCCACCCAACGCCACAATGATTACAATATCATTGTCGTAACTGGTATCCGAGAACGAGGAGAGAAATATCGAGGGCAATACGATTAAGCGTCCAATCCACTTGATCGGGCTTCCGATTACCAGTATCCCGCCATCCCATGGGGTTTCTGTTGAGCCCCGCACGCGAACGTATATTGGGTTGAGATTGAGCAAAGGGGTCGACCCATGGACATATACATCTGTATTTGTAGCGGGAGACTTGGAAGAGAGTGATCTTCTAGAGAGAGGCCGTATCGTCGTAGTCATCAGGGTGGTGATACAGGTTGGAAATTACTGAAAAGGAGTCATGAAAGTTGTGAGGAATCCGGGCTGCCATGAACAACGGAAAAGGGGCGGTCGAAGTGGACGGTAGGGCAGTCAGAGGACGAGACAAATCAATGCCTAAGTCACAGGGGATAGCTTGCCCGTGCAGAACCTAGACGCTGTCAGAATGACACCAAATTTAACAAATGCGTAGCCCCGAACCTATCATTTGCCCAGGTATCTAGGACCGCCACGGTCAACATTACTGACAAATTCGCTGTGAGATCTGGCACAGTTCATACAGGCCCGCCAGCCACACCGAAGACATTGAACGGTCTGGCTGACCTCGGCCATACACTTGGAACAACGCCAGAACATAGGGGATTGCTCAGCGGTTATCTTGCGGACGAGATGTTTCTGATTGTTTCGCGACAGGCACTGGTCATGGGTCATAGGCCAGTTTATGCGTGTGTTGGCGGGCTGAAGTGGGCCTTAGCATTCTTGAACAAGCACACATGACCGAGGGTGGTCTGATTTCGGTACTTACATCGGTCGTGGATCGAGGACTTTGACGGGTTCCCATCTTATATCAGGCAAGAGCGGTGAATGAACTGTTGGATGATAGGCTTGGTGGAGGGTCAAGAGCATGAGAGGATATGGAGAGGGATGGTATCGGAGGAGGAATTCGCTCATGAGGTTTGTTATGTATCGGACAGAAAGATCTCGAGGCGATGGACCTTGATATAAGGGATAATGCTAGTTGATCAAACAAGCTGAGGGCCCAGCTATGACCCAGAACTCGGATTTCAGGCGGTCGAGTGAGTGAATGCAGCGTGACATAGAGAAAGGAAGTCTTTGTTTATCGCCGGAAAGATTCATGGCTTGGACGTCTCATGAATGGTCAAGTCACATCGTGACGTGGAGGCAGGATGCATAAATTGACAGCCGCAGAGCATGATATTCGTTATATAAGATAAATTTGTTGGGGGTCGCAACATCAAGTAGATCAAAAGGACGGGTACTAGGTCATGAGGGATACGGCTTAGGTATTTGTGGGACCGAGGGCGCTTTGTCCCTACCGCCTTGTCTTGGAAAACGGGTATCCCACCGATAGGTCTTGAGGATGCCGTAGATTCAGTCATGAGCCAGCAACGCGGAGCCGGAACGACAGCGACAGCCACACCACGGGCACCATGGTCAAGAGCAGACTTCTGACCCACGGCTGGTGTGGGCCAATGGCCCGTGGACCGCGGATTGACTAAATGGTTAGCGGGGGGATCTTAGAGTTTCGACTCAAGATCGTTTGTTCGGTCGTCGGAAGGGTGGAGCGCACTGTATTAGCGTTTACACCAGTGCGGGCAACGTCAATGAAGTGACTTTATGAGCAGTTGAGCATGCTGGGACCTTGTCGAGTTGGCCCCAAAACTGCAATACAAGCATAACCATGCCGGCTGTTTCGAGATTACAGCCATGTCATCGTGTGGAGCTGGGCCAGGGCTTATGAAATGGTTTCGGGTGGAGGTGAGTGCGCGAGGGATGGGTGGATGGCGTGGGAGATGAGGGGAGGAGAGGAGAGAGGGGAGGGAATGTGATGGAATTAGAGAGTGAGAAGGTTGAAGTGACGGCAGCATTGGCGTGGGGCGGTCAAACATGTTGAATCTCACAGGGACCGATAGGAGCGTCAGTCAACAGTGAAAGCCGGTCAATGAAAATAAGACCGGTGGACATTTGAGATATCGACATTGGCTGCGGGTAGTGGAAGGTGGTGCTGGTGTCGACAGGGGATCAGGCTAAGTCTCCGGGCGACTTCTGAAGGAGGGATGGTGCAGAGAGATCTTGGAACGTGTTTGATGACAGGAAAGAAAATGGATCGACTTGTCACTACGCTGAGGCGGAAGCGGGACGGGCAAGGACTAGGACGGGGGTAGGTGATAGGACGGGGATGCAATGAAAATACTGTAGCGAGACGGGTTGAGGGATGAGGGATGAGGGTTGATGGTTCGATGGTTTGATTTTTTTTGGTGTCGATGGTTTAGGCAGCAAGGAGGAAGGTAAAAGGAGGAAGGTGGAGGTGGAGGTGGAGGGTGGAAAACAGGAAGGAGCGTCCGTGGCATGAAAGCCTCCAGAAGTTCAGAGGAAGGAGCGAGTCCGTGGAAATGCGTGCTTTCCCGAACTTCGAGTATCAGTATCTTGTACATCACCATCTCTCCACAGGTAAACTTCTCTTCACCTCATCTCAATCATTCTCCCCCAACCCCAAGGCGAAACAACCACAAGAACCGTGCAGCAAGATCCCGGGGCCATGGAGTCGGGCGATCGTGTGCGATACGCCGTGGGCCCGAGCACCCGGGCTCTGTCGATCTCCTAACAAGGCTGGAAGGATTCGGATGACAAGAGGTGCAGAGCTAGCTTACGCATACAAGTTACAGTTGGGTGAGTCGTGGCTAGTCGCATGGGTCACTCTCCAGCTTACGAGACGCTAATCAGGCTAGCAGCCTCAACGCCAGGATGCCATGGCCAAGCTAAACCTCACACGAAACCCCAAACCAGGTGATGCATCTGGCGCCTCTCGAATCGAGTGACCAGGTTGGCCCGACAGATCTGTGACATGCCAGCCATGATCCGATTCCATCTCCCAATCAGTTTCATTTGTGCCTCCGATGGACGCCAATCAACAACCAACAACAGGGTCTGCAGATCGGCTGCAGGTCACGCATTAAACATCCGATCCCCCAGTTACTTTGCACGCGTGTCTCGAACAACAAGAGTGGACAAATGTCAGCAGAAGATGTTGTTGGAAAATAATCTATAAACTCTGCAAGTTCTATCAATGTCTTGAATTGGTCTTCTCATCATCGCTGACTGACCTCGCTTGCCGCTTGCGTCAACCACCTCACGAACCGGGGCACTATTCGCCGGTGCATCAATATAGAAGTACAACGAGCCGGACCCTTGACGGACATGATCTCCCATCATGCACCTCCAACCCGCACGGCACGATCAAGCCTGTCTCAAGATGCGGCTCAGGCTGGGTGACATGGGTCCACAACGGCTGCAGCTCGTCTTCCAATCTGGTTCTAATGTGGCTGCCAGATTCGAATAGCGAAGCCAGGCTGAGCCACCACCTGCAGGGAAACCTCCCAGGTGGAGACTTTCGTCTATGTCCAGGACTGCTTCGGACCAATGGCATGGTTCAGTGTCGCAGGCACAATAGTCAGAGCCGAGAGAAGTCCGGGAGGAATGACTTCTCGACATCTATGACATGTTGTCGACAGAGGGAGGCTTCCGTTTACGGTATAGTAAATGGCAGGGGCTTCTTGAATGACATTTCCCACGCCATGGCATTAGCTGGACCTCGCACAATGAGCCCGTGACGCTTCGACAGCAATACGATCGAGTGGAACAGGTGCTCTGTCAAATCTGCTAATCGTGGAGGTGAAACAGCGTGGAAATGTCCTCTGTCAAAAGCTAGTCAGCGCCAAGTTTCCCAATCATCTTCTCGTCCTGACTTACCTCCATGGTGGTTGCGTCGAATGGCTTCAGACAACAGATTGGATAGATCAATCACAATCAGCTTCTTGGATGCTCGGACTCGTTCCGGCACAATGGGGAAAGTATTGGTCACCACAATATGATCGATGCAGTCACACGCCTCCAGCTCTTCGAGAGAATCTTCGCCAAAAAGTGCATGAACAGCAATGCAGTAGACTCGTCTAGCCTGGCCGATCTTGACACAGGTTTCTGCTGCGGCGATCCAAGACCCTGAGCGGTCCAAGATGTCGTCCATTAGTAAAACCGTCTGATCTTTGACATTGCCCACCAATGTAATCGTATGCTCCAGGTCGGGCCTCCTGATATGCTCCTCTTCTTCGTCGGAGGTGGCCGCAGCATCGAATGTACCCCCTAGAGCGTGGTCTGGGCCGAGTGAAGAGGCATTCGACATAAAGGAAGAAGTCATCGGATCGTATCCTTGCACATCGGTGGCGTCCTGCGAGTAGCGGTCACCTGGAAGACCGGTGATGGAGGCTGACATGCTTGATACGGTGGAAGGATGGTCTTCATCCACCAGGTGCCCTTGGATCAAGCGTCCCACCATGACATCGCGCGCTCTTTCGTCAAAAGCAGCTTCGTTGGCCTCGTATTCTGATGGTCGGCGAGCGCTCGGCACCGTATCTGATCGGCCTAACCGATTGGGTGATGGTGATGGCGACGCCGACTCCACTCTTGTCGTCTGGACCAAAGGGCTTGAGGCAATTGTCACCGCTTTGGGCCTCCCTGGCCTGCTCGTACCATTGGTTAGGTGATGGCGGCCTCGAAGTGGGAGATCTCGTCGTCCGGAGGCATCCAACGCCTGATCGGATTCATTATCTGCCTCTTCACCATCATCTCCATCTTCACTCAGTCGTTGACCATAGCGAACAGTCTGGGGTTCGATTGCGTCGAAAAAGACAGTACTATCCATCATGCTCTGGTGATGCTGTGGTCGACGAGAGCGGTCCCGGTCGGTGGAGACCAAGGCGAATCTCAGCTTGAGGGCATCCGCTAACGAAGTGACACGTTTGGTGCCACCGACATTTTTGCTGACAACCACCGCCTCTCTCCATCTCAAGACATTGTTTTTGATCCACCGAGCAATGATGGGTTCAGCGTAAAGATTATCGACTGGTTTGCCGAAGAAACCCTGCATTTGGGAAGCATGGAGGTCGACGGTAATGATGTGATCGACACCAGCAACCACCATGAGGTTGGCTAGCATCTTGGCCGTGATGGCCCCGCGGTGACTCTTTTTCTTGGACTGGCGCGAATATGGAAAGTAGGGCATGACGGCGGTAATGGATTTGGCGGAACCCCCTTTGCAAGCTGCGATCATGATGAGCATCTCCATAACGCTATCATTGGTTTGAGGACTTCCGCTCTGGACGATGAAAACATCTTCGTTTCTAATCGAGGTACCAATCTGAACACTGATCTCGCCGTTGGAGAAATTGCCCAGGTCACATTTTGCCAAATCGCTCCCAAGGCGTTCTGAGATTTTGTGGGCAAGAGCCGGGTGAGACCGGCCAGAGAAGATCTTGACGCCTCGCATGTTGAAAGATGGATCGCTGATAGTCGGGCTAGCTGGACGAAGTTACTGTATGATACATGAAATTTGCGGAGAGAAGATGAGAGGAGAATCGAGCTTTAAAACATGATCAAGAACAAGAGACCAAAACAAGGTACCAAACAAGGAAAATGACGAATGAGTGATGAATGTGTATGAAGAGGTTCGAACGCGTTGCAAGATGGGTGACTGGGATGTGAACAAAGTTGTGTGCTAGTTTTTCCTCTTTGACTGTCGGATGAGGTTTCTTTCAGTCATAAAACGGGCGGCACTCGGAGAATTCTTTGGCGGAGACACACTGAATACACGTGATTCTTTTGGCGCGGAGCACTAATACTATATGCGCTATTTTCGCCACAATTGCCCCTCCTGGTCATGCTGACCTTTAGTATCAAAGAAATCTGTCTGGTTGGTGGGCTTCATGGCTTCTAGTAACGAATAGTCCACAGCATTTGAATATCCAAGCCCCCCTGCGTCCATCTTATCGGTCTCTTATCGGTCACGACGCTCACGCCCTCAAAGATTTCATCATTAGTGGCTATTTCTGTGCTTACCTTTTCTCCTACATCATCCTTTCTAGCCACTTGTTTGTCGCCATCAATGGCTGATCGTGTGCCTTTGCGCACAGCATGCCTTCCAAGTTCCCTGAGATCCAGGGTGGAGGATCTCTCATTTTAGCCTGGCAGATCAAGAACAAGCAAGTTCTTGTGGTCGGCGGCGGTGAGGTCAGCAATGGCATTTCCCGATTCCCGAGTTGGTCGCTGACATGTGGTACAGGTCGCCGCCGGTCGAATCGTCAACCTACTGAATGCCGACGCCAAGGTGACGGTCGTCTGTCCTCGTGATGGATTGAATCCAGAGGTGGCCTACCGTGTCGAGCAGGGGCAAGTCAAGCACATCGATCGAGTTTTCCTTCCTATCGACCTCGAGCCCGAAAAGAACGTCGCCATGGTTCTGACCGCCATCGACGATCCTGAAGCCTCGACCCAGATATGGCAATACTGCAAGAAGCTCAAAATCCCGGCCAACATCGCGGATGTGCCGCCTGAGTGCGACTTTTACTTTGGAAGTGTCCACCGGGACGGACCTTTACAAATCATGGTGTCTACAAATGGGAATGGGCCACGGATGGCCGCTGCCATACGTCGGCAGATAGGCGAGATGCTCCCCGCGGGCACAGGAGACAGTATCCAAAAAGTGGGAGATTTGAGGAGAAGACTTCGGCGCATGGCACCGGGCAAGACAACACGCGACATCACCAAGAGAATGGCTTGGATGACTCGAGTGTGTGACAGCTGGAGTACCCAAGACTTTAATGACATGGACCAAGATGACATGGAGCGACTCGTTCAGTATTACGAGAATGGAAAGGTCCCTAGCTTTGAGGAAATTCGACTGGGCTCGCGTGATGATGATGTGGTATGGGAATTTGACGGGTCATTTGGATGGATGGTGTAGGTATCTCTACATGATAATACATTATATGTTCGACGATCAAATCAAGGTCATGGCAAGCCTTGGAGCTTTGGCAGGAAAATGCCAACCAAGCACCAAGACCATGGACTAAGATTGGTAGATGCTTCTTGGTCCTCGTGTGTGACGCGTGTCTGGGAATTGAAGACCCACGCAATTATTTGCCCACATCGATCTATACACACAGCCTTGCAGCCCTGTGAGATGCACAGTGACCAAATCGGCCTGTAGTGATCGAATCTGTCGAGACAAAGCATATCCTGCATAATGCACGCTAGATGCAAACCCTGAATAGAGTCATAGGGATCTTGACCTGGCCTTGTTGGCCCAAAGAGGGGAAGAAATTCCAAGGTTGGGAGGGAAGATGACGTACCGCCCGCACTTGCCCTCACGATTCCAACTCGTGGACCCCTCCTTCCCCATGTACCGTAATGTCTGTCTTTTGGCGGCAGGTAAGAAGGAAGGCACGACCGGTGTCGGGGATTAGCATCTCATGAAACTCACTTTTCACAAGGCCACCTGAGCAACACGACCTTGGTCTCTGCTTCATGTCTCTTGAACTTTCTCTTCGTCTTCGTCCAACAATTCATTCTTATTCACCTAGCTATTCCTCCATCTCCTCGCGATAGTACGTCCTTTCGGCCGTCAGGGGCCTAGTTCCGATCTCGACCTTGTATGCGCAGAGAGTTCGCCCCAGATCGATCGTTGTCTCAGCCTCCCGTAGTTTGAGCCTCACTCCGTCATTAGTTCATCGCGGGGTCACGGTCCCATCCAGAGTCCAGCATGAAGGCACTTCGCGAAAAGCTCAAGGGTAGGTCAACTTACTTCCCCCGCACTTGGCCGCTTCTCATTCATAAACAGACTCCAAGCTGTACGATGCCAAAGTCGAGGCTATTCACTTCAAAAACAAACTCGGCAAGCTCAAGAACATTATCAACACCAATCATCGTCACGACGAGGAACATGAGCAGGAAACTGACCGCAAGAGGACCGCCATCTGCGAAAGCCATCGCTTCAAGTCCTTCTTCCCCGAACGTGACAACAACAACATCAAATGGTATGTCGATGGCCGTGACTACATGTGGGCCATCTCCGTTGCCCTCGAGAACGCCAAAGAAACCATCTACATTGAAGATTGGTGGTTGTCCCCTGAGCTCTTCTTGCGACGACCTGCCTTTTTCAACCAGGAATGGCGACTCGATCAAACCATCAAACGTGCCGCGGAGCGTGGTGTTCAAGTCTATGTCATTGTCTACAAGGAAGTCCAACAGGCCCTGACCTGCAACTCGGCCCATACCAAGCATGCTCTGCGTGCTCTTTGTCCTGAAGGCACCAAAGGCCATGGAAATATCCACGTCATGCGCCACCCCGACCACAACGTCTTTGAGAATTTCGGCGACATGACCTTCTACTGGGCCCACCACGAGAAGTTCATCGTCATCGATTACGACTTGGCTTTCATCGGCGGTATAGATCTGTGCTATGGCCGATGGGATGTTCGACAGCACCTTCTCGCCGATGTCCATCCTTCCGGTGTGGTTAACGAGGTCTTTCCTGGACAAGACTTCAACAACAATCGGCAGGTATTCTCCTCTTCCTTGCACTTACTCTACTAATCCTCCTAGAATCATGGACTTTCATACCGTTGAAGACTGGTCCAACAACGAGCTGGTCAAGACTGACTACGGTCGAATGCCGTGGCATGATGTCGCCATGGGTCTTGTGGGTGAATGTGTGGTTGATATTGCCGAACACTTCGTTCTGCGCTGGAACTTCATCAAGCGAGACAAGTACAAACGCAGCGAAGCCGTCGACTATCTGTGCATGACCACCAGAGCTCGTGCAGACGGCTCTAACCCTGATGAAGACCTAATTGCAATCCAGCGACCCAAACACCCTGTTGGAAAGTATATCGAGCATCCACTCAGTCCATTGGAGAACAAAAAGCTCACCGATGTTGGCACCGTTCATGCTCAGCTCGTCCGCAGCAGTGATGACTGGAGTAGCGGTATTCTTGTAGACCACAGTATCCAGAATGCCTACGTCGAAGTCATCGAGAAAGCTCAGCACTATGTCTATATCGAAAACCAATTCTTCATCACAGCCACCGGTGATCAGCAAGCCCCAATTCACAACACCATTGGCCGTGCCATGGTCAATGCATGCCTGCGCGCCGCAGAGGAAGATCGCAAGTTCCGCATCATCATCGTCATCCCTGCCATTCCTGGATTTGCGGGTGATCTCCGCGAGGATGCTGCCATCGGCACTCGCGCCATTATGGACTATCAATACAAATCCATCAACCGGGGGGAACACTCCATCATGGGCCAGTTGTCCAAAGCAGGCCTCGACCCGCACAAATACATATTCGTCTTCAATCTCCGTGCCTATGATCGAATCAACAAGACCCCGGCCCTGATTCAGCAAGAAAAAGAATCTGGCGTGTCCTACCAGGAACTTCAACGCGCTGAAGCCGAAGAAATCATGGGCACTGGCATCCACGGATATGCCGATGAGTTCCAGGAAGGAGAAAGCAAGAGAACCAATCAAATCTCCGAGGACGAACAACACGAGATCATTGACCGAAAGCGACGGTTCGAAGCTGCCCGAAGAAACGTCGACGCTGAAGACCCCATCACTTCAACGGACTCCATTGCCGAAGATGCTTTAGCTCGCGGCGGCTTGGTGTCGGAGGAGCCATGGGAGGGCGAAAAGGAAGACGAGAAGGAGCATTTTGTGCAAGAAGAGCTTTACATCCATGCAAAGCTTCTCATTGCTGACGACAAGACTGTCATTTGCGGATCCAGCAATCTCAATGATCGTTCTCAGCTCGGCTCACACGACTCGGAGCTGTCCATTGTCATGACTGATACGCGACCACTTGAATCCACTATGGATGGTCAACCATACCAGGCAGGCTACCACGCCGCCACGCTCCGACGACATCTGTGGCGAGAACACCTTGGAATGATCGATTCACAAGAACTCGACGCATCGAAAGACCCCAACGCCCAGCCACCTAATGTTTGTATGAATGACGAATACTCGGGTGAAGAGTGGGAGTTTGTCGCCGATCCACTAGGCGACGCAGTGTGGGAAAAATGGTGCACGCAAGCTACCACAAACACTGAGATCTATCGACATCTATTCCGTGCCGATCCTGATGACAACATCAAGACTTGGGCTGACTACGATTCGTTTGCACCCCGTAAGACTATCAAACAGGGCCACTTGCACGACCCGCACATGCCTGTCGACCTAGTCCGTAAGGAGCTCGACCGAATCCGGGGACATTTGGTTTGGATGCCTTTGGACTTTTTGTGTAACGAAGAAATGGCAGAGAAGGGTTTGCAGGTCAACTCATACACCGAGGTAAGTATTTCGATGCTCTCAGTCGTATTTCATGTTTGGATTCAGGCTAACCATGGCTTCCTTGGGCAGAGTATCTACACTTAGACTGCCACGGTAATGGTTCTCGTATGGTCAATAGAGGATTTGTCCTCTTTGCGCAATGATAAAGTCAAGCCGGTAGAGGAAATCGCCCCTGTCGGAATGATGCCATTGAAAAGCATGTGTGGGGTCTTGCTCATGATTACAGGGGCCACGAAGCCGGAATATTGGGGAAACCCCATGTCAATCTCAATAGTCATTCCTCGACCCTTCGTCTTATTCTATGATGATATTCAGCTATTTTCGGCCGTTTTGCCTGATGATTGGATAGTGATATGGAGCCTTATTGTGGGAAGCTTTGCGAGTCACAAATCGTGCCATTAAAATAGTCAAAGGGAGAAGTGAGGTCTGCTCAGTGTGCCTTCGAGGAATATTTATCTTTCGATTGGAAACACTCGTATAAGTTTTGAACCAAGATGACCCATCTATCTCATGACATGATTTGATATGATCTCCCGAAAAGTGAACAACTGCTGATGGTACATCTCTATCTTGGTTACATGGTGGCAATATCTAGATCATCGCTCCGAGCTGGGCCCGACACTCGGCTTCTCTCTCTCTGGCGGATGTACGGATTCAAAGGGCCGTCGGCGTTCAATAATACTCTTTTTATAAACATGCAACTTTTCTACTGACCACCCGTCCGGCTGTGCCTGCTTCCCCGGCGACTGCCAACACCGTACTCAAAACCCCGGCTGGAATGGCCAGGACTGGTTGGCAGAGCACTGGTGCTGCCGTTCCTGGTCGAGCTGACACTGCCTTCTCGACCTCTGGGTTGCACATACTCGGGCATGCCAAAGCGAAGTTCGCCAACGCGTCGGAACATGCTCCAGAGTGCATGGCGCATGTCAGTGCCAATGTCCTTCTCCAACAAACCCACTGATAACGGGTAGAATGTCTCTAGGTGCTTCTCGAAACTTTCCTTGGGGAAGTTCACGTATCCTTCTAGAACATCAATTACCACAGGTCGCCATGCTACAATGTTGCGCTGCTGAGTATCTTCTTCGAGGAGGACAAAGGAGCGAATGATATCTGCGCAGAGTCTACCGGAATAAAAGATTAGTTCTGTGGATTGGATGTTATGAGCAGGTCACTTACGGTATCAATGCCCCTTCGGTCTGATCTCGACTAGATCTTCTTTCCTCCCCTTCATCGTGGTACATCCTGAGAAGAATACTCACATATGTATTTGCTGATCCTGACTCCTGCTTCAGCAGATTGGGTGGCTGTCTCATGAACCCCTGTCGCCACAGAGCCATGCGGAGATCTTTGTCTCCATTGAACTTCTTGGCAAATTGATATGACTTCTTCAAGAGCGTCATTAATCGCAGAAGTTCGGGCGATGGAATCTGTGCGTAGACAGAATCGTTGGAGAAAAGCTCAGCAACCGTTTCGATCATGAGAAGCTGAAGGACACAATTGGTGATGATCTTGTTGAAGAATCGGCGTCGGGCGGCCGTGACAACAGGCATAGGGGTTTGGAGATCTGTATGCGGTCGATAGTCTTCGAGCTCCTGGGTTGATTGGGAGTGTGGCACGTCTGTCGAACCTTCAAGCCCCTGGCTTTTCTGGTCCAGGGAGGGTGTTGTGGGTGGGAAAGCCTCTGGCGCTCCGTTGGTTGTTGGGGTTTCAACAATGCTCCCACCCGATATCGACAGTCCGTCCCCTCCATCATGTGCAGGCGTAGGTCGAGCATCGGACATGGTCGCCGCCGCCGAGAATAACTCATATGCGGTAGTTCTATTGAACAACTCGACAAAGGCAGTGACAATTCTTGCCCAGTGGTCAGCCGTGAACTTGGTGACATTCTGGAGAATCAATTGTTGGAGACAGTTGCTGCCAATGCGGGCGATAGTGTCATTCTCTTGACAGATGCACAATGTTAGCAGATCCAAGAACCTGTCAAGCATGTGCTCGAGAGAATCAAAATAATGTGTGAAGAGAGTGATCATGTTTCGAAGGGCTTGGATCATTGTAGTTGAGAGCCATACCGATAACTCCTCGTGATTCGGGGCTTTGGACATTTCCGACTTGGATTGGAGGACAACGAAGATAGGGTAGAGAAGCTGACGCCACAAGGTGTCCCAGAAGTCAGTGGGGAAATCACCTCCATATCTGATCAATGTGTCAAACAAGTACGTTAGTGCTCTTGATCGTACTTCAAGATCTTCACCCGTCATGAGGACATCTTGATATGCAATAAGGACGGGGTACCAGAATTGCTCTTCTTCGGTTTGAGAAGTAGGCTGTTTGACGCCGGCGACGACACCAGACGCAGACGATTCTTCTTTTGTGATGTGCCGTCTCGAAAGTGGACATTCTGGCGTCTTGAGCATTTTGGGAACGGTAGACTTGAGCAATTCAATTGCCTGCAACGACTTCTTTTGGAATTTGAGATTCTTCGAAAATTCCGTCAAGCAGATAACAAGGTCTGGGAACGACCCCTGGGTAATTACAACCCCAAACCGAGTATTGTATATTTGAGTGGTGTAGTCAAATGCGATATTGACAATCGCTTCATATCTTTCGGTTGCCGCAATTGAGAAGACACCGAACATAGTCTTCCAGCCAGACCTGATATTGTCCCCACGAGCCTGTATCATCTGAATCAAGCAGCGCAGAACCATGTCCTTGACTGACACAACGGAAGTGTTAGACATGACATGTTCGAAAGGCTTCAAAAAGTCTTTTTGAAACTTGAAACCAGGTAATTCCTCTATCTCCATGAAACGCATGGACAATTGTCGAAGTGAATCGAGGGCAAAGAAAACAACAGCTGTGTTGTTGTGACAGCCGACTTGATTGAAGTGCTCGCCTAGAATTTCCCAGATCCGCGTCCACTCAATCCTGACTCGGGTCATGTTGTAGTAGCTGATTTCGACCAGCTTTTGCAAGCTATAAGTTCGCGGCGATTCACTGTTGCCCGAGGACTGGATCTCTTGCCAACTGACATCACTGAGTGCTCGTACAAAATCGACAATTGCTTCTGAGGAGAGTTTGGCAGTATTTGTGAAGATCCTGTCCACGCCTCGGACCATGTCAGTGGACTTTGATTCGTCCGCAACTTCAGGCCGGAAACTATGTGCAGATCGTGGTCGGGTCCTCATGGCGGCTTGCATAGATTTGCGACTCCGGCTACCATCTTTCCCATGAGATGGGAGAGGAAGGTTGGCTCTGTTCACATCTGGAATGGCCCCTTCGTCAATACCGGTGGAAAGTAATTGAAGTCGATCCAGCTGGCTGATGCACATCAAAACTTCGCGCCAAGCACCTTTCAGATGATCTCCATCGGTGAGCGCGACCTCGATGAGAACTTTCAGAGCCTCGAGGTTTTTGGCTTGCATTTCTTTGATATTGCTCAAGTTGGTGAACTTGGCGAGGGCGGTCACAAAAGCAACACGTGGCGTTTCCAAATCAAAACGACATGAGATGCGAATGGCGAGCTTTAGACCATCTAGACATTGTCTGATCAAGTCAAGGTTTTGAGCATCTTGCATCTGACTAGAGAACGCGGACAAGAAAGACATCCAGCTCACGTTGAACATGGGACCCACGTGCTTGGAGGAAGTGGCTGGTATAAATCGCGACAATGCATCACGGAGGGCGGACTTCTTTTGTGCTCGGATGAGACTTCGGTAGAGTTGCTCGGTTTTGTTGGCCATCTCTTCTGAAGCTTGGGCATACTTTTCTTTTTGGAGATCGCGGCCAACATTGGCGAGGGCTTGACCGGCTCTGGAAGCCAACCCAGCAGCAGCAGGCCCGGAAGTGATTCCAAGCTCGGCGGCGTGTTCGCGCTCCGATGTTAGGACGATTTCATTGCCCTGAATTTCTTCATAAATGCTGGCAAGGTATTCCTGAGGTAGATCTTGACCGTCATTGATACCTCGATTGTTCTTGACAAAGTCTTCCAGAGTCATTCTTCGTCCCTTCATCTTCGTACTATGTTGATCTGTATTCAACAGAATCACCGAGTACGCAAGGATGTAGGCAGTGTCCGCATTGGCAAATGCATTTGGGTTTCCAGTCAAATAGCGTTCCGCAAACTTCAGCATGAAACGATCAATCTTTTGTGCTTCGCCAGGAAGGCGGAAACTCTGCAAGAACTGTCTCAGCGCATCCACAAAGCGCCGTTTTGCAAAGTCCATCCCGTCCACAAATGCATGCATGACAGCAATGTTGGCTTCGTCACCTTCGCCTAGATACTCCCCAAGCATGGCTTTGTCAAGTTTGTCGTTGCCATGCAAGAATCTAGCAATATCTTGGGGAGAGTCGCTTCGAATGAAGCCATTGGCAATCAAGGATTTGATACCCCGTTTGGCCTTGAAGTTGAATTGTCTGATGCCTTCATTAAGAGCCGACTTCCGTTTTCGGATCTTTTCTATTTCATTCGGATCGTCTTCCGCGACAGGGGTTGAAACTCCGGATTCACTGCTGATTCCATGAACTCGTGGGGACGGAGGTGGCCTGTCGGCATTGTCCAAGGAGTCACGAGAGTCCTCAAAAGAGCCCCGAGACATTGGGTATCGAGATGCATTGGGCTGATCCTGCGCCGGATGCGTGGACCAGCTATCAAGCGAAGACAGGATCTCGACAAGGCAGCGGAGCGACTGCTGTTTCAGAGAGTATTCGACAGGGATTATCGGCGGAGGAGGAGGCTGGTGGCTCAAGGCAGCAGTTGAAAGTCCTGGTAAAAGGGAGCCTTTAGAATGCCATTCCGAGGCGCCTGAGGGGGTGGACGGTTTATGTTGCTGTTCCTGATACTGATGCTGCAGGGCAGGAGTGATGGGAACGGGGGTGCTGCAAATCCTTGATAGATGCTCAATGATTTGCTGGTACATGTTGTCTAGTGCCGTCCGATCACAATCGTAATTCAGATATATCTCGACGAGGGCTCTTGGGTCAGCTGAAAGCCTTTCCAAGACGTCCATGAATTTTTCCTTTTGAAAGAGGGGTGCACTCCTCTTCTCCAAGACGGCAAGATAAACCTCCTTCATGAAGACCTCCAACTCCTTTTTCATTAACACGCGCAAATTCTTTAGGGACAGCCAGAAAATCTCGCAACAAACTTCGTAGACACGTGACACTGAACTGGCTGCGTTTCTGGAGAGACTCAAACATAAATGGGGTTTGGCAACCTGTAAGAAAGGGGTGGTTTCTTCACTGTTGCCACTTCTGATGGTGGAAAAGGACGACGTGAAGACAGTAGTGTAGTTGTTTATGAGGTGATAGATTAGATGCAGTGACAAGAGCTTGGAGCGCATGTTCTGAGAGCGAAGATCTTGTTGCTGGTCATGAGTCAGGACTTTTTGACTTAGTTTGCATAGAGAGCGAAAAACAAGAAAGGCATCTTTGATATAGATCTCATCTTCATCCTCGGGCGAAAAGTCAGAATCTTCCTGATCATCTTGCAGACTGTTCCGGGCAGTGGGACCCGAGTTGGATCGTGTTTTGGGTCGTTCTGCCCTCGCGCGTGTGACTGTAGTAGGAGCGCTATCAGCCACAAGAGCATCATCTAGGTTCTTGTTGTGCTCAAAGCTTTCGAGGGTAAGTTTCTCCTGAGTCTTGGTGGGTGTGTCTCCTAGTTGTGGGGGGCTCTCATGATCGGGAGTCGCGACCTGACCGTTCAGTTCTCCATGCTCAAACATGGACGCCTCGCCGGATAAGGCGTCGTCTGACTTGGGGTCGTTACTGTCTCTCATACGAGCCTCTTTAACATCGAGCCGTGTCCGGACGCGTGAGAATACAGTGGCAATCATCTGGAGTAAAGAACCTTGAGCGACCTGTTGGTTCTGGCTCGATTTTGAGTAGATGAAGATGTTGTACACCTGGCGCACAGCCTTGAGTAAGCCAGCGCCGTGGACCACGATTTTGTCGTCAAGAACGGCCGCCAGAAGGGATTTGACGATTTGCTGCTGGATCTCCACCGCGGTAGCTTCATTCTCAAAACAATCGCAGATGGCTTCAATGGCCCTTTCGATGAGCGGGGGAGTATCGGCGGAGTCTGTACGAGGGTCTCCGGCGACGGGGAATGCAAAGTATGAATAGCTAATGAGCTTGCCAATACAGTCGAGGGCGGTAACTTGCATCTGGACATTGAAGGACTTTGTGGCCATCTGGAGAGGCTTGAAGATGGTTTCAGGATTCACAGCCTGCTCAGGATTCTTGATATTGGCCAAGGCGGCTTGAACAGCATCGGTAAAGTCCTTGTTACGGCGAACTTCTTTCGACGCTCCTATCGACTCGAGTGCGCTGATGACAAAGACAGTGGAAGTCACTGGTAGGGGGCGGGCGGGGGGTGTGGGCCTGGAGTTTGCACGCTGGGATCTGGTAGCAATTGGTGCTTCCGAGGACGATACACTCTGTTCAATTCTGTCGCTTGCAGGCTGAGAATCGGTGTCAGGATGCTCCTGGACTGACGAAGCAGCGTCTTGAATGGTGGACGTGTCGGCTGGCGGATTAGCATGTTCAGGATGGGATGCGCCAGCCTGATATGACTGTGAATCTAACGCATCGTGGTCAGGGGTGTCGTCGTGGGAAGCATCATCGGCCGTGCTTTCACTCTGGGTGTCATCCTCAGCATCCACGTCTTGGACATTGATGGTGACTCCATGGTCTACCATCCGGTCGTCTTCTGTATCTTGGACGGACTCAGGCTGGCCCGCTGAGTCTGTGGTCGGTTCATTGTCTGAAGCGGCGTCTTCCGAGATGGTTTCGGCGGACGGTTCGCGGTCAGGAGGAGGACTTGCAGGCGGGTGGCTGTCGTCGCTAGACATTTGGCCGGCGGGGGGGAGCGAGGGTCGGGGAGGAATCAGGGGAGAGATTCACATGGGGTAGAGAGAGGATTGAATCGGCGCATCGCAGTCAGTAAGAAGAAGAAGGGCGAAGGGAATATGTAGATGACACCAGAAACAAGAACGGTGCTGAGAAGTGAGCGGGATCGAGAAATGTCCAGATGTCCGAATTGGGAGATGGAGGAGGGAGTTGGAGTTGAGATGTTCAAGGCAAGGGCCACCAAGAAAGTACGAGTACCAGGAACCTAACAAGTTAGGCTGACGAGACGCGGCGCGGGCACGCGCAGCAGGAGGAAGGCACTCGAGCCGCAGCCCGAGGGCCCTACGGAGTAGGCGGTCCTTCCCATGTGGTATGTGGATATCTGGCTACGTATACAGGTATAGAATATGTTTATGCCTGCGAATTGACACAGGTTCCAAGTTATTGTTCTACGAAATAAGATCCTTCTTTATAGATATTGCTGTTATAGTGAAAGGGGACTCAGCGGCTGATAATAACAGTCTCCTCATCAAAGCAGAATTGAAACTTGATCCTGCCTGAGGCCAGTGACAGGATACGATGACAAGTCAGGGAAAGTACCTGGACAATTGGTGACAGTTGGCAAGAACGAATGTGCTTTGTGCTTGTGCGCTTGAGATCTTTTGACTTGACCGTACAACTCGTGGAAGACGAAGCACGTGAAGTGGGGGCGGGTGTACTTCGGAGTATTGATGCAACTGGAAGCAAGACCCTCCAGACCCTAGTCCCTTAGGGGGTCAATGGGGCCACTGAGGCTAAACTGGAGCCCTGCCGTCCATAGCCTTAGGTGCTCGGGGAGCTTAGCCATGAAATTTTGAGAACCATCGAAGCTGTTGAGGAGACCAAAAGCCCCAAGAGACCAAGAGAGGAGCTCCCAACCCAAACTTCAGTCCAAGCTCCACTCCGTAGATACACGACAGTCCAACTGCTGGCCATCATCTTCTCCATCTCGGGGGCCGCGCTATATTCAACCACTTTTCTTTAAACCACCCACCATCTCACCTTTGGGCCTCGCTCTCGCATCCTCTGGTCGGGTCTCGGTGACTGTCTTGGTCTTCTTCAACTTTCCCAGTTTCTTCTCTACCCTCGCTGTCGCTCCTTTTCCCCCCAAAGGTCCTTGACCCCGGCCTTCAACCTTGATTCTTCCCAATCTTGCAACAGTGCAGTGTCCGCCATGGCCACATCGACATTGCTCGCCCGCTCGGGCTCACGCCTTCTCCTTCAGTCATCCTCGAGCTCGAGACTCAGTCGCAGTGCTCTGCAGAGACTACCAACTGCTGCCACGTATGTGCTTGCCATACAACTCAGAGCTTCTAGACAAAACTAATCTGGTCTCAGTTCCCAACACCTCCCCTGCCTCTCCGTCCTAGGCCGTTACTATGCCTCAAAATGTACTTGACAATCTTTCACCCCGTTCCCTGCAGCACCTTGACTAATGTCTGTCTCCAGCGTTTCCGCCTCACACAATCATCAGCATGCCCGCCCTCTCCCCAACCATGACCGCAGGAAATATTGGCGCATGGCAGAAGAATCCCGGCGATACTTTGGCTCCTGGAGATGTTCTGGTCGAGATTGAGACCGATAAGGCGCAGATGGATTTTGAGTTCCAAGAGGATGGTGTACTGGCCAAGATCTTGAAGGAGTCCGGCGAGAAGGATGTCCCCGTTGGAAATGTGCGGTCTTGTCTCCTGCATCCCCATCATTTTTGCTAACCAAGAAACAGCCTATCGCAGTTTTGGTTGAGGAGGGAACAGATGTCGCAGAATTCGAATCCTTTACACTCGAGGATGCCGGTGGAGAGAAGCCTGCACCCAAAGAGGCCCCCAAGGAAGAAGCTGCGAAATCCAGCGAGAAGTCAGACTCCGGCTCGGGCACCGCCCCTCCAAGTGAATCCAAGGAATCAGCTCCAGAACCTGTCGAGTCCGAGTCTACTGGTGAGAGACTGGTACCATCTCTCGACCGCGAACCCAACATCAGCCCAGCGGCTAAGAAAGCCGCCTTGGAAAAAGGTGTTTCGATCAAATCAATCAAAGGAACCGGCCCAGGTGGACGCATAACCCTTCAAGATGTGGAGAAGGCCACACCTTCTGCCGGAGGAGCTGGTGCTCCAGCCGCCGCCGTAGCCTCAGGGCCGACCTACGAGGACATTCCTGCTACCTCCATGCGAAAGACCATCGCCAACCGTCTCAAGGAGTCTATGAACCAGAACCCTCACTACTTTGTCTCGACTACGCTGTCCGTTACCAAGCTTTTGAAACTACGCGAAGCACTCAATGCCAGCTCTGAGGGCAAATACAAGCTCTCGGTCAATGACTTCCTGATCAAGGCCATTGCCGTTGCCAGCAAGAAAGTCCCCACAGTCAACTCGAGTTGGAGAGAGGAAGGTGGCCAGACTGTCATCCGCCAACATAAGGTGGTGGATGTGAGTGTGGCAGTGGCTACACCCGTAGGCCTCATGACTCCCATTGTCAAGAATGCTGACAGCATTGGTCTATCATCCATCTCGTCAATCGTCAAGGACCTCGGAAAGAGAGCCCGAGACGGCAAGCTCAAGCCAGAGGAGTACCAAGGAGGAACCGTTACGATCAGCAACATGGGCATGAACGCCGCGGTGGAGCGATTCACCGCCGTCATCAACCCCCCTCAAGCCGCCATCCTCGCCGTTGGAACTACCCGCAAAGTAGCAGTGCCTCTCGAAACCGAGGAAGGAACAGTGACCGAGTGGGACGATCAGATCATCGTCACCGGTAGCTTCGACCACAAGGTCGTGGACGGCGCTGTGGGAGCCGAGTGGATCCGCGAGCTGAAGAAGGTGGTCGAAAACCCTCTCGAGATGCTTCTGTGAGAGACGGTCGATCCGTCTAGCTGTTTTGGGAATTTCAGGTCGAGTTTTAGCGAAGGCTGGTTGCAAGCAGGAAGAGGAAGGGCATGTATAATACACAGAATTCTTCCTTGTTACTAGTGTGGGCCACCCAAAAAGCAAGGTAATTGTCCCATGTTGATTGAGCCGGAGACGTAGCCACGTATTGTATTGCCATTTGAAGCGATTATATTCATCTCAACATTCCAACCACTAACTCCCAAGTCTCGAGTGTCGAAGTCGAAGTCTAGTATCTCATGCCCTCACTTCCATCACCCACATGCAACAAGCAGCTGGAGACTTCCGGAACAGACCGGCCATGTATGCATCAATCCATATATATGTCCAGCTCCCAGCAGAAGGAAATCGAAGGGAGAAGTGGACATTTCCCAACAAGTCATGACCAAAGGGTGGAGGAGAAACTTTAGACATGCGTAGTAGAAAATGCAAGGCTGCAAGGCTAGCCAATGATGATTCCACCAATCGCAAGTCAACATTTGGTCGCTTCGGCCTGACTTTCGCCGGCCACCTCAACCAATGCGGAAGCCCAGCCCGCCAACGGATAATGGACAATAATAAACAGCAGGCAACATGTTGCCAGGTTTGAGATACTTTTACATGACAATCATAATAGAAGTAATGATGGTGATGATAATGATACTACCAAACTTAGGGCACAACTATCAGCATCTATCATGGACAGATACTGTGGAAGTCCGTTCATAGCAAAGTTATGATTAAATAATTGGGGGAGAGGTCAATGGGCGAGGTCTATTCACTACATGTGGAGGACTTACCACTTCCTTATGTCTCATTGTCATAGACTTATATAGCAGAGGGAGCTGATAGCCCATCTCAATACTAAGGTATGTATGATCTGCAATGTGACATGACTCCTGATTATATTCCTGAAGAATGCGATATATCTGCTAACCATGGAATTTGCACAATCCCTATAGCATTGGTCATAGTATGTATATGCTTTCCTAACGACTAATCTGATAACATCGACATATATCTTAACGAATATACACCTCCTCCATACTTTCATTGTCGGTGTCATCCGCCAATCTCTCGCGGTTGCGCCTCTCGGCATCCTCCAGGATGGTACAATTATGGCACAGCCCACCCTCACTGATGTCTTCGTCAACCTCGACACCATTGCACATCTCGTCTGTGTTGAGGTCGATCTCCTTCAAGACTCTTCCCCCGGTTGGACGGCGCCTGCATTCCACGACTTCACCAGTGCGGGCGGTAATGGTTGTGCTGCAGTTGGAGCAGATCACACGGGTATCAGTGCGATAACACATCTTGAGCTGCCGATGTGGGTGAGACAAAGTTCAGAGGAGAATGTTTCTGTCGTATGCAACTTACTATTGTAATTGAAGGGGGTTGCTCTTTGGAATATCGTTGTTCGTGGGATTTGTGCCGCTCAAGGGTGGGATGCCGACAGAAAACCACTATCTAGTGCTGCGACTCGCACCATGTTTATGTACCTGGAGGCTCATAGCGGGAAGTCGGGCACAGGGACATTTCCAGCTAGGGGCATGAGTATCGATATTGGGCACTGGGGCGAGCGCCCTGATATAGTGTGTGTTGATCAAGCCATGGACTCTCCAGGCAGACACCTGCCTGACCCGCGATAAGGCGTCGAATCAAATGCATGCGGTAAGAGTGCAATGATATACCGAACGACGACTTGGTAGCAGTGTGACACCATGGGGCCAAAAATCTTCACGGCGAGCAATGATCCGGTCCTGAAGAGACACTGCAGCCTCACCGGTGATATTTTCATTGTAACATCGCTTACCTGCTTTCTGGGTTGTGTTGACAAGGCTGATATGGGCAAATGACGAACGCCTGGCCTTCTAAGAGCCTTGCCTGATGCGGAAAACCTAATGGCCAGCCATGGTCAAGGTTTATGAATCGCCGTGTCGAGGTCGGAGAATGCCACGTTGGGGAATGAGAGAATACAGAAATGCTGTTGACGCTTACCTGGCCACTGGCCGTCATATATCAATTGTGTGAATGGATGTGAAGGTCGAAGAGACCGAATCGTTGAGTAGGAGGAGAGATGAAGGGAGTGGCAATCGGTGCGCAATCGGTAAAACCGTAAAAGCGGCGTTGTTGGGACGAGGCTGAACGTGGGAGGCGAAGGCACTTGCTGTCTTCTTTCTTGGTGCTTTCCCCGTCGCTTTTAACTCCCGCCAAGCCAGAAACTTTTTTATGTTGCCTGCGGCATCACTGGCGACCTGCGACTTCAGTGCCATTCCTACATGTGAATACCTCGTCGAGCTGCGTCGGTCTTGTTCTATGCCAGTTGGGGCCAGGCTTGTGTCCCCCCATTAGGGTTGCGTTCACCCTGCCATGAGCTTAACGTCGCGAATCTCCAGCTTCTTTACCCAGAGCCCCGCGACCGAGAACAATCTCGAAGGTCCACACCATGCCTTCAATGCCCCAGAGCTCCAGATCGACCGCTCACGACAGAATAAGACTCCGCGCACAATGGCGGGATCGGACGAAGAGGAAGACCTGGAGTTGAAGCGGCCACCGTTCATTCATGTAAGTCCGGAAGGTCCGGCCAATTCGAGTCGGTGAGGAAGCTCACATCGTTTGCGCAGTGTATGCTTGCTGGTGGCACCGGAGGAACGTCAGGCGATATTCTGATGCACTCCCTTGACACTGTCAAAACGAGACAGCAAGGAGATCCTCATTTCCCTCCCAAATATTCCTCTTTATCCGATTCCTACGTTAAAATCTTTCGACAAGAGGGTGTGAGAAGAGGTTTATACGGCGGCTTCACAGCTGCCATGCTGGGTTCCTTCCCCGGCACTGTCATATTTTTCGGGAGCTACGAATACTGTAAACGCAATATGCTGGACTATGGCATCAACCCCTCCTTAGCCTATCTTGCTAGCGGTATGCTCGTCTTCTCATCCAAGACCATTAACATATATCTGACATACCTTCGTTAGGTTTCCTCGCCGACTTTGCAGCCTCCATCGTCTATGTCCCTTCAGAGGTACTCAAGACCCGCCTCCAGCTCCAAGGCCGATACAACAATCCGTTCTTCAATTCGGGGTACAATTACAAGTCAACGTGGGACGCAGCGAAGACCATTGCCCGGACCGAAGGCTTTGGTGCCTTATATTCGGGATACAAAGCCACCATCGTTCGTGATCTTCCCTTCTCGGCATTACAGTTTGCCTTTTATGAACAGGAGAGGAGATTCGCTCAAGAATGGATGGGAAAGAGCGACATCGGTCTTGGTTTGGAAATCAGCACGGCAGTTTCAGCAGGCGGGATTGCTGGTGTCCTGACCTGTCCTCTCGATGTTGTCAAGACTCGAACGCAAACCCAAATCACACCTGACAACCACAGTACGAGCAGTCAAGCAACGCACATGGAGAAATTGGCTAAAACCCATCGGTCAACCGCATCCAAGCAAACGCGGATGATCCATTCGGGGCCAAGAACAGTGCCTCACACGACACCAACTCTGGACACATCTTCCGTCATCACCGGGCTGAGATTAATCTATAAGACCGAAGGAGTACCTGGACTGTTCCGAGGAGTTGGACCCCGATTCGTATGGACTGGAGTTCAGACCGGGACCATGCTTGTCTTGTACCAATATTTGTTGAAACGGTTGGAAATCTCTTCTTCAGATGTGGCATCGGATGCGATCTAACAGCATCGAGCCGATTTTCTGCACGTTCTCCTTCTGGATGTGGACCCGATCTACTGCGGGATATGATGAGATGGCATTTTTCTGGCGTTGACGTGCATAAACGGCCGTGGACAGGTCGATCAGGATACCCTTGGAAGACAATATACTGTAGAACATGTCGGCAATAGCGATGGCGCTGGCGACTGAAATTAGCAACTAGCGATTCTCACGTGGGTGGGTCGTGTCGTGGGTTGCTGAAGATACTTATAGAGATACATTTTGTACAACAATAGCGCAACTACCATTCAACTCTGAAGCTGTAAATTCTGCCATCGTATTGGGAAGTTAAGACTGAATTAGATTTCCAAGCTTATGTCTAGATCTCTTGACACATGACATGGTCACGACGGAGAAGGCTCATTATAGTAGCATTACATACATACTCCGTATGTAGAAAGTTAGGCTCCACATGGCGGATCCATCGAAGTATATTTCCAGTGCGACGAACATGGCCATTCCATTAAATGTCCTTCATAACTGGAGTTGGTGGTTTGATGAACTGTCAATTTCTTGTTTCTATGCTTGCAACTATCATGTGGATTTGGCGTGGTGAGATGCCACTGATCGTCATTGCATGGCCTAGTCGCCAGGAGGCGGAAATAAGTCGAATTTTACGCAAATGCCCTGTATAGACCTGCTTTCCAGGCGAATACGATATATCCCTTAAAGTCAGGTCACGTGATGATGTTCCAGCGTTCCCCACAACTATCGTGGGCCTTAGGTTCCTCTCTTTAGGATGGGATACCGTGACAATAAGATAGCAAGAGATCTGGGGACCTGCAGTACGCTCGACTTATACCTATCTACCTACCTTGGAACCTCGGCCCCGGTGTCCAGCTATACAGTAGAATTCCAGACCACGGGCCGAGTGACCATCTCGAGAATGTCTGACAGTCTGAAAAGTGCACGTGAATGGCGTCGTTGTCGAGACTGGGGAAAAGGTTCAGGGGTATGGAACAAGCACCAGTCAATTAGGGTGAGCCTAACCCGAGTGGGAGGGTTAGCCTGTGGATGTGCAGAATAAGGCTTAAGAAGGATAAGTCACAAATGCTCCGGCCTCGTGGGAAACCCAATCACTGTCCAAGGATGCCTTTTTGTGGCTCAACGCTGCAGCCAGTCTTGGCGAGCCTCCCCTTTTTCCCAACTCCTACGGACGCCAGGGCGTTGGATTGCTGCTGTCAGTAGTGCCAACAGTGGCCGACTGTTTAAACACGCATGCGTGGCAGTGGCACGCCAGGCCTCCAGAGAAGGCTTTCTGGGGCCTGTTAACACTGCAGAAAAAGTGCCGGGCCTGTAGGAGTAGAAAATCCCATGACTTGGTCTCTGAAGAAAGAGGCCGAGGGGCTGCTAATTACTTGCTTGGTGCACCAAATAGGTACAGGCGAGACATTTGAGTGATTGCTGCAGTCGACCTGCACCACCTTTTGACCACCGTAGAAATTACATTCTCCTTCTTCATACAGTGACTACCCAACGCACCAACATTCTGTTCTTTTCTGAGTAGCGCATTTGATTCATCTTCGCATTCGCTATTTATCATTCTCAGCCATCGTCTTGCGATCTCTTGTACCCAGGTTCCGGCCGAGTAAGTCGCACCGTATTCTCCGTCTCATCCTCATTCCAACTTCACCCTTTCATTCTTTCTTGGGTCGCACCCCTAGAAAATCATCGAAGCCTTGTTGATCGGGTTCAATTCAGTACGAGAACAATAATACTTTCTGGGCACTGTGTCCAGTGTTGAAACTCCATTGCGCAACCTATCACTGACACTTTCCTTGCGCAGACACCGTGATCGCTCCTTCCCTGACTGCCGTCTGCACAGACGACATTACTTGACAAAATGGGTGAGCATGTTTTCTCTTCTCCCTCGTCGCCCTCCCACCATTCCTCCTCTTGATCCATCCCTAAGTGATAACCTCGAAATCAACTCGCTCCCGTGTCACCCCATTCGTCGCAAAGGACCCAAAGAATAGCCTTTGCACGTGATGGAGCCGTGGACGTCAGGGAAAAGTGGCCCAACCGCAGTCACCCCCGTTGCAGAAAATCCTCGTACTCCTTCTAGCCGATGGGGATCTCAGTCCCAGTCCCAGTCCCAGTCCCAATCCAACACTTCATCCTTTCAACCCGCCAGTTCTAGCGAACACACCATGGCTGACTCTGAACCCGAACCTACAGCTGCTGTTGCTCAAAATGGCATCCGGTCCTCTCCCTCTCCCAATATCCCTAACGGAAAGCCCACATCTCCGTACATCAAAGAAAGCATCCCTGTTCAAACAGTCAGCTCAAAAGACCCCAAGGCTGCTGCCGCCGCGGCAAATGACATGAGAAATGTGGTCAGGAGAAAATTAACTGGCTATGTCGGATTTGCCAACTTGCCCAACCAGTGGCATCGCAAAAGTGTGAGAAAGGGATTCAACTTCAATGTCATGGTTGTTGGTACGTGTCCTCCTGGATTCTATGTACCCGCTATCGTCCCAATACTGATAAATGTTTCCAGGTGAATCTGGACTGGGAAAATCAACCTTGGTCAACACCCTTTTCAACACCTCCCTTTATCCTCCACGCGAGCGCAAGGGGCCCAGCTTGGACATCATCCCCAAGACCGTTTCCATCCAATCCATCAGTGCAGACATTGAAGAGAATGGAGTTCGCCTACGTCTCACCGTAGTTGATACCCCGGGCTTTGGTGACTTTGTCAACAACGACGACTCCTGGAGACCAATTGTGGAAAACATTGAACAAAGATTCGATGCCTATCTTGAGGCGGAGAACAAGGTGAACCGTATGAACATTGTGGACAACCGAGTCCATGCTTGCGTCTACTTCATCCAGCCCACCGGTCATTCTTTGAAGCCCCTAGACATTGAAGTCATGCGTCGCCTTCATACCAAAGTCAACTTGATCCCTGTCATTGCTAAGGCCGACACCTTGACCGACGAGGAGGTTGCAGCGTTCAAGCATAGAGTACGTCATGTTTGCATTAACCTTGTTGGAGGGCTATCACTGACATGCCTAGATTCTTGCCGATATCCAGCACCATTCCATCCAGATCTTCGAGGGCCCACGCTACGAGTTGGACGACGAAGAAACGATTGCAGAGAACCAAGAAATCATGTCCAAGGTTCCCTTTGCCGTTGTCGGAGCCAACTACGAAGTGACCAACCCCGAAGGACGCAAGGTGCGCGGGCGCCGCTATCCTTGGGGCATCATTGAAGTGGACAACGAGGATCACTGCGACTTTGTCAAGTTGAGACAGATGCTGATCCGAACACACATGGAAGAGCTCAAGGAACACACCAACAATGCCCTGTACGAGAATTATCGATCAGACAAGTTGATCCAGATGGGTGTCTCGCAAGACCCCAGCGTGTTCAAGGAGGTCAATCCCGCAGTGAAGCAAGAAGAAGAACGAACACTGCACGAGCAAAAACTCGCCAAGATGGAAGCCGAGATGAAGATGGTGTTCCAACAAAAAGTGCAGGAGAAAGAAAGCAAGTTGCAGCAGAGCGAAGAGGAACTCTTTGCACGCCACCGTGAAATGAAGGAACGCCTAGAACAGCAAAGAGCCGAGATGGAGGAGAAGAAGGCCCGGATCGAGCAAGGACGACCGCTCGAGAAGGAGGGCAAGAGGAAAGGATTCTCACTTCGATAGGCGGGGCCATAGTCGTAAGACGTTGGACTTTGCTATGGTTTGTCGAGCCTCTTTATCAGACTTTACCCATTCAGCGACGAGATGACGACGGCGATACTTTGTTTGAGGTCCTTTCCTAACCCGAGAGCTTCAGCTACAGACCGAGGGTTGTAGATTGAGCGTGCGATATGACAGACTGGTACTGTTGTGAGGGATTCCTAATCAGCGATGCATCATTTGTCCATGAAAGTGGATGGATGGGTGGAGAGGAGCTTGGATTGAGCATAGTGTGAAAGGTGCGAGCCTAGCTCTTTTCACAGGTTTGCCATGTCCATGTGGGCGAGCAGGTGACGGCTTTTCTTGCTACAATCATGTATATTTCTTTGTGTGTGTGTGCCTGGTTTTGTGATGGAAGCTGAGGGGAGCAGGCAAACTGGGGTTGACTTGATTTCTTTCTATTGTCAGCTGGCCACTCGTGGGAGAATGCCAGCTGCCTTGTGTACTGGACAAGATTAACCTAAAAGTGTCTCGAATGAGAAGATCAAGATCGAAAAGCGATGTCAGTAGATATAGACATGTGTCTATCCCGTGTGACATGTCAACCTGATGGGTTCATGTGGATGGTCTATGCCAAGCGTGTCGAGTACGTAACGTTGAGGATAGGTTACGTGAGTGCCTATCTACTCTTAGGGGAAGGCGCCAGCGGGAGACTGATGAGGATTATATGGTGGTATGCATGGTGGTAGAGGTCTCGTGTGAGGTTGCCTGCAAAGAACTTGTGGCTGGAGGGATATGGTCGGACCACCTCCAGGCTGCAGGGTGCAGGCTATAGGTGCATGGACCCTATAGTCAGCGCTGTGGCCGAGGCTTGTGGCGAAGGGCACATGCCTAATAGTGCCTCCCAAAGTCTATCTAAGCATCCTCTTCTGGTGACGGCAAACTGAATCTATGGCTCATCCGTCGGTAGTAACAGACACCAGCTAAGAGCTACTGGCCCAGGCTGACATCATAACCCCAAATCCAACCCACACTTCCAATTCAAGGATTCCCACTCAGATCCCAGCGAATGTTCTTTCAGAGTTGAAGCCACCTTCGTACAGAGACGTGAAAGCTCCCCTAGCCACCTGGATTGTGCGTGAAGCCCCGTCATCAGCACGACCCAAGTACTACGCCATTGACCTAACATCTTCATCTCTTTCCGCTGGTCTTGATTGCACCTTCCCACTTGACAAACTAGCCCTCATCCTTCCACATCTGTCTTTTCAACTCTTTCCACAATCTTCTCCAGCTTCCCTTTCTCTTGCCATTACAGACACCAGGTTCTTGCCGCAACCTCACCGCAGACACACCGACTAGCTTCATTTGCTCTTTTCCTGACCGCCCCTCCATCCTCCATCCTCATCCTCAATTTCTTCAAGCTATGGCACCCCCACCTCCGGCCACCTTGCCCTTGACAGAGCGTCTCCAGAAACTTGCAACCACGCTTCAGTTGTGAGTCCTTCTCGCTTTCATCACTCTCTTCACAGTACTGACCACAGCCCTCCACAGCGCCTGGTTCGCTGGCCATGCCACCCTCTTGACGTCCGTGTTCTACTACGCCTTGTCCTATGTGACCTTCAAGTCGAACTCCAAGACTGCTGCCTTTGCCTACCGTCTTGCCTTCATCTCGGCTGTCGCAACGTACGGAATCGTCGTCTTCAAGGCCTTTCGTGCTCGTGTGAGGTCCAGCGCCAATGCTGGGACCGCTTTACTGCTTCTCTCGGATGAAAATGTTCAATACCTACGTAGGTCGCTCAACTGAGAATGCCACAGCGAGCTATCAAAACTGACGCACCCTTCACAGTCATCAGCTTGGTCTGGCTCTACTCCAGACAAATTCCCCTTGCCCTACTACCCTTCACGGTCTACTCCGTCTTCCACGTCGCTACCTATACCCGAACCAACCTGATCCCAACCTTCCAACCCCCACAACAGACTCCCGGAGCCACCCCAACTTCTCCTGGCGCTGCCAAATCTCAAAGTGGCCTTGCCAACACCATTGGAAAGTTCGTCAAGCAATATTATGATGCCTCAATGGGTCTGGTTGCCCTGCTTGAGATTCTCCTATGGGGTCGCCTCTTCCTCTCTGCGCTGACCTTCAGCAAGGGATCATGGGTTTTGCTTGCCATCTACTCCATCTTCCTGCGAGCTCGCTATCAACAAAGTCAATTTGTACAAAGCGCCTTCTCCAAGATTGCTGCTCGCATCGATCAACAGGTCCAGAACCCCAACGCTCCTCCCGCACTGAAGCAAGGCTGGGGTTCCGTCAAAGACGTCAGTGCTAGATTCATTGATGCCACAGACGTTCGCAACTACACTGGTGGCGCCGCACAGAAGAAGCCTCAATAGAGCTCGCACGCTGCGTTCAGTGGCTGTTTTTGTGATCCCAGTATGCGGAGTTCAGCTCAGCTCCAACGAAAAGCTGTGGTTTCTGCGGTAGGATATACCGTGAGCCTCACCGGATGAACTTTGGAAACACGAATCAATTTGCGCCTGAGTTGCCATACCCTGGGGTTGCCCAGCGAGGCAACTGCGCTGCTATTTGAGACACCGGAAAACGCCGTGGAGAATTTTGTGGAGGAGTGGACAAGGGGTCGTAAGGTTCCAACCTGCAGACGATGCGGATTACTGTTTCTCTGGTACATCACTTACCAAACAGTACGTCTAGACAAAGGGAAGGACGATACAGAGAGCGAGCAACACTTGCTTGCGTATATGCCTGGAGATGATGGGAGGTTTGAATTGTCTAGCATCGACAAATCATAGGCTTATGACTCTTAGTTGTGTTTATGTTTGGTTCAGTAGAATCATTTAGCAGATGCTTGCGAGAACAGTCCCTGGTCGTTTTGTTAACATGACAAGTTTTTTATTTTCTCATCGACATTCTTTTCTACTTTCCAATTTCTGTTATCACTCGATCCCCATGATTGTTCCACGCCACATCGTCAAACCGGCTGTCTGCAGTTCATCCAGCGTCCAGCCTCCAGGAAAATTTGTTTGGGTTAGGCCAGGTTAACTCCTCGCGAAGTAGGATTTTCATTCTCATGCTACCACGAAGATATAGGATGGAGGATGGAGGAGGAGGAGGAGGCTTGAGGTGGTTTCTGGGACGAATAGCGGATAATACAGGCCGTAACAAGACTCTTGTGCTAGTCATTGTCACTTGAGCCTGTATCGTCATCGACACTACCTCCGTTGACATTGCTACCGGAAGCTGCAGGATCTGCAGTGTCTTCAGCATCATCGTCATCGTCATTCTCGACCTCAGTGACAACCTCGCTGACTGCCTGACTCTCACTTTCGCCATCGCTCTCATCCTCGTCTTCATCCTCGTCAATCTGCACATCCTCGTCGTTGGGGTCGTCGTTATCTTCCTCTTCCTCCTCCTCCTCCTCCTCCTCTTCACTCGATACCTCGGCGCTAGATGCTGAGCTTGCTGCATCGTCGTCATCGTCGGCATCGGCATCGACATCAGGATCAGCGGCTCCGGCATCAGATGACGTTGATGATGTTGATGAAGAGTTTTCGCCATCAGAGTCTCCTTCTTCCTCTTCCTCTTCATCATCATCATCATCTTCCTCTTCCTCATCTTCTTCTGCTTCGACTTGACCAGACCGGGGCGGAACATTAACGTTGATTATATCATGGTCACTTTCACTATCGGCGTCCATGTCCACATCCACATCCTCTTCCTCATCATCAATATCTTCAGTATCCTTGTCGAGGTCGCTTGTACCGTTCGTCGCGATGAGTTCAGTTGCCAATCCGCTCTTCGGTCTACCACGTCCACTTCTTCGTACCGGCGTAGTCGGCATGGAGAATTTGTCTTTCTCGGGACTTGCGCCGGGACTGCCACTGCCGGTTACGCTGGTGGTGCCTTGAATGCTGTTGGCTGCGTTTCGTGGTGAGCTTCTGACCGCAACGGGGGCTGAAGGTGTGTCTGTGCCATCGCCGGCTTTGCCAGTCCCGAATGCAGCGTTTCGAGATCTCTTACGTCCGGATTTCTGTCTGAGCATGGATGAAGGGATGGGTGGTTCTATTTGGAAGCGTGATGGTGGAATATTGAGTGTGCGGTATGCTAAGGCATACCCGGTGAGTTCGGGTTCTTTGGGTTCAGATGTCGAGGCGGGGTCTTCGTTTGAATGGTTTGGATCTTTGCTGTCGTCGTGGCTGATACCGTTGATCTTAACTTCGGGGTAGACAACTCCGGCCGAGATGGCGCCATCGAGGGCGTTGGTTGATGGTGGACCAGGGGCGACAACACCATGGTTGTTGATAATGGACAGGTCTTTGGGAGCAGGAGGCTCTTGATCATCAGCAGACGCATCACCCGACGACTTTGCGAGGAATGCTTCCTTCGCCCTCGGGGATAAGGTCTCAGTGTCGACTTCCATGTCGCCGTCCTGCTTGCTAGCGCTCAGTTTTTCCAGGTCGGAGATTCCATTCGGTTCCGCCTTCACTAGATCCTCTTCTGCCTCTTCATCATCCTCGTCGTCTTCGCGTGGCGCAAGGGCAGAGATAGGTTGTCCATCGAGCGTAGCTTGATCGCTACGACCCATGATGTACGGGGTCCAGACGAGGTACTGAGGGTCCATCTTGCGATGATTTTTGGCAGCGTATTCACTGGTAATTCGCTCGTAGAGCTTCTTGTCATATCGGATGGCGAATGTTTTGGTGACGGGGTCGCGGGTGAATGCGTAGAGACGTTCCAACGAATGTATTACGTCGTCAGCGGTCATGCCGGTTCGTGCCATTAATGCCTTTGTGCTGAACGGTTTGCCTTCGAGGTCGAGGAGGTGTTGCGAGATCGTTAAATCCCAATACGAGCGATACGCCGTCAGACCCATGTCCGATAACGGCTTTTCGGGCGATCCATCTTTCCCCTCGATCCTGGTTAGCAGGTATGAGAAGTCGATTAAGAACATGGCATAGCCCTTTCTTTGATGGATCGGCATCACAAGAATACAACTGACGTTGTTTTGACTGGCAGGACGCTTCTCCTTGCTGAAATATCCAACAAAGTGGTACCCAAACTCGTCGTACTCCGTGAGGATGTAGAACAAGAATGGTTCGACATCATAGTAGAGGGTTTTGGAGCCGAGGAACATCTTCGCCATGAGACAGAGGCATTGACAATATTCGGTCTTCTTGCGTCCATCGACTTCCCAGACAGACAGGGATCCATCTCGGTAAATTTCATCTCCTGGAGGATGTTTGGCGGGACACTTCAACTTGTGTCGGTATGCAACAAATTCCGATGGTAAATACTTCAAGCAGTATTCACATATGAATAATCTCGACTCATGCGAGTATTCTTCCGGGTAAGGAGCGGCGTAGAAAGTATCGATAACAAATTTCCCAAACTGGATACACTTGATCTTACTTGGTGGGCCTGAGACGGTGGATTTGGGCTTGCTAGCCACTATACTGTCTCCGTTGATCTCCGCCTCGGCTGCTGCTGATGTTTTCCGTCTTTCCTCTTCCGCTTCTTTTCTGGCAATCTCGAAAATCTCCCTATCCTTAAGTTGTGGGAGTGATCTTGAAGTGTCAGCCTCCGCCTCGGTCAATATTCCGCCATAAGGCTTCGCATTGAGCTCGGCTTCTCGGTCTGTAAATGCTGAAGGGAAAATGAGATGATGAGTCGGTAGTGCTGGAAATTTGGGTACTGGGGGTTGAAAAATGGGAGGGGCAATTTTGGGGGCTCGACGTTTTCCGTTTGCTCGAGGTCCTCTTCGTCTGCCCGGACGTGGAGGTTTCTCCAATATTGATTCAATTTTGGACTGATCTAAGCGGAATGCAAGAATGAATTTGTGAGGTGGGGGTTTGTGGAAAGGGCGGTGTTGTAGGATTCGCGCGGTTGGCACAGTTGATACCTTTTGACTTGCTTTCCTTGTCGAATGGGCAACAGCTCGTTCAGCATCCACTGTCGTCTCTGGGGTTTCTGCCACTGATCGCGGTGTTGCTTTCCGGCGTCGTTTCTCGGACAATGGAAGAGGCTCTTGGGTGGGTGACTTTCTCTTTCTAAGTGCTCTCCCCCCATCTTCGCCTTCTGGTATCAACGGCTGTGCGAAAATTGAATGCGAGTTTGGCTTCTGCACACCACGAGTGACGGGCAGTAAATCTCTCACGAGTCGTGGTGCGGAGTTTTTGGAACGTACGGTGTTCTCTTTTGGCGACTCCGACTGATTGGTTTTCTTGGAGCAGTCTGGACATTTCCATGAAGAGGCAGCCGTATCAATGAATCCATTCTCTTTGGCGCATTGCGAGTGTGCCAGACTGCCGCAGCCCGTACAAGTCACATCAATTGTATCCTCAACTTGGGCCGACTTTCGATTTTTGCAAAAGAGGCATTCTTGTTGGGCTACTGCTGTATCTGGACCAGCATCACCATCTGTGTCGGCCTCACTTGAACTCGAGCCAGATTCTGAGGCGGAGGGAGGGCTTGTCTCGTCCTCGCCATCTTGGTTGCTACTGGCATCTGCGTTGTCCGTGGTACTTTTGCTGCCATCCTCGCCACCATCTTCCACAGCTTCATCGTCAGTCTCGCCTTCCGCATCTTCATCAGCATCACCGTCCTGATCTTGGGAAGCCTTTGTGTCGTCTGCTGCGCCCGTGGCCTCGGTATTTACGTCTGTGACATCCTGAATGACCCCATCAGTCAGGCTTTCCTCCGCGGACCTCTGTAGTTGGTCGCCCAAAGCGCTGTCCTCAGCATGGGGGGTGTGAGTGATGACTGTATCGGACATCTCCATCTCGTAGACACCCAGGCTTTTGTTGATCACTCCGACCGACCTGGCCGCATGATCTACAGTCTCTTCACTGGTATATGGTTGGTGCGAGGTATTTTGAATGAGTGTGACTTCTGCAGAGGACTCTCCGTCGGTGGAGAAGGACTGGTCTGAGATCTCCGAGATCAAGGGTGGCATATAAACGTTGCAAACTTGTGGGCTTTAGAGCGCTTTCGAAACTTCAGAACGACCGCCACAGGGCTGCGGATTGTGGAAAGACGACAGAAACGGAATATTCCAGCCCCGACTTTTCATGCGATCATGACGTTGGTATATATACGATCATAGCAGCGTCATGAATAATGTGGTCTCAAAAATTATGGCCTTCGTTCGCGGTGGGTAGTTGGTGGAGGGTGGGGAGATGTAGGATCGACGCGTGTTATTGCCTCCGACGCGGCATAAACGATGGGAAAAATGATGGATACGTCGGTCGGGGTACTGACTACACGTCAAAAGTGTATTGACGATACCGCAATGGTGATGATGAGGCTTCTGATCAAGATGTAGAACGACTTGCGGACCTGGGACGTGAGTCAAGACGACGCTCAACATCCCCCATCTGCATGCGACAGTCACGTGATTTTCCAATTGATCGGATGAGGCTTCTCCACCAATGATAAGCGATCGATTGCCGATCACGTGCAAGTGGAGTCGATGCCGCTTTAATTCAGTGCTCTTCTTTCGATTCGAGTAGACAAGTACTACAGTTTCAATAAAGGAATCTCACAGTAGGAAGCGAACGGGAATCTGATCAGTATACAGTGAGCAATATGATTGCTCCTGGTCGGGAGCGAGACATGAAAATAGTATCGCAGTTGTTGCCCTGGCCTCAAATAACTAGCGTTTGAAGTGTGAACGCCAATGCTTTGGACTCCCATCGTCAAATGCATGTGTCCTCATTTGGTAGTAATCAATGAAGAGTATAAGTTTATGCATAGACCTAAGCTTATGGCACCCATATCATCGGCCCAGGTTAACATTTACCAAGTCAGGAGGTACATCCTGCTCACGTGTGAGGCTGTGGATGCATGATAGACATTTCCACTTCAAAGCTCACATATATCGAGGCCTACTCTCACACCAATGCCCCTCTACATGGTTGCCTCCAAGTCTTCTGCGACTCAGAGTTGTCGGGAAGTTAGGGAATTTTCCCTAACTCCGCCCAGATCTCGACTTGGCTCATCTTGGTTCCCCACTCCCAATCCCCGATCCCCGTCCCCCGATTCCCCATATTCACGCTATGCGTGGAGAAGATCTTATGGGCCATGCTAGCAATCCCGCAGGTCTAAACGTGTGGAAAAGTCTTGGTAGAGGACGGAGGTGACGCTAGCAAATCAAGTAGAATCGTCAAATAGCTTTCGCTGAGGAGGAAAGACAAGTGAACAAACCCTACCACACTCAAGCAACCATGGTAGTGCTAAATATTCAACGCCTGAATGAGCTCGCGCCCGACAAGCGATATGTCGCATTAGTACTGTGTGCCTCGGTTTTCCTTTACTTGGCTGCCCGATGTGTTTACCTGGTCTATTTTCATCCACTCAGTAACGTGCCTGGGCCATGGCAGGCCAAATTGACAGATTGGTGGCAGATGTACCATGCCGCAAGACTTACCAAAGCAGCCAAAATCCAGGGTATGATGGTTGAGATTGCTGCTATCATGGAACAGTACTAACTGTACTAACAGAAGCGCATCTCAAATATGGTGACGTTGTCCGAGTCGGTCCATCTGAAGTGTCAGTCAGCAACCCTCGCTACATGAAAGCCATATACGGTCATGGAGTGCCTGTCGTGAAGACAGATTTCTATACTGGAGGTACTTTCACCGGCAACGACAATATTTTCACAATGAGGTATGACCTTGCTCTCCTGATAGCACAATGGTATTAAGACGGCATGCCTAGAATCCGTGAACAGCACGCAGCTCGAAGAAAATTGATGTCACGAAACTTTGCACAAGGGCCATTGATGGAATTAGTTCCTCAATTTATGAAAAAGGCAGAGACACTGTGCCGCAAGCTTGAAGAACAAGGGCCTGGTGCGGTCAATGTCTACCCTTGGCTACATCGTCTGGGTTTGGAATTCATTAGTACGTTGAGTTCAGGGCTGATCAACCTCCCTGGCATATTACGTCGAGGACAAGGGCTAACTCTCAGTACTGTAGTCATGCAAACACTGGGATACGATCCGAAGCTAACCGACAATAATGAGTACCATCCACATTTGAGAGAGCTTGAAGTCTTCCCGGAGAACTTCGCAATTACAGCGGTTTTCCCTTTCCTCAAAGCCCACGGGGTCAATGTCCCTATCAAGTCTATCAACAGGCCTTTCAGAATACAAGCAGGATGGTCCGAGGTAAGTTATGCATTCTTCATCTTTGCCCTCGTTACGATGACACTGAACAAGATCGGATAGTATTGTATGGCCATCGTCCAAGAGCAGCGTCTCAAAGATTCGAAAGATAAGTCACCCTGGATTCGCCGCATGACCGAGAGCAAGGATGAGTATCTCGGTCGTCCATTGGAAGATATTGAAGTCACTGAGGAAATTATCAGCACGCTGTAGGTTACTCCCCTTCTTATTGTCGGGTTCTGAAGTCGGCTGTTGTTCGAATGCTTCTTTTCCTCTGACTCTGTTGACCAATCATCTAGATTTGCTGGTTCTGGCACCACATCATCTACAATAGCATTCCTGATATATGCCGTCTGTTCAGATGAAACTGTTTATAACAAACTGAAAACCGAGCTTCGTCAGCTAATTCCAGATTGGCCTGGTAGGTCAACAGACTTACCTCCAATTGGCGAACTACAAAAGTCACCATATCTCAACGCTGTTATCAATGAAAGTCTTCGACGATTTCCATCGATTCCAGGTTCAATGCCTCGAAAGGTTATGGTAGACAATTTCAAGGTCGGCGAGATAACTGTACCTCGAAATGTGAGTCAACAATTCCTGGAACAAGCAGCAATGGAGACGTGTAGTCTCCAAACTGGCTTGTGTCTCTTCCATTTTGCCTTGAGGATTTTGAACTGACTCATACAATGTAATACTAGACTGTTGTTAGCGCTCAAAACTATAGCGTACACATGCACGAGGACTATTTTCCGAATGCAGATGTATTTGATCCAGAGCGATTCTTGATCCCTGATTCGAAGGCCAAAGAAGGGCTCAATCCATTCTCTGAAGGTCCTAGAGCATGCGTAGGCCGCAAGTAAGTCTGATATGTGCTGCTGATTGTATAGACACTAACAGGAATTCTCATAGCCTGGCCGTGTTAGAGCTGCAAATTGTGACTGCGCTATTCTTCAGATACTTTGACGCCAAGGTGGATTCCTCTATGAACCCCGACGACATGATTATGAAAGTTATCTTTAGCGGCAGCCCAGTTGGAGAGAAGGTACTGTTGAACCTGAGCAAAGATCTTTCGTAGTATCACATCCTACGTAGTGATCCAGGATACGGTTGTTGATGCAAGTAGTATTCTTGCATTAGCTCTTAGAAGTTGTACCCTTTTTGCTCCTTCTGCTGAATCACAGTTTTTCTCTGAAATCAGATGGCCGAGTCAACAGTTCACTTGAAAGTAATACTTGATACTAGCCCAAGAGGTATAATCGAATGACTTGCTGCTGGACCCAAGGGATGGACAGGAATACAATGAGGGGCTAGTCTTCCACACAACCACATGGATCATTTTTAGGATACGCGGCTACAATGCACCTTCCCATTCCTGTTAGGCTTGGTCACAAGAATAATAAGGAGTAGGGTGAAGCTAGTTTGGCTACCTTTCAAGTATTTGACGATGCGGCCTGCTCAGAGCATACAAGTATAGTTCTACCTAGACATGAAGTCTCCTCAAATCCCGCCAATTCTAGCAAAGAGATACTTCTGCGACGCAGGGGTTTCTAAAAGGCATCACCATGCTTGGAAGGCCGACCTGTGACATACTTGGCCGCGGTCCACTTTCGAATAGCTGGGCCGATAAAGTACAGCATGGCCATTGGGATGTGAGCTGCGAGAAGGATCATCTGGAAGAAGGCATCAGCCAATAGGACTCACGGAATAGGAAAAGTCAAAGTCGTTGGAGGGACGGATCATTAAGGAATAGAGCAACTTACAGCCAACGTGACGAATGGAATGGTAAAGCCAGAAGCTGCGGTCCAGGGAAAGACTGCGTAGGTGATACCGAAGCCAGCAAAATTCTTGATGCCGTTGAAGATGACCATAACTGCATCTGTTCGTGCCTCATACACGTCCAGGAGATACGCGTAAGCGATCCCAAGGCCTCCAACGAAGCAAAATAGGTCTAAATTGGCAAGGTCAGGATTGTGTTAGATCAGGCAGGCCGAGTGTTACTTACTTCCGAATGATCCTGCCAGTGGGCCCATCCAGTGGCATTCGTCGGTAAGGCAAGCTCCAAACAGTGCTGTTCCAGTAATACCAAGTGTTGCTGGGATGACGAGAAGAAGCAATCTTGTTTCTGGGATGGGCTTCGTGCCTGACCTCGCTGCAACCCTGACATTGTACATTTCATACCAATCAGCCATGTAGCCACTGACCAGAATCGAGACGAATATTCCAAGAGTTGGGGCTAAGTATGTCAGTCCCCCAGCCCTAAGGGAGAAGCCGTATACCTGGGCGAATGAGAAAGTCATGACCGTCTGTGTGGGACCGCATTAGCATTGATCGTTCATCTAGAAGGAAAGCGTACCAATAAGTAGTTGGCGGTGACGAGACACATTCCGAACCAAACCGTTATAACAATGACCACAGGATGCAAAGCATAGGGAAATGGATATAAGAAAGCAGATGTAAAGCTGTAACAAAATTAGTTCTGTGACTTACAACGAGGTCTTCGGTGTAGATTCTCACCTGCTAACTTTCGGTGTGCCGCCTCCACTGACCACCCAGAATCGCACACGGTCATACATTGTTCGCTTGTTCTTGTCTTCTGTTGTGCTCCTGGTATACTGAGTCTCAGGGAAGAAGAGCAACAACAGAACTCCACTGGCGAGTGACATTATGACGATAATCCATTGGGTCCATCTCCAATCCAGGTCGCTGGATATAACTTAGCACTTGAAAGATTGTCAACGCTAAAGAATCTTACTCATAGATATATGCTCCGATCAACGGTCCCAGGGTGAAACCAGCGCCCTGGCAGATAATAAGGACCGTCACCGCTTTGGCTCTGTCTTTCAAGAAGAAGACATCGCCAATGACTTGTGGGCCAAGAACCTCTGGGGAAGAGAAGAAGCATGAAGCCAGAATACGGGCAGAGATGAGACTGGCAAAGTTTGTCGACCTCGCGCCCCATATGCTCAGCAAGCCCGCGGCGAATGCACACAGGACATATGTGAACCTCACCCCCCAGCGATTTGCAAAAGCAACCCAGATGAAAGATGCAAGTCCATATGCCAGAGACACTGCCCCAATTAGGTAGCTTGACGAAGCAAGGCTGACATTGAACTCTTCGGCGATTTCTGGAAGAGCTGTACCGTTGACGAGAATGTTGGCAGGTCCGATGAAAATCCAGATGCACATCGATACCAAACACAGGATCTTCTCCATAGAAGACCAATTGAGAGGGTCATGAACATCATCATTCACTGCAGGTTCATGAATGATATCTTCGACTTCCAATGGACCTTTCTCAACGTGAGCATCGTCCTCGAACATCGTTGGATTAGACATGATCAAAGCCAAGATAGTAGTTTTCGTTCACAGGTTCGTACGGCCTCTGTTGGCGTCGCCGGAAAGGGGTCGACGCCATGATATGCAAATATCACAAAGTGTCAGTATACCTGAATAGAATGATTGCTTTGCCTAAGTCCCCGGAGTTGACTTGATACCCCGGAAACAGGTGCCAAAGTCTGGAAAACTTGTGGGCCGCTTCCTGCATTTCGGGGTGAGGGTGACGCCGCCCTGTGCTCTCGCCGTCGGCTGAGAGTCAGCGGTCAGCCAGAGAGGCCGCCTTGTCTCATCCATGGTGCTCGACAGAAAGACATCAGTGCCTCTGGCTTCAACACTTTCCTACGGTTCCCCGGGGCACCCTTGGATTCCGTTTTGTGTCTCACTGACTGTTCTTTCTCTGTGCCATCGGCAAACCAACAGGAAGCGAAGCCAAGCGCAATAACATCTAGGAGTCAAAACTGCAGGTTAATACAGTTCGAAATCCGGTGGCCGCCTCTGAGCTAGTGCTGCCGAGAGGCTAATTACTCAAAGGATCTGAAGGTATCTGACCCCGCCTTCATAACGTCCATCTTCCACCACGCCTCTGAGCATCCATCATCCACCACGCCTCTGAGCATCCATCATTATAGACCGTGAAAACTCTAATCTATGGATCCAATGCACAGAGGTGACCTGGCTATTTTGCCCTTGGATGTCTTAGCATTGATCTTCCTGAATGTAAGAGTGTTTCCTTTACACGTTTTGTAAGTCACATCTCACCAATTCTAGCTTTTCCAAACACGAGAATTCATCTCCTACCGTCGCAGAAGTCATACAAGGGCCAGCCTTGCCTATATCAACAATCTGACCATGGAGGCACCCTGAAGGCGTTCTAATTTCCAGTAGTCGAAAAGCCGGATCGAAGACCCTGGTTCCGCCGCCTTTACTTGGGCAGCTTCTGAATTCAGCTCTGCCCCGCACCTCTTTCTACACACCCCGCTCTTGGGCCTCACCGATTGTCATCGCGGGAGTATAGGGTACTCAACCCGAGATAGGGAAGAACAAAACACAACAGTCGGGACTGGGGAACTTTCCCGTAGCTTACTGGTGAGACATGTAAAGTGTGTTATTGGGACATGAAATTACGACTGGTGAGGCAACCCTGGGTCGACTATTCGTGGCGTGCCCATTAATTGTCCGTGTAGCTCGAAAGCCAGCCGTATAGTGCCCAGCATCAGAGATACCCGGAAATCCTGTCGAATCGTGGACATTCTGTGTAACAATGGCAACCTCTTCTGCCATCCCCAAGTCCTACACTGCTGTCGTCATCAAGCAGCCAGGACCTGATGCACGAATCAGCTTAGAACAACGCTCCGTGCCTCGTCCAGGCCCTGGCGAACTACTGGTTTGCTTGAGCCATTCCGGTGTTTGGTGAGTTCCTTCTGGCCCTACACCTAGCACATTTCTGAGTGGCCCCTTCACAGTCACGGCGATGTATCTCTGGTCTACGACGATTGGCGAGAACTTAAGTTTACCATTGAGAATTCAGAGGTGCTGCGAATGTCTACTAGAAATCAATCAAAAACCTAATTGTGGCATCAGACTCCTGGCCATGAAGGCATTGGCACTGTGGTTTCTGGTTTGATTACCAGCCCCATACGAGGATTCCGTCATTTTAATTTCATTCAGTTGGACAGGGTGTGCATAACTTTCGAGTTGGAGATCGAACCGGTGTCAGATGGATATATAGCGTCTGCGGCTCATGTCGGCAGTGCCTCAACAAAGTTATCTTCCTGCAACGGTGGCTGATGGACGAAAAGCTAACTACCATACAGCGTGAGGAACGGTGCCCTAATCAAGTACACTCTGGAAGTGAGCTTTTCTATACCTCTTGCTCTACGATCTGACTCACAGAATGCCAGGACAAGTCAACGGGTCATTCCAGCAATATATACTGGTCCCGGCGTCCAATTCGCTCCATATCCCGACTGGAATCAAGAGCGAAGACGCCGGTCCTCTACTCTGCGCAGGAGTGACCATGTACAGAGCATTGAAGGTCTGCTTTGCTGACTGAAATGACGATATTTTGACTGATGAGTTATAGTTCTCGCGTCTTGAGCCAGGCGAGTGGGTGGCCATCACAGGTGGAGGTGGTGGACTTGGTCATCTGTAAGGCTCGCGTTACTTTGTAGTAACTGTGCTCAAGTGGCTGCAGGGGTATTCAATTTGCGAAGGCCATGTCTCTGAGAGTGATTGCTATCGATACTGGCTCTGACAAAGAAGCATTATGTCGGCAATTTGGAGCAGATGATTTCCTTGACTACGCCACAACGAAAGATCTGGTCGGCAAAGTCATGTCATTGACAGATGGTGGTGCCAATGCTGTTGTCGCTGTAGCGGCCAGCAAGGCTTCCTATATCCAGGTATGATACCCAACACAATAATTTCTGTCTGGACGATGGCTCACAGGGTCTAGGGTGCAGCAATGCTAGCAGTGGGAGGGTGTTTGACTTGCATAGGCCTTCGTGAGTCAATAAACATGTCCATGAGCATTGCTAATGTGGCCAGCTCACGACAAGCTCGATATGCCCATGACCGTTGCGGAATGTATTGGGAAGTCATGTCACATTATTGGAATTAATGCAGGATCTTTGGCGGACACAGAAGAAACACTTCAATTTGTCGCAAAACATGATATCAAAGTAAGCACTCAGGTCTTCCAAATGAGCCAAGCAGAAGAAGTCTTTCAGAAATTGGTGAGTATATGCTTCAATGACTTGATTCCTGGGATTCTAACACTATGTAAAAGGCTGCTGGGACAATTGTCGGAAGAGCTGTTTTAGATCTGCGAACGGGTTTGGATGTTTGACCAGTGTTTGAATTGGTGGTTCCGGACTGGAGAAACCCCACGTTCAGTTGAAATGTGATACAGGCGCTTCAATGCCTCCAGAAGTCTTTGCTAGCGCATGTTGTTGGGGTTATTAAACTAAGCGTCGTAGGCCGGTGATAGGTCACCGACTACTTTTATATCAAAGTAGGCAAACTATCGTCATCTGTTATGCAGAGTACACTTAATATTCGCTAAGAAAGATTCTTTGGACCATTAAAACGTCATGGTTGGTTTTTTGACTTATGTGCGGATATATTGTCACGAGCACACCAAGATACGGAACATCCGGCAAGAATGATATTAGGCGCCCTGGATGTACGGGAATGCTCCCGACATACACAGAGAAGTTGTCAGATCCACGGCGGGGATCGAGGACAAAAGCTTGGAAGGGTCATCACACAATGCTTGCTGAACTCGAAAACTCAAACCAATTCCTATGATCAAGCCTTAAGCAGCAAACGGCGACCATCTCATTGTTACACCTGATTTAAAAGGAACCTCATGGAGAACAGCGAGCTCTCTATCATTGTAACGGGTGCCGGTAGTGGCTTTGGTGCTCTCACCGTGAAGGCCCTGGCTTCGAAAGGTCACAAAGTGTACGCCGGCTTACTGGAGTCTCCGGATGCCTCTTCGAAATACCAAGAGCTCGAACAGTATGCCAAAGAACAAAGTGTACATGTGCAAGGTGTCCAGTTGGATATTACAAACGATGCATGTATCAAGGCTGCTGTTGAAACGGTAATCAAACAGGACGGCAAGATTGATGTAGTTGTTCACAATGCGGGTGGGTACATTCTGCCAGAACCCAGCTCTATATGCGTACTCATGCCAATCTACCAGGACATATGAATTGGGGTCCTACGGAATCCTTCAGTGCTGAGCAGTTTCACAAAATCCTAGAGGTTAACTGCGTGGGGTGCCACCGTCTCAACAAGGCGGTATTGCCATTTATGCGACAGACCAACCGAGGCCTGCTCGTATGGGTCTCTTCGGGCAGTGTTTATGGGGCAAATGCTCCGTTCCTCGGACCCTACTTTGCAGCCAAAGCAGCAATGGACTCACTGGCACAGACCTATCAAGTGGAGCTTAATCCATTTGGCATAGAGACATCGATCATCATTCCTGGTATATTCACGCGCGGAACAAATCATTTTGAGACTGCAATGCACCCTGCAGATGCCACTTTAGCAAAAGATCTTCTGTCACCGCCGAGCGCTCTTGCTGGCTGGGATAAAATTGCAGCTGAGGCATCAGCGAATGCGACAAGTCCAGATGCTGATCCACAGGCAGTCGCCAATGCTATCGTGCAAGTTGTTGGCAAGGAACTTGGGTCGCGACCTTTCAGAACCTATGTCGAATTTGACAATGGTCAAACACATATCTCTGCCGGTGCTCATGACTCGGTACGCGAGGCATACTTGACCCAATTTGGGATTCAGGGGCTGTTAAAGGCTGCGAAGAGATCATGACAAAGTGAAATGCTTTATTCAAAGTAGACCAAGCTGGCTCGTATACAATTGAAGAGACACTAGATTCATTCATAGTACGGGGCCACGTTCTGGTTCACAGGTCTTCAGAGAATTAGCTAGAGATTGGTGGCAATTCCCATAGAGTTGATACGTTCTTGATGCTTCTCTGAACACCCAGAGTAGAAACGAAAGGATTGTATGATCCTCCAATTGTAAGATTCTCGAATCATCCCCGATGGAAGTGAGACGCCTGTTATGAATGGCCCCTTCGTTTCTTATGCAAGAAGTGGCGAGCCGTCTACGTATAACAACTTAGCGTCGCTATTCGTACCTAGGATACTACTGAATTTAACATAACCAAGCATTCCTAGTATTGCCCATGCGTACATATGCTAGGGGACAGATTTTCCTTTAGTCAACGGTGTTAGAAGTCTTTCAGTGTTACTTGACGGCTGGCTACCATCTCTGGGTGTTAAGCATATAGTCCCATTGATCCACCTAGTCCCTCTTACAACAAAGCCTTATAGGTCTAGCTTCATAGGCGATCAGTCGTAGAGAATAGAGCGTACACCGCTAAGCAGACCCGAGGCTGAGTAGAGATATATAATGTAGCAAGTCTAATCTGGCTGGAAGTTAGTAAGAAAGAAAATGCTACTAACAGATGGGATCTTTTCTACCGTGGTGTATTGAAGATACATACTCTTTAGGCTTACATCGATGCGCAAAATCTGGTCCACCTTTTGCTTCAGTAGAATGATGGATTTGTGCTGCCTAGAATTTAAATGGGAGGCGTACGCGAGAGTTGAGGTTACATTTTAAGGACGTCAAATCAAGCCTCGTGCATAAGCAATGCGGCCATTGGAAAGAAGGACAGCAAGAAATCCATCTTCAAACCCAGATCTGGCTGTAATTAGGTAGTTATTGAAATGGTGATTGGATTAATTGTACGCGCTGCTTCGCTAACCAATCTCATGCACATCTCTATCCGTATGCAAAATCAAATGCGCAAATGTTTTCAGCCCTTGCTAAGCATACTCGTAGCACAGGAACTGATTCCTTATGTCCATCACCTCGAGGATAGTCCTGTTGGGAACAATACCACCCATATTGAGAATGTGCCTTAATGTCGTGACATTACCTGGGTCACCGAACCCGTCGATGCTTTCTTGAGAAACGGGAGGGAAGCCATTAATCTCCAGCGCTTCATCTGAAGGCACATTGTTGCCAGCCATATCCCAAAGCCGGTCGGGGAGGTCCCGCACCTGCCAGCCCCACCAGAGTCGATCGAGGTTCGCGTGGTGGAGATAGAAGACTGGATCTGGTGAAGAAAGAGTTTACGTGAGCTTCGACTGGGATTCAGAAATGAGAGCAACCTTACCTCCCGGACTGGCTATCACATCCAGCATCTGTAGAGCAGAAAATGATGTCTTAGCATCGCCCCCGCTTATCTGATCTATGATCTCGAGTGAAGAGACTTACCGTTCCGCCAACGCCCCAATGACCAGCGATGTGCGGGTTCAAGAACCAACAAGGGAAGGCCGACGAGTAGTTCTGCATCGACATACATTCTTCAACGTATGTGATATTACCCAACGTGAATGAATCCGGGTCAAATTTTCGGCTGAGACAGTAATCTTGAGGGCCATTTCCGGAAACATGCAAGGTCATATTGGCGAAAGGTCCGTCGAGGACGCAATTATCGTCGCCTTGTCCGTTTTGACCAAATCCGGTGACCGGGTCGAAGATGGGGCTATGGTTAAGGCCGATTCCTTGGTCAAATTGTTCGTCCCAGTATCTTGAGATGGATATGTTAGGCCCTGCATCTCATGTACTCCAATGTGCTCTTGGTGGAATCTTACGGCTGAGTCCCTTGGTAGCCACATTCGGTTTTCTGGAGGTATTCATGCGTATGAACGAACAGACGATGCCATGGGAGAGCCCCGCCCTGGGCATTATCAGCCAACATGGACACAAACATGACGCGGAATCCACGATCAGAGATGTCCCCTGTTTAGATATGGTCGTGAGGGCAACCTACAACATCATGAATGACATTTGCCAGCAAGATATGAAGATATTGTAGCTCGTCCCATATGTTCTGGATCCCTTCAACGTCCAGAAATGCTTTGGGGGGCTTCTGCATCAAGCAGAGATCGGCCTGAATGTATGCTGCCTTCTCAGTAGGAGACAATACATGCCTGAGTGTCTCAAGTCAGAAATGAAGCAAGGCTTAACCAATAACAAGCCCTCATAGGAAGAATGAGAACGAGGTTAAACATACCAAGCCTTGCGTGTCGATCGTTCCGATGCCTGGCAAGTCGCTGTCGCACGCCATCTTGGTCCACTCCATGGCGACAGTAAGCCTGCAAATGCAAGATGTATGTGTCCCAGTACCAAGAGGACGCAGAGAAGTCCTGCTCGTTCTCCCAACATAATACCAAGCCTTTTGGAATAACAGATCCAAAACGTATCGTGCCACTGAAGTCACGGGTCATCAACAGGCAGTCAGTTTCCCTCGCCGACGAGAGGCTGGCAACATGATATACACATTTTGAAAGCTACTTGAGGTTCTATTAATCTTCTACATCATTGGACAGTACGCCGTAGGCTTTTCTGTCTAGGCAGGCTATTCTGAGCCTCGACCAACGATGGCTTAAAGAGCACACGAGCACGGACCCTTGAGCCGATGGCAGTGAGAACCCTGTGATCTGAGCTTTCAACAATCCCGCCAAATTCTCCTTGGCAGCCTGATTTGGCAAGCAGTGGCGTAGCTGGGTGCCAACGTGCCAATGGACTCTTGAGTGAGCGCTTTGGACCACGCTATTAATATCCCAGTTGTTTGGTATGTCAATGTACGGAGTATTTGTGGCGAAGAAGCCATTAAGCGAGAGCGGAACTATCGCAATGAAATCTCGATGAAACAATGTAGGAATACGAACATCGAGAGATTCTGCGAATTTCTTACCCGGATCACGGTCATCGTCTATCCATCGAATCAATTTTGTCGCTCTCCTCTCCCGCCCAGACCTGGTACCGTGGGTTAGTCCGTTCCCCCGTGTCATGTAGACATCCCACAGGGCTCAAAACAACAGGAAAGAGAGAAATATGGAGTATACAGTCTCAATGACTGAGACTGACTAGCTATAATAGCAATTTAGGACTTGTTGTAGCTGATCTGGGTTGCTTTATAAAGAGAAAAGAGAGGAAGAGACAAAGAGGAGAAAGAAGAGGATATGAAGGGTGGAGGGCTTCCTGTGACCAGTATCTAGTCACGTGATGTCACATGACACCCTGCGGCAGCTCGAGGACGTATCAGGAGGATCGAATAAGAGAAGGTTAGCGCTTTACCATCCTATCGACCTCACAGGCACGCCCTGCTAGATCTTCCCCTTGACCTCCTTCAATCTTTAGCCTTCTTATTACCTCGTTGGCGAGGTAAGGCCTGCTTAGCGAACACGTCGTTGCATTTTCGAATGGCGGGGCCGTAAGAGTTCTGGGTTAGTCGTACGAAGGATTACCCATCCGATGTCTCATCTTCTGTAGGGGATTCTAGGATCCTGTGCCAATCTACGAGGCCAACAGCCAAGTCCCCAATTGCGTGGAGGCTGTTCTGGGGCCCCGCTCGGGGATAGCTTCCCGAGAACCCCACCAGCTTGTCTTGGATCATCATTGATCCCGGTGCTAGGCTTTGGCAGCACGTATCAGTGGTACTTCTGTGTTCGATGATCTGTAGCGGAGTTATCCCGCCAGAGAACTCGGGGACTTGATCCCCATGGCACCCATGTCACAGCATCGGGGAACCATGGCTACCTGACGCAGGCCTTGGGCCCAGAAGAACATGTGCTCTGGCAGTTCATCCTCGATTTATATTTGAAGACTTGGACAATAGCTACGAGAGCGGGAAGTGACAGAAAACAGGTACAATGAACATGATCGACGCACATTCGCTTCCCGCCGGAGAGCAGACGGTGTCTGTCTATGCATTGTCTACTGGCCATCTACAATTGCCGGATAGATGGCTTTTTGAAGACGCGAGCGAAGACCTTTTGCACGATCGACAATATTCGCCAGATTTCAGCTTTCTAATCAAACATCCTCGGGGGAAAGTCGTATTTGATCTTGGTCTGCGCAAGGTTCGGAATTAATATCTGTTCGTTTTGTTGCTGTTCAGCAGCTGAAACTTGTACGTCACAGGATCTCGAGAACAACCCTCAGGCTATCAAGGACGAGTACGCTCTAATCTCCATCGAAATACCCAATGATGTGAAAGAAATACTCGATGCGGGTCCTGAGCATTCTTCGTCAGTCACAGCAGTGGTATTGAGTCACCTTCACTTTGACCATACTGGGGATTGTATGAAGTTTCCAGATGCGGAACTGATTGTTGGGCCTGGCAGCAGTGCTGCGACAGCACCAGGTTGGCCTGAGGCAAAAGGCTCACCGTTCGATGGTGCCGTGCTGAAACATCCTCATTTCCGCGAGCTGAGTTTCGAAAAGGACAATTGGCAAAGAGTTGGCCCATTCCATCGATGTATCGATTACTTCGGAGACCAATCCTTCTACATCATTGACGCACCCGGCCATATGGACGGGCATCTCGGCGGACTCGCACGAACAGGAGTGGATGAATGGGTTTTCATGGGAGGCGACTGCTGCCACCATCGATCGTTGTTAACAGGGACTCGGCCCATGAGTGTCACAGTTGGCCCAAGCAAAACACCCAGCTTTCACCGGTATCCAGACGTGGCCAAGAGCACCATCGAGAAGATCAGGACTTTGGAAAGACAAGGAATAGTATTGATTGCACTGGCGCATGACGCTCGGCTTGATGGGGTGATGCCCGAATATCCACAGGCCATCAATGGCTGGAAGGGCAGTAGCTGGAAGAAAGCGCTGGACCAGGAGCTGACGAGAGATTATCCCAAGTACTATCAGACGAACGGAATGGCCGAATGAGCTCTCGAGGAAGGCTGATGGAAAGTCTTCTTACTAGATAGGGTGGACTCGTCGAGGAATTTGATTCATGAGAACTACTCAGGCAGAAAATAGGTTCTTTGTAGACCGAGGTCTGTTCCCTCCATAGAATTCATAATCAGCCTTTGCGGGGAAAAGACGGGTTCTGGGTTTCCCTCGTGTGGAGGGAACAACCCCGTAGCCGTGCGAGCCCCAGGAGGACGGATCATCATCATATTTCTACATACCAAGTAAACAAGGGCCACGCGCTACCCCTCCCACGTCTATGCAAAAGACAAATCGAGGTCGAAATCTGGGGTTCGATTGCCTTGCATTTGCAGAGGACGTGGTTCTGAGTATGGAGGAGGCAGACCAAGAATTGAAAGACACTTCCGCTCTTGTTATGTGCTGTTACCAGGGACAACTCCGTAGACTCGAGGGGTTGAACCAGCTCACCGTATATTACTGTCCGAAGATTGTTCATCGTCGCAAGAAACATCATGAACTAGTCCGATTCACTGATATACTTCTACCTGGGGTATATGACAGGCTGATCGATTCAATCCAGCACCAAGCGCTCCATTCCACAGCGACCAAGACTCAACGGCCCAAGTGTTGCTTGGCCTCAAGCATAGTAGGCCTGATGATCCAAGGGACCTAGGCATGCCGAGCTGTGCCGCTAGGCACAACGTGGAGCTCCATGGGGTAGATATGGGCTTGATCGTACGTTTCAATTTCTGGACCGATGCTTGCCCGTCTATGCAGCTCTAAATATGCAGAGTTAGTCAGACAGCCTTCATCCACTTTGCTCTCAATCTTCATCTTCCTACGTTGTGACTGCTTGTCATCACGATACCACACAATTCTATCCACGCTACCTCATCTTATCCCGATTTGCCTCACTTAATACGATCTTCGATATCTTGAGTGTTGGTGTAGGGTAAAGCAAGTCTATGTCACCTAGAAATCAAGCGACTAAAGCCTTACTATTGCCGGCCTGATGAATCGCGGATTCTGACAACCTCTCGCTATCGGTCGTTCAGCGATGGCTAACTCTGACTCGGAGCCTCAACCTCCAAAGAGAACAGCCGAAGATCTCGCAGATCACCCACCGAAGCGTCGCAGAATCCCAATTGCCTGCAATGCATGCCGTAATCGAAAATCAAGGGTACAGTCATCACACAAAATACCTCTTCATGGAAAGCGCATGCTTATTGTCATTTTCCTTAGTGCGACGGGGCTCAGCCCACGTGTAGTATGTGCAGCACGAACGGCAATGAATGCGTTTACTTGAAGCCATCTGCCCGGCAGACGATGGAAGAAAGCCAGTACGTTGTGCCAGTATCTTCGATAACTCTTGCTAACAAGAAACGCACGCAGGCCCTACAAAGACCTGGATCAACGATTACAAGCTCTAGAAGACTTTGTTCGAGCAGTTAGATCAACCTCAATACTCAACGAGGTGGCTCATGCCACATCAATCGGGTCTGGCGCACCAGCGAGTCCACCACGGAGCGGCCATGGAGGTAGTAACATTGGCCTCGACGAATCTCGCAGCCTTGCCTTAATGGTTGACCCCGTTGACGGGATGGGTGCTGTGCTCTCTGAAAATAATGAACGATCAACCTTCCATGGTAGGCTTAATGGACGCAGTAGTCAATCCTTACAGCTAACATTCTGCTCCAGGGCCTTCATCGAACATAACTTTCACACGCTGTATTACGCAAATGATAGCTAGGTTGGGCAACATCATCAACCCATGGGACTCGACCAACGGTCAAAATGTCGGCGTTGGCTACGTCAATATTACTCACTCTCCAGAAAGCACAAACACCAACTATCATAGCCTTTCAAATGCGAAAGCCGCAGAATTCGACAAATTTGCAACACCACCAGACGCACTGGCAACAGAGTTGATTCAACACTACTTCTCCGATGTTGGCAGCCATAGCCTTTTCCCGTTCTTACACCAGCAATCTTTCATGGACAACTATGCACACATGAAGAAGTACGGACCAAGATATATGAGGAGAACCTGGCTCGGTTTGTTTAACATGGTTCTCGCCGTCGCCACGAACATGGTTGATCGCGATGAGGCGACCTCGCCTGGCCGCATAAATGAAGCACAGACATACTACCAACGGGCAGTCAGTCTCTGCGACACGAGTGCTTTGAACGGCGCGAGCTTGGAGCTGGGTAAGTGTCAATCCTGGATCCCATACAGGTACATCGCACAGATGATGCTAACGTGAATAAAGTGCAATACCTGGTCTCTCAAACACAATATCTACAAGCCACGCAGAAGTCCATACAAACTGGTATTGTCCATTCGATGTCGGTTAATGCTGCCATCCGAATAGGCCTTCATTCTCAGCAGGCCTCGCAGGCCTATCTCCCTCTCGAAAGGGAGATGCGTAAGCGAACTTGGTATATGTGCATGATATTTGACAGGTAAGGAGGTCCATTCATCATTAAATCCTAGTGACTGCGACTAACGGAATATTCACAATAGAGTCTTGAGCATGACCCTCGGCCAGCCGCCTGTTATTCCAAACAGCTTCCTGACCTTGGATCTTCCTGCGCACTTTTCTCCGGATCCGTTAGAATACCAACGGATGGACAGCCACACGGACTCGAGCTTGGAATTGTTCGTTGCAACGATGTGAGTGACCATGATCCCGACAAACTAGGGGTTCTGCTAACCAGCTTCACACACATGCAGAAAACTATATAAGATCATGGGAAAGGTCATCGAGAGACAATACAATCAGAACCTGGCACCAGAGAAACCGCAGGGAGTACTGGACATTATCACACCACTAGCCAGCATGGACAATGAACTGCGCGAATGGGACCACGAGCTCCCACCGGAGATGAGGACAATCTCTTCGACTGAGTTGGCACCAATTTTGCCTCTCCTTCAACGCGACGGACCGCCCAATATTTCAAAAAGATCTCAACTCCATCTCACCATGCGGTGTCTCAATTTACGTTTGTTGTTGCACCGGCCGGTCTTGGTCAAGTACCTGGAAACATCGCATTCTTCCAACGTCGATCCAACCGAAGAGGCAATGCTGAGTCGACTTGGCTCTCATAGCATCTATGTGTGCCTCCGCTCGGCAACGGAGATTATCAAAATTGTAAGCATGCTTGTTCAGGGTCGAGGCACGGCGAGGAAGTATTTGAATGCATGGTAAGATATATATCCCATACGACTATTCATCCTAGACTCAAGTGGAGCTGATTGTCATGTCTAGGTGGTTCACTCTGTATTACAGTAAGTCGTCTCGAAGGCATATTCCTTACTGACTCTCAATTTAACATTTTGACAGCATTCAACGCAGCCTTAGTCGTCTTCGCCGTGATGATGATATGTCACGAAACTGGACGAGTGATTCCCGATGCACCGTCCAAGGAAGATTGTAGGGACGGCCTAGAAAAAGCCATCAAAGCACTGGCTGACCTAGACCATGGCAACAAGATGATCGAACGTTGCCATGATTACCTCGAGCGGCTTTTTGTCGCAACAACTACTCTGAGTACGTGTGATGCAATGTTTCATGTCGAGCCGTCTCGTGTGCTGACCACAGATGATTGTGCTAGCAGCAGCTGCTACTGATCCTACAGACATAAATGGGTTTAGATCTTTGACGAGTGGTGTTAGCCGTCCGGCAAATAACCTGGAGATGGCGCCTTCGCAACCCTTCCTCGCAGGACACGCAAATTTCGAAAGGAACGTTGTAGACATCATGACAGGTGACGATCTGGGATTTCTGGATCTCTACTTCGCGCCTGGAAACGATGTTCCCTCGACTATTGCCAACTCTGACTTTGCTACCAACATGGACTATCTACCTTGAGAACTTCTGATTGTCTGTCAATGGACAACAGTACAAACCCGTCCACGAGCCTCTTTGGATCTCAACATGAATCCTATTAATGATATCAGTGCAATTAGAGACATCGCCTGTCTAGCTCCTGAGCCGCAAAACATGTCCAATATCTTCAGCGTCTTAAGAACTGAGAAGTCTTGAGGCATTTCCGCTCTCAATGGCCTCTAATTCGCCTTCCTTGGAAAATACTGCGGGGCCCTCCTTTTCCAACATTTTGGCAAGAAATTGGGCGCCAGATGCCGGCGTAAAGGGAAAGTCACTCCCGTACAGAATGCGACTCGAGTCCACATAACGCAATAATCCATGAATCTGATCAGGGAATGGAAACCCTGCTAGGTCGAAGAAGAAGCGCTGTTGAAGAGTTTTCTTCACTGACTCGGCGTTGATGCCATTGTTCAGTTTTAAAATGGCTTCCGAGAAGGTGGTGAATCGCTGGATTAAAGGAGGAAGTGCACCGCCTCCGTGAGAGAGGACGTATGTTATGTCGGGATATCTTGAAACCGTCCCGCTCAAAAATAGATTGATGGCGCATCTGGTCGTGTCCATAAGATACTCAAACATGGGGTCTGGAAACTGCCTCAAAGGGGAGGCTCGTATTGGCGCCGAGTTGCAAGTTGCAGCCAGACAGGGTCCTGTGGGATGAATAAACACCTTTGCTTTTCTGCGGTTAAGCTCTTCAAAAATGGGATCAAGAGACCTGTCTCCCAGATAGACGCCATGGAAATTGCTGAGAAGACCGAAGCCATCTGGGTTCAGGTTTTCCGATACGTATGCAATCTCAGCAAGAGTCTCTTCGACAAATGGGAGCGGCAATGCAGCCCAGTAGCCAAATTCGTTAGGCTGCTGTCGTTTGAGCTCTGCACCGTACTCGTTACACTCGCGAGACAACTTCGCAGCCAATTTGCGGTCAGAGGGCACAAGGTTAGTCCCTGGTGAGGTGATGCTGAGGATCGACTTGGTAATGCCAACCGATTTTGCGAAGTCAAGGTGCGAGGCAGGGTCCCAGGCCTTTGCAAGCAAGCATAAGCCTCAGTCCATCTTCACATAGGAGGAAATTTCTCATGTTTGCGCCGGATAGCACGGGGAGAACTTACAGGAATTTCTGGCATACCATCTGGCTTCCCATACCCGTGTTCTTCACATGCACTGCGCCAGACAGGCGGAATAAAGTGAGCATGCGTATCGATGCGACCCATGTTGGCGCTTGTTGTGGATCAAGACGGTGATAAAGTGGATGGAGATATGCTTCAATTAGAGCTACTAGAAGTTCGAGAGATAAAGAGAGACAAACCCGTAAAGATTGTCTAGATAAAAGTGCTTCAGATTGTGAACCAGTGCCAGATCCTCTAGAACCACATCAAGGCTTTGATGTATTGAAATGCGTCTGAATTTCACCAGGAACTTTGTATTTTGCTCACCCGCTCTTTCCCCATAGATTTGCCTCGGCGGCAGAAAGGCCATCGCGTGCTTCACTTGCGTATACATAGCCAGTTTGGGCGAATCGGGGACCGCAAGATTGACCTATTCCCGTGGGAGTATCTACTTGGTGGTGTACCGGGGGATGACGAGAAGCAGTTCCCAGTATCATCAACGTCCGGGAAGCGTTCCCCGACGGGGCTATCTTCCGGACCCCACAATCATTGGGTGACAATTGGAGGGCCATTGGATGAGGGTTTATCCATTCAACACTTGGGGTGGACTTTTCTTTAGAACCATCTGTCGCTGGGACTCACCAGATGTCTGGGTCGACACTTCTACCAATGCATGTTGGAATCCATGATATGGTCTTTGGAGGTAAGGAGGGTTGGGAACAAAAGCGGCGAGACTAATGCCCTGCATTGGTGCCCAGGTCATCGTAGTAATAGGATGCTGTGATTGGTGTGTCCTCCGCGGCTTGGCAGCATCACGTGAACCTCTCGAAAGCTACCACTGCGGAGGAAAGAGCATCCTTGCGTCCAATTCTTGAGCAAGTCGCAGCGCAACCTGACAACTTCCATATCTCAACTTCACGAAGGAGCACTCTTTTGGACCAACTACTGTAGCTCACTCTAGCGAAAGAGAGAGCGAAGACGCCCCCCTCCACTTACACTAGAACGAACCGCCCGTCTCAGACACCCCGACCGCGACAATCATACCACCCAGCGATCCGTCACGATGGGTGTGCCCTTCGAAGCCCTCATCCCCTATGTCATCATGACAGCCATGTTTGGCGTGACTGTATGTGGAAGTTTGCTGGTTCAAAAGACATATTCTGAGCAGAAATATCTAGGGCGCGGGTCTATCAACGGTTAAATATTTCACAAACGACGGTAAACGGCCGAGAAGACAGCTAGATTTGTGGGACAGACAGAGTCAGTACAACTAATTTGTGCGCTGGGATGGCTGAGCTGATGATTTGCATAGTGATGGACCGAGATTATCGATTGACCGGCAAGTTCCGCGGCCAGGCTGATGCTCCTGAGGCGCCGTTGGGATTTGAAGGTAAGCTACTCTCCTCGAACGATATAATATGGTCCTTGTTACTAACGATAAGCAGTCAACAGTGCATGGAAGGTCAGTCTTGTTCATCACAACAACCAACTAAACGAACAAAGTCACCCTAACGTGAAATCTAGACCGAATCTCGAATCATTTAAGCACCTCTTTTCAGCTTGGTCGACTCTCTCTGTTCGAGCGTGGCTATATTGCACATAGTTTACGATAAACACAAACGACACGGCGGGTTGTCAACATAGTCGATATCGTTATCGGCATCGGCGTCTTGAAAGTTCACCTGGTGATAGCATCGAAGAGGCAGTCCTCTTGTCAACAATATATTTTTGGTCAAAGTGCCATAGTTCAAACAAGCAAACATTCTATGAAGATATTTACTGGTCATTCTCTCATACTCGTTTTCATGAAGTGCCCATCGATCGGGGCACTACACACCGCTATGACACAGATGAGAAAGAATGGCTGACAGGTCCTCGCGACAGGCATATTCGACTGTTCATGTTCAACATGACCTCTCGATGATGTTCATATGTATTCCTCGGCACGCCTTGTCGTCAGCCAAGATCATTGTATTGAATCCTGGCAGCTGCAGGGTCGAATACATTGCATGCCTGCAGATGTGAAGAATCATGACTTTGTCACAAACGAGAGACATGTTTTGGCCGCCCGTTTCTGACTCAATCAAGGCGTGACTACGTTCTCCTATTCCTCTCTAGCTGCTGTCCTTTATGTGCACCAAAAGTAGATTTAGATGAGTATCATCAGGCTGCTCGTCAATGACCCGATGTCGGACAGCCATAACATCATGTGGGCCTCGATGCGCTGACGACCACCAATAGGCTCTAGAAATATAGGGAAGAACATACGGATATGCCATGTTGCCATATCTCCCCTCATTCCCCCTCAGAACCCGCTAGCTCTTGTAAAAGTCCCCATACATCCACAGGGCCGGCCCAAACTTGTCACACATGTTTGCTAAAGAATGTCCAGTACTGTTGGTATTTCCTTGTCCTTATCACGCATAACTGGGAGAAGATCTTTGCAAGCGTTTAATTTGAACAGGCATAGACTGTCTTCAGCTACAATGAGTACAAGCATGACAACCAAAAGCCATGACTTACAGGATAAGCTTCAGTTCTTACACAACTTCTCGGCTTGTGATGTGAGTCCATCTTGATTGATTTGACGTGGCGAACACAGCTCACTAGCCAGGTTTCGGATGCCCTGCTCAAGCTGCAGAAGTTGCCATCTGGGCAGGTAGCCAGAGCCGGTCATCTGGCTGATATTGGTGGGTTCTTTCTCTTTGATATGATGAATTCAGTCACTCAGAATCCGCAGCACCATTTGCTTCGTTCTCGTTTACTAGATCTGAACATGCAAATACGCAGAAGGTCATTGCACCAGCATCCACACTGAAATTGGTCCCTAAAGCAGCTGTTCCAGAGGAAAAGCCAGCGACTGAAAACACGGTCCCCAAGGGAAGTCACTGGGTTGACATGACGGAAGCTGGAACCATCGTCGTCATTGAACAACCACCAGGACAAAAGTGTGCTGCTGTTGGTGGCATCATGGCACAAAGAATGAAAGTCCGACAAGTGGCCGGATGTGTGGTGGGTGGTCGTGTACGGGACTTTGCAGAACTGACAGACTCTGGCCTTGCAGTAAGTCATGCAACAGTTCCGTCCCTTTGGTTAGACCCAGACAGTGACACCATTCCTCTATCGCTTGGTCGATGGTTCACCTCTTGTATCCTGCATGACTCGACGACACACTGACTCTTCTAGATTTATGCCCAGGGCCGATCAACTGTTGGCACCAATGCTGAGTCAGTAGTTTACGCACGGAATGTTCCCGTGAGCATAACCGGAGTATCAGTTGTACCAGTGAGAATATGTTCTTGCATCGTCTTGTCCTGATGTTGATCACTGACCGTTCACAGGGTGATATCGTCTTTTTGGATCCTGATGAAGGTGCTGTTGTTATTCCTCAACAGCTGCTGGATGAAACCATCTCGCTGATGCCCACGTTGGTGGCGGCGGACGACAAGGTGAAAGAAGCGGTGGTTCAAGGCTTGACAGTCGCCGAGGCCTTCAAGAAGTTCCGTGGGTAAAGAGAGAGTAGTCAGTCCGATGGTCACATTCGTTTGTTGTTACGGTTGCGTTGCGATCTTGAACTGCCGCCCTCTTATGCGCCTTCCTCCCTGACTCCTCGACCCCAAGATCGATCACAAATCGCTCCTGCCTATTCAATCCCCAGTTCAGTCCCAAGATGCCTGACCCGCGACTGCCTTTATCTGATCACCACAGCAGCTGCAGCTGCCGCTGCGGCAGTGCCGTCACGTGCTATCAACTTGAATTATTTCACAAGCCTGGCGCAGGGCCTCATATCAACCAGACCACACCGCACCTTTCCACAGCGCATACCCAGTATATATATCTCTCTAATTCGCAGCTTGCTATGGCCTCTAAGCATGACACGGTGACACCGTGGACCGCAGTTCTGGGCTCACCAAACCGAAAACGAGCGCTTTTCCAGTCCAGTTTCCCGCCCATCCTGCCTTCTACCAAGAAAGGTCGTTCAGATGAGGTAGTCACCAGCCGCATTTCACCTCACCAGCCGAATCAGCGACATCAGCCGCAGTCTGACCGTCGTCATCTCCAGTTAGCCACCATCCTTTGATCAATAGTTATCATGTTTATTCTGACTTTCTTGTTCAGGCTTATTTCTCCATATCTCCCATCAAGCATCTTGAAAAACTTCAGTACATATTGGTTTACTACCCTTTCGCTTCCATTCGTTGGAAGCATCCATGACCAAGAGCCTAGCGTCATCCTTCTGGATTTGAATCCACAGCTCACCCCCGAGAGATCAGCATTGATCCCATTGCACACGTTAACGGCCGAGGGATCTGCTGACGAGACCATCCCACTGATCGCCAACAAAAGTATGGATCTGTCACTCATTTTGGCACCTCGAAACAATCTTGTCCCCTGGCTGCAGAAACATGCTGGCCCTCCCGTTCCCGCGACCCATCCAAAAAGAATCATAGATCTTCCCCCAGAAGTCATTGTCAAGATCCTTAAGATCACCTTCATTCGCGAACAGTCCGAGGAGGAGACCTACTACCCATCGTATCGTCAAGGTATGCTTGCAGGGTACATCAGGGTTGGTACAGATCCGAAGACTGGTCAAGGTGACGAGGTGAAGACAGGAAATGTCCCTATCCCAATCAACGTAATGCAGACTTGCCGGCTCTTTCATAAAATCTCCTGCAGTACCTTCTATGGCGACAATATCTTCTCCTTTAAAAAACCACGTGTCTGTTTTTGGTGGCTGAAGCACATTGGTCAAAAGAATGTCTCGTACTTACGAGGTCTTCGATTGTACATCACCTCCGGCATTGACCTGCCTCACCAGGCCCGAAGCTGCTTCGACCTGACTGCGGAGGAAAATTGGCTTCAAGTGCTCCAATACCTTCGCACAAGGCATCGGCTTGAATGGCTGGCGCTCACTTTTGACACCTTCATTAGATCAGATTTGCCAGAGGATGGACTTTCTTCGTATGCACAGGAGATCATGCGTTATCGATCAAATTTGAACCTCGAGTTACACAAGTGGCGAGGAATTCGCACCGTCACGATCCATGACCCTGAGGGATATCTTGGAGATACCCGGAATAGCAGGAAGCTTGAGTTCCTCATAAGACAACCTGACGAACGATCCTCGAATGAGATCCCGCGCCCCAAAAAGCCTGTCTCCCTTGCATCCCTCATGAAGAGCATCAGATTGCAGAACAAGGAGAAAGACGAAGCTGCCTGCCAGCAAAGACATCAACACATTTTGACAGAGGGTTTACTTCAACAGCAAAGAAATCTACTCTTAGAGGGCATCGTGAAACCCAACTTGGGTCCCCAACTACCAGATCATGACACAGTGATAGAGGTCGATCCCGACCTACAAGATCAAGACATGATGACAGACACCGTGGCTCCCCAGCCACAAACTCGTGGAATGATGATCGATCTCGATACGCTGACTCCGACTGGCGAACCTCGGCGCACCATTATCAGACGTACTCATGTTCCTCGAACGAGCACAACAGTGCGCCCGGGCTCTACTTCATCCAGAGGAGTCTCAAAACCCAGTCATTACGGCAAACGCCATCTCACCCGAGACAAGCTCCCTGAGTCATAGAGGCTCAGTGCGATGGATTAACTGCGAATCTCCCGACAACTTGCAAGCTATTTGATGACTACGGAATGTTTCTCGAATCAGGCACAGCAGACGTGGCATTGTTAATGCCCTGCACAGCACGCCGAAACGTCGATTGGGATGAAATTTCGACATGTTGGTGCAGTGCCTGCCATTACTTACATCGAGATTAGTTTGGCTTCTTCTTTTCTAGCTCCATGATTAGGACGGATGAAAGAATGAACAATAGTCCCATATTGGTGCCCATTATTCAAGCTTCGGCATTCTGCCGGACCAGACATTCCACGGCGCAGGAGTGCTAACACCGAGAACATGGGATGACAGCGATAGAAAATAGCCATTGACATGCTTTCCAAACACATTCGTGTATTATCTATTCTACCTAATTTCACAGGAAAACCTCAAAAAAAAGAAGACTGACACAACTATTGTCATACGAGCAAAGTAGAAAAACCTAACACTAGATATACTGGTGTGGTGACGACCAACAAAGCTGGTGGAGTGACATTTGCACTCGACCAGGGTCCCAAAAGATATATCGTAAGTCGTGATATGACCTTTTAACCGACACAAATATCGTGACATGATGGGGTAAGAGGTAGAGACAATACAAAACTGGCGGACAAGCCAGAGAGGAAATCAAAGTACTCAGTCCTCGGTCTTGAAAGAGACAATGCGACTCTTGACAATTTCCTCTTCCTCCTCAATATCGAGCTCCCGCAACTCGCCAGTGCCGACGTTGTAGATGAGGCCATGAACCTGAAGACCACGGTCGCTCATGGCGTCGATGACAATGGGATTAGAGTGGAGGACCTTGACACCGGCACGGACGTTGAGCTCGACGAGCTTGAGGCCCTTTTCCGTCTCGTTGAGATTGTCCAATAGAGAGAGATTCTCTTGCCGCAGTGCCCGCAGCGGCATCAGCCATGTGTCGATCAGGCCGAGTTTCTTGTTCCCAAGTGCGGCGGCGATGCCTCCGCATGATGTGTGTCCGCAGATGATGATGTGCTTGACTTTGAGGTATTGTACTGCATATTGGATGACCGACAGCGAGTTGATGTCGGTGTTGACTAGGATGTTGGCGATGTTCCGGTGGCAGAAAATCTCACCGGGCTGGAGTCCTAGGATGGTGGTTTCAGGACATCGTGAGTCGGCACATCCAATCCATAGAATCTGCGGCGATTGGCCTTTGCCGAGTGATTCAAATAGCTCCGGCTCGGCTTCCGCCAGTGACCGCCGCCACAGGGAGTTGTTGTTGAATGCCTTGGCGTACGCGTCTTCGAAAGATTTGCTTGTATTGATTGCGCCTGGAGAAGAGAGATTAGTGTTAGTATTGGTGAGGGTGATGGTGATGGTGATGGTGAGGCTGAGGGAAGGGGGAATAGATGATGGGTCATGTGACGCGTGCTCAGAAAGTTTGTTGAGCAAATGACGCAAGGGGTGGAGAGGCGCGGATTCGATTCGATTTGAGATGTGAGCAAGGTGCCATAAGCAGATCATAGGGCATTTGCAGGAGAATCAACCGTCCGCGGAGACGCAAGAAGCCATAGTCTTGGTGCTTATCTGGGGGACGCAGAAGGAAAAAGTGCATGTGAAATCACAGATAGAGAGATCTGGGGGTGAGAACCAGATAAGCGAGGGGAAATAGAACATACCAGGCATAATGTCATCAATATCAATGTCCTCTGAAGGTTCCGAGTCGGGAGTATTGAAGTCGGGGACGACGTTGCGGTCGGGGGCCATGGTCTTGCTATATGTTTGAAAAGCTGCCGCAGGTGGTGATGTATCAGATTGGTGAGGATGAGCACAGGGTGTTGAATGGGACGGCGATGGCACGGTGGTAAGCGATGGACCTATGCCAGATTGAGGGCCGCGACTGCACAACTTCTAGGTTAGAAAACATGGGTGGATTCAAGCCACGCTTCAAGGGCCATGACCTACTGCGGGGGACTGAGTGGTCTCGCTAATATGCGGCTTGCCAGCGATTTGGCACGCGTTTGAAGGACTGGTCGATTCTGGGACGAGCAAGCGAATTGTAGGGTGGTGAGACGTTGCAAGCAAGGACGAGAATACATGCGTGTTGGTAGCATGACGCCGTGCTTTTGGACCTTGGGGGATTTTAATCTATGATCGTGTGCAAAAAGATGCTCCCGCCGTCTTTTCAACCTGATAGCTCCGATGCGGCGATCAACTCAACAAATCTTGTCCGAGGCGCCAGATTGGGGCTCTTGGGGGATCTTGGAGCTTCTGGGGGCGGTGAACCAGTCAGATTGAGCCCTGAGGGTCACTGCTGAAAGATTATCTTTGGTCAACTGAAATGGATTGGGGGCCTGTGGCCTGTGACGGTGGGGTGGGAGGGCCCTTGGGCGAGATGTCCGGGCCCCGTGGAACTAAGTGATGCAATCAACCAGTCGCAAAGCTCGATCTAAAAGGTTTTCCCTTTACGAGCAGGTCGGTGAGCAGATCTGAGGTCGAGCCTATTGCATCACTAGAATGTCCACCTCATGCCCTGTCGTACTTGTGTCCACGCTGATGATATCGTCTGATTGATAATTGGCAAAATGATGATGCATCAGGCTTGTCAGTCAATAAGGAAAGACAAAGAGCCGGGCGATAGTCACGGTGCGTCACAAGCCAGCTTCATACCCTGCTTCCCGGCCCTGAGCCGCCCTGATTCCTAGCGCCATCTTTGAATTTTGAATCTCAAAGCCGGCAGCACTGTAGATCCTGGACTCCAGACGTCCGCAGCTAGCCGCCTCCTAATCTTCCACCAGTTTCTGCCACCGGCTGCCAGCCGTCCAATCCTCGATTGGTTTCACCATAGCCTACAGCCGGGCCCGAAGCGCACAGTACTTTAGGCTACCCTCTGTTCGTCTTAGGCTGCTGTGAGAGCCTACTGACAACTACTAGTGCCTAACTAGTAGCTTTTCTAGGCTGTCTGGCCCAGATACCCGGGATTCGAGCAAGATACGCATACTTGTGAATGTTTCCCAGCATGCCCGGCTCATGGTGGATGCCACCCCGGCCCCAGAAGCCGCAAAACACACCCCCAAACTAAAGGTGCGGTGATTGGCCTATTTTCCACTTCACGTCTTATCAGAAACAATAATTTTTCTAGTAGGATTTTCTGGGGTGGATGCATCCTCAACAACGATACAACAACAGCCGTCACATAACTACGTCAGCGGTGAAAATCACAGTAGCGGCAGCCATCTCATCACACACCCCTAACACATACGAGAACCGTTGTCACCTAACATGCATTCCTCCTGATCTGCATGGCCATAATTTCTTGGTCGTTCCTGTCCCGCTTGACTCAATTCGGACTTCAACACTCAAAAGTCGGCAGTTACTGTCGCTTTCTCACTATACCACTCTCTACCCAAGTCTCCGCCTAGCCCTTGGGTACCCTGAGTCTCCGCCAGTCATCGACAGCATATCCTGAGACCTCCTGTTATCAACACCATGTCCATATCATCCTCTCCTCCGGACCCCTCTTCTCGACCGGAAGCCACCTCCGCCCCCACACCAAACGAGCCATTCCTCCCCTACCCATTCACACACGCACAGCCCGCTCCCTTATTGATCACACAAGGCGCCGAAGCACTCCTCTATAAGACACATTTTCTATCACCGGAGACTCCCGCAGCCCTAAAAGCCAGGCCAAGCAAAGCATACAGACATCCTATCCTGGATGCGCGGTTGACCAAGCAAAGAGTCCTAGCCGAGGCCAGGATCCTCGTGAAGCTGTCCGCTTTACGCGGAGATAGACGGCATAATGACGACGCCCAGGTCAATGTCCCCGCGGTCCTGAGCCTGGAATGGGACGTTGCAAGAAAGGTTCGCGGCCTGCATGCCGAGCAGAGGGGTCCCCGCGGAGCGAATCAACCTGGAGGCGGCGCTGGAGCATGGTTGCTCATGGAGTGGATTGAGGGAACCACGGTCAAGGAACTCCTAAGACGCTTCGATACATGGAGACGGCATGTAGCGAGTGGTGACACGGTAGGGGCCGAAGAGATTCAGAAGCAAGAAGATGATATCAAACAACTCCTTCGCAGAATCGGCAGGGCCGTGGGAAATATGCACCACCGGGGCGGCGTCGTCCACGGTGATCTGACCAGCAGTAATGTCATGGTCAGGCCCCTGACCACCAATGGTCAACTGAACGAGGAGACACGCGATGATTTACAGGTGAATGGTACACAACAGCAGGAGCAAGATCTCGACAGCACAAGGGACACCACCCCGTCCCCTCCGGACGTATCTGGCGAAATTGTCCTGATTGACTTTGGCCTTGCAACCCAATCCACCCAAGAAGAAGATCGTGCAGTCGACTTGTACGTCCTAGAACGTGCATTCGGCTCCACCCATCCACGACAAGAACATTGGTTTGATACCGAGGTTTTGCAGAGTCAAGATGGTTATAGGGGCAGCTTCAAGGGTGCCAACGTCGTACTGAAAAGGTTGGAGGACGTCAGACTCAGGGGCAGGAAGAGAAGTATGCTTGGGTGACGGAAGCACCGCACTGTCCCAGAAAGAATAAAACTCCCCTAAAATTCACAGCCTTGTATGAATCACTGCTCAGTCCACCTCGACTACGCGGCTGTATCAGTCACGTCGATCCAGGCCCGGTGTCCTCGGTCCAACGGATGTATCGCTCAAAGAAGAAAATTTAGCGAACCTACGCTACTCCAGACGTTCAAAAGGCAATGTTCCATCGCATCGGGCACCAATTCTATTTGCAAGGCTCAGAAAACCAACCTACCAACCAACACCAGTGCTTGGATTTTAGAAAGCGATCCAAATTCAGCATCACGAGACAGTTGCTATCTGCGCCGCCTCCGGCCGCGGTTCGATGCAGGTGCCGAGTTGAGCCAGAGCAAAATAACCCTTGTTCTCAATCACTCCACGGTTCTTGACCACAGCCGTGTATTTAATCACCCACTGCGGCTCAATGTCACCCTTCAATCCTGGCTCCTCATCCCCAGCATCAGGTTTCGATGCAATGATACCAGCACCATCCTTGCCCGGACCTAGCAACTCTCGTGTTGTCCCTGGAGGGAGAATATCCGTGCAGTCGGCATGCGTAAGGAGATCAAGTTGGTTTTCCTTTGCATACACGATCAATGGTTGCGGCACCACGCAGCAATCCTTGACGTTGATCTGGTTGACCGTCGGTCGCACTTTAACTTCTGGCAGGAATTTGTCCAGCCTCTCCGAACTGAATTCTGATACACCCAGTTGCGAGATGACTCCTCTTTCATGATATTCTTCTAATGTCCGCCATGCCTTGAGTTGTGCCTCCAGTCCTTGTGATTCATCTGTGCTGTCGAGGCTGGCATTCTCATTGTCCACCGACGAATCCTCCTCCTCTCCATAGTCATCAGCGTCAAAACTGACTCCTGGATAACTTACGATCAAAAGATCGATATTTTCAATGCCCAACTCTTTTAATACCAAGTCAATGGCCTCCTTCGTATGCTGTGACCGTCGAGAAGAGGGGATATTTGGGAGGTAAAAGAGTTTGACCGTCACATCGTACGAGTCGCGAGGTTCTGTCAGAGGTGTCGGTCTCCACGTAGGGATCTCAAGGGTATCCCCATCAACTGTAGTCCATTGAGTATAATCTGATGGAGAATTGGTCCCGGACTGATCAGTGGAAGAAGGTTGTGTTTGATGTTGGTGGTATTGCGCCTGGTGCGAGAAGTTGACTCGTAGTGCTTTTATAAGTTCGACATTAGATTTTGAAAATAAAGGTTTTCGAACTACTGTTTGTCCTGAGGACATTATATTGCTGTGCCCTGTGTTAGTCACCAACGAAGAGAGGCCGGCAGAGGAGGAGAATTACGAGGTAGAGAGTATCAACTTCATTTTGCTCGTGGTCGCAGAATCTGCGACGGCAGGCGATCTGTCAAGGCTGTCTGTCGGGACGGATAGAGAGTGATTATGGGGATTGCTTGCTCATACAGATGGTTAGGTTGACAGAGTTGCGGGCCATGTGCACTCAAAGATATTAGAAATCTTCTTGTAGAGACCAAAGTCACACGAGAAGCGGGACCGAGGGGCATTGTCCTATGGATGGTAATCGGGCAACGAGGAATGGACGTGGGGGAGTGCTTTTCACGTGTTACAATTCCACCGTACATCCTGAACTGCAGATCGTGGAAAAGTGCTCTGCTGTAGTCGCTTGGCATTATGGCTACTGATGCGGGCCTCCATTCTCCTGCCTTTTTTTGGTCATCTTTCAGGTTCCCAGCTACTGTACTCGAATATCGTTCGATTACAGTCCATTAACGGAACCAAGCAGGATGTCTATACAGTATGCGTGATACTTCTATCGTCTTTGAACCATACTAATTCAGTCTCAGCTATCTTATCTTGCTGTCGAGGCAAGGCAAAGTGGTAAGCCGGCTCCCCCTTCTGGTCGCCCACCACGAATCTGTCCTAACCTCAAATCTCTTTTTCAGCGACTTGCCAAATGGTTCACCACTCTTTCACCAAAAGAAAAAGCCAAAATCATTAAGGATGTCTCTCAACTGGTCCTCTCTCGCCGCACTCGAATGTGTAATTTCCTCGAGTATAAAGGTGCAGCCCCTCTTTCTTCCTTGAGCTGGCCCAGGCTCACCCGAGAGTTTGCGGAATCCCTTTGCTTGTTTTCGCCTTTGCCCACTGAAGCTGACGCGCTTGTGATCTCCAGACAGCAAAGTAGTGTATCGTCGTTATGCGTCCCTCTTTTTCATCGCCGGCTGTGCGTCCACCGACAACGAACTGATTACCCTTGAAATTGTCCACCGTTATGTCGAGCAAATGGACAAATATTATGGAAACGTCTGCGAGCTTGACATCATCTTCAACTTTCAAAAGGCATATTTTATCCTCGACGAACTTCTCTTGGCAGGTGAAATGCAGGAAAGCAGCAAGAAAAACGTGCTCCGGTGCATCAGTCAGGAAGATAGTCTTGAAGATATGGAGGTGAGTCTTGTGATGATTTTCTGCCTTTTCTTCGGATCGATCTTTACATCCCCGTGTCTCGGCCGCATGCGACCTGGCGGCCTTTGCGGTGTCTGCGCTGTAAGCATGGTCGTTTCCCACCTACTACGCAACTTCAATCATGTCACCTGCACGAGACTAATCTCTTCCTTTCGACAATCAGGTCGAAGAAGATGTCACCAAGCTCATGTAGAGCATGGCACGCTCCGGATTGCGCGTCAGCACCAACCTCTTTCCCAATTTCCATGACTCCGCGGGCCAAGGTCCGCAAATGCACTACGACACATTGCCACATTGAACCTTCAAACGCCTTCGATATCCGACTGAGCAAGTTGGCAACTGATCAATTGACTTTTCGGTGCTTTGCAGGTGACCGAGACCGCATTGAGAGACACTGGTTTGATTTAAAAGAAGGCGTTTCACGATACGATGAGGCAAAGAATGAAGCATTGGGAGGCGTTGGGTGAATGATACGTTGTATACATGGACTTTGCAAACAGAGTCTCATAGTACTGTTGGCACTACCAGCAGATTGTATCATGTATGATCAGACGAAGTGATGAACACATCATGCAATCAGACATTCGTCATGTCCTCTTACGAGGTCCATGGCACAAGCCTGACAATCATTCCGCTCCCATCAAGGTGATCGTCTACCCAATTCAGTGACATGACATGGTCTGCATTGCACATGTTTCACCATGCGCGTGGATGAATCTCGATCCTGGATTTGCAGGCTGACATGAACAACTGGCACGAGTGCCCACCGCAAAAGCTTCGTGCGGCCCGTCTATCCAATTTCAATGGCCATACGCTCTCAGCCAGGTCAGATGGCAACGAAACAAAGACGCGTCGTTCGCGAGTACCAAACCAATCCTCATGACAGGTGTGATCATCATGGTTGATGATTGGACACTGTTGGGATCACCTGCCCCACAAGATCCGAGCTCACGCTAAACCGCATTTGGGGGCGCAGTTGTCGCAACCTGAACTCCAACCTCACGAACTCCTCCCGAGGCCAACTTCATCTCATCTCATCTTCATCACAATCGACCAGAACAGCATGGCATACCATCATTCGGACATTGCCTGCTAGACGTGTATCGTCTGGCTCCATCAATCGCCCAAGAGCTGTCTCTGCAGCCAGCTTGGATATCTCTCGGTCAGCGATCGCTCAGCTCACTCAGGCCACCAAGTTACATCTTCTCAAAGAACTTCCATCGCCCCACGCCTTCGATCGCGTCTCTACCTTGCGCCTTACAGAATCGCCCTCTTTTGTCGCGTTCAACCAATTCCCATACCAATAAACCCCGGAAATCGGGCGATGCATCGATATTGACAGAGTGACTCATTCAACACGATAGCGCAACCATGAAGGTATGTTCTAGCAGAGGGCCTGTACAGTCTTGTGGACACATGAATTGACACTGTTGTCTAGTTTGTACCCAACGCGGATCTGGGGACAGTGACCTCGGCGTTGACTTTCTCCACACCCGATCTCCACGTGCTTGGTGGATGCGACCTTTATACGACCAAAGCAGCGGGCGGAGATAAGAAACTATACAAGAACATTGAAAATGGGTTGGAAGCACAATACAAATCCAATCTGCAGTTCTCGCATTCTCTTTCACCACCCCAAGCACACCTGATGGCCTCGAGTCTCAATCTCTCGAGGAGCAGTCCATTTGGAAATATGGGAATGATCAGCTCGAGAAGAACGTATGCTTACCTTATTGCGACATTGAATGCGAGTCATCCAGATTATGATTTCTCGCACATGTTACGACCGACCGACTTCAAACGCGAACGTAGTCTGAAGGCTGTGATGAACAATCTCGACTCGACTTTGTACAACTTGCGACCCAGGACGCGCGACCCGTTTGCTGAGGCCTCATCTGCATCGCCAGAGACTACTTTTCTGCCGACCAGTTCACCGCAGTGGGGTCCAGGAATGTGGAGGTTGATTGACAATCAAATGTCCTTGCGAGACTGCAGCATATATCGATACGCTCCTGAAGATTTTGATCCATTTGAGGATGACGATGAAGGCTCGCTATGGTCCATCAACTACTTTTTCTTCAACAAGGCAAGAAAACGCGTCTGCTACTTATATCTCCGAGGCGTGAGCATCCTATCGGATGGCGTTAGTGATGGCCTTCGAACGCCTATGAAGTCCAAGAGATTTGCCGAAGAAGAGTCTGATGGCTGGGTCACGCCCGACATGGGTGCCCGCAAGAGAGCAAAGTATTGGCTCGGCAATCGGCATGGGATTCAAGTCGGCGACGAAGGTGACATGGAAATGCCATCAATAGAAGCAATGAGCGACGAAGCATTTAGGGGAGAAAGGCAAGACAGCGAGATGTTTTCACCTCCTCTACGACCAGTGGTGGATGATCAAGACAATTACGTTTTGAGTGACGAAGAAGTGAGGAGCGGACGCAGTGTGAGCAAGAGCACAGCTCGAGGACTCAGCGAGGAGGTTGTGGGACCCATGGACGTTTAAGGTGATTTCGGATTGAAACAGTTCAGCTTTGATGACCTGGAGTGGCAATTTTGAATTTGACAGGAGTCGGCGTTTCGGTGTACTATTAAAGATACCCAGAATGACAGGCGTTCCGAAAGCCGGTGGGAGCGGCTTTACTGGAACATTCTGAAGCTAGGGCATCAGATTTGCACGATATTTTGGGTTATGGAATTGGATCGCACAGCAAGGAATTACGGTGGGGAGGAAATGGGATGTGTTGGCATGGAGGGCAGTGGTTGTATACCACATGCATGTACTTGTTCGAGGTCCACAGTCGTGGCGAAAGCCTACCACAATCCTTATTGGACATGATCCTAGGAGTATAATGCTTCACCGAGGATCTGTATAATATCTCTGGACTGATTCTTCGAATGGAAACTATGAAACCAAAATTCGCAGGCTCGTGAAGGGCAGAGATGATATTCCATAAACACGTGCTTGCAGCATGTCCATGAACTCGTCTTATTGGCTGAAGTCAACGTCAGATCGCGTTCTCCAAATAAAGTGCAGGTGCCATGTCTTCCCAGTAGCGAATACACACCACGTTTCCTCAAATTGCATTGTTTTACGTCGACTCAACTCACCCAATACACCAGTAATTGATTTCTGGTTCGAAACTACCTCTGGTGAAGTCATTCAATCACGTCACAGCCAACCCTGCTCAAGATTGCATCAACCCTCTCCTTTGGGGTAGCAGCGAGGCCAGCAGGGAGAGAGGCGACTGCGATTCAGCAAAATATCCTCTCGACCCTAAAGAGATTGACAGACATCACTGAGGCTTGCGAGGACTTGACGCAGGATACCCAATTTCGCCATGGGTGAAAAAGAAGACAAGGAGAAGGCGGAAAAGCTAGCGGCCGCAAAGAAGAGAGTGGGTACCGACTTCTACATTACGGCCTTTTGAAGCGTGGGATTCATGTTGGAAGTGGATTGAAACTGATATATCTACTTTTCTAGGTCGCACAACTGCAGAAAAAGAAGAAAGCCGGTACTGGTTCCACCGCAGCCGCCGAGAAGTCGACCAAAGGTTCCAAAACTAAGAAGGAAGACGGCTCAAAGAACGAAGAGCCCGAAACCGCCGAAGGCGATCTTGACGAAGCCGACCAATCCAAAGAGAAAGAAGATACCGAGAATAAAACTGAGGATGCTCCTGTCGAAGGAGAGACAGTCGACCCTGATGAAGCGGCTTTCAACGATGTGATCAAGAATGCTGGGGCACCTGGCAACACAGAGTCAACCCTTGAATCGCCTTCGGGTACCTCTCCTCCGTCAGCAGACCAGGAAACCTCAGGGTCGTCTTCTACAAACCCCACCCACCGCCCTGCTCGTCAGCCCAGCATCAGTATCCAAAGCAAGATTCGCAGTACAAGTTTCCGAGATGTTGGGGGAGCTTTAAGCCCAGGGCTGGCTACTCAGACTGAACATTTGCGGGTTGAAGAGCTTGAAAGAGAGAACAAACGCCTAGCCAAGGAAGCGGAGGACCACGAGAAGAGATGGCGCCGGATGGAAGAAGAGTTGGAAGAATTGAGAGAGCAAAACGTTGAAAAGTCATTAGACGCCACTGGCGATTCGGCAGTTGGTGAAGCCGACACAGGATCGAGCGGAGAAATAGCCAGACTTAAAGCGGAAATCGAAACCTTGAAAAGACGAGGCAGTACGATCAGGAGGGGGAGCACACAACAAAACGATGGTGATCTCGAAGCCTTGAAATCTCAAGTCGAAAGCAAAGACTCCACCATTGCCGACATGCAGCTCGAAATTTCCCGACTGAGAGGACAATTGTCAAGTCAAACAGAGGGCTGTGAAACACATGGAGAACAGATCTCTGCGTTGCAGACATCCCTCTCAACAACAGAACAGAAACTCAAAGCTCTCGAAAATGAACTTCAAGACACCAAGAAAGCACTGTCCAAGGCCAGTGAAAAGGCAGTTCGAGAAGGCACCGAACGCACGAGTAAAGATACCAAGTTGCGGAATCTAGAACGGGAGCTCCTAGACATGACCTCAGAGCGCGACGAGGCCAAAAAGAAAGCCGAGCAGCTTGAGAAGAAAATCGAAGCGATGAACAAAGTCCACCGCGAAGCCGAAGCTCGTAACGCCGCCAAACTCTCCACAGCCGAGGCAGCTGTCCGTGATGTACCAGCTCTACGCGCAAAACTCGAGAAGAGCCAGTCGGAGAATCAACGATTAAGGGAGAAGCACAAGAGAGTGATGAGTGGTAGTGGTGGAGATGAAGGACTCGATGAGCTCGAAGACGAGGAGAGACAGAAGTTGGAACGCAAGATAAGAGACCTTGAGGGTCAAGTGTTTGAGCTTCAAAGAGGAGTGTGGCGCGACAAGCGGACTCAGCTACAACCCCCAGGCGACGAATCAAGGACGTCCTTGGATCCTGGTGCACACGAGGACTTTGACGAGGTCGATCTCTCAGGCTCTGGCGACAAGAGTCGGCGGAGGAGTTTCGCTCAGCAATCATATGGTTATGGCCAGTCACAGCAGCAGACTCGACACTCAGGGTTTACCCAAGTTCTGAACTCGGGCCTTGCAGCATTTAGAGCGAGCACCACATCTCCAGACTCACAAGGTCGGCATGGACAGACCACTCGGCCTAGAAACGACTCGTTGTTGGAAGAATTTGATGGTGATGATGCCTTTGACGAGTATGCATTTGCGCAGGCACAGCGAGAGGAAGAGGCAAGGAAGATGGTCGAACATGTTCGAGAGGTCAAGAAGGGTTTGAAGGGATGGGTTGGATGGAGGTTGGATCTTGTAGATTCTCGGAGAACAGGTGGTGGCGGCATGGGATTCGGTGAGGTATTCGATATATGATCACTATCATCTATCAGAGCCAGGGCTTGATAGGATTGGATAGGATGTCCAGTGTATGAACATGTAGCATGCTATCAATAGCCATCAAAGGCTAACCTCACAATCGAAGATACTGAAGCAGAAGGTTGGCTTCGTTTCATTGTGCTGCCAACCCTTCGTTGGGCAAATCGAATGGACACAGGATAAATAAAAGAAAGAACTTCCATGCACTCCGTCTCCAGGACACCCATCTAATCAAGTCTACCTACTTACTCTCCTTAACAATACTCATCAAAGCCTTCTCATACTCCTCCACCTCCTTCGCACCCACCAGCGTAATATCCCTCCTCTTACCCTCGAAGATAACCGTGGGCACCGAATCCACCGCATTCATATTCTGCTCACGAATCAGATCACGAACCGTACTCATTCCCTCGTCACGCTGCTCCACAATAATATATCTAGCTTCATTCTCTGGAATTCCCGCGTCAGCCGCAGCTTTGAGAAGTGTCTCGTCCGTGGATGGATGTTGCTCATTCTCGAAGAATTGTGAGTATAGTGATGAAATCATCTTGTCTGCTGTTTCGGGACCGCGTGTTTCTTGAAAATGTTGGATTACTCGGTGGGCGTCGAGGGTGTTGCCGACAGTGCCGTGGAATTTGAATGATATCCCGGCGGTTTTGCCGTACGCGGTCATGAGGGCCATGTACCTGTTTACATGCGTAGATTGGGTTAATGTTGGGAAGTGAGTGAGTCGAGGGGAGTATGGTGGACGGGGAAGAGGGATTGTCATAGTGGGAAGCATACATTTTCATCTTATCTTCCGAGTTTCCATATCGTGATTTCTTGTCTGTTGACCATAATCATGCCCATCGAGATCAGCTATTGCTCGCCTTTTGGATATATTCTTTTTATATGTCCACGTAGGGCATCACTCACACCATTCATATTTATCTTCGCCTTCCTTGGTGGCTCCCGGATATAACTGGTACGGGAAGTATTTGACTGTGAAAGTCACGTCTTTGGCTTGATCCGATTCACGGAATCTTCGGAGCGCTAAATGGATGTCAGGACATGGACCTCAAAAGCCAGGATATGGCGGAATTTGAATTTGAACTTGAGCTCACACTCACCTTCATCAAGTCTAGAGATGGGGGGCGGACAGATCGTGTCAGTCAGCGACACTAGAGAGTGCGACACGGCAGGTTGTCCATGTCATGTTCAGCAGGTTGTAAGCTCACCTTTTCTTAGCCAGATACGTCCTGCAGGATCAGCAAAATTCATTAGCCTTGTGATATAAAGTTGTAGCAACCGGTGTAAATAGTCATAAGCTGGGATCGCCTCGGGCCATGGAAACACCCATACACCATCGATTATGTAATGCGGTGGTACAGTTCCTTTCAATGACCTCCTCCTACTTAACGGGAAATTTGAGGATTGAAGTGTCGGAAGTATCTTACCATGGACATATCGTATCCAACGTGAACGAGATCTGTGATTCGTACGGCATACTGTCTTATTATTCGTCCAACGGATTATTCAGTGTTGGCGTTTGGAGGTAGAATACAGTATAAATTCAATGGATGGGTATGGGTCCAGCGTAAGCAAAATACAACCGAGAGCGTTATATTTGTCCTTTTCTTTCGAAGTCACCAAGTCAGAATACACGATGGAGTCGGTTTGAAGGCGGATTTGCGGATTGGGGCTTGATTGGTAAGTCGGAATCCCACCGTACATCCTCTCCGCATCTCGCAATGAACTTGCTGCCCGGATGGATGGAAGGGAATTTCTCCTGTTGGTGACAGGAGGATAGAAACTTCACATTACACCACCACCACCAGCACCACCAAAATGATTGTTAGAGAGCAGCTCACTCTACATTTCATCTATGTGATCATACTACAATCCCTAACCTAGGTACTTTGGTTTATTCACCTGAGAGCATCGATTCGGGCGAGTTTCTCATATAATGCGTGAATCTGTGGTCGGTACGAGAAAGATTAAAAGCATCAAAACAAACAGCCGAAAGACAAGAACGGACAAGAAAGACGGTGAGGAGAGATCCTTGAAAAGATATTTTGAAATGTTTTTGGTCTTATTTGGCAGCTTGTCGAATTTCGAGATTCTAAAGCTATACTAAACTAAAGTAGTACTAGTTAAAAGGAGCGCGAGTCGAGAGACTTCGCTGCCCTTGTGCCATGCCATGCCACGCGCCAACCTTCTGTTGGTTGACAGCGATGCGTGGGCGATTTATATCCAAAAGCCAAATTCTATATCATACAAATGTGATGCCAGAGTCGAGCTGCTGAGATCACACTAGAATGCCTGCCATTTCCAGTTTCCTTCCCCCTTTGCCTTCATTGTCGTTGGTTGTGTTTGTTTCTTCCTAATAGTCTTTTTGTCGGGTCCATCCTCCCAAAAAATCCTCCCAGTTCCAGCTGCGTGGAATAGGGGGGTTGGACTCATGCTAAAGGAGTGATCATGAGTCTCGTCGTCGAGTGTTGTTGTTGTGTGTTCGTTTCACGGTCATTAGCGCTTTGATTGATAAATCAAATTCAAAAATCTCCCCAAAAATTGGGGGTCGGTGTTTTGTGACACATATTCTCTTTGCGGGAGATATGGTCTCCGATGCCATGGGAGATGGGATCGGGTGGAAGAATTGAATGTAGAATGCTGGGGTGGAAAAAGACGAAGGTCGGCCAGAGATCTGCGAGGAACTCGTCTACAGAAGAGCCACGACAACAATGGCGGCGGCGGCACCGGCCATCTTGTAGTTTCCTGACACAGCCGTGGCAGCTCCAGTGAAAGTTGCTGGAGAGGCAGTTGTTGTAATTGGGTGAGGAGTAGTTGAGTGGAAAGTCGTGGTTGGGGTTGGCTGTGGCTCAGGCTGAACGGTAGTCACTGGCTCTGGCTCAGGTGTGGTGCTGGACCAGTCCTCCCATTTCTTGGTAGTAGAGGTTGCCGGCACTGGAGCAATGGTGGTTGGAGCAGTGGTTGTTGGAGCAGGCTCCGAAGACCAGTCTCCCCAAGTGTGAGTTGGCTCAACAGGGACTGGGGACACGGTTGGCTCAGGCTCAGCAGAGGTCCAATCAGCCCAGGTGTGAGTAGGTTCAACTGGGATGGGGGAGACAGTTGGCGCGGGCTCCGCAGAAGACCAATCCTCCCATTTGGTGGTGGAAGTTTCGATTGGAGCGGGCTCGGGAGCCACGGTAGAAGACCAGTCTGACCAATGGCCAGTCTCGGTAGGAGCTGGAGTGGGGTTAGTGGTCGTCTCAATCGGAGATGGAGAAGGTATGGGAGAGGTTGAGGTCCAATCGGACCATTTCGAATGTGTTGATGTCTCGGTAGGGGCTGGGGAAATCGATGATGAAGGTACTGAAGACCAGTCTTCCCACTGGGAATGGGTTGAGGTCTCTGTGGGAGCAGGGGAAATTGATGAAGAAGGTACTGACGACCAGTCTTCCCATTGGGAATGGGTTGAGGTCTCTGTAGGGGCAGGGGAAATAGATGATGATGGTTCTGATGACCAGTCCTGCCAGTGCTGAGACGTGGTAGAAGTCTCGACTGGAGCAGGAGATGGAGAAGGGGTTGTCGTCGTGATAGGTGCAGGTGTAGGTGCAGGAGTGCTGGTCTCTTCCCAGTTTTGCCACTGACCTCCTTGTTTCCAGTCTCCCCATCCGCCATTTCCACCAGGGCCACCAGAGCCACCACCTCGGCCACCACCGAAGCCGCCACCGTTGCCCCATCCTCCACGTCCACCGCCAAAACCGCCGTTGTCATCTCCGCCGCCAGGTGCGGCAACAACAATGGCTGCAAGCCCGAGAACGATTGCGGACTTCATGTTGAAATATATGTCTTGACTTGAGGTGTGATTGGTAACGAATAGTGGTCAAGTACTTTGTAATAGGTTGGAACAAAGACTCAAAGACCAGAATTTGGGTTGGATGTCTGAGCTTTATTCAACTTCAAGTGAGAGACTTGTGATAGTGAGTGAAGACTGATAGCGAAGGATGATGGAAAAGGAAACGTGAGCAAAGGAAATTGAAGGGATTCAAATACCCATAAGGGGGACAGGACGTCATGCAAAGAAGAGAGGTTGACATGTCCATCATGTGTGACTGGGCAAGGCCCATTCGTTAGTCAATGGATAAGGGGTGGCAGGTTGTTCAATAGTGAAGAGCCACCATCGACATCAGGCAGCTCCGGGCGTCTGTGTCTACTGAGGACCGCCTTCTGTGGAGAGGATAGAAAAGGGGACCGGACCAGGCTGAAGGGAGCACGATGCGTGTAAGTGGAACTCACGGGCGACTTTGAGCACAGTATAGAAGGCTGGCCGACAGCAGGCGCCGCCGCACGGTTCAGGGATGGCACCCATGCGGAGCGGAAAAGTTGGCTGATGTGTGCCTGGCGGAGAAGCTGTCGTTGACATGAAGCGAATGAGAGAACGGGCACGGACGGCCCAGGATCTGAAACGCGACCAACCTCGCCAAGGTCGGTCAGCAAAGGCTGGATGGGTCGGTTGGCGGCGCGATGCAGGGGTGGCGCAGAAAAGTCAAAAGGTCTAATCGACCCTGGTAAACCCACATAAGCTCTACGCCTGGGCCGGATGAAGAGCTTGGCTGGGGTGTGCCACGCCTCTAAGGCGCCGACAATGGCGCCATCAACGTCGATTCCACGACCAATAAAGTTCCCCAGCCCATTGTTTGGATTTTTGGTGGCTTGAACCCGTACCAGCCTTGGAAGTTTGATCACGCTATGGCCACATGGAGTGGTAGACGAAGAGACCGTCTCTCATTGTTACCGAAAAGAATGACGTGAAGCTGTAAGGAAAGAGACCAGTGAGATGGTCCGTCCTGACTAGAGACCATCAAGTGCAGGCGAAAAGCAAGTATTTGTTGGCTGGATTTGATGGAAACCTGAGTAACAATGTCTCACTGAATGATGCACAAGAATTGCTTGATTGTTGGATCGTACTATGGTCAGGCCAGTCGATGGGTACCTTCATGCTACCGACGAAGTGGACATCTAATCGCAGATGAATGGATAGTTCCAGAACAAAACACGATACGAGCAATTTGGTGTTGAATAGAGAAGGCTCTTCAGAATGAGCATACTGTCAAACATTCCTGCCACCAGGACTGATCTCGGTGGCCTTGTACGTGAATACACTCGTGTTCGAAAAAGTATGACCAAGATGCATGATTGCCGGTCTGCCAGGTCATGTCGGTTGTTTTTGCGGACGTTACACAACGAGTTGAATTCCAAACAGCGATGGTGGAGGCGACTTTCTTCGCCTTGATCGTGATCAGGTCAACTCGTAATCAAGAGTTGCAACGAACGGCCAAGACAGCAAACACTTACTGTTTGTTGAATTGTTTGCTTCTAGTCTTGGAACGGTGGACTGGATTCTGGCATTCGACACGGATCTGGAAGCTGGAGTTTCTCCACATCCTCCCAAACAAAAGTTAACTGAGGCGAGGGGCCAAGTCCCATACCTTGAGGCCTTCAGTTAGTGACGCGTTGACCAGACACGGACCCATAGGTAGAGTTGGAAGCGAAAACCAACCCGGATGACGAGCCGGCCATTTCCAAGTACCACAGATGGTCAAATCATGATAAGGTGACCATCTGGTGAGCCAGTCTGGGGGGTTCGCATGGCCGAGGGACAGTAGCGCCCAAGAAGAGAAGCCGGATGGATCTCCGCCTTAATGGATAAGCCTGAAGTGGCCGAATGACCCCTGACCTCTCTGAACGCTAAGCAAAGTCCCCATGTTGGATTCTTTAAGGACAGAATTAAGGAATGGCTGGATCGGATCTGCACCGATGCGGGGTATTAGAACTGTGCCTATGTCGTCTACTGCACAATGTGCATCTTTCTAGCTGCAGAATCGATCAAAGAGTCCAGTCATTGAACGTGGTTGAAAGTCGAGAGAAGCATCTCTGCTGTCAGTCAAGAAGTGATAATCATCCCCAAAACCGGTTCTGAATATAGATTCCCACCCCAAGTGCTTGCATGATCTCGATCTTAGAGCCCCATCGAGTGACAATCAAAACTCACATCGACATTCGCCTTGAGTTGAATCGAGCCGCCTCCGGTGGGTGAAAAACTTTTGTTGGATTTTTTTGGCGAATGTGACAACGGCCCATGCTTACGACAACGCACTGACATGCTGTATGTACGAGCTGATGGCTCACTTAAGGTTGTTTCAGTGTGAATCTTGAAACAGAGTCCCGTATTTTTTTTTTGGAGAATTCGAGTGTGCCAATCGCAAGGTGTCGGCTCACTCCGTGCGGTGAGCCTCAAAGAGAAGTCCGTCGCTATTATTGTTGGAATCCTTCGCCTGGGGTGGCGGTACCGCGTCCTCGCGTGTCCTTTGGCCAAAATCCCTAGACTGAGTACTCTTTTGGGAAAAAGGAAGAGGCCCGTCAAGTGGGTTGACACAAAAGGGGCACCTTTCACGTGGGGCCGACCTCGCACGGCGAATGTACATACAATGCAGCAGAAGAACTTCTCGTAGCAACCTGGGGGCGATAACAGACCCAAGTGGACTGATCTTGCGAGCCCTGGATTTGACTGAGATGTACTTCCCGAGTCGACTTTTACTATTCTCTGTTTACGAAGCCCTTTCTATCTAAAATTGCATGTGAAAAGGGTGTAGGAATGTCCTATACTCCTATGGAAAGATAGGGGTAATTTCATCACGTGCGCTCCGGTCACGGGACCTGTTCGCCCCAAAAGCCCCCCCTCCCAATGATGGTTGTTTACTGTGGCTTCAATTTGGATGCGCAGATTCCTTCGGCCGAAGTGCGAATATATCCTTGTACATGGAGAATTGATTAGATACAATGACTAGCTATGAAAGAAGAAACCATATCAAGATCCTTGTAGATGATACTCCTTCTCGCTTCTCCAGCTCCAAGTCTCACGAGAATGGACGAAAGCATCTCACTCAGGTAGTCTTTCAAACTTGACGTAGAGAGACGTCAAAGCTACCAGGTGTCCCAGTTGGCAGAAGACACGCGCCACTTAGTTTAGCTGGTGGCTAGCAACGTGGCTGGGCCAACACAAGCCAGTTGCTTGTCTCCTAAGGTGCACGGACAGGTTGTAGGCTCAAGCGACGTGTGCGGAGGGGTTGGTGACGCGCTGATACCACGTCAGGACCACTGACATGTTCGTCACGCCCCAAGCACAGACCGAACGAGGCTGTGTTTGTAGTTGCAGGGCTGGACGCTTGTGTCAGGGCAGAGCCTCCCGAATTCGCAGGAGGGGGCATTGTGGGACGGCGCCGTTGCGCTCGTGAGCTCGATGCACAGCATCATTGACATAATCTGGCAGTTCCATCTTGATAGCTTCAGATTTCGTGGGGGCAGGTCACAATCTGCTTCTCCCCACGCAAGTTTTGATGGATTCGGGGGAACGCCCGGCGAATCTTAGGGGAAAATACCACCACTTCCCAGCTGGCCAACAAACACCCATATGACAAGACTTCGTCAAGATGTGAGCCACGTGCTGCAAGTGGTCTTGCAGATGATCTCCTCCTGAAGATCACTTGTCGTAAAGAAGACGAGTGTGCATAAATTTCAGGCATTCATCATCCTCTCCTTCAAGGCGTCACACTCGGTTCTGCGACCACGTTATCATTAGAGCCCTCTTTGTTGCCCTTGATGGAATTCACAAATTCTTTGGCCCAGGCCTTGGCTTTCTCAAGCCCTTCATGGATGAAGCTCCACCAGCTGGATTTTGCTTCGGGTCCTCCAGATGCGCCACTAGTATCATCATCTTTTGCTCCTGCTGCTATTGAGGATGGGCGTGCATCTGCCGGGTCGCCTTGAGAGGGAACTGCGGATGGACTGGCAGTTGTGTAAGCGGCAGGTGTGCTGGATCCTACTCCATCAGGAGCATCCACCGGATCAGCCGGGGATTCGAGTTCTGGCGCGTCAAAATCGCTATGGAGTCCGATCGTTTTCAGAGGAAGCTGAAGTGTTCCGTTGTTAGGATGAGGGACCACCCCAAGCGAATGACAAACAATATTGTAGACCTCAATGTTTTGAAAGACGGGCACTCTGCTGTTGGGATGGTGGGGGAAAGCCGGTCCACGGGCGACGAAGATGGCCCTCATTAGCGGATGTTCATGATCATAACCATGTAATCCTTTGGGGACGTACTCCTTGCCGTTCGCTTTGGCCTCGGCGACGTCAAAGTCTGGTCTCTCGACAATGGCCCATCCCGTCTTGGGGACAATCCATAGTGGTGCGATTCGGTCATTGTTGGAGAAATGATAACGTGCTGGCATCGTTTCACGGGTGTAGACATCAAAGGCATCGGACTTCCTGGCCTCGTTGACCAACTGTTCGTGGAGAAGTGGGACATCCCTTTCAGGGTTCTTCAGCCGCAATCCCCGTAATGGCCAGCCGTCAATGTGGTCCACCAAAGACATGTCGATTAAATCATCCAATTGAACAAGACGATCCACCGAAGTGGTGGCCATCCCATGATCCGAAACGATGACTAGATTGACAATCTCGGTCAGGTTGCGTGCGAAGAGAGCCTCCACAAGTAGAGTGAGCATGCTGTCAACATCCGCGATCGTTGCTCGGATTTCGGTACTATTCGGGCCGTATTTGTGACCATCGGCGTCGACGTTGGGAACATAAGCAGCGATGAATTGAGGCCTTTTATCCGCCTCAGGAGCAGCCTCATCGTCGTCACCTGGAAGATCGAGCCAATGGACAATTCGATCAACCTTGCGTGTCAGCTCCTCGGAGCCATTGTATTTGTCCAAGTAGGTTGGCTCGACGTCGGGGATATGTGCTTCAGATCCTGGCCACATGTGGATGGCGGAGCGGACCTTTTGATGCTCAGCTGTGACCCAGAGGGGCTCGGCACCCCACCACTTGGGCTGCATTGACACACCGAGGTTGGTGTAATAGAATTCTTCGTCAAAAGACGGGTCCCAAAATTGATTGCTGACAATCCCATGGCTTTCCGGGTACAGACCAGTTACCAAGGTAAAATGATTAGGAAAAGTGACGGACGGAAAAGATGGCAAAAGGTACTGTGGAGACACTCCACTGGCTATGAAGGCACTGAGGGCAGGTGTGATCTTGCGGTTGAGAAAGTCGGCACGGAAACCGTCCAGAGAGATCAGAATAGTGGTTGGCCGGAAGATATGGGTGCCATTGGAAGTCTTGTTCAGGCGATGGATGGTCGGCTTGAGGGTGTACTTGTGAGAAGCTTTAAATGCTCCGTATAGCAGTCCGAGAAACAAGGCAATTATGGCGAGATATATGACAGCAAGGCGACCTCTGTGCTTCTTGACAGGGAGGTCTCTGTCCCATTGAGTGTTCTTGATATCGATCGAGTCGCTATCGGACTGGGAACTGGTGTCTTTGAAACCCCCTTCCATCTCAAACATCATATCCATATCTTGCGAGCCACTTCTTGACCCTCGGCTCTTTTTCTGTCGCGTTCTCCTGCTGCCACTGCTGCCATCAGCGCGGGGTCCGGCACGAGCAAAGAGGGATTTGGCCGTTTCGAATCGGCTTGGTTTGTGGAGGAGTCTCTCATGCTCTTGTGTCTCGTCCAAGATCTCTCGATCGTCGTCGTCTACTATATCTGCATCTCCGAGTGAGCCTTCATCGTCGCTTTCAGGTGCAAATGTAGGCTTGTCGCCGTCCACAGGCGGCGCATCTTTGTCGTAGTGCTTCTCGGACAGGAGGCCTTCACGATCTCCTGCCATTGTGAGATGGTCGCAACGAGTGATAAGGTTTGGAGAAAAGGTGTCTAAAGGATCATAATGAAGAGGAAAGTGATATTATGGGTGTCTCGACACACTGGCCGCCTTGCGTGTCCACGTCCAACGTCAGACTGTTGAGGTTGAGAAGTTCGACGTCTGAAGATAGGGCGCAGTTTCCCAAACAAAATCACATGGCTGAATCTCGGATTGAGAATGTTATGTAAGCAGCCAATAATATCATAGGAACGACAAAGCGACGAGACCCACAACATCTGGGTCTCAATGCATACAACATTATGTGTTGCTCGATACCTACCACTCAATCACATGGGTTGTGGTTGTAATTTGCCATGCCTATATGTGTCAATATCATTATCTTGCAACTCAGGCGAGTCAAAGTCTCTCCATTTTCGTTTACAGACAGTGCGGTAGTTGGCTGCAGATGCAGCGCTACAACAAAAGCCACTTGAGTCTCTGTACGGTACTTAATCACCGACAAACGATTGCGATTGCGAGACAAACATCAGCAATGACTGAGCTATACAGAATATAGTGTCACAGATGTAGTATGACTTGCATCGGTGGCTTTGTCATTGCTATTCATGGCAAACGTGCATGCAGTTATCTAGAATATAAATTTGAGCTCTTATGCTGTCCAAGCCACTTCCATCGATATTCACAATACGCCAGACTATAGAAAATAGTGCTAAATACATCACAGCAATGACCGTCGACCGTGCAATCTTCGACAAGCTAAAAGAATTGGCCAATGAAGGAGGCGTCACGCTAGAAGAACGGTTTGATTACCATTGGGCCAACACGACCGAATATTTTGCCTGGAGAGTAGAGCCTCCGTTGCCCGAATGGAAGAACGATCCCCTATTTAAGCCGAATGCAGCAGTTGGAAGGGGAGTGATTCGACTACAGGGGAATTTACCGCATATCTGGTGGAACCTGGGAGACGTTGCCCAGATCCAAGCTGGTAATGCTCCACATCGCCTGATCCTGAGCTGGCGAAAGCTGGATGCGATTGGCTACATCAGAGTCCCTTATACGTCGGGAGTGAAGTCAGGATGGCATATCTCACAGCGACATACGCCCTATTGGATTGAGATGACGACCACTATAAGGGACGGAAAGCAGTACGTTAAGTTTTTGACGTGATGTTGAACTTGGGGAGTTATCGAACAAGGAATCACAATGTTATGTGGTTTCAACTTTCAACTTTTGGCGTTAGGCCAATTAGCAAGTTATGGTGTTATGTGTATGCTTAGTTGCACACCACCTAGGTGCCTCTAGGGCCCTTTGAAGAGGTACTTAGGGAGAGCTTACGGAGTATACAAGGCACACGGATGATTGTAGTGTCTATATATCCTGAATCTACTCAACTCCTTTCGCAATCGACCATAGGATGTGGAGAACAGGGCTTCCCGTTCGCTCAGCCATACTTAAGCCACATGCCGGTCAGTTAGTACTAAAGTGGGTGACCATTTGGGAATCCTGGCTGTTGATTGTTTTTGTTTTTTTGCTGGACTACTAAAATCTGTTTGTGGGGCGAAGGAAGATTTGTCCCTCCACTAGTTTTTATATTTTTGTGTCCTGGGTTTTCCCACGTGCTTTCACTCACACTAAAGGGTTCGAAGAAACGCTCAACGATGAAATACTGGCTTATTTTCAACCCAATCTCGGTCCCTGACACAGTACCAGCTCTCTGCCTGCTGTGAGTCGTCTTCGTCTCCGTTGTTTTGATTCAAGCTTGCGTAGAGACTGAAGCCATGTCTCTCAAGAGTTTCCAGCATCTTGAGAAACAATTGACGAGTAGTCATTGTTTCTTCAGCCATTGCTTTCCAGGGATGCCCAGTGCACCTGAACTCGTACATGTTGTTCTGCTGGTCCTTGAGTTGTCCGTCTAGGAACAAGTTCATCCTCTGCAGAACGCCAGTGAAACCCGCGATAACCTCCTGAGGAGCTCCAATCAACCGAAGACGGTCCTTTCGATTGAAACTTATTGCGATCCATTCGCTTGGAGGCGGTGGCGTGAGTTGCTTCCGAAAGAACATTGTGTCTTGGTCATATTCGTTTTTACTGATGTTCGTACTAACCATCAAAATCCATCCTCTGGAGAACAGTTGGGCGAGTATCTCCCGCATTACGATGCGAGAGGGTGTCTTTTCGCTACTTGAATTCCCAGTCCACGGATTTCCATTGAGTTTGAACTCGTGGGAGTTGTTGACAATTCTTTCATCTTGGATGCCTTTGGGCCAGAAACGTTGGATGACGGTACGAACTCCCTCAATCTCGTCGAGCGGAAACTGCAGGAGCCGGATGCGGTCGGTTCGGTGAAGAGATACCGAAGCAAATGATGTGCTGAATGGCGGAAATTCGGGAGGCTGAGTTGATGCCTCGAAAGTTGGAGGTGCGTTTGGACCATCCGGTGTCTCCCTCACCACCTTTGACGATTGTGACTTGCCAAATAATTTACCCATCTTGGGATGCGGGATTAAAACAATTGTCGTATGATATGAACCAGACGGTACTTAGAAATTGTTATAAGTATTTCCGTGTGATCGTGTTCCTGGCTGTCGTTTGGGATAAAGTCAAGAATAAAATGGTTGCCTTGCCTGAGGCTGCTATAAATGGATTCGAGGTCGATTACTGGCGTCACTGCCGAAACTTTACCTGGAGCCTGGCGATCATCTGGGGATCGCCAATTCCCAGTCCGCAATCTCTAAAAGAATCTTCTTGTCTGCTCAAAGGTCGTCACACGAATCATGTGGAGGGTCTGACATCAGTCCTCGGCGACAATGGTATTGTCAGATTGAGAGGTGAGTGTGCATAGGGCGTCACTATCTAGAGACCAGGAGCTGTATTCCTGGTCTCTATACTCTACACTAGAAGACCGAGAGATACTATGTGTGCTCTACAGTCTGCCGTATTTCCTTGGCGTGATGCTCGTGGCCACCATCATCGCTCCTTTCCCAGCTGTCAAATTATGCTGACTCCGTGTGGGTGTCTCTCGCGAGGAAAATTGGGAGTAGAGAGCCATTTGTATAGAATCACTAATTGAGATGTACGCCTTTTGTGGTCTGTAGATGATCTCCAGCGGTGCCGAAGGTCGCAAACCCCTACAAGCACGAGCGTCACATATGAAAACGGTCTGTGATACTCTGTTCGCTGTGCCTTACTTCGAGCCGAGTCTAGTCGCAAGTTTACCCTCTGAGGTTGCCAAACTCGGGTTTGTGTGACACGAACAGAACAAGGATAAGTATCGATGTCGCCTTCACGCTTTGCGGCAATTGCCATTCAAGCATATTGCACTTTCCATGTGTGAGTCGATTGACGTTTGAGTATGACACTCGTGGATAAGGCGCAAAGATTTATCTATAAATTGATATCGCGGACCTCCTTTTATTCCTGTTTTGAGACCATGTACTTTCAGAACACATTTTCTTACAAAGGAAATACACCACAATGGCGGATAATTCGTCCGAAATTCAAATTGTGTTGATCGTCAAGGGTCTTAATTTTGACTACCATGAATGTTATCTCGAAACTCTTATCCATCGTTCGCCCCGCGATCCCACCGGTACCTGGGCCATGGCGGAAATCGTATCGAAGGCTCGAAAAGATGACCAGCCGGAGGAAGTGATCGAGCTCCCCATACATGATGTGAGGGTGAATCCGAGCCTGGCTGAACGTGGTATTCGCTATGTACTGAATTGGGAACTACTGGCCCGAGACGGCATTACGAGTCGAACTATAAACAAAAAGGGTGACCGACAGTGGTATTCGCGAGACATGAGGATTATCTTCCGCTCTTTTTATGTCAATGAGAGTACACAGGAAGTGGCCATGCTTCCCCCCAAGGAGTCTGTTGTTGTCAACTTCCCACATGGGGAAGCACCTATCAGCCCGGAAGAGCATGAAGAATGGAACCAAGTGGCTCGAAAGCATGGTATTGATATCTCAGTTGCTCAAGGGGAACTGCTCTAATACTATGTTTGCATGGTGGACGATTGGCCAAGCAAAAGTCAGTGGATGACGCTGTATGTTTAAGTCAAGAAGACAAATCTAGTTCAGAGTGAGGCTGTCATACTGTACCAATAGATATTCTGACATGTGACACACATAGCTACAAACATATTTCCAATCAGAAACCCCCATAACGTTCTCGTTCGACAAGAGCCAACGATAAGGTGACTGGCTAGAGTGTCTTCTGCTACTCAACTGGCTGTTCTGTCCTACAAACGCATAGAAAAGACTGTCATAGAGTGACTTGATCACCGATATATAAAATGGCAGCAGAGCAGGATTCTTTTTTCTATACACAAAACATTCTCGAATCGTATAACAAATACCGAGAAATCCAACAAATCCATCGTAATCATCATGTCAGGAACAGCAGCTTCAGGATCAAATGCGACGGTCCAGGAGGAGACCCAACTAACACGATTCCCACAATGTAAGCAGACAGAGAAATGGGAACTAGAAAAAGTCGCAAGGACATCTCACTGGCGGTTGGAACTCGGCGCGCTGAGGTCGCAAGATCACATCTGCCATTCACGAGAACTGTTCGTCGAGAGTCCTACCATCCACCCGAAAGAGTATGGGACGATCTTGTTCCCCGTAATCATTCGAGCTCCCTGCCATGACGCCGGGTTCGCGGACCACTCGGTCTATATCACGGCCAAGTTTGCCCTTGAAGATGTGTTGTACGACCCCGATGCGCCGAGGAATCGTATCGCGAGCGCCCTTCTCAAGGCTCAGTGTAACGAATTTGGAAAGTTGATACGTACTCGTGATGGGGGCCATGGATTCTGCATCTTTAACGAGAATACCTATTTGCCGGTCGAGTACACCCAGGAAAATATTGTCAATAGTATGCCAGTTGTGATGAATCGTTTGCACAAGACTCATACACGAGTCAAGAATGTGAAGTAGTGACTCAGGTGAGGGAGAGAGAGGGTGTGTGTTGTGGCGCGTTTGTGTCTGTTAGTTGGCGATTTGGGCGTCTTGGTCTACGAACACAGCGGGAAGACAAATCGCCCTCGCCCCTCTTCTCGGTACATCTAGATAGCTTACATAGTTGGCTTAAATCCTAGGTCGCAGGGATTTATTGCTGGATCATCGTAGGAACACATACTTCGTGTACAGGGTCTTTTTGTCCAGGTATGTGACCTGTAAAAGGTGCGAAGCATGCTGGTGATGCATGATTCGATGAGGATAGCAACCTCAAAACATATCTGCACCATGCATCTCATTTAAGCCGTGATCAGAAGATTCTAACATGATGTGATGGGTTGACACTGAGATACCGAATGTGTTTGATCCATGTGAGGTATACAGTATTGGCTACACGTATGACTTTTCTACCAGCTCTTTTGACATGTTGCTCAGCAGGACGAGTGTTTGCCGACAATATCTAATAATTGAAGAGATGGGGGTGATATCAATCCTGGAGACTTTTTGTCAGTTGTCATGTCTGACACCATTGTTCACGGCGTTTTGTACTGAAGGCATCATAGAAGGACGTGCAAACCAGGGCATTCAGAACAGTCGGGGGTGCTTTGCAAACGGGAGCTCGCGATTTCATCTTCCTACTTAAATAACCAACTTCAGCTTAAATGCTTTTGATATATGTCCACTTTATTGATTTTTCAAAGACGCATAGACTGCAACGAAGCTTATATCACAAGTGAGGATGTCTTCAGGTCATGGGGATGTCGTTTTCGTAGACGAGAACGGCACTCTGAATATGTATATGTTCAACGAGGCGTCTAACTCAGCCGGCAGTATGCCTCCTGAGAACGGCACAGACCATCAGCACAATGACCATGGTCCGGACGAGAGATCGGAAGAGGTATTGAGAGGTGAATTTGCCGGCCCATCGGCTTCAACAGGAGTGGATTCGTTCATTTCTATCGATGAACGAGGATACCAGACTATCTACCAACGGTTGCGACTTCCTGAAGCGACACGTTCACATCGCGAAAGAGGCCTGCCTTTGTCGGACAATGGCGACATGTATCCGCCATCACAGAATCCCAGCAGTCATACCGACCCATTGGTGATGCTCGGCCCCAATCCAGGTCGTCGGTCGAGTTCAAATCGCCGAAACAATTTCCGTGTGCCAGAGTCAACGGCAAGGGCTGAGTCTCAGCAAAGCAGGCTCCCGTTGGAGGGATCCGCAATTAATGGCTGGATATTAAATGCAAAGGGATATCAACACAAATGCAATGATCATCGACTATTCCGCCAAATCCTGATCCCTAACACAACATGGTTTGAGGAAGGAACGCCATCACGTCCATACGGTACAGTGGTGCTGCCCATCTTGCCTGGAATCGGACACCAACATCCGTATCGGGTGAGCGTCATGACGCTATCGAACGTCGTTTTCACCCCGGAAGCGAAGTATTCCGAGATGAGTTGGCCGCTGCTCCGAGCTGAAGGGTTCCGCATGACTCGCATATTCGACGACATGCACCTGTTCGAATTGCCTGCCGCGTTCGCAGAGAGTGCGGTGTATGCTATTTGGCACCGTTCTCTTCCTGGTGTGCATTGGTTCTACGCCAATGAAATTCCGGGACACGGTGATAAGCTTGGAGTTTTGCTTCCGCTTTTCGCGATGGAAGAATGGAGAAGGGGTATTGTGGAGGGCAGACTTGGAACAAGCGCCGAAATGCAGGGGCCATTCGCCTGGACAGAACCAAGTGAGTGTAGAGGGTTTGGGCGTGCACTGCAAGACTCTAGTTTGAGTGACCGGTGGGAGTGGAAGTACTTTGGTTGGGTTGATGGTAGAGTTGTAGGATTGGAACCGAGGTGCTGGTAGGGGGATATGCATGAGCTTGTGTTCTGGCCGCTAGAGAAGTTGATCAAGTATCATCTGTGTCGGTTGCTGTCCTTGCTGTTCGATGTAGCGAATAAACGGACCTAGAGGGAACAAAAGATAGACAAGTAATATTTCATGTTGCACAGTTGATGGTGAACTCATGCATTTTAAGATCGCTCGCTGTGCACTTGGTGAGAACAATATTGTACATGCTTAGGAAAGGCGAAGCCATTAAAACTCGGCAGACATCCTTTCCGCGGCCTCCTTTGCTTTTCGGAGTTCGGCCTTCTCCTTGGCGATGGCGTCCCTACCAGCCTTGACTAGTTGTCGATCCTTTTCAGATTGCTCGAAAAACTCGCTGAGACGTTGCATTTGTTCGAGCTCTTCGGTGGTGGGCGCGGGCGCTTCCTTGGCGCCTGTAACTCCCTGAACAAAATCCCAGATGGTTTCCACTTGGTGACCACTTAGATTTGCTGAAAGGACTCTTTGATAACTGGATTGAGATGACTTTGTTGTAGAAGTTTCGGCCGCATGTGAGCCTGAAGTCTCGATATCTGACCAGCGCGCCTGGACCTGGGCCGCATCAGAGGATTTTGCTTGCGACTCAATAGCGGACAAGATGCCATGTTGATTGCTTGCAAAAGTCAGCTCCAAGCTTGGTTGCTCACCCACGGACTGGACCGAAATGGGGAGAGTTGGGTTGTGATATTTTAACCGCGGAAGCAGTTCCTTGATAAATATTTTGGTGCCGCGGATGGCAGCATAGCTCTCTGAAGTCTTGGGGAGGTTTGGTAAGACGACGTTGAACTTGGCTACCTGAGCCGCCGGGGGAGGAGGAAGGATGGATGCGCCTCGGCCGTGGCGGATATTGTATAGCTATCTGGTGAGTTGCTGCGCAAAGGGGTATCATCGTAGGGAGCTTACTTTCTGGCACAAGTTAGAGAGGACGATGGGTATTGAGATGAGTTGGGACTTACTGGCTGAAACGCCCGCATGCGTTTCGCTATGTTGACCATTGCGCTAGGAGAGTCGCAAGGGTGGCATGCGCCGCTGAGACAGTACGAGGTGATTTATCAAATGGTCAACTCAAGGGAGAGCCGGAAATGAACGAAGAAAAGGAATGACTGCGAATGGTGAAGATAGCAGCGGCTTGATGTCTCTGGCCAAAAAAAGCTGTGAAGTTGGAGACGCAGTCAAATTCACTAAATGGAGCAAATATGCCAAGTTCAGTTAGATCTTGGCAAAAATGTCCCTAGACCCACCAGTGACTGAGGCATCTATCTCAACCTCATCTTGTTGACTCAACTCAACAAGTTGCTACGAAGTCATTACGGGACACATGGCAGTCTGGACGTCGCACTCGAACTTATGAGTGTCATTGATGCTGGACTTCCACAATGTATCTCAACATAAGCAAGATAAGTGAGCTCCCTGGTGGAAGGGATAGCGACAGCCACTGGGGATCCACGGAGGGTTTTCTGCGAGAAACTCGCAGTCTCCAACTGGTTTGATGCGACCCAAATTCTCATTTGATCTTGATGCGTGAACATGAATTGTCACAGTGAGTGCCAACAGATCATTGTGAGCCATACGCTACACAGAATGAACATGACTGGGACCACACCGGTGAATTGCGGTCTGTTGCATGACTATTGTTAATCAAGATTCTGATCCTGTTGGACGACTATGATTGGTCTACAAACAGACTATGTATCAGACCAAGGATGTGACAGTGAAAAGGTGAATCAGTTCAACAGAAGGGGAACAGGAAGCCTGAGTCAGGATATGATTGATGAGGAGGCGGGGACGTGACTACCTAGGTAGTCAGATCAGATCAGTCCGGTGTGGTCTTTCCCTGTGAGGAAGAGAAGATCAGGAGGGAAAGAAAGGCCGTGAAGGAAAGCGCAGAGAAGGAAGCAGGTCGTGAGCAGATGTTGGGAAGAGAGGGGACAAAGATGGCAAGAGCTGGACGGACTTGCTATACTGGGCAACAGCGGGGGTGGACGTTGGTTGTTACTGCCTCTCTAATTCTCAGCATCTGACAAGTTTCTGCAAACTCTGACTGTGAATTCTGTCTTTACAGAATCTCAGTTTTCCAGACCAGTCCGACTTCTACCTCACCGGTTTGCTCTGACTCTCTCTTCCACTTCATCTCCACCTACTTGAACCCCGGATATTCTTTCTTCTACTTTCACCCTATCTCATCTCACCACCTACTCAACATCAATCCTTTCTTTCACAAAGCTTGACCAGCACACCTTCTGTTCGTCACTGAATCTAGTCTTGCTTCGGCAGATACATTCCCTATCCCTCTGCTCTGGAATTCTCGCCTCAGGCCTGGATCCACAGCGCCGAGAACGCGACTTCAACCCGGATCTTGATGTTAAATTTGGACGACATCATTCATCTAACGTGAGCATCGCAAGCCCCATGTTGCCCCTTGCCCATCCTCTCCACATCCCCTCGTCCATTTTAATGACCCCGCGAGGTCAGTCTAGGTGCTGATCTTTGCTTGTTGTACTTCTACTGTCAGGATTGGTATAGAGCTTCTTGCTGGACCGCAGTCTTCCCAATCTATACTGATCCATTACCGCTTCTGGGTAAAAGAGCCTGTATTAACCTATGTGTCTCCGCAGTCTTGCCTCAGCTCCTGCACTTGAAGATGGCGGGTGAATCCCCCAGCTTGCACTTTCAGGCTGGAGCCCACGTCTTCAAGACAAAGGGCCAGGATCCTATTGCGGTCACAGCACTTGATGCAACTTTCGACATCGAGTCTGTCCAAATCAAGACCTTGCATACCCCAAAGCCGATCCCAGGCACTCTTTGGGCTTACTTTCTCAAGGTTTTCAACCTAACGAACGTCGTTGCATATGTCATCGCACTCTTTGTCAATATCTTGGTTGCATATCTACAAGGCGAGACTGGTCTTTTGGTTCCACTTTTGTTTGCCATCTCTCAAGTCTTTGAGCAATGTAAGAACCTTGGTCATGAGCAATTGCAAGGCGTTAGCTGATCATCACCTACAGCCTCGTGCATCACCGAATCACTCTGGCGTCTCTGTGTTGCGTCTAAGCGTGACCCAAATCAGCGATCAGTCTTGCGTCTTGTTGGTGATAATGTGCCCGGTGTGGTCATCATTGTCGTCGCTTGTGGTGAACCCGTGGACATCATCATGGACACTGTCAATGCTGCTTGTCGTGTCGATTACCCCTCTGCCAAACTCCGGGTGATTCTTGCAGATGATGGTAACTCGCATCTACTTCGAGACCAGGTCAACCAGCTCTCCTCTCAATTTCCCCACTTGTATTACAGTTCACGAGACAAGCCAGCATATGGCCATGGCTACAAGGCAGGAAACATCAATGCCACTCTTCGACAATTCGTTGCAACTCTTGGCTTTGCCTATGAGTGGATCTGCATTCTTGACTCCGACATGATGCCTGAACCGCAAATCCTCCGTGCACTCTTGCCACATGGTATCCGAGATCTAAAGATCGGCATGGTGACAACTGGACAGGTAAGCCATGACTGCCCTATGTGATCTTCAAGGCTGATGCTTTACAGCATTTCTACAACATTCCTGATAACGACCCGTTGTATCAATCAAATATCACTGGCACTCATGCCGAGGATGGTGCTAGGGACAGCGTTGGAACGGCGTGGTGTCCAGGTTCTGGCTTCATCTTGCGTGCGCGTGCCTGGCAGAGTATCGGCCATCTACCCGAATTTGCCGTCACCGAAGACCTCTTCACCAGTTGGCATCTCCACGGCGCTGGCTGGCAGACGGCTCTCGTCCATGAAGTTTTGCAATGGGGAGTGCAGCCCGACTGTTTTGTCGTCCACATGAAGCAGCGTCGCCGTTGGGTAGGTGATCCGCATTTGACCCACTGCTCAAGCTAACCACAGGTGACAGTGGACTGGACACATGCCTTGTGTCATCAAAACCAATTTGTCACTCTCGGATCCCAAATTGAAAGGCGCCAACTTTGTCCAGCGATGGGCCATGTTCCAACACTGCCTACGACCGTTCAACAACACCACCAACAAGGTAATATCATTGTTTTTGATTGCTCTTTGCCTCCTGTTTCACGGAAAGGTCATTGCCACACCGAACATGCCGGCCTTTACATTCATCCTCATCAGCGTCTTTATCCAGCGTTTTGGTCCCATGATCAGCACCTGGCAGTCCGTTGACTGGAACCTTTCGTCTACTGCTTTTGATAAGGTCTGGAACACTCAGAGACGAGCTGCCACAAACACCTGGTTAGGTCTCCACTTTGCAATCGACACCGTCAAAGCTGTGATTCCCGAACAAGTCGGAGGCAAAACCTTGGATTTTGAAGTCACAGGCGTCAGAGAGCCCACAGCATCTACTGCCAACGAGAGAGACGCTCTGACCCGACTGCCACTACTCACTCGACTCAAGGTCTTTCAAGACAAGGAACGTATTGGTTGGTACCTTGTGGCATTTGCAACAATGACCTATCTCCTCATCTGGAACTACGTTACTGTTGCGAGCGACTTCAAGAACGACGCTTTCTGGTTTCAGCTCTTCTGTTCCGTTGGATTTCCAGGTCTCGGTTTGATCGAACTTGTCCCATTCTTGCTGACGCCCATCGCGTATGCCATTTTTCCGCCAACCATGCCTCGTCGCCGTGACCTCATGGAACAGGATGAGAAGACAGGCGTCTGGAAAGCCAAAGAATCAGCCAAGAAGATGGTGTGGACGGCCTGTTCTGGTATCTGGCTCGTGATGCCGAAAATCCTTTCGTTCGTTTTCATGGTACTCATCTTGAAGCACCTTGTTGCGACTCCTTGGGTTGGCCTAATGAGATTGACAGGACCGGTGGATAATTCGATCACGGCATAGTGACATGTTCATGGAGAGTTCAACATCGACATTGTCGACAGGGGCTCACAGCGAGGCACACTGGATTCTGTCTCTTGGTGAGCAGGCCCCGTGGTGGGTTTCGTGCTGAATATGGAACATGCTGACAGGTCGGTACTTGCAGTCGACTTAGAAACTTGGCGTGTGGAGCTTGACAGGCGGGAATCATGCAGCGATTCAATGATGGCAGCAACGAACCTTGGGGGACAGGGATTCAGAGCTGTGCACATGTACAAACAAGGAACTCACGCAAAGGTGAAGCTTGGTGACGCAGATCGTGTCTGCAGAAGGTGTTGTTGCAGGTCAACCATGGCAGCCGTGGCATTAGTGCTATCTATCGCAAGACGTGACTGTGACCGAGATGATCTGCAGTGCATTAGTTCAGCCAGCTATAGGCTTCAGAATCAATCTTGTCTAGCACTGCGTAACAATTCCTCTGCTTTCAAATTCTCCTCGAATTCGTCAGGTCGCTCAACACGTCTGTTACTGGTTCTCTTGGGGCGAAGACCAAGTTCAGACTTTTGGTCCCAGATCCTGTCGTGGCGGCGAGCCCATCTCTCTCTGCGCTCCTGCATGGCTGCTTCGTCTTTTGGCCTCCATTTGCTCTTCAAGATGCGGCGGATGGCTTCTGCAGAGACCTTGAAATGCTCCGATAGAGACTCTGTCGAATACTTTTCGGGGTCTTGGGCGTGCAAACCTCGAATGCCTTCAACGGCATCGGGAGAGAGTTTCTTGCGAGGATTCCAACCGCCCTCAAACTTCTTGGTCAAGGCCTTTTTCTGGACCTGCCATGTTTCGGGGTTCTTGGGCAAAAAGAGAGCCCTTTTTTCTTTGGACATGAATCGCCCGTTGTCTTGTGGTACGTTTTTATTGGATGCACGCAGGTTGCCGCGGCTGCTCAACCGACTTGTGCTCTGTCCATCTCCATCATCTGAACGATGTCTAGGTTTCCTATCTCTTCCGCCACTACCACTATTGTCTTTGTCTTTCCCTTTGCGACCTGCAGACTTGGGCTTCGCTGTTGTGGGTGTGAGGATTTCGATCGATGGCCCGCCGGACTTGCTGTGAGCCCAGGCTTTGGATGAAGGTGAAGGCCGTCTGGAAGGGGATGAGGGAGAACAAGGCGAATGAGAGGCGGAGGTGGAGGCGGAGGTGGAGGATTTGGATTCAAGGGGTTGTCGCTTGCTAGTGGGACTGCTATAGGACCTCCGAAGTGGTTGTTGGGAATTGCTGTTGCGATTATAATATGATGGATTGGATGCCGTCCATAAGCAGATGCGGCGAGAGGGAGTCAGTGCAGGTCTTGTTGGAGAAATGAGGGCTTGCAATAACCATCGATTGCAATGGCAATTGAGAGACATGATGGTATAGAAGCACCCTATTATAATGCGGATGTAGATGTCATGGTAGGGAGGGTAATAAAAGGAGATGCGTATAGTCGGGTAGTAGTTCTAACCTTTCGTCGTCGCGCCAAAGATTCATGGAATCGATGTCTTCTTGTCTCAAAATTTCGTGGATAGATTGCCCTACTTAGACAGAATCATCTGCGGAAGTCTTACCCGGTTGAGATGAGCGTGGCGTTGCGGCGCATGTGGCTTCCGTGTGAACTTCGGACCATCTTCGTCACGAGGCCGACTTCATTGACATCAACATTTTGTGCTATGCATAATTGCTGCAACATCCGACCTAAGACCCTACTTTCTCAGATTACTTTGCTTTGGGAAGTCTGCCTTCTCTCTATTATATCTTTTCCAGATGGCTGTTGTTCCCCGGATTAGTGGACCTCGGTGAGCTTAAGGTATTCCCACACGCCACACCCAACCGCTGGTGTAATGTCCTTGGACGAGGTCAAACAACCCTGATTAAATATTTACTATAATGGCTTGGCCGAATCCTTTTCGCAGACGGGATCATAACACCCGCACCTATTGGGGATATACCTTTCAATTAACGTCTGATCATCTCACCCCGGAGCAGGCGTATCCCTTGAGATATACTTATGACACCCTGGGAGAGGAATGTTACAACATCCTATCTGAGATTAATTCCAAGGAGGAGCCTCAGAAATCCGGGTCATCACATACCACAGATGAATCCGATTCTAAAGGTGGTCAAATGGCTGCTAATAACGACGAGATCAAATCTAACAGTAAACCTCCCAAGCTGAAACGAGACTTATACGCTGTACTACGAGATAATCACGACAAACATCCTAAACTTCAAGAACTCTGGGACGAGGTCAATACCGTCCCCGACTGGGTCGACTGGGAGCAAATTGCACGAGGTCAGGATGTGTTCTACCGATATGGAGCAGCGACGTTGACAGGACTGGCCTACCAATCATTACTCGGTGGGATGGGAGCTAATCGAGTCGTCGAAGTTCTCGCACGCACGGGCGGGTTCTCAGTCAAAGTTGCCAAACATCGGCTATTCGAAACGACACAACATATCCTCGAATGCACACGGTCACTGGAATCCATCCAACCAGGAGGAGACGGATTCGCATCTAGTCTACGAGTTCGACTCCTGCACGCTGCGGTGCGACGACGAATCATGAAACTCGCGCAAACGCGACCTGAATATTACTCCGTAGAAGAATTCGGCATCCCCATCAACGATCTCGACTGCATCGCCACCATAGGAACCTTCTCCAGCACCATCATCTGGCTATCTCTCCCCCGACAGGGCATCTGGCTCCGCCAACAAGAAATCCTCGATTATATCGCCTTGTGGCGACTCATCGCCCATTACGTCGGCACGCCGACCGAATGGTTCGAAACCCCCGCCCGCGCCAAAGCCATGATGGAAACGCTCATCATGAACGAAATCAACCCCACTGAAACCAGCAAGATCCTCGCCGCTAACATCATCCGGTGTCTTGAATCCGCTCCACCGACTTATGCATCCCGGTCCTTTCTTGAAGTCAATGCCCGCTGGCTCAATGGAAACGAACTCTGCGACGCATTGGGCTTGGGTAGACCGAGTCTTTGGTACTGGGCGATTATGGCCGGACAGTGTATTTTCTTCATGTCGATTTGTTATTTATACAGGTCGATTCCGAGTCTTGATCGTCGCAAGGTCACGGCACTAAAGCGTGCGTTTTGGATGTGGATTGTAGAGGGGAAATATGGGTTGGGTGGGCAGCAAAGTGTTTTTGATTTCAAATATATACCTGATTTCAATGTGGCGACCGTGAGAGGTGGGGATACAGAGGTCAAGGTCAAGGAACATGGTATTGAGAGGAGGAATCTAAATACTTTGTTGATTGCGACGGGGTGTTTGGCTGCTGTTACATATGTTGGCACCAAGGTAGCATGTGGGATTCTAGGGAGGTTATTCTAAGTAGGGGGGAGACCCTTTCAGCGAGCTAGCAAGCAAGCGAGCGTTGGTCAAGTCAGTACAACATCTCCTCTCCTGTATGGACATAAATACTAGGTACTGCTCCCAAGGTCATGATTATTATCAGGTCGAGCGAGTGCAAGTGTTACAGATTCTGCGTGTGCGTGGCTGCGTCAATGGTGGATTAATGTTACAAACTTCGTCTGTCTTTTACTACTCTTCGCCCTCTTCATCTTACTCGACTCCAGTAGCCCGTCATGTCGAGGCGGAGGAGCAGCATTTGGAGTAGATTCACTCTTCCATCTTGGTGATGCGACTCTTCAACAGACCCTCCCCATATATCTATATTTACAGACTCCTCCGCCGTTTGTGCCTGTTCTCGCAGCACCTCCATAAATCGGACTACTTTGGTCCGGAAATCTTCGTCAAATCGTTTCGTCGGGGTCTCGTTACTCATACCTAATTCGCTATTCGCCATACTTGACATATCCTGTTTCCGTCGGGATGCCGCAAATTGCAAAATCACGTCAAATACCTCGTACAGTCTCCGCACACATTCAGATTGTTTGGTCTTTAGTGTCAACGAGTGGAGGATCGTGTCAAGCGTCCTTTCATGGACTGCACGTAGGTAGTCATGGCTCTTCACCATTTCCAAGGTTCGTTCATAGTTTCTGTTCCGGATATGGGAATGGACAGTTTGAAGGGTTGAGCTGAGTTTGGTCCAAGCAGAGTATATGGCGGAATTGTGAGTGTAATCTGCAAGAGCAGTGACAAATTGATGCATTTGAGCAATCAGTCTCTGATCTGCTAACTGATACTGGGCTTTGTCCTTGGAATGGAAATTGTCTCTGAGCAGTCGCTGCGTCACACTATGAACTCGCAGGAGGCGGAGAAGGTGTTGGAAGATGCGGTCGTATTTGTCCAGAATTGGAACTGTTAGAACAGTCTCGAGCACGGGACTAGCTGGCCGATACTGTAACCGGAGAAAGTCGAGTGCGTGGACCGAGTCGACCTTGCGGCATTTTTCCAGCTCTTCATACGTCAATTCCCGGATGGCAAAGGATATAGTCTCATCGTGGGTCTGGTTGCGTGAAGAAGAAGAAGAAGAGGAGGAGGAGGAGGAGGAGGCAAGACTGTCAGAGAGAACTCCCATGAGCACAACTCTTAATTCGGAACTCGATGGTGGCCAAGTTCCACGATCTTGGAGACGTAACCCGGTTGAACCGCCTTGGCGTCGTCTACCTTCTCCACTGCCTTGATCAGGGTCGAAGAGTGCCATGCCTAGTCGCTGTGCAAAATCGGCATTCCGAAACATATGGACGTCCATTTGAAGCTTGATGTGGGAATATACATCGTGCGACTCGAATAGCAGGTCTAGAACAGAGAATGACACAAGTCGATGCTGGGTCGAGATCACGGGCTTGAGGGAGAATACTAAAGAGTCCCTAAAGTCAAGTTCCAGTGCACTTGGGGTTTTGGTGTGTTCATCTGTCAAGTATTCGGTGACGATGTCATGAAACTGGTCTGACGTCGACGACGATCGATTTAGACATGTCGTAGGTTGGAAAAGGTTTAGATCGAGTTGAAAAGGGCCATTTTGCATTTGCTGTCCAGCATTATCTTCGGCCAGACATGAGTTGACTGGTTGGTTCATCGCTGGAGACCATAGAGCGGTTTTCATGGTCGTCTCATAGCTGTTGCAGACGTCTTGGAGTCGGCCAATGTCGCTCCATGTATGCACTGGTTGCAGCCAGATTTCGAGTTGCGATGTATTTTGTAGCCCAAAACAGAGAGCAGAGTCTCTTGCATAGATTCTGAGGAGCTGCAGGCTGTGTTTGGCCTGAGATGCGAGCTGGCAGACATCGGGGGGTAGCAATATCTCCCAGGCGCTTTCCATCTTGCCATCAAATTCGTCCACCGTTTCAACTGAAGGCAGCTTATTGTCCAGACCAATCTCATTGCCAAGTTCAATCAGGCGTGGGCGGAGTGTTTGGTTGAAAACCAGTCGCAGAATCGGGACCATTCCTGGATGTGTAGCTGATGCTTTCAACGCTTCCTGAAGGACGACACCGAGCATTACATCTTCGGATCGGCATGTCGAGGTCTCGTTGCAGAGTGTCCACAAGGCCATAGTAATGTCGGATACCTTCCCGATAGTGGCGTGCAACTGAAGGAGTGATCTCGTTTCCACTCGGAGACCCTCTAGATATTGGTGGACAACAAAGAGAGTAGACCTCGCGGCTGACAACAATGCCAGTCTCGCAGGGTGTAGGCTGATCCCACCCAGATCTATATCTTGAAACATCGCGAGTAGCCATCTGCTGTATACGCCAATCTTGACGAAGATGGAAATCGAATTGTGAAGCAGCGCTTTACTGTAACCCAAGGCAGTCATATTGTCCCACAACAAGTCAAATGTCGTTGTTGTTTCATTCCACCGAAAAAGTCCAGAGCCACGGCCCATGACGAGTTCGAATACCGCATCAAGAATCGCATCTGGTTTGACAATGCGAGAGGTCTCTGCGTGCTCGACGCTGGCGAGAACGGCACTGAAGACTCGGGGCTCTTGTTCGCTCAAATACGCCGATTTTGGTTCTTCATGCGCCTCGTCCAAGAAGTTGTCCCAACTGACCAGCTGAGGTTCAGACCGTCTATTGACCACGTCCGGAAGGCTCCAAAGATTTGCGAGTTGATCTTCCTCGTCTTTATCTGGTCCGCTATGACCCAACTCTTCACCACTTGATTCTGACGGGGTGGTTGATGGAGGAGTAGACAGATCTGGTAAGGGAACATCTTCAATGGCGAGTTGAAAGACATCTGATTTCAAGATTGGAAGATCGTGAGTCTTGAGTTCATTCAGCCGAAACACGCCGCTTTCGATGCTGCTGTTGAATCGAAACCCTTCCCAGATCGGAGACGACTTGATGTCGAGGGCGGGGATCTCGGTGAGGATGTCGCTTGTGAACGCATCGATTTCTGTTTGGAGTGACATTTTGCTGTTATCGAGGACATGGTGAATGAGGCTGTTACAGAGTGTTCTCTCTTGAACAATGTGCGACGACCACACAGGGGGCTGTCGTTGAATGCATTGCTGTCTGAAATCGCATGAGACTCAACACAAAGACGCGTCGGAACTGCGCTGCATATTGAACGCTCGACCGTAGGACGCGATGTCGACTACGGCGCAGCATCTACTGCTCTAGCGACATCAACTTCGAGGTTTCTGGGCAAAATCTTTGAGATTATCAACAAATCCTTATATATCAACTAATGCCTCTACGCTCATAATCGAGAGAGTTTGGAGCTAAGCGCAACTCAAAGGACAGTATCACACATGAAAAGATAGCATAAACGCGGATCAAATCATGGCCAGGACAGGCCCAGCACAAGAACAGGAACAAACTCCCGAGATCGATCTCTCAAAATGGACAGACGAACAAGAATCAGCATTACTACAAGCAGTGATCCGCTGGAAACCAGTTGGCATGCATAAACACTTTCGGATGATATCAATTCGAGAGCATCTAGTTAAACAAAAGGTGATCAACCCAAGCGACGCTCACACATCAACAGCAGGAATCTGGGCGAAACTGGGTACACTCTACGACTTAGCCAGTCTCGATGAGCGTGAAGACTCAATCATTGATAGCATTGATGATGAATCCAGCAATTTGTCCTACTGGAGAGAGTTTGAATTACCACGAGAGGACTTCGAGGAGATGATGTGGCAGAGACGATTGGCGCCAGAAGGAACCGAAAGTCCGGCTTTGTCGAGAAGAGATAGTACCGTTGCCGACACGGATGAGCCACGGTCTTCGCCTGTGTCGACGGGGAAAGGTTCGGTTAGGGGAGTCAGGACTTCGGCTCGACGTGGAGGTCGGCTGTCACGCTTACAGAACGAGCTTGAGACCGAGAGGAGTAGTCGTCGCACAAGCAAGGCCACCAGTGTGGCTGATGAAGATCACGTTATGGAAGATGCTGATGATGATGAAGAGGAGGAGGATGACGAGGATGACGAAGCTAGTAGTGAGAATGCGGAAGAAGACAAAGACAAAAAAGTCACGAAAGTAGGGCGAGGTGGGCGCAGAGGCCGAGGACGTCGTTTACGACGAAAATGATTTGATATTTTCTGCCAACCTACAAACCACCCTGTTGCGAGTCTCGACCATCACGCTCATCCTGTCAACTTTCGGCCTCGGTCCTTGTCGGTCACAGACGGTCTGGGCCGCTTGAAGCAGCCAAAACTATTCCTACTACCTTCGCGCAGCTTCTTCAACACGATGCGCATGTCTCCCAATTCTTGTTGCAGCCTTTGTCTTGCGTCGTTGGTCGTTCGCTTGTCCAGCTCGGTGTATATTTGCCCTTGAATTTCACCAGCTTTGGGCGTCGCGTACTGAGACATGGTCTGCGCGAGGAATTCGGTGTCGAGTGTGGCCTGCATGAGGGAGGCAAGAGTATATGTGTTTGGCTGACGCTCTTTGAACCCATCTAGAAGGGCCTGCGAGGTATTTTCAAGGAGAAACGAAATGATCTCGCCGAGAAGTGGACTGTTCGACCCAGCGTTGGAAATGGTTGTTGACACTTCAGTGTGCACCATGACCAAAGTCATCAAACTTGCGTAGACATACGGTCTAACCTGGGTTGGTCGTGACGATTTCGGCGCCCATGATGGATCCTTGATGCCTTCCTTGATGACCTTGGTCAAATGCGCCACAATCGGGCGGGTATACGAACGAAAAAGCTTTGCATCGATCTGGCCAAGCACATCGCGGATTGTCTTAGACTCATCGGTCAATTTGACAGAGAATGATGTTTCAAAAAGTTGGATCAGATTGGGGATGTGCTCGTTGCGCAACGCTTTAAGGTTGGACATGGTCAACAACATGCGTACATTGCGACTGGAGACATTAATGGCTTCATGGGTTAGCAGCTCATTTGGACCGCCGCCATCCGCAACCGCTTCGAGGCTAGACACCAAAACCCATTCATCTTCTTGGCTTGCACCTGCATCCTCGGCGTTTTCGAGCATGCCACTGACAGCCTTGTAGATGCTGCTGACAAACTGTGTTCTGGCCATTTGAAGGTGCTTGGACGGTGGTGGGGCGATGATATCTCGACCGGGCTTGGAGCTGGAGTTGGAGTCGGAGAAATACATGACTTGTTGCATGCCGAGCAAGACCTTGGTCTCAAACTGTTCAAAGTACAAGGGCAGTCGTGTCTGATCGCGTTTATCAGGTGCCCTGACCCATTCTTCAAGATATCTGCAACATTCGGCATCCTTGCTCCAAGCTTCACAAAGTGCTCGTAGACACCGGTCTCGAGCGTTGGAAATCATGGACTTGATCTTTTCCACCACGACTGGACTATTGGTTGAGACAGGGCGCAACACTGCCATTTCTCCTACGGCAATGCCCAATAATTTTAGAATCTGCGAGAGATATTTGACAGCGGCAAGTGAATTGGAGTGAGACGGCCAGAAGGCAAAATCCTCCCATGGTTCTCCTTTCTTGACAGCCGCTGCGGGAAGATTTTGAGGGTCCAGCCTGCCAATGCGACCATCGGTTGGCGAGAATGCTGTCGGAGCAAGAGGAGTGGTGGGTGTCTGAGCAGAACCAGGGATAGGGGAGAAAAGAGCGGAGATGTCTTCAGTGGGAGGGTCGGCAAGTAGAGAATTGACTGCGTCTCGGATGAGGGTCACTAGGTCGACGGCGCCACTACGCAGACCGCTGACCTCCGTATCAGACAACTGGTGATGTTTGCTGCTCTCGCCTTGAAATCCTGTGGGTAGACTTCGCTGCCTGGTGCCATCAATAAAGGCTTGAGCGGAGTCCCAAAAATCGACCACTTCACCAAGGAGGCCGCTCGACAGGGAGAGTAGTTTAGTAAAATACGTGAGGATACAATCCCAAAAGTCGATGACATCTTCAGTATCGAGAGCTGCCGAGCTGTCCTTGGTAGCCTGGCGAAGGAAGGCAGCCACCGTCTGTGCTGAAGGCTTGTCGCTGGCAGCGAGTCGACGTCGAAGTATTTCAATCTCAATCTTGGACCTTTCGACCACTGCCGATATTTTGTTCTTCAAGTAGTCGTACCGGCTGAGGAGGTAAACCCAGATCGGGCTTTCCTCCACTCCGAGATCCAAAAGTACATTGATCATTTCCATGTGCTCTTCGGTTTGGGAAAAGCCGGGAAAAGGCAATGCTGATGAGACATTGGACAACCTCCGCCAGACATCCCTCTTCAGTGATTTGATTTGATTATCAGCATCAGCCCACATTCTTCCAATCACAAGAATCCTATGGACTTCTTCATCGTTCAGGGTGCGTCCTTTTTCAACGACACTGTCACTCAGAGCCCTCGCATCGACGACGTACTGTCGAGCAGAGTTGTAGAGTTGGACCGCCGTGCTGTAATCCTTTTGCTTGATGGCTTCGAAGAGGTTGGAGCCCAGATCGTATAAAGCCCGGTCCTTGGTGATGGCGTCAGCGATAGATTTGAGATTTCCTTCCCTTTCTTTGCCCCCTAGAGCGGGTCCCCAGACTTCATCAGCCTTTTGAGAGACTTCCAGCAGCGGACCTCTAATGCCTTGGACGCCGTAGTCGGTCTCCTTACGGAGGGCATTTTTGCTTGGAGTGACAACGGGGGCTGGATTCTGCATCCCTGCGGCACTTCCGCTGCTGATGTTTCGAAAGTGAATACCACTGGTTCGGCGGGAGTGGCGAGGAGACAATGGCGCAGCGGCGGCGGCGGCAGCGGCAGCGACAGCTGAGGGATCCACGCCCTGGTTTCGCATCTCGGTGTATACATTATCAATGGTGGCTTTAGCACGAACAAAACGTTCAAAATTCGTCTCGACCAAGACCTTGAGAGAAGCCGATTTCTGATCAATGGACCTCGTCAAGTACTGTAAGCCTCGGAGTAAATCCTCAGTCGAAGCGTCTGAATGAGATTGAGACAAGAAGAGGGCAGGGGAAAAGGTGGTTGACGATAACATGAACTTATTGCGAAGGCGAGTGTCTTGTTCGACTGGAAGACCCCGACTTCGTAAAGATGTCACCACGCTGGAGTTGGCGCCTAGGGGATCCGGTTCGTCCTTTTGCACCAGATTGGCTTTGCCTTCACCGGTCTTCTGGGACCCTGGGAGCAAGCTTTTTCTCTCGCTGGCACTGCGCTCTAGTGCGGAATACCTGGATCGAGAACGTCTGACCCCAAGAGTGTCGGAGATGATAGTATCTTCATCGTCGCTCTCGTCCAACTCCTTGGGCCACTCTTCAGGAAATGCAGATGGGATATTGTAGTGATTGAGAATGTTCCTCTCAAAGTCGGTCATCTTGGAAGGCGGCTCGTCGGCAACACGAGTTGTGCAGCCGCGAGAAGCCGATATAAAAGTTGTTATGATGGTCAGCAAGTTCCAGGGGGACGTGTCACTTTCTTGAAACGGATGTTGGAGAAAGGCAGGAACGGTGCAATGTGGCTCAACGGTTGTGGTGGCTGGGCTGAAATCACGTGAAATGAAGATGTGGCTGATGAGTTGTTGTATCCGTGTTTGCATGTGGCATCCGCGGGTTCAAAAGTTCATGGGTCGCAACAGCCGATCTCGCCGCCGCTAAAAGACGCGCTAAAACTAAAAGTGGATTAGTGCGTTGCATTGCTTCTTGGAGAAAGAGCGACCTGCTCCAGCCAATGTGATGTAACTGGCTGCTGTTGCTACTGCCGCTTCCTTGTGCCTGCGCTGTATTGCGAGATAAAATCCAGTCTGCCAGGACCGTTTCCGAGCTCCACCAGCACCACCACCAAATACCCAACACCTATCTACCCTCGACAATCTCCTCCATCTCACCTCTCTGCGCTTGCGAACGGTCAAAGACAGCTTCAGATCACCTTGTGCACTCGTTCAATGCTCGGTGCTGTCTCTCCTCTTCCATATTGAAGCTCAAGATCTCCGCTTCTTCTCCGAATCTAGCTCCAACTCAGCAAACATGCTTGCGACAAGAGTGTTCTCCTCTCCAGCTCGCCAGTGCTTACGAAAAGCCGGCGTCAGGTCTGCATGGGCTCCCGTGTCCTTCCAGGTATCCCTCTCTGTGGTCGATGTTGCCGTCAATAGCTATACTGACACAGCTTTGTAAATCAGATCCAGTCGAGAACGTATGCAGACCAGGTCGCCAAGTTCAAGGGACAGAAAGGTCCAGACGGCAAGTTCACCGTCTCGTTAATAGAGGGTGATGGTATCGGACCTGAGATTGCTCAGTCTGTCAAGGACATCTACTCGGCTGCTGGCGTGCCAATCAAGTGGGAACCCATCGATGTCACCCCTCGACTCAAGGACGGCCGGACCGTCATTCCAGACGAATCTATCGAGTCCATCCACAAGAACTACGTTGCCCTCAAGGGCCCCTTGGCCACTCCCATCGGCAAAGGCCATGTCTCCCTCAACTTGACCCTCCGACGAACATTCAACCTTTTTGCCAACGTTCGTCCCTGCCGAAGCATTGAGGGGTACAAGACTCCTTACGACAATGTCGATACTGTTTTGATTCGAGAAAATACCGAAGGAGAATACAGTGGCATTGAACACGTTGTCGTTGATGGTGTGGTTCAATCGATCAAGCTCATCACCCGAGCAGCCTCCGAGAGAGTGTTGAGATATGCATTCCAGTATGCTCGTGATGTCAACAAGAAGAAGGTCCGTGTTGTTCACAAGGCCACCATCATGAAGATGTCGGATGGTCTTTTCCTGAGCACCGCCAGAGATGTGGCGAAAGATTTCCCCGACATTGAGTTCGATGCTGAGCTGCTGGACAATGCTTGCTTGAAGATCACCACAGACCCTGCTCCCTACAACGACAAGGTCTTGGTCATGCCCAACCTCTACGGTGACATCTTGTCTGACATGTGCGCCGGTCTCATTGGTGGTCTTGGTCTCACCCCCTCGGGCAACATCGGTGACGAGTGCTCTATCTTCGAAGCTGTCCACGGTTCCGCTCCTGACATTGCTGGCAAGTCTCTTGCCAACCCCACTGCCCTTCTCCTCAGCAGCATCATGATGTTAAGGCACATGGGTCTCAACGAGTATGCTGTCAAGATTGAAAATGCCATCTTTGCTACCCTGGCGGAGGGCAAGGCATTGACCGGCGATCTGGGTGGCAAGGCCAAGACCCATGAATATGCGGCCGCCATAATCAGCCATCTGTAAATATGCTGCCATTAGTTGCCTCTATTGTTGGCCACAAGTCCAAATCGTATAGCGAAGGGGACTTTATTGAACCACAGTTTGAGGTATGCTCGGAACCTCCCTCGGGCATTATGGGTGGATGAATGGCGCGGATGTTGGGTGTCCTGTTGGTTGGTGTACTATCTATGCTAGAGCGAACGATGCAAAATACATTTCAAGTTGAATGAATGATCCAGTGTGCAGAAATTGAGTATTGTACAACTAGGACAGCTCCTAGGAAGTAGAGATACATTAGTGTACAGATCACGTGTGCGCCAACATGGCGTGCATGGATAGTCGACAGCGATTGATATTCAACTGTCCAAAGGTCCAACCTTGACCTCCTCTCGGCTCCTCAATTCCTGGATCTTGTTGGCAGCTCGCTGAACTCTTCGCTTCTTGACCTGCATCTTGTCAAAACGACCTCTTGCTCCAAACTTGATCTTGGTGATCATGTCACCAGCCTGACCCTTTGTGAGGTCGTCCGCAGTCAAGGGCTCCTCCACGGTCAATTCACGCAAACGGTTGAGAAAGGACAACTGACCCTCGCTGGCGGGGCTACTACGCCAACTGGAACTGGTGGCGATGAAGATACGTTCAAACTTTGTCGCGGCAAACGTGTCTGCTGCATGCAGGGCATCCGAGAGTGTGGCGGCCGTAGCGACTGTGCGAGGCCGCGACCACGGCGACTGAATGCCTTCCATCGTGGGCAGCGAGTACTTCCAAATCACTGCGAAGTGGTCTTGGGGCGATGTCGCTTCCTCTGTCGGCGCTAGTCGCCGTTCGAGACTCAAGATCCCGCCTCGTGCCGCCAATATATATTTCGTGGAATCGATCTGCACCCATGCGTAAGACGACATCGCTCGCACGTGTCGTTCTCCTGAAGTGTCTTCAATCAGATCGTGTACGGAATCGTAGTGTGTGAATTTAAGCTCATGGTTTCCCAAGTTTGAGGATGATCGACTGCTCGCGGATGCAAGTTCCCTGCTCGAGTCCTTCTTCTCCTTGAGCTCCTTGAGATCATCGACTTTGGCACCTTGGACGATTTCACCAGGATCCAGACCAAATAATGTAGGTACCGTGACAATTCCGGTCTCGAGCGAGGCTACCATGTCGATGACGTGACAGTTTTCCTTGCCAGGGTATAGACGCATACCACGACCGATCATCTGGACGAGGAGATTGCGCGACTTGGTGGGTCGTGCCTGAAGAACGCAGTCGATGTTGGGCATGTCGGTGCCTTCGGTGAAGACTCCACAGTTCAGAAGGACAGGAAACTCGCGATTCTTGAATGCGGCAAGGCGTTCTCCGCGAACACGCTTCTTGGTGGCGCCGGTGATATATTGAGCGTCAATTCCAATCTTGCGAAACGCTGCGGTCAGTGTGACGACGTGATTGATGTCGACACAAAAGACAAGCGTGGACTTGCGGTCCGATGCCTCGGAGCGCCAGGCGTCAATGGTGATATCGTTGGTGATATCGTTGTTGACTGCTTGAGCCAATTGGCCGGTCTGGAAATCGCCATCTCTGCCAGATTTGACCTTGGATAGATCCGCCTTGGACTTGACGGTGGTGAACATGACATCTGATAGCCATTTCTCCCCAATCATGTCGACGTAGTCCTTGTGGTAGACAATATGATCGATGACCGAGCCGAGTCGCAGCCCATCGAAGCGGGAGAACGTCGCCGATACACCCACAAGTGCAGGACCTGAATCCTGTCGCTCCTCGAGTCCAAAATGTTCCAGAACTTGCAGGTAGCCAGGTGCGACGATGTGATGTGCTTCATCGACCAGGACGAGTTTGAATCGAGATGGATCGTACTTGCTCAGACGATCACCGGAAACCATGCTTCGAACCGACGCCACGGTTATATCAGCGCATCCTGATGCTCTCACATCTCCCATCTCAATGTCAATGCTCTTGTGTGGATAGGCTCTTTCACAGTGGCGGGCAGCTTGTTCCACCAGTTCTCGCCGATGGGCGAGAATGAGCGTCTGCTGGGCATCTTCGGTGGGAGGCTTGACCCGATCAATTAGTCGGGTGAAGATGACCTATCGTGACTGTCAACAAATGTTTTGGGGATGGAGGACGATGAGATGGTGGGTTTGCTCACAGTCTTGCCACTTCCCGTAGCCAGGGAGATACCTAGGCGTTTTTCACCCTTTGTCAGATGAGACAAAACTGACTGAATACATTCTTCTTGATACTGGCGAAGGTGGATAGCCTCGTCGGCGATCAAATTCGGACTGGTGGCAGCAACACTGGCAAGGTATCGACGCGGATTACGGATTGGCACACAGGAGCGAGTGGTTCGCAATATTCGGGTCAGCCATACTGAAGGCGATGGCATAGTCTGTCAGGGTGCGTGGCCATGTCTCGACGATTGCCAGACTATTGAAATAGAACTGATGAGGTGAATAACCACTCGATATACGGGATGTGGAGAAAATGATGTTGGGAGAAGACATGTCTCTTTATCAGGGGGAAATTGACGCTGCTTTTCGTGACACGCCTTGGCACTTTAGTGGACATGTTAATAGCCGTAAAGACACAACACCCATATATGGTCCTTTGGCCATCTTTGCTTTCGTTTGTTATTCCTTATATTTGACCAGCCAATTCCATCTCTTGTGCGGATAGGCCATGCCTCCTCGTATAATATAATCCGCTGCACAGGTTGTTGTTACAGGCTGGTTAAGAGTGGCAGGACAGTCTACAGAGCCTTAGCAGGGTGCAACTTGACTTGACCGCCTACACTTCTCTACCTGCCTTCTTAGTTCGTTTCCTCAACTCGACCACTCTGTCTCTCTCCCTCTCTCTCTCTCTCTTTGCAATCGTTCTAGCTACTCTCATCCGACAGAATGCCAATCTCTCATCTTGTCATATTCCCCTTGCCATTCCTGTCCTCTTGGTCCTTGTTTCTACGCCAGTGATTCTACGGCAACTTACATCCCTTTGACACGTTTTCAGTACCCTAGCCTTAGTGAACCCTTAGCTATTCTGGATGATAAGTTCTTCAGGATCCTCGAGCCTTCTTCATACTGCTCTCAGCCGGATGCAAGTCCTTGGGCATGGTCTATCACAACCCTCTACATCGTGTCTAACAACCCACTCTCAAGATGTCTGAGAACGCCTTTGGCTCTGGTGTACGTGACACTGGTCTTCCTTTCAATACAATTTCACTGAATTCGGGTATTACTGTCTACGGCATCATTGTCAAACGACCCTTCCGAAAGTCAGACTCACAATGTGGGGATGACGACTACGATAACAGCCTGAAACTCATCGAACACGAAAAGCAGATTTATCGACGTCTCGAAGGATGCGAAGGTGTCATTCCATTCCTTGATTTATCGGGTCCGGCCATTCAACTCCCTCTACTAAATGATGGAACATTAGACCGATACCTCAAGTACAGCATCCGGCCGACACGAGCTCGCCAGCTGGAATGGGTTAAGCAAGTGGCCGGTACACTGTCTCGCATGCACGATCGCCGCGTTCTGTATATCGACGTCGCATCTAGAAATATGCTCATTCATCCGAACGATTCGATCATCTTTTGTGACTTTGGAACATCTCTGATATTTCCATTGGAAACCGATATATGGAAGACAGAAGAGTTTGGATTTTCATTTGCAACGGATATCTGCGAGCTAGGCGCGGTTATATACGAAGTGGTTGAGGGCCGGCAACTCTCAGACTTTGACCGAATTGCCGAGGAATCGGGCGGTTGGCCATCCCGTGATCAACTACCTTCTACTAATGGTGTCTTCTTGGGATCGGTGATTGAAGCATGTTGGACAAAGGGCAAGTTTCGGACAACACATGAGCTGTGTCAGTTGCTCGAGGAGAAATCTTATATCGATGAGGTCGGTGATTGACTCAAACGGGGATTTCCCTGAACGACGCGCCACCCAGATACAACAAAAGAGTAATCTCAGTCTACAAACGATGTAGATCTAGAGCATCCGATCATGTGGGGATGCAAATGAGTTCCTAGAGCACAACCCAAAAGTAACGCTAGTGTTGCGAAGGGTATTCTCTGGTCTCTTTCCAATTCAATGGTCTCCTATTCAAGGCGTATAGACTTCCGATGAAGCTAAGCAACAAAGCTCGAATATAAGTCAGTGGTACTCGAATCGTAGGTGTTGTATAATTCCATCAATAAGAATATCCATTCTGCCGGAAACCTGCACGGAAGCTGTGTCCTTTAGGACTTTGGCAAGGCATCCTTTCCTAGGCTTCTAATAGTTTCTTGCAACCAACTCGAAGTGCCTCTTAGCAAGGAGAGGGTTGTGTAGCGACCTGGAAGAATTATTTGAGCACTCTCACCCCTGAGGACCTGTGCGACAACAGCTTCAGCCACGGTGACTGGCTCAATAGTGAACTGCTTGAAGCTTCTGCCTCGGGTGAGCTGTTCAATTAGCGGAGTTCGTGCAAAGGTGGGATGCACGACCCTAACAGACAGTTTAGCAGTCGAACTAGAGGTCCCTGATTGTCTAGGAGGGGGTTCAAACTCACGTTGTTCTGACCTTGTTTGCATTGTATCTGTGTTTGAGCTCCTGGGCAAGGCCTTCGTGAAAGGAGAGGGCCGAGGCTTTACTGCAGCAGTAATCGATGTTGGAGGCGTGGACAATGAAACTTGACAAACTGGCGATGGTGACGACATGGCCATGGTTCTTCTCGATCATGTACGGAAGGAACTCCTTTGTCAGTAGGAAGTGGGATATGGTATTGACGTCGAATACCGCCCGAATTTGGTCCTCGCTCTTGTGGAGGAATGGGACGGATTTTGAGATACCAGCATTATTGATCAATACAGTTGGGGTGCCGACGTCCTTTCGAATCTGTCTCGCTGCCTCTGCGATATCCTTTGACGAGGTAATGTCTGTCTGATAGAACCAAGTCCCACTTGGAAGGACTTTCCGTGGAGCTGAGACGTCTAGGATCACAACTTTAACGTTCTCCTGTGACAGTCTGCTTGCGATCGCCTCTCCGATGCCACTGCAGCCTCCGGTCAGAACGATAATCTTCTTCTTCCAATCCCACGTGCGATCTGTAGTCCAGTTGTTCAGGGCAAGTCTGCTGAGGAGGTTATTGAATCTGTAGATGACTCCAACGCCCAAAAGAACTTTGATTATTCGTGTGAAGATGCTGAGGCTGAGCTTTCCTCTCGACAGCACGGACAAGATCTTTGCGACACGACCAGGACATCCCAGAGTAGCCGCCAACGCACCTCCAGTGATGATCGGCTGAAGGGCAACGCTACGACAACCACGTGTCAAGTATTCAATGGTGATGCCCTCGGCGGGAGGAGTCCAAGGTGCCATTGATAATGACGGGGTCGTGATTAGCGAAAGGTCCAGTGTTGGAAGGATACACAAATCGACCAGATGAAGATATAGACGACTCTCTGGGAAATGAGGAGAACCTTTGAGCTCGACAATGTGATCATGATCAGACCGATTTAACAAGGTGTGGCTCAAATTTCCGGGGTCGTCCACGCTGCTGGTGATGAGCGTCAATCAGTATGCCGGGCTTACAGCTCAATACTTCAGCCTTACTTGAGATCGCGCACCTTTATTGGATACAGAAGTGTAAGGCACCCATATCTGGAAGCATATTGGATCATATGTAGCGAACAGGCCGCATGAGAACGCCGCGATTACCGTTTCTCCGCAAATTAAAACGACCTTGAATATTGCCGTACACATCATGGACAATCAGGAATCCCACCAATACACAGGGTCCTTGAACGCGATGATAACCCAGTTATACACTAGAGATGTCCCCATGTCTCGTCCACTAACTTTTTTCCCCGTTCCAGAAAGGTCTTGAATGAGTTCAAGGGTATGCCCCATTTTTGGGTGTCCTTTGAGCTTGTCTCCAGCGTCATGTTTCTCATAAGTTTGTGGACAGCAAAGTATATGTTGATGCTAGAATTTGTACTTAATGGAGCTTGTGTGCGAATTGGCGTGACTGTATTCCTGCCTGAAATATTGACATGACCGAGGTTTTGATAGAATATTTATATATTTATGTTTGTTTCGCGAAGTCGAACTTCAACTTACATACTTGAATCATAGTTCTATCTTGAAAGAACTGGCATCTCAGCCTTGGCTTCTCAGAAACAGTCTTTCCTTTTTCTCTTTTAATCTCACGGTTTGGTAACTCAGTAGTTGTCTTCGAGCTTAAGATGCCGTTGAGGAGTGGGACAGAAGTGATGAAGGTCAGGTGACCTAAATGCCAAGACCTCTGGAGGCTCAACGCGAATCTCTTCCCTTTGATGGACCGTTACCCCATCTCATCAACAACGGAACTGTCTGTGACCAGTCTGAGTCCCTCCAACATCTGAGTGGTCATCGTGTGCTTGGTGACCACTCCTGCCCACATGATGATATTAAGATCAAGATCAAGATCACGACTAAAGGATGAACGACATCGACAGCCAGACTGATCTTTCCAATCGAGGACCATACACGAGGATCCACATGTCGCATGAAGACGACGAACCTAGGGGTTTTTCTAATACCGCAGGAAGTGATAATGAGGCTGAAGCCCAAATGGCCGATCTTGGCACCAATTTCCATGAAGCAAAATGGAGAAGGTTTCGTGGGTTCTACCGAGACCAGTACCTCGACCTGTACAAAAGCACTTATGAGAGTGCGGAGCGACATTTCGAATCACAACAGCTCCCTTCAACACAATTGGGCGTCGTGTACTGGAACTCTGATGAGAAGGCCAGATTATACGAGGGCTTAACCCGCAAGGGAAGGCATGACTTGCCGGCTCTATCGCGCTTTGTGGGCACCAAATCAGTGCTTGAGATCGCCGCATATCTAGACTGGATCAAACAACAAGAGACTGACAGACAACTCTTTGAGCGTCGGACAAGAAACATTTCCCAAGCTGATATCCCTGCAGCGATCGAAATTGGTGTTGAATGCGAAGAACATCTCAACAAAGCAGCGGACGCACTCTCGGCTTTCCAAGAGCATTTCGACTACGCAGCAGGCCAGCGAAGCAATAGATTGTGGCTCATTGACAAGGAAAAAGCCACCGGGCTGGATGCTGCGTGCGAAAAATTGGACAAAGACCCCTTCGGGCCTCAAGATGTCAGTGAGGATGCATCTTCTGGCTCCAAAACGGAGCTGTTTCATCTTGCCAAATTTCTTGAATTGAGCGAAAAGATATTCATGGTGGAAGAGCTTAACAATGCTGCAGAAATCCAGGACGTCATCCTGGAAACTGGGGAAACTCCATCGATGACGGTGGATGTCGTCAACGATCTGTACGATATTGTTGTAAACCTCACCCGAAGACTGATCCAGTCCATCCTGTTTCTCGCCCAGTCTCGGCTCAAGGCGACTACAACTGCACAATCTCAAAGCTCTCAACTTGTTAGACACGAAGACGTCATCGCTGCAGCTAATATCCTGAAAATGGAGGAAAATTCCTGGGATTACTGGAAGAGGTTGCCTAAAAGACGCGGGCTGGCAGTGTTTGAGACAGCGGCTAGAATGAAGCGCAAGGGGACGAAAGCCATGAGCTACGGCGAAGTCGAAGAAGCACTGTCTGGACGCAGGCTGCGAATGTGGGAGTCGTCGTCACCAAGCTCGGCCTATTCCATCTCGCCGAACCCGAGTAAAGGAGCTCCTTCAGACGATGACAATGATCAACCGCACTACTCCGCTGATCGCGAAGACGAAGAACTGGAAACTTCGGATGAAGGTGTCACCAATTCCGATTACGATGATTCAAATGATTCAGATGAGACAGATGTCGACTCGCAGTCAAACATGGAGGAGGAGATTCAACCCCAGTCTCGCCCGACGCCACTGCAAAGACTGGAGCGCCTCCAGGAGGAAGAGAGTGAATATTTGGAACGCATCGACCAGGAAGAACGACAACGGGACGAAACGAAAATATTTGAACTACTGGGTATCAAGTCTGAAAGGCCTGTCAAAATGGAGACTCCGGTGGCGGTTATGGGGCGGCCAAAGGTGCTCAGGAAGACTGCTGAAGACATCCAAGGTTGGTCTGCCATTTATCAAGCAGAATGGGAAACCCAAGGCAACGAAGACCAAGACGAAGACGAATTGCGTGACACCAAGAGGAGAAAGACGGGACCGGTAGTGTGATTGTGAATCAGGTTACTTGACTGGGTCATCTCAGAACACAGAAAAGAAAGAGACATCATATTGTCCGAGGCAGGCACTTGAACAATGGTGACTGCCTGGTGAATTGGAACACGCAATTTAAGCTTAACATCAAGGTTGCAGTAGCGCCGGATCTCCCCATATGAGATTCAGCCTGGGAAGGCACGCCTGCAAATCGTAAACAAAACCCGAAGCTTCCAATTTCACAAGACAAACATCCAATAATATCTTCTTCTTGTATGCATAAACAACCCCGGACACACTCCAGTTTGTCTATACATGAGTTCGGAAGTACGACCAGCATTGTCCATATCACTATCCACAGAGCGTGTCATCCCTTCAATGAGACCTCCACCTACGCGTCCCCACACCTGCATGTGAAGCTGGGTGACAGTCCGTGGCGCGCGAACGTGACGCGACTAAACAGTGGATGTTGACGCTTTCGCCAGCAACCACCGGCAACGGCAACGGCAACGATCTTATAGCCTCTTTCTTTTTCATCAAAGGTTCCTAACGTTCTCCATCATCAACACCCACCGAAAGAGCCTCGCCAACAAAGTCATAATCATTCGAGATGGGGCTGCAGGAGATCTCATTTGCAGATGATCAGTCGCTTCAGGAAATTGCAGACATTCTATCAGGGTCACACAAGATTCTGCTCGTCACCGGCGCGGGTATCAGCACAAGCTGTGGCATCCCAGTACGCGTGTTGTCCTTGTTTAGGACGTGAGAGTACTGACATGCTTAGGATTTCCGATCCAAAGACGGCCTCTACAATATCATACCAGACCAGTCGATCCTGCCGCCCACACCGCCTCACTCGGAACCTTCAACACCAACACTCAATCGCGTTGCCTCCATGGGAGAGGCAAACGACTTCTCAGCCTCGTCACAATCCTCCACGGCATCGACATCATCTCGACGCGTCTCAGTAAGCCCGTCTTCCAGGCTCAGAGGGCAGGACCTGTTCCACTCCCGCGTGTTCCATAATGCAACCTCCACGACCATCTTCTACCAATTCATCGCGTCACTAAGAGAGAAAATCAAGAATGAAGTGCAGGCCACAAGCTCTGTACACAAATTTGTGCGGGTTCTTCGAGATGGTGGCAGATTAATGCGATGTTACACGCAAAATATTGATGGCTTAGAGGCGCGGGAGGGTTTGGTGGTGGACCTGACGCGTGGCAAGGGCAATAAGAGGCGGTTCATGAAGAAGCATTATGAAAGCCCTCGGCCGAGTTACGCGCGAGGAACTGATTTCGACGGGGGTTGTGAAGTGGTCCAGCTTCATGGCGACTTGGACCGGTTGCGTTGTACAGTTTGCGCTGCCCAGTTTGAGTGGACGGAAGAAGAGACGGAAATATATCTAGAGGGTGCAGCACCGAGTTGCCAGAAGTGCAAGACCAAAAGTGATGCACGGCAAGCAAGTGGCAAGCGAGGTCTGACGACAGGGTCGTTGCGGCCGAACATTGTGCTCTACGGCGAGGAGCATCCTTCGAACTCTTTGTTGACACCACTGATCCCCTTCGATGCGAGTTGCCAGCCTGAAGTGATGGTGATTATGGGGACATCGTTGAAAGTGTTTGGTCTGCAAAAGATGGTTCGAGAGTTTGCCAAAGCGATTCATGGTCAGAAGAAGGGCAAAGGACGTGTGATATTTGTCAATCGGACGAGACCTGCGGAGAGCGTTTGGGATGGCATCATCGATGATTTTGTGGCGATGGATTGTGACGATTGGGTGGAGGACCTCAAGCGACGACGACCTGATCTGTGGCTGCGCCAGGGGCATCTTGCTCTGACTGTGACCAAGTCTTCACAGGTGAAAAGGAAGCGAAAGGCCAGCAATGACGAGAATTCTGAGAACCAACCTCCGAAAAGGGTCAAAATCACGGTCGAGATCGAGAGTATGGCACCTAGAGCCCATACACCGAGTACGCCTTCAAGAAAGATATTGGTCCCACGGCCACAGCGGTCACCATTTCAAGTGGCACGACCTCCATTCTCACCTTTGACGAGTCCGGTGAGGCCGCCGATATCACCCTTGACCAGTCCCGTGAGACCTCCAATGTCACCATTGACCAGCCCTGTCAAGCCAGACGACCTAAGACAAAGTCCAGGAAGTGGACGAGGGAAATGGTCGCCCTGGGATGGGTCGGCGCCGGGAAGCAAGTTGCGAGTGGAGATATTCCGTCAAGACAACAACGGAAAAGAAATGGAACGACACCAGACGCCGTCGGCGGTATCGACAGTGGCTCCCCAGCGACGACCTGATAAATCTTGGGTCTCTGGTAATATCCTGTCCGGGGTGAAGGAAGCAGCGAGAATGGCCAACATAGGATCACGTCTGAGGGCGATTGGCGGATGGCAGTCAGCCCTCAACCAGTCGCCTCAGCCAACAATGTTGAGCGAAGAGGATTTTGAGGGTGAAACGATCGAGGTGGACACCCCGTCACGGGGTCCTCGTGGCAGGAAAATTGATGTATTTGGTGAAGCTCAATAGATGGGCAACGAATGATATGATTCATGAATATTGGGAAACAAGAAGCATGTGTTTCTAAATTTGGATTGGTAGAGATGTGTCAGAAGTCAGTCAGCTGTACATGAAAACCCTCGATATTTGTTTGTCAGGTTTGAGACAGATGTCCTTGAAGTTTTGTTCATACATTGGATAGCATGTCTGGTTATGACAGAACAAGGTTGATGAGAATGAGCACACAGAGTTCGATATTGTTCTTTCGACTTCCCCATGGTGGCGTGCTTCGCTGACATCCGACTGATAGGCGCCACTGGGCAGGGTAGTACCCTCGGCCCACACCCGAGGACTCCCGGATTATGTCCACAAGCGATCCCCAGATGTGAGCCGAGGCAAGACATTGTCGCCTGTTCACACGCAGACTGGTTGGTTGGTTACAAGGATTCCCAGAAATATATTTATTCTTGTTCTAATCCAGAAGAGGCCAGGAAGAGCGAGCGAGCGAGGGACAGAGAGAGGGGGGGGATCATCGTTGTTAGGGAAGGTGGTTACTACAGTCCGGCGGCTCTTTCCAAGTGTCCATTGCCTTCTCGCCCGAATGCGAATGACTGACTGCGACTTCCTTATAATTTTTATGGCCACATGACAAATGGGAATGGGGAGCCGCGGAAAGGAAGGCTCGCCTTAGCTAACGCACGCCCTTTCCCCATATGCACATTACGATGGCGGAAATAATGAATAATACGAGTTGGCACAGGCCAGGCCAGGCCTTGTAACATCGTGCCTAGGCAAGTACCTGTAACCTACTCGGTCTCGTTCCTTCCAGTTAGCCAACCCGCAACTGCCAACGGCAACTGCACCATTACGAAGGGAAAGTGCGGGCGGCGGGCAGACAATAAGATCTTCCTTCCACCCCTCACCACTTCGTAGACCTTTTTTTCCCTTTTCCCTTCTTCCTCTCATCCACAATCCGTTGCTAGATCTCTGATATCTCGCGACCCAATCTTCTTCCAACTATCTTACAGGAAAATCGGCCTGCCAATCCGATTCAGTATATATTATCTCCATCTTCTCTAGGGCAAAGCCTCCGATACCCTCAGATCTCTCCACTTGCGTACCCTACAAACTTAGTCATCAACATTTTCTCAACATTGAAGAGGCATCCTGTGAAAACTTGAATCTCTTGAAATTTTCATCCTATCCTTCGGGATACACCAAAAGCCAAAGGTAGAAACAAAAAGGGTTTGTACGGCATTGGGACTCTGATTTCGAATCCCGCACCCGCCGGATTAATTGAAACTACAAAAATCTCAACTTGGCACGTGCTGCACGGTGGTCTGGACCAACCGTGCAAACTACTCTATACTCTGCACTCCACACCACCACTCACCATCCATCAGCCATGCATCCAACAAGCTCATCTCCAAAACCCAAGGAGTTCGACAGCATCGCATCGACCATTGAAGCTTTCAAGCGTGGGGAATTTATCGTCGTGTTGGACGACCAGGACCGTGAGAATGAAGGCGATTTGATTATTGCTGCCGAGGACATGACGACGGAGAAGATGGCCTTTATGGTCCGTTGGACGTCAGGACTCATTTGCGCACCATTGACATCTCGATTGGCCCGCGATCTGGAATTGCCACAGATGGTCACCGACAACGAAGACCCCAACCGTACCGCCTATACCATCTCAGTCGACGCCAGCCACGAGAGCGTCTCGACCGGCATTTCGGCCCATGACCGAGCCTTGACCTGTCGCACTCTCGCCAACACCAAGGCCAAGCCCAGCGACCTCCGCCGTCCTGGCCATGTTTTCCCGCTACGCGCCCGCGACGGCGGTGTCCTCGAACGCACTGGACATACAGAGGCAGCGGTCGAATTCTGTCGCTTGGCCGGCAAGGCCCCAGTCGGAGTCATCTGCGAGATGATCGAGGATGGAGTCGCCATTGACGGCCAAGCTGCCATGTCCGAGCCTGGCATGATGCGTCGTGATGCCTGTCTTGCATTTGGCAAGAAATGGGGGCTCAAGACCTGCACAATCGAAGATCTCGTTGATTATGTCCGAAATGTAGAAGGGAAGAAGGCTGTTTCCAATGGCGTGCCCAGCGTCAACGTCCATGCAGATGGAGCGGCCGCAGACCCGGCTGTGAATGGAGCTCACTGATGAGACCATGGGCACGATCATAAGCGCCATTCTCCTTCTCCCTAGTAGAGCAGATCGCCGAGTACCGAGATCCCGACCGAGATATTTTGTCATGACCGAAATGATCATATTGTTTTATGTTGGAAAATCAATAAATCATTATGCTTATGCTTATGCTTTGCTATTGCTTGCGTTTTCATGTGCCGTTTCCCCCTTTGCATGTGTAGTACAAGACACTTGTCATGTCATAAATACAGGCCATGAAGAATATTATGCCCGGACACCCGCCTTTAAGAAGAGCTGTCTTCAGATGGACCAGATTCCGTCGTGGCAATAATTTGAAACCCATTCCAAGACTCGTATTTGACAAGTCCGCATGAGTCCCTTGTCCCGTCTCGTGAAGCTTCCATGGGAGGATGATAATTGTCCTCCCCCCACCTCAACACCAAATAACCCTTTCATTTCGTGCCCTGGGGTCTCTGATTCGAGTAATCCCGGAACAATCCTTGCATGTGGACGTTTGTAACCTTGACTCCACGACGCACTTTTTTCTTCTTCTTTTCCACCTTAGCCACCTCCTTGCTTGCCGGCGCACCTGTAGTTTTGTAATTCATCTTCGTCAACGCCGTGATCGTGTCTTCAATACTCGGCAGTGGAATTTGATTAAAGATTTCCTTGAATTCCTGGTCCAGCGGGACAAACAACGTTGGGTCATTAGCCCAGACCATTCGCGGCTGACTGTCTTTTTTGTTTCGCGTGACCAAGAGTTTGTGTTCTTTGTCTAGCGTATTGATCGCTTCGAGTACATCTGGCCATCCTTCCTTTAGATCGCGCACGTGGATCCCTTTGGATGAATCTTGGTTTTGGAGATATCGTAGTAATTCGTCGGCTGATGAGATGTCGTATTCGGGTTTGAAACGGTAGCTTTCGCTGGTGGGGTCGAATGAGATTTTGGGGTTGACTCCAAGCAGGGTTTTGAATAGTTTGACGGCTTGTTCGTCGTGTCGTTTAGGGTGAGGGAGAACGTAGGCGATGAGTTCTTGTGATGGGATAGGGGAGGGGAATTTCTCTTTCAGACGGTCGATTGCGTAGATGACATTTGTTCGTGCGTCGCTGCCTGCAACGAGCCGGTCGTTGGTGGAGCCGTAGAGAGAGGACATGGTTGGGAGAGGGGGAGGGTGTTGGGAGGTAGATGGTGTGGCTCAGGAAGTGGCTTTGAAGTTGGTGTTGGTGTTGGTGTTGAGGGCGCAGGGAGAGAGAGAGAGAGAGTGTGTGTGTATGCGCTCCTGGCGTTGCTAGTGTTGCTGGCGTTGCTGGCGGTGCTAAGATCGGGTCAAGGCAACCGTCCGCATGCGGTAGAAACGGTCAGTGCATCGCAGACAATGACTGCTGGATCTGGCCTTGGTCAGTTACAGCGGTCGGGTCTCCTTTGGTCTATCTCACAGATGTCTGGATGTGAGAAGAATCGTCTCCAAACAACAAGTGAAGTGTGCGAAGAGTGGTAGTGACATTCGATCGAAGAAACATGTCTGCTCTCGGACTTCTTGGACTTCTAGGCGAACTGACTGCGAAGTGAGAATCGATCTAACTGCTTTAGGAATAGTAACGGCCCTTTAAGGCTCCCATCGGAAAGCTTGGCAAGTAGCCTCTCCATCTTCACCTTTGCAGGCGCGCTAGGCTAACTTTCCTTGTTCAGTCACCTCTTGCTGTCATTTGCATCTGCATCGCTCTTGCCCGCAGTCCAGAGCCTTTTGTTTAGATTTACCTCCGCGTTCACCACCCTCCCATCATCCCCCCTCTACCCTTTCGCCATTGCTTTCTCAAATCCGATCTCCTACGACTCAGTGTCTGTCCCTGGTCGCGTCATGACCACGGGTCTTGACACTCTTTCATTTCCCTCTTCCGGAGACGCGTTGTGGTGAGCGCATTCCTGAACTCAATCCGCTCCGTGGCCTTGGCCCATTGCCACGACCTACCACTTCCCACCCACATCACCCTACATAGCATCCCTCAATATGGCTGCAGAACTCGATTTGCGTGCCATTTCGGCTTTCTCATCAGTCCCCGAAGCGAACATCTCTTCTTTGCTCGACAATCCTACAGCCGACCTCGTTCGTTCTTTACTGGTCGGCATTGAGTCCAAGGTGAAAGAGTATGAGCAGAATAAAACACAAAAGGTCAAGCTCGAGGTCGAACTTGAGACTGTGGTTAGAACGAGTGAATCCAAGGCCAAAGTTTTGCAAAACTCGCGGGATAATGCACTAGCAGACTCGTCCAAACTACGTGGTGATCTACAAAAGTCTGGTTAGTGGATCTATGTTGCCTCACCTTGTCTATGACTGGCTAACATTTCTTTTCTTTTACGCAGAGAGTGCCAGGACACGTTTAGAATCCGAACTCGAGCAGGTCCGCTCCGCCACTGCTAATGAAGCCTCCGAAACCAATTCCCTGAAAGCCCGGATCTCCTCACTCGAATCTGCCAACCGAGATACACTAGCACTTCTAGAGTCTAAAAACGTTTCGTTCGAAAACTTGTCCCAAGATCTTGCAGCTCAGCATCAGAAAGCCGTTGACCTTCGGAAACAAATTACGACCCTCGAGCAGGCTGTCCAGCAGGCCAACGCAGCTGTAGCAACGTCCAAGTTTAGAGAGCAGAGTCTTCAACAAGAGCTGGACTTGCTCAAGAAGAACAACGAATGGCTGGAGAATGAACGAAAAATCAAAGCAGACGAACACAGCAATTTCAGGAAGGAAAAGAATGCTCGGATATCGGAACTGACCAGATCCAACGAACAGTATATCTCCGAACTCGAAGCCCTGCGCCGATCCGAATCTCATCTCAAAAACCGTATTGAAGATCAACAGTCCAAATTCGAGGATCTCCTCGATGAGATCCAAAAGCTGCGCGAGGAAAAGACTTCGTCCGAGGATGCGCTCCGTAGCGAGATCGAAACTACTCAGAGACTGGCAAACCTTCAGCAAGCCGCGGCCGAGACTGCAAAGGGACGTGTCCAAGAGTTGTCTGCTGCCCTGGATGAACTCCGCGAGGAAGCCGCCGACGAGATTGGTGCCATCCGCGCCGAGAGCGAATCTGAACACGCAGACCGCGTTGCTGCTGAAGAAAAGGTCGCTGAATTGGAAGCTTCTCTCGAAAGCCTCAGGTCGGAACTCGACAATGTCCGTGCAAGACCAAGCACTCCTCAACGAGGACTCAACGGTGCTGCCTTTTCCACCCCACTGCGCGCTGGCACTCCAAGCGCCAGCTTCACGCCTTCCATTTCCAGGGGTAAGCCTCAGATGACATTTACTCAGCTCTACAACGAATACCAAAAGATGGAAAGTGAATTCACTCGCGAACGACGGACCAATGAACAACTCCGATCCAACCTCGATTCCATGGTTGAGGAGCTTGAAAATAGCAAACCGGAAATCGAGGAACTACGCCTTGACCATGATCGACTGCAGAGTGAAATCGTCGAGATGTCTGCTATCATGGACAGCGCCAACGCCGAGAAGGAGGCTGCACTTAAAGAACTGAAAGCCACCAAAGGCCGCCTCGATGCCAAATCACAGGAAACACAGGTTTTGGCCCAGCAGCTACGCGATTTAGGCTCTCAGATCCGTCATCTTATGATCGAACAGCATGTTCGTGAGCGTGGTGAAACACTGACGAGAGAAGACTATGAGCAGCTGGAAGCGCAAGCGAGTCAAGCCCTTGCTGATGACCTGGCGGATCTGTCCGAGACACAACAGGTCATCAATCAGCGCCTCATAATCTTCAGAAACATTACCGAGCTGCAGCAACAGAATGAGAGTCAGCTAAAGACGATTCGAAACTTGGTCAAACAACTAGAGAGCAACGAAGCAAAGGAGAAGGACCAGCAGCATCATGCTCTCCAACAAGATGTGGAACATCTCCGACAGCAGGTCAGCACATTGAAAGATGAGCTAAAGTCTCAGCTTGCACAGAGCAACAGCTTTGCCAAGGAGCGAGATATCCTGCGCAGCATGCTCACCAAGCGTGGTTTGCTGAAGGATGGCGTTCAGCCTGCTGATTTCTCGAGGTCTCTGCCAGTGCCCCGAGGAGAATCACCCGCCGTATCTGGTTCTGGAGATGCAGACTATGGTAAATTGCTTAAGGAGCTGCAACAGCATTTCGATACCTATCGAAGAGAGGCTTCCACCGATCACACCTCTTTGAAGACTCAAGTCGACGACCTTACTCGAAAGAACTCGACCCTTCAGGCAGACATCAGTCGGACTGTTGGGCAGCTGACCGCTGCCAACCAACGATACGAGATGCTGCAAGCCAACTATAACTCTCTCAAGACCGAGAACAGCGAAATCCAGAAGCGGTCTTGGTCTTCAATGGAAATGGCGGCGAAACAAGAACTCAAGACGCAACAAGTCGCAGAAGAACTTGTTGAGGCGCGCGGATTGGTCGATAGCTTACGGCGTGATGCTGCCAATCTCAAGGCTGAGAAGGACCTTTGGAAGAGTGTGGAGAGGAGATTGGTGGACGATAATGAATCTCTGAGAAATGAACGCACTCGCCTAGGCGCACATGCAGCCAGCCTTCAATCCATTATCAATGAACGTGAACAGACCGACTCAGAAACCCGACGACGACTACAAGCACAATCTGAATCACTGGAATCTGAACTCCAAGCTGTAAAGAGAAAGTTGAACGATGAAATGGAGGAAAATAAGAAAGCTTCTCTTCGACGCGAATACGAGCACACCCAGAGTCAACAGAGGATCGATGACCTGGTCACCAGCCTTGGGGCGACGAAAGAGGAGCTTGCGTCCGCTAAGACGGCTCGAGATCATCTTCAGGCAAGAGTTGACGAGATGACTGTGGAGCTCCGTTCTGCCGAAGAACGTCTCGAGGTCCTGTCGCGCCGGAATGAAGCTGACAATGAAACGAACGACAAAGAAGACAATTCTTTGACCAAGGAACAAGAGTTGGAAGTGGAAGTTTCTGAGCTCAAGCGTGACCTCGAACTCAAGAACTCCGAGCTAGAACGACTCAATGAGCAAGTCGAGGTATACAAGAACATTAGCCAATCTAGCGAAGAACGTTTGCAGGAATTGAGCGAGACCAATGATCAATACCGCGAGGAGACAGAGGCCACGCTGTCAGAGAAGGATGCGAAAATCAAAGACCTCGAGCAGCGCATCGATGACATTTCCTCCGAACTCAATACCACCAACGCCGAGTTGTCTAGGCTTCATGATGAGCAGGGAGAATTTACCCGAAAAGCCGAAGAAGCACGGTCTGCTATGGAGTCACAAATCGAACAGCTGAAGGTGGAGGCCGAGAAAAATATTGAACAAGCTCAGTTCAACCTGGAAGCGTCCAAGATTCAAGCACAGATCGCTACAGAGGCGCAACAAAATTACGAGACCGAACTCGTGAAACATGCCGAAGCAGCAAAGACCTTGCAAATTGTTCGGGACGAGGCCAATCAATTACGCCTCCAAATGGTCAGTTTCAAGACAGAGGCAGAGACTTCCAAAGCAAGCCTGGAGCAGAAAGACATCAGCTTTGAGGAAATGAGAGATCGATATGAACGAGAAATCACAGACCTGCGGAAACGACGAGAAGAAGTTGCACAGCAAAATAACTTGTTGCACAGCCAGCTTGAGAGTGTTACTCAACAGATCACCACTCTTCAACGCGATCGTGCCGCGCTTGCCGAAGGTGAAAACACTGCAAATGCGCCACAAGTTTCAGCGGAACTGGACAAGCTGCAGGAGGTTATCACTTACCTCCGTCGCGAAAAGGATATTGTGGACGTGCAATATCAGCTCTCAACACAGGAAGCGAAGCGTCTCCGTCAACAACTCGACTTTACTCAGTCCCAGCTCGACGAGACTCGTCTCAAATTGGACGAGCAGCGACGTATCGAGGCGGATGCGGAAAGAAATGCGATCAGCCACAGCAAATTAATGGATACACTCAACGAGTTGAACCTCTTCCGTGAGAGCAGTGTCACTCTTCGTGCCGAAGCAAAACAAGCCAAGCAAGCATTGGCTGACAAAGCGAGTCGAGTAGAAGAGGTCGAGGGGCAGCTGCAGACATTACAAGCCCGAGTCGCAGAACTCGAGAACCTGGTCGAGCTCAGAGAGGGAGAGCTGAAGCTAGCACAAGATGACCGTGATCATTGGCAACAAAGAACTCAGAACATTCTCTCCAAATACGATCGAGTTGATCCTGCAGAATTGGAGGGTTTGAAGGGCAAGATCGCCACTCTAGAATCGGAACGGGACCAGGCTCGCTCTGAACTTGAAAGTGCAATTGCCGAACGTGATCAGGCAAAGACAGAACTTCAATCACAGAGTGAAGAGACTCAGAATGCCATTAGGTCCGCGAACGCTGAACAGAAAACCAGACTGGAGACTCAGTTCAAGGAGGTCCTAAAGAAGCGAGGTGCCACTCTCAATGAAGTCAAGGCACAGCTTGATACGGCTCTGGCAGAGCGACAATCCCTGGAAGAAGAGCTGAATGCCGTCAAGGAGCAGCTGGCTACATCTCAAGAAGAGGTCGCTACGATGTCGCAAGCACAGTTGAACGGGGTTCACGACAAACCTGCCGAACAGGCTTCGACAGCCACCGAAGGATCCGACAGTCGTATCAATGTCCTTGAAGCTAGAGTGGCGGAGCTCGAAAACTCGTTGGCGGCTAAAGACAAGGACATCGAGGACCTGACCAATTCGCAAGAGGAGAAATTCAAAGCTCGTGTCGCACATAATGAAGGGTTGCTTAATAATCGACTGAAATCATTCAAACAGGAGGCACAGCAAACGAAAGCCACAGCTCTAGAGGAGCTTGTGGCCAGACTGACCGCAGAACACCAGAAAGAGATTGAGTCACTCAAGGCACAAGCTGCGACGAACGCTTCGGCGCCTCCTGCGGCTGAAGCAGAAGCTCCGGAGACGCCTGCCTCTGACCCTCAGAACACCGATGAGCAAGCTCCAGAACCCGCTCCAACCACACAGACTGATGTGACTTTGTCAAACGAGGATCTGGATGCTGCAATCACCACGAGGGAAATTGCTCTATACCTGGCTAGAAACAACGAGCATTTGAAAGATGTCATCACAAAGAGCATTAGGAGTCGTGTGACTAAAGATACTGAAGCGCTACGGAAACAATTCGAAGAAGAAAAAGCTGCTATGAGCACGAATGGTGCCAGCCAAGAGGAAATTGAAAAGTTGGAACAGAAGTTCTCATCAGAGAAGGAAGCTATCCTCCGAGAGGCACAAGACCGGTTCGATGCAGAAAAGAAGGCCCTCGAAACACAGTATGAAGAGAGCTTATCACGAGAAAAGCAAGCTCTTATCGAGCAGCATCAAGAACAACTAGAAACCCGAAAACTGCAATTTGATGAAGAGTCTGCCAAAAAGATTGCTGAACAAGTCAGAAATGCAGAGCAGCTGGCTGAAAAGAAGAGTCAGCTCAAGATCAACATGGCACAAAACTCGGCGCGTGCAGCCACAGCAAAACTCGATGTTGTACGAAAATCTGCGGAAGAAACTCCTGAGAAGGCGGTCGGAGAAGTGTGGGCGATTGCCAAGGATGCCAAACCTGCTCCACTACCAAAACCTGCGACAGCTGCTCCTGTGGCAGCGTCTGCCCCTCCGGCAACAGCTTCATCTCCAGTGAAGCCTGATCCAGCGCCAACAGCGAGCTCGACTGTAACGGCAGCCACAGAAGCCGCAGCTCCAGCCGCAACACCGCAGCAAACAGAGACAGCGCCAAGTAAGCAAGTCGACGAAGCGAAGTCAGCTGAAACCGGATCTACAGAAAAGGCCAAGGAGGTTCCAGCTTCAGAGCCTGTGAAGCCAGCACAACCAGCACAAAACTCAACGCAACCACAGCAGTCGGGAATCCCTCGGCCAGGTAGTTTTCGAGGACGTGGAACGAGTGGAATTCCGCGAGGGCGTGGCGGGGCTCCTAGAGGGGGTCGAGGAGGATCAAGTGCAATTCCACAACAGGCCAATAGGGGCGGTCATGGCTCTGCAAGTCCAGGAAGAGGTGGCTTGAATCCCAGCGCGGCGCAGTTTACTCCGGCAGGCAACAAGCGAGCTCGTGATGAGGGCGAGTCGGCGGACTTTGGCCAGGGAAAACGACCTCGTGGGTCGGGTGCAGGGGCTTGAATGTGGGGGACGTGCAATTACTAGGAGTGGGGGGCTTCACAAGACTACTTCCTCAACTTTGCATAGCGACGGTGCTTTTCATGTGTTCGGGTCAGAATTGCTTTGTTCAGATGGATGGTCACAAGACGAAAAATGGAAATGGCAAGGGCATAATAACGGCATGCAGATGAATCAAGGCACAAGAGAGTTGAGGCTTTGCATGTACAATATATTAAAAAGTGTTCGATCCAAGAAATGTGGTTCTATTGGTGACTATCAGATATTGATGTTGTCTATGAAGCCTTCCAGCGTAGGGTGTGTGCCTCGATCATTATTAACCCTGACCTTATGGCCTGTTCATTTTCTTCTTGTTGAACTGGCATGGCGTTGAGCTGTACGCAAGACCACGCCAGACCCGTCTCTTTCTTTGTCCATGGCCTTTAACCGCACTTGTTCGACCAACTCTGCTGAGTCCTTTCCATCATGACTGCTCGTGACCTCGACATCTATTCCTCCCAAAGTCAACATCGGTTTACGAGACCTCCATCGGCCATCACTCAGCACGACCGTCCAGTCAGGAACATTCCTATCTACAACGACGCCAGGAGTAACCTTTGAATGCGCCCCAACCGTGACATCTTTCTGAATGGTGACATTTGCCTCTACTATGGCGGCATCACCGATTCTCGCCCCCGCCAGAACATGTACATTCGCATGCAAATGCACATTTGACCCGATGACGGTTTTCACTGGGTCAGCTTCATCAACATCATCTTCATCGTCCTTGTCATCGTCGTGGTTATTGGGCTCATCTTGGTCGTTTTCGTCACCCTTGTTAGGACGTGAAGTCCCAATTGACGCTGACGACGGAAGAGCACGACTAGCACCCGATGTCGATGTTGATGTCGTGCCAGTAGAGGCTGACGGTACGGGTCCACCAATCACACAATTCTCGTAGATGATACACCTGTCGCCAATGATGACGGGGCCGTGGATGGCGATTAAATGTGCTCGTGGATGGATCACCGTCTGTTCGCCGAGAGTGATTCCATGATGACCACGAACGTAGGCTCGTGGGTCGAGATGGGTTGATGCTGGGAGTGTTACTGGGGGAGTTGAGGTGGTGGTGGTGGTGGTTGTGCTTGATCGAGATGTCATGGTTTCATGGTTGAGGATTTTTTGGAGATATGGGATCACTTGTTAGGGTGAAAGATGGTTTAGGTCATGTCGGTATCTTTGAAGAGACGTCGAATGTTAAGTATGTATGGACCTAAAGCGGTGCATAATATCATGTCATATGAAAGGGGGGAATATATTGATGGATAAAGTGGCTGATATAAGCCAGAAAGGGGAAGGAACTTGTTGATGGTGGGCGGTCTATTGACGCGTCTAATTGGTGGAACTCCAACTACACTCCAACTACACTCCAACTTTGCGGGCAGGACACGGAACACAGCACATTGTCTCATGCTCTCTTATTGCCATGGCCATCTCATCACTCGAAATGCCATTCACATTGACATAATGGACTCTTGGTAACCTCGTTGAGATCCGTCCACCACACGTCAATACCTCCAGCACAGCATAATCCCTCCTCTCAAACGAATCATGTCATCATATTACGACGTAGACGCGATCTTGACAGACTCGCAAAAACTGCCATGCACATTCCACATCGACGTGCCTGGACTGGGCTATCTTGAAGGCAATGCGGGCGACACGGTGAGTTGATGTCACGATCATGTCAATTTGGCTGAAAGCCAGTGACTAGATGGGAACTCACTAATGACAACACACGCAGGTCAAATCAGGCACCAAGATCGATCTACCCATGTGGCTTGGTACGATGCTTGCAATGGCAACAGGGTATGTACAGTCATTGGCTAGAGACAAGCTGTCTCTCTTGATTTATGCTCTGCTAGCCTCTTCTCGTTGGGTCCCTTCACGCGTATAGACGTACTAACAAGGTTGTCTTGCCTCTGGCGTGTAGAAATAACTCAGGCTCCCCAGAAGTCGTGACACTCGAGTTTCCCGCACCATTACAACAACGAGTCATCAATGCCTTGAGAGCAGATCCCAAGACTGTCGATTTACGCGCCCAGGCCCCGCACTTCTATGCTCTGGGATCTAAAATCATGGAATTGTTCGACGATCCAGATGTGCTGGACACTTTGGTTGATGTACGTTAACATCCCATGCATGCACCAGATATCGTGACTACAGGAAAGGCTTTGATCGTTTACTTCTATGGTTGAGATATGCTTGATTATTGTTGTTCGCTGACTTGTGGACTATAGACTTATAGGCAGCGCGCGTCGGAGATTGCAGATCATGCACATAATCCGCGTGGTGCGCTGGGCGAAGGTGCGGAGTTCCTCCGAGGTCTAGATGAGTCTGAAAGACAGCTTTTCAAGGCCGCTCATGAAGGTCCAAAGGCTGTCAAGGCTTGGACTCAGGATTTGAAGAAGAATGATTGAGACTGAAATCTCATATTTGATTTTGTCGAAAGCATAGCGTGGAGTTTTGGACATGGTCAACATACAAGGTAGACGTGGTTCACGAGGAATGATTGTAGAGGACATTCGAACAGTGAATAAAGTGCAAATCTTATCACCTGATAACTGTAGGAAGCGGCAAAAGGATCAAGGCTGAACTGAACGCTCAAGTAAAACCAACATGACATATCCCTCGCCACTTGTCACCAACTAGCCAACTCCACCCGCAGCCTCCTTGACCTTTGCTTGCTCAGGCGGCTCATCAATGAACTGTGGCGGAGCAACCTCATCCTGTAAGAAGCCCGGCGCACTTTCACCAATTCCCATTTCCTGCTCAAACATCATATCTTCACCCAAGGCCTCCAGCTCCGCATCAAGCTCGGCCTCGTCAACGTCTTCAGGGACATCATACGCACGGCTGATACTCTCATTGATTTCATTTCCAATCTCCATTAGATCCGCCATTTCATCCTGCATCTGCTCGATCTTGTCGATGTTGATCTTGCCATACTGTTGCTTGAGGGTCTTGTTTGTCGTCTTCATGGCGTCCACTGTGGTCATGACGTTTTTCAGATTGTCTTGCATCATATTGGCCTGTTCCATATTCCACGCCTGTTGTTGTAACTGATCTCTCTGTGACTCATACATTTTGCGTCGCTGTAGCACCTTGAGCGCTTTCTGCTTGATCGCTTGCTTGCCAGGTCCGTCCCGCATCTTGGATAGTTTGGCTTGATATCCGGAGAGTTCGGCGTTGATCTTGGCTAGCTTGACGTCGATTGAGTCTGACCGTGCTTCGACCTGTGCAAGATAATTGTTAGTCTGTTGGAGTTACCCAAACACGGTCCTCAGAGGGTTTCGGTACATTTGTGATGGCGCTGTTGAGGGTAGGTTTCGGTGCCGTGCTTTTGGAGCCAAATAGGCGGTTCATCTTGGATAGTGTTGCACCAGCACCGGCCGGTACAGCAGATATTCGGTCTAGCAAGCGTCGACGGGGTATATGTGGTTCAGTGGGAAATTGTTGACTTGGGTATTTGGAGAGATGAGATTCAAGGTGTCCTGCCGCCTGCCGCCTGCGCCTTCCGCCCGCAACTGACGTCGATTTCTCCCCACGTGAAGATTGCATACACCGAATATTAGCCGATCGCAGCCTTGTGGTCTTCAGCCTCGTCACTTGAGCCTTGGATTGTATCCATTCATTGTTCTATCAAGCGATTTATTCCGGCACTGATTATTGTGCAAAATATAAGATATAATCTCAGGATAATGTTGGGAAAGCCCGAAGTCCTAAATTTCCCCAACCATGATCACTACATCATTTCAAAACACAATTCCCAGCTACAGTGCGTTGGGACCAACAATCTCCCGTTGAATGGTGTCTCCGTCCACCTCGTCTTCTGGTTGCCAATCCAATTCATACTCTTCCTGCTTATCCTTGCCGTCCACCAAGCCCCAGAACCAGGTCAAATCACGACCGTTATAATCTCTCACTGAGAAGCCGTTCCCTAAAAACCCCCAGCGGTTTCGATGCTTGTATCGAATATCGAAATCCTCATACCTAGGATGTTCAATAAGTTCCATACTGCGGAAAGCAACAAGTTAGTTCAACTCCCAGAGACAAAAACAGTAACGACGACTCACTATTGAGTTCTTGATCCAGGGTACAGCATGATCCTGCCATCCACTTTGCCGCCCTTCCACCAGCTCTTACATTCAGCATCCCAAACAGTGCGCTTGAGATACAAGTCTGCATGTTCCTGAAAGTCAAGGGCAACGTCCATCCGTGGAGCGAAGCTTTTGATGTTATCTGTTTGTACTTTCGTGATGAATTCGTTGAAATAACGGGTGAAGAAATCAATCATCACAATCGCACTGGCTTGTCCCAAGGCTATACTCATTCATTAGCTCTGATACACAGTCCGACATCTTCGGCCCAAGGAAAAACACTCACGTCCGTATGGACCATAGTAGGTAAAGTAGTTCGGAATTTCAGGGGCAGAAACTCCAAGGTACGACAGTGGATTTCCACGGTACATGTCCTGCAGATTGTTCCCTCTCGCTATGATGGGGAACCGTGGAACCCAAGTTGTATTGAACCCCGTGGCAAGAATGATCACATCAACCTCCTGCTCATTGCCGTCAGGATCAATGAAACCCTTGCTCGTAATTTGTTTGAGGTCTCCTCCGGGATAGGCTGTTGTGTTTTCTGCTACTAAAGCTTCGAGGAATCCAATACCTGGTCTATGGAGTGAAAGATTTTTCGTCAGATCAAGGACGGACGACTGAATATTCAAAAATAGCAATACTCACGTGGGACGCTTGCAACCAACTGGGAAGCCTTCAGGGATGAGTGCTGCTGCGATATCCGGTCTTGACTTGAGCTTCTCCCGCATTTGTTGTCTGGCAATCTAAGGTTTGTTAGCAAAATCCCTCCTGATCGAGAGGACTTATTGACTGCCTAATCTCACCTTGCCGGCAGCTATGGACTCTGGGGTGTTTTTGTAGAAGACAAGAAACCCATTAGTCATGCTTCCCTCTATATTTTTCCGGTATTTCAAATATGTTTTGGCGTCACCCTTCATTTGTCTTAATTGCTCTTTGGTATCTGTTTATTATTAGCACATAGCGAGCTTGACGGAGAGGACTTGTTCATCAACACTTACATGTTGGGTTAGGATCTTCCGGCGTGACGAACTTGCTAGCAAAGTTCCCCAAGATAAATGTCGGAGACCTGACCCATGTATATAGATGAGAGACCTCCTTTGAAATGGCGGCAGTGACTTGAATCCCACTTGATCCAATGCCCACAACCGCAACACGCTTGCCCTTTAGATCGAGACCTTCGGGGTAGTCCGCTGTGTGACATATCACGCCCTTGAAGTCCTTAATTCCAGGAATTTTAGGCATTTCCCAGTAGCTAGGCCCGTCAGCTCTGAACCATTCAACGTCGTTTCCATTCGTGCTTACTTCAGAGGTCCTGATGCGTTGATAAAGATGTCACACGTATCTGTGAAGGTAACCTGGTCTTTGGTGTTCTCGATCTTGAGCGTCCATTTGCCCGAATCTTCATCCCATTGGGCGTGGTTCACTTTATGGTTTAGATTGATGAAGGGCCAAAGGTTGTGCTTGTCCACCACTCTTTTCATATAGGCATGGATTTCAGGTGACCCAGAATAGAATTTGCTCCAAACGTCTGGCTCCCAGGTAAACTGGTAAGTCACACTGGGTACATCACATGCACAGCCGCTATTGAAGGTCTTAGCAGAATGCTCGTGGATGACCTTGAGCAGGCTTTTGCTTACGGATAACGATTCTCCAACCAGGTTCCTCCAACATCGGCATTCTTTTCGTAGATGACAATCTCGACATTCTGGAGCTCTTCTCGAGAGAATTTGGCGAATGCAATGCCTGATGCACCTGCGCCAACGACAATGACCTTGAGTGGTCGATGTGTACCAGAAGGGATTTCTTGTATTCGGTACCCTCTCGAATTCTCTCTTGGCCAGTCGTATCGGTCAGGCAGACTATCCAAATACTCTGCTGTGGGATAATCATTTCCATTGGGGGTCGGTTCCGAAGTTGACCCCATTGTACTTTTATTTTGCCCAATTTGAATCGAGATACTTGAATATGTTGGTCAAACTTTGGGCTTGAGGGCAGGTCGTTAAATTTAGAATGGCTCTCAAGCGAATCTACTATTCTTTATGCACTACCACATGACTTGCACCACTGAATAGGACACACACTGCAATGATAGAAGCATGGTGTCAACCCATAGTTCAATCCCTGCCTACCGCTGGTGGCGCATCGGAGAACCTGGGTGGCGGTTCAGGTGTAATTCTAGGCGGTCCATGTCACTCCACACTATTGTCCGAGCGACCACCCATTCATCGGCCTATTTACCACCATTGAACTGCGCTCGGGAACATGTAGCTTCTTTTTTACCCAAGTCGATCAATCTGATAATGCATTCGGGGTACTCGTCCTCGCTAGTCTCCGAAGAGGGAGATCGCCTAAAGTCCGCCTTACCAAGACGCCCAATGTAGCATTCCCGGTTAGTTAAGAGGCTCTCAGTCTCGAGGAATCCTATATCGAGGGAGTGAGCCAGAGCTAGTCAAACAGCACTTCGTTCTTATCTTGACCGTAGCCAATATGAAAGTTCCCGACTTTGATGACCTACCACTCAACCCAGGACTGCCTCAGGGAAATGCTTGGGGTCTCTGGGGCCCAGATGATCAACTAGGGAGTGGGCTATAATCTTCCACTTTTGATGATCAACGTTGACAATTGTCCCAGCATTGAACAAGATTACCCCGCAAGCTAGACTTGAGGCTGCCCATGATGTAAAGTCAGGCAAAAGCGTCTCTCTAGACCTTCCTCTGAATGCATTTACGCATATCATCGCAAACCGCATGCAATTTAAACAGAATATCATTGACTTTCAAAAGCTAAATGTATCCATTGGTCACGATGACGAGCTGTCATTCAATACGCAAGGCTCTTCACAATGGGACGGCCTGACGCATTGCGCAATTCAAGCTAAGGGCCTGTATTATAACGGACTTAAGCACGAAGACGTTCAAGGTGCAAGGAAAGGAACAAATGGTATCGACAGTGAGTGGCAATCGATAATCCAACCAGGTTACGGAAATTGATGAGTCTGGGTACAGAATGGGTGGAAGCTGGTGGGATTGTGGGTAGAGGAGTACTCATCGACTATGTAAGATGGAGAGAGGAGACTGGTCAAACACCCATTCCCGGTGACAGTGCTTATGGAGTTACTGTCGCTGAGCTTAAGGCAATCGCAGCCCATCAAAACCTTGAATTCAAATCTGGAGACATTCTTCTCCTTCGTGGGGGCTTCACACTATGGCACGACAAGGCAGACCAGCAGGAAAGGATTGAGAAGATTGAGAAAACCGCCTTTATTGGAGTTGAAAGGAGCGAAGAGATGAAGCGCTTCTTATGGAACAACCACTTCTCCGCGGTAGCTACAGACTCGATTGGCTTTGAACAGTGTCCAGTGCCTTTTGGTGTGGAAGGAGAAGTTATCTTGCACGAGTGGATTTTAGCACATTGGGGAATGCCTCTGGGAGAGCTCTGGAATCTCGAGCCTCTTAGTAAGCTTTGCGCCGCTGAGAAGAAGTGGACTTTTCTCTTCACCAGCGCTCCCTTGTATGTCCCAGGAGGTGTTGGCTCGCCACCGAATGCACTGGCCCTGCTCTGAAAGATGAAGATGCTGGATTTAAAAGTGATGGTAGTATCGCAGTAGGAAAGGGTATGCCCTGTTGGATGATTGTGAATAAGTATTTCGTACATCCGCCAAAGCATGCTAAATCCTATAATTGCACATCGGAAAACTAGTAAAAGAGCCAACAAAGATCGTAGACCCCCATAATTGTGAAAACCCCGAGATAGGAGTCGGAGCCTCCGCAGTCAGATGCTCTTTGTACGGGTTTAAGAATTGGCGCATATACGGCAGGGTGAAATACGCGGAGATCGGATCTAAGATATATATAATTCAACCCACGTACAAATCGCATGCATTTTCCATATCGAACCACACATCTATCACTACCACCCTACTAAGAAAGCCCTGATCAATTTGGAAGAATGGCTGCGAGAGACAATGCAATCGTCACAGGTGCAGCTGCTGGCATCGGAAATGCAGTTGCGCATAAACTGGCCTCACGGGGTATGAACGTTCTTGTTGCTGATATCAACGAAGCTGGCGGTCAAAAGCTCGTGGATGATCTGAAGCGACTATACTCTGTGGACTCATTCTTTGTCCGTACCGATGTTTCCAACGAACAAGACGTGAAGAACATGGTCAAGGCAGCGGTAGAGAAATGGGGAAGGATTCATTACGCCTGCAATAACGCAGGTGTGGGTGAAAAGATGGAGGACAACGAGGACGGAGTGACAGTTGAGCAATTTGACAAGTGAGTATCCAGCTACAATATTCTACCTGGATCGACGTCTAACAATATATACGTAGGATGTATGCTCTCAACCAGAAATCCACATGGATGTGCCAGAAGGCATTGTGTCAACACATGCGCGAGCAAGAGCCGCGCAAAGTTAAGCTGTCTCCCTCCGACCTGGAGGTCGAAGAGCGAGGCGTCATTGTCAACTTATCATCGGTCAATGGCATGGTTGGGCTAGGTCTTCCAGGCTATTCAGCTGCAAAAGCTGGTATTGTGTCTCTGACTCGCACCGGAGCTCAGTTCTATGGACCTCATGGAATTAGGATTAACTGCATCTCCCCAGGCTCTATTCGAACTGAGTTCTTCGCCCACTGGGTCACTACGTTGCCCCCGGCGCAATCCAAGTATGTCGAAGAGGGAATCGTGAACTCCACTCCCCTGAAGAGACAAGGCAAGCCCCAGGAACTTGCAAATGTGGTCAGCTTCCTCCTTAGCGACGATAGCACCTACATGAACGGGCATAATTTGGTTGTGGATGGCGGCTACACTGCTGTCAAATTCTGAGACACAGGGACTGTATAGATATGCTGCACGCAGATAGTCAAACAAAATGACATTTTACATCCCTATCATCTCTCCCTAGCCGTCACATGCCCGTTGAATTTTGGCGCGTAGGCTCCTACGGAGTACAAGACCTCTAAACCCTGGGTTTATGATAGCCAATACTGTAAGAGAACATGTTGACCAGTAACCTACAAAGTGGAGAACCGCATTCTTCGACCGATATGCAGCGGAGTGGAGACATCCTGTTTGAAGCGTACACATTTTAATCGGCTTTAGTAGGCGGTGGGTCCAGAGAATATTTGACTCTTTAGAAATAATTTAGATTTTGACGGATTTAACATTTGCAGACACCCAGGAGGATGTTTGTTTTGGGACCGATTGAATCTATCCACCGATAGCTTTTGTATTGCAAACCTGGGGTCCGGTGTAATGGTCAACAGAGGAGAGGGGAACATTGACCCGGTCTGGGGTGACCCCACGCCCAGGCGCCCTGGAACTGCAATGAGTATATCTGTTGCAGAACGAGGCTGTAGTACAACTGTTGTAGAAAATCAGATTTGGCTCTCGTCGAATTGTTGTTGGGCAAATTGTCGTCACCATGTTCATCGCACAGTATCTCCAATCCTTGTCGACTGGGGATCTAGCCACCGATGCAAAATACATTGTTGGCCTCCTTGGAGTTTCTACTCTAGTCTACATTTTCTGCCTTGCAATATACCGAGTATGGTTTCATCCACTTGCAAAGTACCCGGGTCCTTTATTGGGCAGAATCACTCCTCTCTATGACTTCTACATTGCATATGGGGAGAAGCGGGCGCATCACTTTGCGTACATGCACGCAAAGTATGGTGAGTGTCTCGCCTCAGCCCAAGTGACCTAAGACCTATGCCTAACTCAAACCTCGCACTACAGGCCCTGTCGTCCGCTTTACCCCAGACTACTTGAGCTTCAATTCAACCAAAGCATTCGAAGGTGGGCTTATTTTTGCGAGAGCCTTGCAATTGGGAAGCTGACCATGCCAACAAGATATCTATGGATGGAAGGCAAATGTCAGAAAGACGGACTCCATGACATCGACGCAGTCAGACCCAGAAACAATGAGCACTTTCAGTGAGATTCATCGTGTACCAGCTCTCAAGAAACGAAAGATACTTCAACAAGGCTTCTCTGAGTCGGCATTGAGAGATGCGGAAGGTGAGTCCTCGATGTCAAGTCAGTCGAGATATGTTTCATTAACAGAGGCGCCATAGAGTACATCGTAGACCAGATTAACATCTTCTGTCGAGAGCTTGTCAATCCAGCGACGGAACATAAAAAGGATATGTCACTCTGGCTTAACTACCTGGCCTACGATATCATGGGCGAAATTGTGTTCGGCAAAGGTTTCAACATGTTGACCAACGACAAGATCAGATACATCCTTCCGCTGATTGATGACATGACCTTCAGTATGCTCTTGGTACGAAAAGTCTCTTTAAGACAAGGTGAAGGAGCTGACGTGAAACAATAGGGTGGCATCATCCCTTCTTTCCACAAATGGGGTTTGATTGACTGGATCTTCCCTAGTATCTCTGCTGGCAGGATGAAGTTTATCAAAGAGTCGGAAGCTCGAGTCGCTGCGAGAATTGCAGAGGGTGTGTCTAACTCAGCTGGTCGTAAGGACTTTTTCTATCATGTCTGTGACTCTTTGACAATTCGAGGTACTGTTCATACTGACTTCCATAGTTGATGAAACACCGTGACCCAGAGACGGGCGAACCCCTATCAAAGAAAATGTTGTTGACAGAAGGTGTCCTCCTGATTACCGCCGGTAGTGACACAACTTCGACAGGTATTTCCTCATCCCCTCGTAAAGCCTAGCAACTATGCATTCTAACACATAGAAGGTCTTGCTGGAGCATTATTCTACTTGCTTAAGCATCCACATTGCATGAAGAGACTACGGGAAGAACTCGACTCTGTTTTTGACACCGTCGAGGAGATTCGAATGACTACAAAAATGACCAAGTGTAGATATCTAAAGGCTTGCATCGACGAGTCATTGCGCATGGCCCCACCGGGTCCCGGTATGTCGCCACGAACCGTCATGGAAGGAGGAATGATGATCGACGGAGAGTATTTTCCTGAAGGCGTACGTAAAACTCATTTTAGCAATATCCCTTGCGCGGCTGACCTTCTGATGCAGACTGATGTGGGCGGAGCGGCCTATACTTATGCTTACAATCCAGAAAACTTCACTGACCCAGAGGTTTTCCGACCTGAACGCTTCCTCTTGGGAGAAGGGGAACCTGAGCCGGATGTTCTCCGAGCTAAAGGAAGCTATTGGCCGTTTGGAACCGGAGTCCGCAAGTGTCCTGGCATGAAAATGGCCTTACAGGAACTCTATCTTGGTATTGCAAGAACTGTATACCTCTTTGACATCACATCAGAGAAGCCCGAAGAGCTCAAGACCAATTTCGAAATTCTGGACCACTTCAGTGAGTGACTTGTCTCCCGTCCGGAACGGAATTCTATGGTCGTTTCAATACTAACGAATGTTTCTATTCAGACGTGAAAAAGGAAGGACCCTGGTGCTCATTCAAACTCCGAGAGGGTAGACAACTCCCTTCTTGTCGCCCTGTTAGTTCATAAGCTAGGGTCTGTTGTCGTCATGACTTCAGACTGCCCTAAGAATTGAAGGCCATGTCATAATCTACTTAGAATATCCTTGGCTAGATAAAATGATAACTATCGCCATCTAGTGGTGGTGTTTTGTGAGGTACAGATTTCAATTTAGAGGACACTTTCGACTCGACGAGGGCTGTCAAAACATATGGTTCGTAGCCACTCGATGTGTCAGGTCAACTTATCATTGTCTATTTACCAATAGAGAGAGAAGAGAGCTAGGTCTGTAGAGAGAGAAGGAGCGGACCTGGTCGGGCGGCTGCTCTCATTCCAGCATTGTAGCTAGCTGCCTCTCATAATATGGTGTAGGCAGCTGGCAAACAGCCTTCGAGTGCTTGGCATTCGTGTACGTCGTTTAGGTGAGAAGCTACCTGAAGTGAAGAAGTTTCATATGGCTTTCAAATTTTGATTCATTGGCATATTAACAGACTCGGAAGAAAACCTTTGAGGCCAAATGTAGTGATAATAGATTGTACACAAGATGTCCCAGACTAGTAAGCACCTTGGGCGCCGCTTATCTATCCTTAGTCTTGACTGGGCTTCTTCTCCTGGCCGCCGTGCTCATATTGAGCACCAAGCTCTTCTAAGGTCTTTCCGACCAGCTCGTCACCGAAGAGAGCTCCAATCTCTTCCAGCGTTTTTCCTTTCGTTTCTGGGCCAAAGAACCATAACAAAGCTACCAAGAAAGGGGAAATGGTAATGAAGACCAAGAAGTATTTCCATCCAATCTGAGAAAATGCGTATAGCACACCACTGTCGAAATTGTTAGCATTATTCGCAATATACCTTTGGGATCCTGGAGACACTTACGTCAGGTAAGCAACATTGCACAAATAGAGAGAAGCGATCCCCAGGGTCACTCCTCGGGCCCGAAGGGCTGTTGGAAGAAGCTCAGCAATGTAGGTAAATTGAGCACAGTCCCAACCGACACCATAGATGGCGGTGTAGAGATAGAAAATGAAGATTCCTGCAATGTTCATACTTCGATTCCCTCCATCAGGGTTATTCGCCACGATGGCTGCTTCGATGATCAAGCAAATGATTTGGCCAATGGATGCGAACACCATTAGTTTGATTCGACCGACCTTATCGACAATTGCAATGCCTACAAAGGCGAACACGAAGTTGCAAGTAAGATATCCGCCAGACAGATACATCTGCTGCTCGCTATCCATCCCAAGCATAGAGTAGAAGTAGGGTCCGTAGTTGTTGACAACCAGTGCTCCAGTTGACTATGAAGGGCATTGTCAGTGAAAACTTGAGAAAAAGCTAGTCGGAGAAATACGAACCTGGCCAAGAAGCCCAACAAGTACACAAAGCCAGGCTCGTCTTCGCCATCTTTTACTCGTGAGTAGTTGGAAGTAGCTGACCGCCAATGCCCGCTCCTCCTCAATTTGCAGCTCCATCTGCTGCAGCTCCAACTCTGCGAATCGATGGTTGGTACCTGCCCCAGTGGTGTGGATCTGTTTGATAATGACTTCAGCCTCGGACCGACGGCCTTGCATCAGTAGCCAGCGTGGACTTTCTGGGATGAACGGAAGCAAGGCGAGGACAATGAGACATAGACCGCCTAATATAACAAAGGGGAATCGCCACTGGTTGACTCCAGCTGGGGCGTGGAAGAAACCGACGCCAGACCACGTCGCAATGTGATAGCCGATAATATTTCCGATGCCAGCTAAGCCTACTAATAGGCCTCTGAGATGGGGCGGCGAAATCTCTGATTGGTAGAGAGGAGTCAGAGTCACAAAAATCGCCGCGTTGAAACCTGAGAAGAATCTAGAAATAGTGTTAGATATTGAAACCCTGTCTTCGCATTGAAGGCACGTACCTAAACGCAATGAACATGCCAATATGGACTGAACCTGCTTGCAGGGCTTGCCAACAGGTAGACAAAATGCAGTTGAGTGCCAAAGCCTTTCGTCGTCCAAACTTGTCAGCCGCCCAGGCTCCAAAGAAGACCCCGATAGCACCTCCTCCGTAGAACATGCCATTGGTGGCACCAATCAACGAGGTTGGGTCGCCGGTGTCGAGGTCGAAGTAAATGATGAACGATGGCTGGGCAAGGGTGGTGGCTATCATGCCATTGACAGCACCACCGGCGACCATGGCCATTGCGATAGCCATGATGAGAAGGACATTCCTTCGAGTGAGTTTTGGCTTCACATCCTCTGGACTACCAGTTTCCGCCACGTCCATCATCTCGTCGTGGGGCTTCTCTTCCACGTCTTGTGTCTTTAATTCTTGCATTTTCAGGCTATCCCACACGATTGCGTGAGGTCCTTACGACTTGATACAGTCCGTAATATCATCAAGGGCCATCAACATAGATATGTACTCATTTCAATTTGATACCACGGTGTGCAACGTCCGGTCTCGTAGCCTTGTCGTGCACGCTTTTCTTGTCCGATCATGAGTATCTTACCCAATAGGGATAATCGGCCACCCGCACGTTTTCTCCGGTCATGGAACTCCCCACAATATTCCCCGCTTCCCCAGATATTGACCGACTTGGGACCACAGACTTGACCAACAAGTCCTCGGCCCGCAAGATGCCTTGGTAGCAGCTAATGCAGGTAACGGAGCAGATGCAATACCTGCGGCCGTGCTTTCAACAGTGTCATTCACGGACCAAACATTATTAGAACAAAGATATCCGAAATACGATGAAGGCACTAAGCTAAACTGGGGTCTATGGGTGGGCGTAAGCTGTACACATTAGTCTTCATCGTTGTCATATAACGATGTATAAGTACCCCGAGCCACGGCATCCTTGCAGAAAAGCATAGGATAGCGCTCGAAGAATACCGGATCCATCTTGAACCATGTATCTGGCGAGCTCAAAGCGAGGATAAACTTTGCTTCGAGAGCTTTGGATATCTGCGGCGGCTCGGGTAAGGAAGAGGTCCTCCGTAGATAGTTCTCTCGATTCTCAATGTGATCGATATAGTCCTTCAGACGATAATACTTAATGTGGTGCTCCGTCGTCCCTTCTCCGTTGACGGGGGATCCTCCTTCCACGCTTTGGTATTGGACCGGATCCCAAAATGGCTCTGAGACATCGACCTCCATGCAGTGGGCGTTCATGCTGGCCAAGAGAACATCCGTTAGGTCGAGTTCGGCGGCATGCTCAATCATTTGATCTCTAACATCAGCAAACGGGAACCAGTCCACGATTGGCCAGTGGAATTGAGTCATTTGCAGTTTAGTAGGCCGAAATTGTGGTTGCACTGCCAGATAGTTCTCGGAAGTCGGCATGACTCTCCAACGAGTGATGGGGCCTAGCTTTTCCAAGCCCAGTGTTTCGAAATAATACCGATTTGACCACTTCCATCTGTCTCTCACTAGCGACAAAAGTCCTCTCTGAACAAAAGTATCAATCCTATAACCATCAGTCGAGCCTGTGAAGGATAATGCCACGCAACTCACGACACCCTGTTCTCAGGTGGCTGACTAGCCTGCTCATTGAGATGATATCTGATCACCCCCTCCATCTCGAGAAGGTCCATGCAGAAGCGTGAGGGCTTGGTAGGCTGTGGGCTTGTCAAGAACTTCTGTGAGGTCGGAACATTGAACAAGGGCGAGATTGACGCATTCGGACTTCTCGTAAGCCAAAGATCTTTGCCATTCGAGATCTTTGAAGGAGACGCTCCCGCCCTATTGGTAGAAGTTAATTCCCGCAGAGCTATACGAGTATCATTGAGGACACTGGTCGTTTCTTCTAATTTTCGCTCCAGATAAACGAGTCTATCAGCCAGACCTGGCTTTTCAAGAGTGTTCCCTGGACTGTTAGAAACGTGGCGCACATCACCTGGGACGGAACGGACGCTCATTGAGAAAAGTTGAAGCGTTTTTCGATACTAGGATGTCGTATGGTCGCCTTGAAGTGGTGAATCGAGCTTTTGAGAGAATAATTGGTTCTTCGCAAAGAGTTTCACGAGGCATCATTGACGAGACGGGCTCGGCACCTTGTGACATGCTACGATGGCTGGGCGGCACATGAGCGCCCGAGGGGCCATAGGTACTCCTCAGGCTCTGGTTAAAGGTCGTTGGCCTGGACCCACGGCACGTTTGTCAAGGTTTCGGGCTAACTAACCCTGCCAAGTCAAGTATGGGTACACCAGCCATGATAGACCAGTAATCTACGAATTGATGATTATCTTTGCCCTCGGGCAAGATAATGGTACACGGAGATTGAACCGCATCGGCCCCGTGGGGCCCCCATTGTGCCATTCTAAAGGTCTCCAGCATTTCCCCCTCCTCTCCCCAACTTTCTCGGAGCAGCGCTTCCTAATTACTGCACGAGCTGCAAGCCTGTTATCAGTATCCATTTCCCTGCAACATCCCACAATATTGTTGTACTGAAGGGGAAGTGGCGCTTGGAAATAGATAAACCCATTCTTCACTTGTCGAGTTTCGAAAGCCATGGCAGAGTTGAACGACACAATCATCATGGCGAATACATCGAGAGTCAACGAAAAAAAGAGCTCACTTTCATGCTCGGTCTGCAACAAACCTTTCTCGAGAAAAGATGTACTGGGACGGCACGTACGGAGTCAGCATCAATGTGCTCAAGGACCGAAGAAACGGCGACGGCGTGCAAGGACTAGTTGTCTGAGGTGTGCGTTGTAAGTAGTACTCTCTCCCCTGACATCAGACGTGATGAATTTATGTAGTTGATGTGTTGGCTCTACAGTTATAAGATCAAGTGCGTGGGTACACCGACTTGTGTCCGTTGTGAGAAATCTGGGGTAGTCTGCCAGTTTGATTTTGTTGCCAATACAGCTACTCCTGGACCAACTGGTCTCACCCACCAGGATCCAACGACAACAGAACCTCTTCCAGAGATCCCGCTCCAAAATGCGAGTGAGGAGAATAACCCTGCGGTCTTTCCAGCCGAGTCGCTGCCAACTCCTGTGCCCATGCCAGACCAACCAGTACAAAGCGAGATTCTTCAACCAGATTCA